GATGAATGCTCCTACAAGTCAATCCTCTCCTCGAACCCACGAGCGTACTTTCGTGAGTGCAAATTCGTTCTGCAGGACCACCAGCGGAAATGTCCTTGGTTATTCAAAAGTTCTTCCGGTTCTTCGGGCCTTTCAGGTTTCATTATCAGAGCGAGTCAAGAACATACAGAAGATCGCCAATTGACTCCATTATAATGAAGATGCAACGGCGAACATGGTTGAAGCTTTGAATGGTGTGTCATCCTCTCGTGTTCAGATTTTGAGAAGCATGGAATATAATATGTGTCCCGCCAGGAACACAGAGATCAGAGCTTCCAGTCCGCCAGTTTTTCGCACATCATAGATCTCTTCAACACCCTACCTGCACTTTCGACGTCTTCTAAAGCTATTGTACTATTGTTGTGATATAGATGAAGGAGGACCACTCATCATTCCAGATTTATCAGAAGCTAGTTCGGTTTACTCCGCCTGCACTCAAGGCACCCTTCCCCGTCCATCGACTCTCAGAATCTGCCGGCTGACAGCGACGAGGAACATGAGATTAAGACCACCATAATTGAGAGCATCATGGGTGAGGTGGCGGACCAAGACCAGCAAGACCATTAGGAGGCCGAGTGTGGCCATGAACAGCGATATTGCGGGAGTGGGGGTGGTGGGGAAAAGAGGGGTCCAAAAATAGCAGCAAGAACAGCAGCAAGGAATGAAGTCCGTAATGCCTTGATATTCTTATGAATTTATGAATTGGCGGTTGTGCTAAGCAATGCATAGCCCGGCTTCATGGCTGCATGATCCCTTCCCCATAAGTGCTTCCTTGTTGAATAAGGCGGCATTTCAAATGAGCTGAGTGCTCTATGACGCCCAAAGTGCTGCGCCTAATTCCGCTGGGGGGGAGGGTTATTTTAACAGACATGAACATGAGATACATAGTCCCCGAGTAGTCTTTTAAAGGCATTTGCTATGTCTTGCTTGGAATCACATACTGTACACGCTGATATAGTCTGACACTTCTCATCCACACAGCTGGAACCGCACCTCTACACTCCGTCCCAACACATAAGGCACATACCGGATCTTGGCGCACTTGAGGACTATCCGTCTATACAGAGCAGAGCACGAAGGTGCCTCGCTAGGCCCATGAAAACGCGACGCGCTATTGTGCAATGCCCATGGGTTGCCAAGGAATAAAAGTCTGCTATTTGACAATCCCGGTTGCCAGATATTAAATTGTTACTCCTTGACAGCCTATGAGTTGTTCCCCGGCAACCATGGGTATTGTCCAATAGCACTTCGTGAGGAATCTCGCTGTATTCCCATGAAGTTAAAGATGCATCCTCGTATTCTGCGTGTGCAGATGGATAGTCCTCAAGGGCATCAAGGCCCATTATGAACCTTTAGATGATGGGACGGCGTGCAGAAGTGCTAGTCCGACAGTTTCGATGGGAGGAAGTATTATAATGGGTATTATTGCAAGACTCAAAGGAAATGGGCTTTCCGATTTAGTCAACTAATGAAGGAGACAGCTGATGCCGCTGGGACATATGGATCAAACGGGCCAGAGATTATTGCAAAGAGAAGTGTGTTTGATTTATTTGCTGCGCCTGTCCTGTTTGTTGTCTGTAAAGTCGTATCGTTCATGCCATCAAAGCTGTCCCAACTACTGAGGCTAAGGTTACTGCCCTAGTCATCAAAGACTTCATCGGTGGGGTCGGAAACAGTTGAACAACCGGGACAGGCCTAACGCATCAGAGAAGTGAATGAAAGTCAGCATATATAATGTCTAACTCGGTTCAGCTGAGACTTTAGTTTATACAATACTTGATCAAATGTCCCATTAGGACCTTTACTTTCTCACGGTTCCCTAGAGCACCTCTGGTCTCTCACACTCCCCAATTCAGTTTACTAGCAGTCATACCGTTAACATTGCTCGCTTCCAATGGCGCCTCATATGCAGACATATTCATATTCAGCATAGAACTCAATCTCGACCTCGCCTCCCTCCGTAGGATTCATGCCTGGAGCAATTAAATGATATGTCAGCTCTATGGTACAGACCGAGCTAGTATCTCCAGCAACAGCGCCAGCGCATCCATTCTGTTCGAGGAGCGTACGAGAAATGTCCATTGCCCTGGCTGCTCTGTTACACAAAGCACGCATGCACGGCACACGTGTGTTGGTCTGAGCTGGACTTGAGCATTTTTTCGACAAGGCTGGTCTTGAATGTTTTTCAAAGGCGCACGCACTGCAACATTGCCCATGTAGTCCGGAGAGGGCGACAGCAAGGAAAAAAAAATACCTGCCGATCAAAAGCAATCTGGCATCGACTCGAAGAACAGCAGGCTCGACCAATGAGCTTAGCGGCTTGCCTTCCCCTGAAAGGATACAGCCCATTCAAGAGACCCATCCTCATCACATCGATTGCCGCGCACTCTGTTTGTATCGCGATGGCCATTTCTACACTCGTTTTTATGCACATACGAGGCATGCCCAGACAATCCATGGCTCTGAATGCATTTGTGAATCGAAAAGTCGAGCTCTGTCCCATGCACGGCCAATGACCCTCGGAACTCGTTCTTGGTGCCGACCGTGAGAGCGAGCAGGGCTAATGCAGTGGATCGATGGTGTTACCGATGCCGGAGCTCGTTCATGCGTACGACTCAAGCCTATCATCGCCATGTGTAACTGCAGGAGAAAGAACGCGATTACACAAACAGTGCCACACTCTGGACGACATCGATACCTCATTTGGTTCCTGTGCCAGGGTCCATAGATATTTATCCCGACCCACACAGCCTAACTCCAACGCAATTGTCCGATGGTATCCATTATGAATATTTCTTTCTCAAGAGAGTAATGTATTTCAAATACCACCTAGACTACAAAAAAAAAAGTATTTCAAATGGCGGATATTGCTGAAAGGATCACGTGTAACATGGACATGGATATTCGGCAAAAGACATCGATATCCTATGTTCAGCTTCTTGAATCGTCTCTATCTCCCCCTCTCTCTCACGGTGTTGACTAAATGGACACGAGACAACAGCATTAGAGCTGACAAAGCTTAGGCTGACATCAAAGGGATAAGGCGAGCTACAAAAAAGGTCGGCCTCGAGCCAACTTGGAATATGTTCGTTCAATTCATTCTGGCTCTAGACAAAATGTTATAGATTTTTGCTCAGAGCCGACCTTTTTTGCAGTGGACTCAAACAGTTTTGCACAAGTGCAGGCGTATAGCACTGAGTGCCGGTTTTTTGGTCCAGGCACTCACTTCCTTGCACCACAGGGGTTGCGACACGCCTTCTGCACAACCGGCTGTAGTTCATCCCTACATATGTGTAGTCTATTGTACATACATCTTCCAAAATGGCGTGTTTGTTCTCCAATGAGCCACTCATGAAAAATACCATGTGGGACAAGAATCCACGCATGCTCAACTTTAACACGCGTCTATGTACCAAAACTTGTTTCCAGAATAGTGGACATCGTTTGGGTGACAAACCTGCTTTGAGGCCAAGGCGCTGTGTTTATAATCCGATATAAGAACAGTTGGCTGTGCGAAGTTCTACTTTCGGAACGAGTACAGATCGGAGGAAGGGTGCAGCCAAAGTTTTATCACTTCCGGCAGTCAATCAGAAAAGAAGTTTTCCGAGATGAATCATCTGCTCAGCACTCCAAGGCCAGTGGCGAACGAGAGATATGAAATTGAACATGGACCAGGTGTCGTTTCCAATTTTAACGTGATCTGGATAAACGCATCTGATAAGGCGGTCGATAATGCATCCTATTTGCTTTCTCTCTCATGAACGCTAGACTTGTCAGGAACCAAGAAACTTGATGGATGGGGGTCCTGCTGCCTAAAGTGTTCGCCAAGGCTAGTCGCGACAGGAACCTAGAGGTTTTCTTGATACCCGGTAATTGACAGCACGAGGATGTGACGCAGGCCAAACTTGTTTGTTCAACAAACGAGGAGCCTCTGTCTTGCGCCATGCACATGGGTGCACCAATACAGCGTGTAATTTCAGGAAATGCACTATGGTGGCATGTGTGGCCTGTTCCCTATGGCAGTCTTTGTTTAACGCTAGGCGACCTTGGCAGACGGGGCGGGAAAGTTCATTGATTCCCACAAGGAGAACAGGGACCAGGACAAGACATGGTCTTATTTGTCGTGTCCCCTCCGCCCCCTCCCCCTCCCCCGAGGCAACAATTTGTAAGCTATAGTCGAGGTCCTTGGAACGGAAAGATGCCTCACTTCACTCGAAATGGAAAGCAGCCCTTTGTTGCTTCCCGTAGACCACCGGGAGACATAGGGACATTGGGAGTACGGCGACAGAGCCAAACCTGTTTTTTTTGGGCCCTTCCTTTGGTCCCGCAGTAAGAAGGTAAAATTTTAATAGTTTAAGAAAACCGGTTTTCTGCAGACACATCGTACGTACGTTTTCTGTGCTTGAGTTTGAATCGAATAAAGATTAGAGTGTAGAGGAGCGCTGTTCATTGGTGTTTCTGAATCCCGTATCGAGCGATAGTTGAGATGGACAGCGTGCAGCAAGAGACATAAGGTAATGGGCCTACACGCTCGCCATAAGTCAATGCAAAGGAAAAAGATTAAATGTAGATCTATATACTCGAAGGAGAGGATGGAGGATACGAAAGTCGTGGGTGGAAAGCAACAAGGGCATGGTGTTATTTTGCAGCGTGTATAGGCCACAACTGCTTTGGCAATCAGGTTATCATGCAAGATCGATATGAAAGACCTTCCCTTCCAGCCCTCCTTGGTGTCCTTCTTTTAGTCCGCTCTTCTCTCCCCTGGTGCAAACCCGTTTGGTGACAATGTCTACCCTGCAATAAACAGGACTTACACATCAACCAACTCAGGCTCAGACCCAACTCTTATTCTTATTATTTTTAAGAATATTCGTCCGATCCCTTTTGTTCTCTCGATCACTGCGACAGTTGTTGTCGCCGCTTCATCGCTCATTCTTATAAAGCACACTATCTTCCACACCTTTTTCTCGAAATGCTCAACGATCCTCAACCGACCCCTACCTCCCTTGAAAGCCAATATCCCTCTTCTTCACTCAATAACACTTCACATACAACTCTCTCCGCTTCAACTACAGTACATAGTACACATAAACGAGACTAGATGGCCTCATCAATCTCGTCACAGTCGACGCAGCTCGACAACATTCAGATGAAGGCCACCAAGGCTGGCTCCATCCACAGCCACCACTCCACTAAGAAGGAGCTGGGTGCCGAATCTTCGCAACAAAAGGCAGAGACCGACAGTCTCGACATCGAGCGTCAAGAGCATACCCCTGCACCAGCCATCAGCCATCGTGCCGCCATCCTCCTCTTCGTTGGGTAGGTCCAGCTATCCTACACTTATTAGTTTTTTTTGTTGCGATTTTGTCCATCAGAACAAACACAGCCATCGCATTCATTTTATCACCGCAAAATCTTTCCTACCCATTTTCGCCCTCAGATTGTTCAAACCCTGACCTGTAAAAGCGGTTGCCACCGACGATCATCAAACATTTCTTGTCGTTAATGATCGCTTGTACACTTTTTTTTGTGTGCCCAAGAGTGGTGTTTACAATGAATGCCGGTTAATTAAGCGCTTTATGTTTGTTTACAGCTAAGTTTTTCATTGTTTGCTTGCGCGCTTACTGATCAAACATGCATTCTCTATATACAACTTATAAATATAGTCTGGCCATGGCTACATTCCTGGCCAGTCTGGATGGCACCATTATCGCCACTGCCCTTCCCAAGATCGCCTCGGACTTCAAGGCCCAGTCTCAAATGAGTTGGGTCGCCACTGCTTACCTGCTCACATACAGTACGCTTGACATGCCCTATCAGGGTTCAGTTATTGATATGTGTGTGAGATATTCAGCTTACTGCTTCTCTAACATCGCCCTTGACTTTTTCTTCATCAACTCAAATCTTTTTATAGACGCATTCCAGCCTCTCTATGGTAGATGACCAACACACGCGCTTTAAAGGCAATGCTCATCCGTATCAACCACATTTTATTAACTAGACGCGTCGTTTGTAAAAAAATCACGACAATAGGAAAGTTCAGCGATATTTTTGGTCGTAAGATCATGATTCTCTTTGCGTGTGTAACGTTCATGATCGGATCAGCCGGTGCCGGAGGGGCGAAGACAATGACCATGTTGATTGTCTTCCGTGCCATCCAGGGTCTTGGTGGCTCAGGTCTTCTCTCGATTGTTCTGATCATTATCTCGGATATCTTCCCTCTGGAGGATCGCCCCAAGTATCAGTCCATCATCTGGAGCGTCTTTGGTATCTCGTCCGTGGTCGGTCCCCTTCTCGGAGGTGTTTTTGTCCAGCAAACCACCTGGCGCTGGTGCTTCTTGATCAACCTGCCTCTCGGAGTCGTCACCATTGCGTCGGTCCTTCTCTTCCTGCACTTGCCCTTTGAGCGCCAGGAGCTCAAGAAGCAGCTGGCTCGTATCGATTACCTCGGCACAGGACTCATCATCATCGCGGTCATCTGCCTTTTGCTCCCCATCACCTGGGGCGGCACGACCTACGCCTGGAACTCACCTGTGATTATTTCACTGTTCTGCGTCTCTGCTGTATTGATTGGCTTGTTGATGTGGGTCGAGAGCAAGGCAGTCGAGGCCATTATCCCTCCAAAATTGTTCCTGAACAAGACTGTCACTGTGCTCTTTGCTGTCAACTTCTTGACTGGCATGGGTTTCTTGGGTGTAATTTTCTATGCCCCCATCTACTTCCAGGTCGTCAAAGGCGTCGGCGCCACTGCCTCGGGTCTTCATCTCTTGCCTATGGTGCTCGGTTTGGTCCTATCCTCGATTGCATCTGGTGCTATGATGGCTAAGATTCGCGACTACCGCATCTTTATCTGGATTGGTACAACCATGATGTCCATTGGCGTCGGTCTCTGCATGCTTCTTGACGCTGAGTCTAACATGGGCCGGCAGATTGGGTTCCTGTTGATTGTCGGTATGGGTATCGGTTTGATCTTGCAGACCTGTATGTTGGCTGCCCAGGCCGCCGTGGAGAAGGAGGACATGGCTGTTGTAACGGCGCTGTGTGGGTTCTTCAACAGCATCGGAGGTGGTGTTGGTATTGCCATGTGCTCCGCTTTGTTCAACAACCATTTGGCGGCCAATTTTGGGAAGCTGTCCACGGATGTATTGGTGGTTATTATGGAGTACAACATTGCAGAATCGATCACGGCTGTGCAGGAACTGCCAGGTCCCGTCAAGGAGCTTGTCATCGGTGCCTATGTCGACACGTTCCAGTTCATTTTCAAGTGCATCACGCCCATTGCCTGTGCTGCGTTCTTGATGTCGCTATTCATCCGCAAGTTGCGCGTCCTCGATCCTTCCGAGGTGATCATGGGTGCTGCCTAAAAAAAAAAAGCAGCGAGGCATTACCACGTTCGAGGGGGAGCTTAGATATCTGCACACAACACACAACACACAGAGAGCACTGCATTTTTTCATACTAGACGCTTAATAATAATCAATTTAGTCTATCCATGGTCAGTCCTGAAATGGATGGAAAAAGTGCTTGTAGTACCCGTGACTAGAATTTGCAAGGACAAGGTACTTGCTCAGAAAGAGGACGGGAGCTCCTTCATCTTTTTCCTCATTGCACATTCAGATTTACATTCCTGATTCGATTCAAACAGCACACCCTCGCTTTTGCCTCTCATAGTCCTATAGCTAATTGAGCCTCAATTTTACTTCCTTCTACTGCACATTCCCGGAAAAAGAATACGGCTTTATAAATCTCCCTCTTCCCACCAAAGTAAAGTGAAGCGTCATGTCTTTATTTAACAAGTTTCTGGACAAAACTATTCTCAGAAAGTCTACCCACCAAGACATGGAGATGGATCCTGCTGCAAGTGAGTGAATGAATTAATTTTAGTCTGTTCTCCATCACCGTCTGTGCCCAATGGCGATCTTTTTGCGGGGAAAAAAAGAAAAATGTGAGGTGTGCACGGTTCACCCCAACAACTCCGAGTTTTTTTTTTTTTCAGAAATGGCAGCGAATCACAGTTTCCGGTTCCTGGAATCATGGACAATTGGTTTTTTTCTGGCCGCAGTCGATGTCCTGCTGCTGTTGACTCCAACGTTATCCATATGATGCCCTAAATGCGTTACTGCGTCTTTGTCCCCATTGATGAGAAAGTATCAGAAATGAGATTTTGTAAAGATGACCGTGCATGGCCCATGCCTATGTTCTTAATATAATGAACATTACAAGGGAGGATAGCCACATGACAATAACACGAAAAGGATTGGATACTAGTCTACTCTAGGTATCTAATTCCTTCCCTTGGCCTTGTTTTCGTTAGGAGAGTGAGTCATAAGAGTTGTGCCTTCAGCGGAATCATATTGCTTTTTTTTGTTTTAAGCATCGGTTTATCTCTTGATTCTATCGGAAGCTATTCACAACTACAAAGAGCAAGGGCCGGCTCGTAAATCAACTTTGGACTTGAGTACCTTCCTTAATCCCCCTCGCCCTTTCTCTCTTCCTTGTTTCAAGGAAAACCACATGTATTTTACACCATGCATGCACTACAGATCGCAAGGCATTTATTAGAACGGAACTATATTACTTAACCCGCTCGCATGACCACCTTGTCCTGCATGTCATCCCTACCTTTCGTATCATTTCTTGTCATGAACTTGACGTCCCAATGGCCGAATAGGAGGCTGGATTAACGCGGTTTCAATGCGTTGTTTCCGTTGTTCTGCTGACGAATGTATTATTTCTGCGAAGCGTTAATACTTCGTGAGAATGCGGGATTGTGGAGTTGCGCTACAAGCAGTCAACAACAGCAGAAGACAGTAGGCTATTAGAGTACTTACATGACGATATTGTGGATGATGATATGGGATAAGACGAGGTATTTTCTCACGAACGATGATGGATGCGGGTGGGGGTTTGAAACGAATGGCGCTGTTCGTTGGCCCATCCGTAGTTCATTTGAGCTGCAGCACTGTGCTTTATCGTACCGTTGTTATGTTCCCCCTCCCCCCTATCGTCAAGTTAGTTGTCTATGGATGGGTTGGATGTAATCTGGGCGTATCGGCAGAAGCAATATTCACTCGTTGGCCATGACAGGCCTCCTTTTTTCTATTCGTTGGCTCGTCAGTTTTATGATTAGCCACCCCTTGCATGCCATGAAGAAGAGGCGATGACGAGAGTTGGTATGCCTTCCTGGCACTCATTCCACTCTGCATGGCCCATCGAGGATGCCATTTGTGTGCACAAAAAAAAAAAAAAAAAACACACACACACGCTGTTTACAAATGATACACACGCACATGGAAGTCCATGGTTGTGTCCGAGTTGCTGCGTTTTTCTCATAAAAGGATGATAGCTCCGGCGGAATTCTCTGTTCGATCCTCTGCCTATCTCCATTGTTTCCCCATCCCTTTCTAGTTAAATTTTTGCAAAATGTTTCTGATCGTAAAAGGCACCTCGCGAAAGAGAAACGCTTCCTCACTCCCGACCCTGGGTCTGAAAAAACTCTTCGTGCCATCATCGTATGTAGATGATATTATGGAGCCAAACGATCTCGGTCAAGTCGCGCAGCCCAACAATGTCGGTAATGGTACGTTGAATAGCAGATCCATTCCACAACCGATGGAGGAAGGCCGCTTTAGCAACGCCGACTCAAGGTATCAAGATAACAACTCTGTCAAGCACGAAGGTAGACTATACAGCTGTATCCCATGCAATTTTTGTTTAGTTCTCTCCGATCATGTTTTTCTTGTCTCCCTTTTCCTTTACTCCTTTGGGAACGCTCGTGTGTCTCTCTACGCAAAGCTGTACTCTACACACTCCGACCCATTCCGCTGTGGTTTTTGTTGTTTGTTGTGGGTTGCTGCATATGCATCATATGCATGCGCGTTTTGATCTCTCGAAGGAAAACTACGTCTGCCAAATGAGGCGAGCAGTATAACAGAATCCATGAGGGAGGAAAAAAGTCCAAAACGGAGGAGGGCGGACACGGACCAAGGTGGGAAAGAAAAATATTTTTGATTGTGTCGCAAGCGATCGCTCATCCCGCTTCCCGCTTCCTCCCTTTGAACGCTTCTTTTTCCGTTAAACAGTTGATGCCGAGGCTGGTCCAGAGAGAGTCTACATTTGTGCAGACAGACAAGAAGAGAGGAAGAAAAAAAAAGAGGTAGCCATGACACAGTGCGATTTGGCGTTGTAGCTGGGCCATGCGCTCCATCTGTTTATATATTTCCTGAGGAGCGAAATCGAAAGGGCAGTGGGTGGGTGTGCAGTCTGCTTCATTCCAGTGGTTACATGTACACCCTTTGAAGTACCTGTTGAACCTTCTTCACGTTCTTGTGTCCTCGTGCGCTTCATAACTGATTTCTCGCCTTCTCTCGCTCTCCCCTCGCCCTCTCTCGCTCTCCCCCCTCCCTCCTGCGACCTCTCTCGTCCAATTGGACCCTTCCTGTCCTCGCGTTTCCTCCCTCTTTGTCACTGTTCTCTCCTCTCCTTTCCACAAGTCCAAGCAACTTCGGGACAACGGCTCGCCACCAACCAAGGCTGCCCACACCTCCAAACCAGCCATACTAGCACCGACCCGCACAGCAGCAGCAGCAGTAGCAGCCAACTTTGTACGCTAGACACATCCCCAAGTGAGCCATCTCTCATTCCTACCTTGGACATTTCCCATCAGCCTCATCAACAACAGCAAGGTGGAATGCAGTCAGTTGAAATGGTATCTGCTGAAACCACCCTGTCGGAGCGACAACAGCTTGAGCAACACCAGCAATTGGAACAGCAGAAGCAGCAACTCTTGCTGCAGCAACAGCAACAGCAACAGCAGCTCCAGCTCCAACATCAGCAGCAGCAGCTTTTCCAGCTCCAACAACAGCAACAGCAGCAAGAGGAGCAATTGCGGCAAGCACAAGCGCAGATACAGACACCGACACCATCAGCGACACCGACCCAAACACCAGCCCAAGTCCCACAGCAAGCACAGGTACATATAGACCAAGCAATGTCAGAAGCGCAGGCATTGCAGACCCAGGAACAAGCAGAGCAAGCCCAGCGCCTAGCACTACTCGCACAGCAGCAATTACAGCAGCAGCGGCAGCAAGCTCAGAGAGGATCTCAACAAGCGACTCGTCGCAAGTTCAATCTGAACGATTTTAGGATCCACCGCACCCTCGGTACTGGATCCTTTGGTCGCGTTCATTTGGTGCAGTCTCGGTTTAACTCTCGGTTTTATGCAATGAAGGTCCTCAAGAAATCTGAGATCGTCCGTCTGAGGCAGATCGAGCATACCAACAACGAGAAAATGATCTTGGAGCGCGTCGAACACCCCTTCCTTATCAACATGTGGGGCACCTTCCAGGACGTTCGGAACCTGTACATGGTCATGGACTATGTCGTGGGAGGCGAGCTGTTTTCGGTCTTGAGAAAAACTCAGGTACGTCTCAGCATTTTGTGAAGAAAAACGAACCGGCCGCAACATCTGCATATCGCGCCATATCCGCCCATCCCATCCCGTTTGTCTACTATACCTTCCGCAAAGCGCATATGCAGTATCACACAACTCCAGTCTTGGTGCACGCGCATTTACATCGACAGCTTTCCCTCATCTTTAATGCATCATTTTTGATTGTGAATCATTGACGCGGGGCATATGCGAGACGGCATGAAGATCGATGGAAGGTGTGCAACCATGGCCCGGAGGCATAAACATGCGATTACAAGTGGAGAAAAATAACAAGAATTAGGTGGAGAACTGCTCCAAGGGGGACAACACACGGTGGGAGAATGGGATGGGACGATCGGGATAGTGATATTGTTCGCTCACTTTTTTTTTGTGCCTTGCATCCAGCTCGTTCTTTTTTGTGCAACTTATACCCTTGTTCTTATTTGCTGTATAACGCTCTCGCATACATGCATTGCATCGTGATCAAAGTAAAGCTGGCGGGCTGTATGCCTGGACAAATGGCCCAGAGTATAAGGGGGATTGCTTCTTTGTTGTGTTATTTCAAATCAATGACCGATTTCCGCCTCTTTGTTTGTTTATGCCAATTTTTTTGTTCATTCTATGGGATGGAGAAGGAAGAAAGGAGCGCTGGGATGACCGAGCGTGCGATACACAAGAATTGTGTGTTCAGTTGCATGAATGCCAACTTCCCTCCTCTTTCCTTTACCCAATGCTGTTATTTTTATCGTGTGTGGGGCGAGCGGAGTGAAATAAATGAAGAGCAGTACGGGTATCCTTGAAGGAAAGAAAGAGGCCTAGACAACACAGTGTGCGCGATCTCTTTTCCCCGTTTATTCGCATGATACGAAATGAGTGCACGAGCACGTTTTTCAATGCAAATGGGGGGTTTGTAGAAGCGCCGCAATGCCAATCGTATTATGAGATTATCTTGTGTGCCCTGTTCTCCCGTCAAGGAAAAAAACCCCCTCCCTTCTCTGTGTGCGGTTCCGCGAACCAGTTCGCACATGCCACTGTTGAATGCGAGGATTGATGGTCTGCGTCAAACCTCGGGGCATTTTACACTTGCTATTCTGAGACTAGTACCTAAGATCTAACAGGGGTCTTGTTTTCAGAGCGACGGCTCGTCGATTATTCTTTCGGAGCAGTCTGTCCAGCTCAGTTCTTGTACAACCTGACCAACCATATCTCCTCTTGCATAATCTGAACTCTTTTTTATATGTGTCGTTGCACAATGCGCCGCTGGCTCTCTCTCTCATGACTTGTTCGATGGACATTGTTCTCATTGATCTTGGCTTCGACAAATACACCCGGATTATTTGCTCTCACAGAGGTTTCCTGAACATGTGGCACGATTCTACACCTGCGAGGTTCTGCTGGCGCTGGAATATCTGCACTCACATGCAGTCATCTACCGCGATCTCAAGCCTGAAAATCTGCTGTTGGATTCGATGGGTCACATCAAAATCACGGATTTCGGATTTGCTAAGCATGTACCTCAGAACATGACCTGGACACTGTGTGGTACACCCGACTATCTTGCACCCGAGATCATTCAGTCCAAGGGTTACGGAAAGGCTGTGGATTGGTGGTCAATGGGCGTCTTGATGTTTGAGATGTGCGCAGGATTCCCGCCATTCTTTGATGAGGACCACATCAAGTTATACGGCAAAATCATGGCAGGCAGAGTCCGGTACCCACCTCATTTCTCACCGGCGCTCAAGGACTTGTTAAAGAGATTGCTGACAGCGGATCTGACCAAGCGGTACGGGAACCTGAGGGGTGGCGCGACGGATATCAAGAATCACGTCTGGTTCGAGGGCATTAATTGGGACATGGTCTACTCAAGACAAGTTGAGGCACCGTATCGACCAACCATTCTTGGTGAGGGCGATTCCAGTAATTTTGACGACTATCCTGAGGATGCAGAGAATTATGGCGTATATCCTGCAGACGAGATGGATGAGCTTGGAATGTACTTTCCAGGATTTTAACTGGAGGAAGAGAGCGAACGAAGGCAAGGGCCCGAGAGGATTGGTGGCCATTGCTTTTGGTCCAAGGATGTATTGTATTATGGAACGTATTATCAGAAAGGTCGAGACCATTTTTTGTTGTTGTTTATCTACCTGGCCTCGTCTTTGCGTCCTTGCAGTCCTACAACTACAGCTGCATCGATATCCTAGCTCCGCATTTTTTGTGGCAAATACCCTACTTTTCCCTTCTTGTCCTATATTTGCGACCTGCTTGGCAATAATGCCACGTCTTCGCAGACAAAGAAGAAACGAAAGCTGTAAAAATAAACATAAAAAATACTTTAATGAATCCGTCCTTAATGAATCCGTCCTTAATGAATCCGTCCTTAATGAATCCGTCCTTGATGAATCTATATGTTGAGCTGATCTTCTTTATATGAGTATATGGCCTCAAGCGGCTAATTTCTTCTCTTGGATACAAATTGTACCGTTAGCAGGGTCGACCACCTCTGCCACGACTGACGACCATCATGCTTTACCATACCTCCCAGAGCAGCACGCCAATTCTCCCTCGATAGTATAGTGCCCCTCATGCTTTCGCAAATGCAAGCGAAAGCATGAGACTGTTACCAAGGGATCTTCAGATGAAACTTCATTAAACAAAACGGCCCTCTTTATTTAAAAATCTGAAATAGAGCTAATAAAATCCAATGCTACTCAGTATTTAATTTTGCCCGCAAGCAACTTCTCAACCCTATGTCAACAATATTAGAGATCCTTGAATGTGAATGCCCATGCCCTTTATTTCCGTTACTTAAAGCCATAAGACTTTTTTACGCGCCTTCGTCACGAAGAGGTGTCTCTTGATGATAATTTTAATCATGCTGGATAGATTGTTGAATGACTTTCGGGGCTGTAAGAATTCCTCAAAGAGCGACGGATCGTCGAGCCTACAGGGTGAGGTATCATTGAAAAAATTTGAGGGAATTTAAGAGAGAAGAAAGATTGGTGCGAGCTCCCGCATTAGGTCGAGAACGTAGTGGTATTGCGCAAGTCATCTTGATAAAGCTTGTGGTTGGGAGTAAGATGGTAGATACGGCAACACCTCTTTCCTTATTGTCATCTACTCAGCTGCAACTTAGTCTTCATCAAAGATGTCCAGAGATATTTAGTCTTAATGCGACCATTTTAACGCACGTATGAAGATATTAAAGCAATAACCGGACACTCTACGCGTGAGTGTTTCCATTTTGTCCATCACTTGATCAGCCATTGTCCAACAATCTAAAGAGCGGAAATACTGATGTAAAAAATTAACCAAGGCCGACAGGGTAGACATTGCCGTCAATGCGGACCTGAAGGCCTAGTACGGGCGGTATCGGGATGACTAACGCTGAGCTCAGAGCCCCTTTTCAAAAGTACACGCTCAAGGGATGACAGGCAAGGAAGAACTTAATGCGGGGATTAATGTATACAGTTGAAATTGAGAAGATTCTGTGTCAAGCCGTTGAAGATTATCTCTGGAAATAGGAGAGGTCTGTTGATGGTGCTGGTCAGGATTTGTCGAAATCGAGGACGTTTATGTAGCCAACACGGACATCGAACTGAAAGACAGATAGGGCTCCCGCGATCTAAACTAATGAGTATAGCTGGTCCTTCATCAGCATATCTGTTTAAATATCCATTGAGCGCGCAAGTAGAATCCGTGATAAAGTTTCAGCATGTTAGCTTGCAACAGCACCTTCGTCACGAAAATTGGAACGCGTTTGTAGCAAGCGTTCCTGCGTTATCTCCATCAACAGCAAGTGAAAAAGTTACTGCTCAGGTTCATCGTTTGCATAAACGAGGCCTACAAGGAGATGTTTTTCATTTTACGAGATACCGCAGTTTTTCTTTGATCCTTTTCTCGATAATGGTTCCCTCACGATTTGCCGGGATGTTCCTTTGAAATTCCACACTTACACAAACACGTCTCATCTTATTAGTTTCCCCAGTGCTTCAATGCATATTTTCTTTGAATGTACACCAATAGTCGTTTATTTCATAATTCAGTTGTTCAAGAGTCGCTGTCCTTTGTCGCTTGAAGGCTCCTTAGGCTAGTGTCGATCCCCGCTGATATAGGGACATAGAAGAAACTAAAATCAAAAATTAAACACGAAGGTAAATGGCTTTCGTAAGAAGAATAAATCTACAATACAATCGTAAAGTGAGGCATGAGTAAGACTGCCAACCGAGCCAACTGGTGGATCTCGCATCCGTGGATCGGTGTCTTCACCTCACAGTGCGACCAGAATAGAAATAGAATGAGCAATGAAATATCAACGGGTACGCAAATATGTGGATGGAACACTAGATATCGGCGCCGTAGACGACATGTGCCTTCGGCTTATAAGGTAGCAACGAGAGATCAACTTGAAGGGCTGCAGTTTACTTTATACTGCTTCGAGAAGTACGAAGGAATGGAGAGATTAAGGGTGCAGTGCGGTGAAGCACTCTGGGGGCGTTGATTTTTGACGCGTTGGATGGCACAGCCCACCAATTGCTACGACTGGAGTGTGACGCTCTGCAATACATCCCAGTGGTACAGCTGTAAACACTCAACACAACTTTTTTTCACCATGGCAATTTCATTCCAGCAGACTGCCGCCATGTCCCTGGAATCCGTACAGATCGGATTCATGCCCCCTACGGAGCGGGTCTCGGTCGAGAACCTTCTGCAGCTCGTCAGCTATGCCCAGTCCAAGGGCTTCGACTACATTGTGGCGCCCATGAACAGTCCTGCCTACCGTCGGGTTCTCTTTGAGGACGCAGGGCCCCTGGATCCTGCCATGGTAGCGTGGAGAGCTGGTCTCGAGGCGTTTAGGCCTGAAGACCTTGTCCTACGCACTGCAGGTACACCATAGCCGATCGTTTATTGTATATCAGCTCATTTTCCCAAACTAAACATGTATCGTTCATTCTGTTAGACAACTCGGACTTTATTGTTGCAACATTGACAGACTGGCAGGATTTTGATTCGCAAGATTTAAAAACGCGTCTTCATTCAGAATTGGCGCTGAAGCAACAGTTTAATTGGGCGTCGCATCTTGGACTAGGAGGCATGATGCTGCCGTATCCGCCCTCTTCGGAATCCTTGACCAATTATGGCCGCATTCTGACAGCTTCACTGTCTCTGCTGCCCTACACGACTTGTTGGTTCAGGGTTCCATGCATGGACCAAGAGCTGGAGAGGGATGTGGCGGAGGAGTTGCAGGGTATGAAGAGTTGGGAACGTTGGAACAGCCTTCGCAACATGGCCGGATCCGAATCAAAGCTGGGTGTAGCATTGGAACTGTCAGGCACATTGCCGACAGATCAGGTACTAGATCGCTGGTTCGCAGAACCTGTGAAGGTCATCGTATTACCAGAGAACGTCTTTTTGACCAACAACAAGGGATATCCGGTTCTCAGTAAACGCCACCAACATGTCGTCAGGAAGTTCTTAAAGTTCAAGCCGTATTTCATGATATCCTCCTGCACTATGCCCAAGCTGGTCCTGGACGAATTTTCAGATGATACAATGGAGCAAATCTTGGCTTCGCCGCACGCAGATTACATCAGGCATCTTCATCGGACACAGGAAGCACCAGGCGTGATCGATCAGTTTGCAACAGGATACCAGGACTATTTGCAAGCCCCGCTTCAGCCCCTCCAGGACAATCTCGAATCAAGCACTTATGAAACGTTTGAGAAAGACCCGATCAAATACCAGCAATATGAATTAGCCGTAGAACGGGCTTTACGGGATCGACCTGCTCCTATTAATGGCGAATCGGATGTAACCGTGATCATGGTTGTCGGAGCTGGACGTGGACCGTTGGTGAACTGCTCGCTCCGCGCAGCTGAGAAGGCCGGACGGAATGTGCGTATTTACGCTGTGGAGAAGAATCCGAATGCATTTGTCACGTAAGCCATTAAGCACACCGAAAGCAGCGAGTAATTTTATCCGATGCTTCAGGGGATATACTAACACCTTGAGGCGCTATACAAATAGGATACAGAATATGAAGGAGGCGTATTGGGGCGATCGCGTCAACATCGTGTTCTCGGATATGCGAACATGGAAGGCGCCTGAGCAGGCAGACATTCTTGTCAGTGAGCTACTCGGCTCGTTTGGCGATAATGAACTCTCACCAGAGTGCCTCGATGGTGCGCAAAAGGTTCTGAAGCCAGGTGGCATTTCCATCCCTGCCAATTACACGACGTTTGTCGCACCTATGTCCTCGAACAAGCTGCACGCGGATGTCTCTGCATACAAGGATTTGACACATTTTGAGACGTCGTACGTAGTGATGTTCAAGGCTGTCTCCTTGTTGGCGCAGCCAAAGCCGATCTGGATGTTTGAGCATCCAAACAGGACAGATATTCCATTAGGTCAAGGTAAGAAGGAAGCGCTGCTGGAGATGTCTACTGGACAAAGTCTCCATTCAATTTAACTTCGACTGTTCTATTTTGTCTTGATAGATCCTCTGAGTAACCACCATAATATTCGTTCAGGCTCGATTAATTTTATCTCGGAAACCAGTGGCATGGTGCATGGACTAGCAGGTTACTTTGAATCGGTGCTCTATAAAGACGTGACGCTCAGTAAGGGCCTGAACACCACTTGCTCCATTTGCATCAGATGTTTGCTCCGAGAAAAATGGGATTTCATTAGTAGCTGATATTGTTTTTATCTTTGGCACTGATAGGCATCAATCCTGCAACACACTCCCCGGGCATGTTTAGCTGGTTCCCCATATACTTCCCAATCAAGACCCCGTTATATGTGCCTGCAGGGGCCGGAGTCGTACTGGACTTTTGGCGACTCACGGATACGCGCAAAGTATGGTACGAGTGGCGGGTGAGCTGCCAGGTCGAGGGCCTGGGGACCATCCAATCGACTGCGCTGCATAATGTCGGAGGTCGCTCCAGCAGCATTGGGCTCTACTGAACCCAAACCAGGGGCAATGAAATAAAATACGACCGGCAACCCGTTTTCTCAGTGCAACCATGCCCCTCCTTCACTTCGTTTCTTTCCTCATACATCTCCCATCTTCATCATAAACCACAGTGTCATCTCTCATTCCCATCCGTCGGACAACCTTGACTAAATGGTAGATGCCAGGAGAAGAATCTCTGCCCGACTCCAGCCAGTGGCCGCGGCACTTGCTTCTGCACCTGGTTCTATCTCCAGCTCCAGTTCAGCATCGCCCTCGCGCCCGTCTCGGGTCACAGCCACAGCCACAGCCACAAAGGAAACCGCAAAAGCGCGAGCGAACGTACCTAAAGCATTGCAAAATACCGAGTTGTCAAGTTCTTCAGTAACAGCAGACGAGACATCATCGTTAGCAGAGCAGTCCGAGGAGGCATTGGATGCGGATACAACGAGCGACGGATTCAAGAGGAAGACAAAACGCAGTGCGACAGACAATCTGGTAAAAAAAAACACTTCGCCTTCAAAGCGCCAGAAGCCAGATGACGATGTGCACAATATATCAGAACAGTTAGAGGACGCTATGACAGATTCACTCTTGGAGTCTGTACTTCCTACTCCTTCTCAGCCGACGCCAGAAACACAGGAGACGACAGAGGAACAAGGACTCATGCAGGAGCAGTTCTTAGGACATCGCGCTACCAATCCGCTAGAATTACACGAGATTCGCACCAACGTCGCCCGGTTTCTGTCGCGTAGCGATATTCGAAACTGTCTTTTGGTCTGTGAATCTTGGTGGGAGTCCTTTCAGCCGTATCTCTGGATCGACCTTCGGCCAGTCTACCGCAATGTTTTGGGCGGCACAAATGATTATCCATCTTGCAAGCTGATGCGCAAGTACGGACATCTCATCAGGACGTTCGAATACAACGGCCATGGGACGGTGTTGCTGTCGATGATTTCATGCGAGAACATGTATGACATGTATTACAAAAACGAGGATATCGAATGGCACAAGACTGAAGAGGAGGAGGCAGAAGAGGAGAGCTGGATGTATGCAGATGATGACATGGATCCAGAGCTGTCCTTGAACCAAAGCGAGTCGCTGAGTGACTTTGAAGGGCGGATTGAGAGGAATAGTCTTGAGCGCAGGGAAAGGATGGCTCGAATGAAGGACGTCAAGGCGGCAAACAAGCGTCAGAACGAGGTCAGCCGATTTCTCAATGACGATACAGATTATCGCAAGCGCGTCTGCAACAACATCGAGCGGCTGATTTTCACGGACAAGAGGTTTTCGAGAGAACGAGGATGCCATTACAGGAACTGGATAAAGCTCATGCAGCTCAACCAAGCACACCTCCGCAGTCTGGAATTGACCTTTGCAATCCGATCGTTCGATGCCTACCGGGAGATTTTCACACAAATCGTGTCGCTGGAGAACCTGACGGAACTCACCCTGGTCGACAACGACATTGATAATAACAAAGTCAAACCCTTCCTGGAGACGATCTGCATACGACTGACCAAGCTGGAGCTCTCAAACGTTCGGATCGACTACGGGATCCTTCCAGGCCAGATTAGTCAGAATGCACAGGGGGTCCCGGAACATCAGATTCTACGGATGGAAAAGATGAGGACTTTGACATTTTTCAGGGTTAATGCCAGGAATGACGCGTTCGCACTGGAGTTCCTCAAGCAATGTCCCAACCTAACCGACTTGGCGTTTCGTCCGCAGTGGGGGATGTCCATGAAGGAGTTCTCTGGGCTCTTGAGCGAAAAGCTATCAGGCGTGACACACCTCACATTTCGCGCTCCCGGATCGTCGGATATGGACATGTCCCTGATTATCAAGTCATTGCCGATGCTGCAAAAGCTGAATGTCTCGGGAACGACATTTGGGCTGATGGCGACCAACATGTTATCAACTCGGCACACTTTCACGCTCTCATATCTAGATCTTCGAGTCTGCTCACAGGTGACAGGCTCAATGATTCAACGAATTTTGGGCGAAAGTCGGAACTTAAAGGTCTTTTTTGCGGATGTTATTCGAGCCAAGGACATTGTCACCAACTCGGTATATCCTACATGGGCCTGCATTGGATTAAGAGAGCTGACACTGGATATCCGAGGAGATCCCAACGATACTGAGATTGTGCGGAAGGTCTACAAGCAGCTTGCCCAGCTTACGTGCCTGGAGCATCTAGACATCAGTCAGTCCTCCCACGCAGGCGCGGCCCACTCTTTCCCACCCGAGGAAAAGTCAAATTGTCTGACGCTGAAGTTAGGGTCGGGACTACGGGAACTGCGGACGTTGGTGCATATGAATCGGCTTGTCTATCGTGGGATCGCGCGCAGCGAAGTAGGTCTGGCGGAACTGCAGTGGATGGCGAAGGCATGGCCACAGCTAGGTCAGATTGGTGGCAAGTTGAAGTCAAGAAAGCTGAGTTATTATAACCCTAATGTCCACCCGAAAGAGGAGCGCGAACCAACACCTGCGTGCGAATGTGAGCACGACAACAACAGTGGCAACGGCAGCGATGATATTGGAACCAACAGCGCGATTTACGATAGCGCCAGTGCAGCATGCGGGCGTATGAGTCGTCGAAGCGGGATATTGTACCTCACCGGCGAAACCAACATCGCCCCTGCCGTATCTAATCCCGGAGGAGGCACATCAAACACTGTGAACGTTGCCTCGTCCTCCTTGTTTACATCCGATGCCTCGTCATCTCATTCTATGCCCTCCGTGTCCAGAACCACCGTAGCCAACAACAGTAACAGCGAAAACAGCAGCAACGGACGCTCTTTTATAACGGATGCTAATCCCAAGCGCAAGCCGCCTTTCAATAAGGTCAAGCACGATGCACCACCGAATCTCTTAGCACAGGAGCTCCGACGTTTGAATCTTCACCATCGAATCAAGGTGATCTGGCACTACGAGGACAGAGTTCCGGCGAGTCAGCGAAAGCGGCAGAGGCTGTTGCAAGGAGAGTCGTCTGATGATGATATGGAACGCCTTCGCCCGGGGCAATTGGACCCAAGGTATCGAGGCAACTTCCGGGACTTTATCTGAGGGCTCGACTAAGTTTTACTTTGGCTCCATTTGGTTTTAATCTGAATACATCCCGCTCTTAATCTTTCTCCTGTAACGCGGGGACATTTATATACCGGTCTGCTGCTGTGCTTTCCCCTAAGAGCGTGGTTACATTACGAGGGAAGCATTCCACAATATATCCGTCAGTTCAATGAACGTGTCGAGCGAAGCGTCTACTTTCGCAAGAGCCGCTGGCATGTCCGTATTGTTTACGCTCTTTTCTTCGCAACGATGATAAATGGCAATTTTATTGAGATATGCCTGGAGATGCATTGCAGCTTATAGTTACGTTTCCTTGTGGAATTCTGTCATCTGTGAGAATTTGATGTTGCTATGGGGGCTGATTGTCAAGCGGAGAAAGGCGTTCAAGAATCGTTTGTGAATCCTTCCAAACACCGCTCCTGGTTTTTTTTTTTTTTAATCGCGTGTGGTTTCGCCCTTTGGAAGAGGATAAAGGACAGGGAAGTTAGCTGTGTTGGTTGGCGATGATGGGTTCAAAAGCGGGCTTTTTTTATACAGGGACAATGACCAGATCAACAGCATTCATAGCCCTTATTCCGAACATGAGTTTTCGTGAGTAGGCGCTGCAGAATGAGAGTACAAGGCAGTACAGAAAATAGCGCCAGGGGGTACGCGACTTTCGACGCTACACGCATGCTCTTCACGGTTGCGGTTATGCTGAGCACGTTTTGCCACTATTTCCTGCACTATTCAACGCCGTTCTATTACTGCACTTGTCAACGGGAACGAATGGTTGACCATGCGCCACATGGCATCGTATCCCTGTTTCAGCATGGTTAAATGATTCGCCTGGAGGGACTACAGGAAGCCGGGTCGGATCGTGTTATATATCAGGAATGAAAAGATCGCGTCCATTGGGCGCCAAACCTAAAAAAGGCTCAAAAAGGTGTGACAAAAAGGCACTGCATATCACATGAGCTGAGCAATCGCCGCGAATCAGAAGTGCAGGAACGCGTAAGCGCCCAAAGGATCATGCTAGAACGAATATTGAAGGAAAAGGAAAATCCCGCAGCCCGACCACGATGATCGTGGTCGGGACGGGGTCCGCAATGAGCTGTAGAGTATATTGGATGGTGTAGCACTATGTCGAACGAATAGGGGAAACGAATATGTCTACGATCGGGACTGGTCGTACGAATTGGTGGCAAGCAGGCGGGCGATGGTGGTGGCGGTGGTTTGTGCACCAGCAGAAGGAGTCCCGGGGGGATGGCCGGTGCCTTTTTATGACTTTCCTTCCCTTCCCTTTCTCTCCCTTCTCTCCTTTCATTTCTCCCTTTTCCTTCCCTCTTCACCCTTCAATTGACATTCTATCACCATTCCCGCACTCGCACTTCACCCTCACCCATCCATTCCTGGCACCCTACCATATCCTCTGTCGTCGAGCCCGGCATTATGTCGAACCCCAATCCACCTTTCGGCGACTTCCTGGAGCTGGATTTGATGGACACCACCACCAACGACGTGTTCTCGTTTCTCTTCAACAACGACGACCTGAACGCATCATTCGTTGTGCCAAGTACGGTTCCCAGCCTGGATACCCCCATGGATCTGTCTTCATTCAATCCCCTGAGCAGCCCTGACGCATCCGACGCACCTACCCCGACCGATATTTGCAGTGCTACTACCAGCATTAGCACAAACACAAGCATAGACACCAGCATCATTCGTGACACAGACATCAACAGTATCAAGAAAACACAACAAGATGATATCCAGATGTTGCTCGCAATGAACCGTCAGCTGCAAGAACAGCTGCGACTGCAACAGCAGCAACAACATCTTCTGCTTCAGGAACAGCAACGCCTGCAAGAAAAGCAATTATCTCAGTCTTCAGTGACCACGGATACTGTCAATGCGCAGACATCGGTCATCGATAATAGCGCCATTGTTGCGCAACTGATCACTGCTAACTCACTTTCTGCCATGCCAACTACACCGGTAGTTGCTGCAGTACCGGTATCAGCGCCTAAGGGCCCGAAGACAGCGGCTCCTGAACCAAGCACCACATCGATTGCAACCGCATTTGCGGCTGCCGATGCACAGAGTAAGGGCGACTCTCTAAGGCCAATTGTCAACTACTGCATTACACAATTCATTTTTGTCTAACCTTGTATGGTCACCATTTGGTTCCAGTCGCAGCTCTCCTCAGTTCTTCCAAGGCTGCCATCGCCGTTGCTACCACTACCGCCACTACCGATACTACTATCACTCCTGCATTGATAGGTACCAAGCGGCCGAGCCCAGAGCCAGCTCCGGCTGCAAAAAAGATTGCCAAAATAGAGATGGGATCCGTCCAGAAGACATCGCCAGCATCTACCTCAAACGCTTCGACTTCCTCATCAACGACTTCTTTCAACACGACTCTGTCAACAGCAACACTGCAATTCCTTTTGCAGCAGCAGACGCAGACACCGTTGGTTCCAAAGTTGTTCACGGGCAAACTTATGCCGGAAGAGATCGAGGCAACACTCGCACGTTTACTGGAATCAACAAAACACTTGCTTTTGGCTCCGCAGGAGCCCGCAACTAAAGAAGATTCTCCTGTCTCGGATTCAGAGGAAGACATGGATGAGGCGTGCGAAGGCGAGAAAACTAGTGGGCAGCCTGTGGGTCAGACGCATGGATTAAAGACACAACCTGGGATCAAGACGGACGATATCCCGTCATCCTCTGATCTGAAAAAGATGACCTCCAAGGAGAGGCGACAGCTTCGTAACAAGATCTCGGCAAGAAACTTCAGAGTCAGGAGAAAGGGTGAGTGTAACGAACTTCCTGTTGCATCGAGCGTGTCCATTGGATGACTAGCGAATTCTGGCTGACATTGCATTGTATAATCGTCGACATCACCAGAATACATTGGACAATTGGAGGGTCAAGTGGAGCAGCACAAGACAGAGGCAAGGCACTTACGAGAAGCCGTGATGGTCGTTCACGAAGATAATAAGCGTCTCAAAGCGGAACTGGAGGAGGTCAAGCAGCAGTTGGCACAGACAACGATCGCAAATGTCTCCGCTACCATCGCCCCTCAACAGGCAATCTCGACACCTGCGACAGCACTTTCGGACAAGAGCCAGTCATTGCTGGCGTCCATCCTCACCCGAACTGCATTCAACACCAATGCTAAGAGCAATTCTACGCTCACTCTCTCAAGATCAGAGTCGCCTATTCTTACCCCGAACCTCAACAAGGATGTACCGAATTCCTCATCTGTCAATGGCAAATCCTGGAAGGACAAGAACCCTGTCTATATTCACAAAGCGCTTGTCCCAGAGATTTGCATTGGAGATCAGTTTCAGTTTGATCCGAAGGGTGCTTGGTCCAAGGAGGATGAGATGTGGGATTGTTCTTGGCTTAACCTGGAACGAACGCCCAAGGAGTTGTCAAAGGCAGATATCAACCCATTCTTGGCATCGACTGTAGTATATGAGCTGATGCAGACATATGCGGCCGTCACTCTGGATATGATGCCCCTGCTTAAGGGCGAATACTCACCACGTACCCTCGCTCATGGTGAGAGCGGGGCTTCTGTGCAGGATTACGAGAGCGACAGGCGCATGGACGAAGCAGTCGAGTGGCAAAAGCAGCAGGAGCTGTGCACTCGTGTCCAGGGATTGACTTCTACCGCTCGCAAAACGGATATCGACACGGATGAGTTGCCGGAGGAGGGTTTCCGGATGCTGTTCAATTCCAGCGATATCGCTCCCACTCCATCGACACCGTTCTCATGCCCTTCCGCCTCAGAATCGTTTCTGGATGAGGACCCCAACATGCTGGAATGGCTATACGAGTCGATGGTCGCGTGTCTTGTAGGCTTAAATGTACAAAATACCGGAGATCAACAGATATATCTGCCTTTCTCAGAAGTCCATTACGCGTAATGGCCTCACCAAGTCTCATTGTGCCTATTTGTTGTATATTATTTAACTCATCTGTAAATCAAACATTAAATAAACACATCACTGATAAACTACAATATAGGACAGAAGAAAAGTATCACCTTTATAGAGGGCCTTTTTTCAACATTTGCTCAGTTCTATCTTAAGGCTAGTTGCTTGATTGACGCATCCTCTGGAGACTATGTTACAAAGCAGAGTGTAGTCGGCACGCCTTCCTCCTCCAACGACCGATCATCAGAAGAGTCGAGCGGATAGGCGATCCAGCGACAGCACTTTGAGGATAGTTGGTCCAACCTGAGGTAAGAGTGCAGTGAGCTCAAATAGGGTTCATTTCAGACGTCGTTCATGGACTAGTGATGAGAGAACCATCGGCTTACAATAACACTCCAATTTTTTTTTAAGGCAAAGCCCTGCGGCTATTTTATTTTAGGTTTCGGAAGCATCGCCTATAGCTTCAGGGTAGAATTGCTGTGTTTGGCGTTTGATGGTCACTTCACCCATACCACAAACCTTAATCGGTGAGCGACTGAAACCTACTACAATTTATATTAGATTATCCTTGTATGACAATGTCCCATGGAATAATCACAATAGCGACTGTCGCTTTCATCAAGCAGCCAATGGCGGACAAAGATGGCACACACGAAGGACCACCCCATCGCAGGTTGCAAGATCCCCTACATCTGCCCGAGATCCTCATTCTCATCGGACGACATCTGTGTCAGGATGACATTACCTCATGCGTGCGCGTCTCTCGCGCATGGCACAGCGCGATGGAGCCCTTCCTCTGGAAGAGCGTTTCGATGGTCCACGACTCTACACCCTTCACAGACGATGCATCCCTATACCCAGATGCAGCCTCTATGCTCAGGAACGTCTGCCGCATCAAATCTCTGGAGCTCACTGGCGTTTCTATGTCGCAACGTATGCACATGATGGTGCCCTCACTCCAAGACCAGCTCGTTCACCTATCCGTTGCTCACTACTCGTCGGATGTGGATCAGATTCTCGCCCAAAACTCAAAAACCTTACAATCGTTTGTTTGCAGCGACGTTGCTGCAGTTCTGCAGAGACCACCGCATCAACTCTTCATGCCGCCAGTTCCCCGTCTTCAAGGAGTAACCGCTTTCTGGGACAGGATGGTCAGCCTAGACCGCCTCCATACCCTGAGCTTGACCCACGTCCCAGTTTACAAAGCACAACAGGAAACATTCTTTACGGTTTGCAATCGACTGACCAGTTTGACTCTGCAGCGGGGATCCGGCACTTTTGATATGTACCCGCCCACGAAGCAGCCCTTCACCAGGATGAGGCGCCTTGCACTACGGAGGAACTCGATGGCATTCCGCGGTCAATTTCGGTTTATTACACAATGTCCTAACCTCGAGCATTTTGCTTGGATCTCGAGCCAGGCCTCGCTCTTTAACTCGCTCATGTTCCACATCACCACCCTACCAGAAGAAGAGCCCTGTCGAATTGTCTCCCTCGATCTCTCGTACACAGATATGTATGACAAAGATTTCGCTCAGGTTCTGTCGTGCTTTCCGAGACTTAAACGTCTGATCGCTGTCGCATCACTTTTTGGTGAGTCCTGCAGCGAGCAGGTAGTATACTTCATGTCCGAGACTCTGGAAGAGCTCGATGTACGATGTTGTAGAAATGCCAGCAGCGCCCTTATCCAGGTCATCCTGATGTTGTGCAAGAACCTGAAGCGGTTTAGGGCAGACCATTTCTCAGCGCGAGTCATGGCCGCACTTCCTAATCAGGAGATAGCGTTGTGGCCGCAATTACGACTCTTTCAGGAGGCACGTACGTGGTTTGCATCGTCCATGATTATGTCTGTCGCATCGGTGCCGAATCCTGAGGCCGGTTCTCAAGGGTCCGAAGGTACCTCGACGCCGGGGGGAGGATTGCGCTCAGAATGGATCTGGGCGTGTGTGGGGCTAGAGGAATTGGAGTTAGGGGTGAATGACCTTGGGGACGATGATGATTCGATGGTGGACGTACTCTGCAGCCAGCTTGGTGCTTTGATCCACCTTCGGAGACTTGTTCTTGGCTGGCGTTGTGCTGCAGCAATAAAAATACAGTATAAAGGGACTCGGCTTGCGAATGAGAGGAAGAAGGTAGCGACGCTCGACCTCGGTTTGAGTGGTGGGCTGAGTAAACTGGGCTCGCTGACAAAGCTAAGGGTCTTGGACGTGCGCAAAATGGATCGGTTGTCGTTGACAGTTAGGGACGTGCGTTGGGTGGGCCAGCACTGGAGATCATTGCGAAGGATTTATGGGAGACTGATCGAGGGGTCAGAGGAATCGGCAAACATTCTTCAACTTTTGAGAACAGATTATCCACACATCTGCCTGTCCATTACATGAAATAACACTTTACTAGTAACGTCTGCGTGCAATTCAGAGGAATACGTGGTCAGAAGGCATATTATTAATACAACAAGCAAAGCAAGCAAAGACAGAATGGCTGTAACTTACAGATTGTTCATGGAGCTTTCAAGCCCATTAAAGCGTGTTGTTCTAGCGATGGCCTCGCGGCTCCTACTGTGGTCTGCATTCGGTGACTGATGGGCCGGGGCCTGCTGGCGTTTGACGCTTCTGGCCCTTGTTCACTGCGACTGGTGTTGACAGGTCCTGGTCAACTGCTCGTTTTCTGCTCCTGCTCGCTGTTACAGATATGAACGGACCCAGGGCTGCTGCTGTTGTTGTAGGACTTTGCAAGGGCCTGTCTTTGTCGGGCCTCTTCTGATTCTGTAGCTGCGCTTGGCATACGCGAGCTATGTTCCCGCTCCCCTCTGCATCGCTCGCGAAGAACTACATTATCCCCAGTTGCCTTCATCCGGCCCTCTGATTTACCTGCCATGCGCAAGATACCCTTGACGGAATGATCCAAACATGCAGCCTGCGCTTTTTTTTTTTGCGTACCCTTTCTTTTTTCTAAACCATTTGTGTCCAGAACATTGATTTCGCTGTTAATGTTGTTGGTGCTCAGAGAATATCTGCTGCTGCTGTCGCTACTGGAGGTGGTGCTGTGAATTAACAAGCGTTGCGCATTTAAGGATGTTTCCGTTTCTTCATCTTCCTTCCCTTTTATTCTTGGCCACTGGTACATCCTCTACCCTCACCTTTGCCCCTTCGCCTTGAACCACCCACCGCTTCTGCAGTTAAAATTGTTGCACTGGAACTTCTCTGAACTCCTTTCGCTCTATTCGAGCATAACTTCACTTCCATCTAATTTGCTTGTCCCAAGATAAGTGCAATCCTTCACTCCCTGTCCTTTCTATCTTTCCTTCATTCTTCTCCTGCCTTTCTCCTGTCTTTCTCTGCCCATCTGTTGGTGTCTCTCCATTTTTCATCCTTCAAATTGCGACATAGTCTTTTAGCCCTCGCTTCTCTCGATTCAATCAACTTTTTTTTTTTTTTTTTTTTTTTTTTTTTTTGCTTCGCTTCGCCCTTGGCTTGTATGGCTCTTTCTCATGACAACAGCTGCTTCTCGAAATGAATTCGGTCTCCCATCCTCTGCAACCCCTGCGGTCCGTACTTCCTCAGTTCTCATACGATACTCAAACCACTGTCTTCTTCTGTGGTATCTCAATATGGATCCTACGATCAACAAACAGAGGACGCTCGGAAAAAGACCGTTCTTAAACATTTTATTGCTGCTGTTCGTAGCGTCGGCCGGGAAAAATACTATCGTGACTGGCGCCGCCAGCCCTGGACTCAGGAGCGCGGCCTGCGCTTTTGGGTTTAATAACACCTTCTATATCCTACAGTCCTTTTTGTGAAATAGCCGAACTTTCATAGTAAAAGTTGGGCTATTTCGACTGAATTGAAATACATACACGAGGCTATTCATTTTTTTGCAAGGATTTAAGAGGTCACATGATGAGTTTATTTCTAGTAAGATTTACGAATCAAATACCGTGCTGTTTTTCGGTAGCTCGCGTTCTCATCTCCAAGCAAAGTGAGAGTGAGAATGACACGCGTTTTGATGTAGTCATGAGCGTAAAGATTGCAGGGAAATAACGTATTTCAGCCATCACAAAAAATGAATAGCCTCGTGTATGTATTTCAATTCAGTCGAAATAGCCCAACTTTTACTATGAAAGTTCGGCTATTTCGCAAAAAGGACTGTAGGAGGGGTGGTTAGGTAGACTAACTATAAACATAAATTAGAGTCCGCGCCAAAAAGTCGAATTTAAATAACTTCCTTTTTTGAACTACACTCCTTTTTGCAGAAAAATCCCACTTTACTATGAAAAGTGGGATCTTTTCCACTGAATTGAAAATATAAGGAGGTGTTATTCAGTCCATCTTTATTTCTGCTTGGATTTACGGATCACCAATCGCGCTGCTTTTCGGGGAAAAGTGAGAGAGAGAATAAGTGTGGGGATATAAGGTAGGGTCACCGCCATCACAAAACTGAATAACACCCCTTATATTTTCAATTCAGTGGAAAAAATGCACATTTCACTATGAAAAGTGCATTATTCTGCAAAAAGGACTGTAGTCAAAATTTTACGTACGAAGAGATTGTAAGAGATTCTATCTTTTTCTCACTCTCTGCGTCTCGGACGCGTTCACCTCGCTAGGCGAATTGTTGCCGTCCTCACCTTCGTCCACCTCGTCCTCTTCGTCGGTCTTCTCATCATGATGACTCCCATGGCCATTCTGAATGGCATTGCATGTGAGTGCTCTGGCTCAGTTCCTAGCGTACGTGAAAAAATCCCTCACGTGGAGAATGATGCCGAATGAATTGAAAATTTTTATTGTAAAATTATTTGCGCTGGGACTTTTTGACGCGGACTCTATTAGTGTTCCTTCCAGAGACACAAGGATTGACAAGGTCCGTTCTATCCATTGTTCTATAGATGGATATCACACAGGGGTTCCCCATCTTTGTCAGTAGGCCTCTGCCGATCACTAACGATACCACGGTCCCAGTCTGGACTCCGCTAGACGCCCCTCCAAATTGTCAGCGTATGAGCGCCCATGACGCACCGCCGCAGTTCGACTGTGCCTGGACCAACGATGGAAAGGCGTTCCTATTCGGCAACAATATTGGATTGGCCATGTACGACATTATTACAGGCAATTGGGATTTCAATCCACTCATCTTTGAGACGGCCGGTCTTTTTGTATCTAACTTGCAAAACCAAAAGGGTCTCCGCGCAGCTGTCCATTCGGATGGCTACACCATTTCCGTAGTCGTGACCTCGTCACCCGTCTACATGGCGCTGGACTCGCGTACCAAATCCATCCAAGGCGTCGACATCCCCGGGTTTACTCAGGATCTTCATAGCTTCTGCATAGGCGTCCCTTCAGGGGCATCTCAGCCGATATTATGTAGAGGATCGGTCTTTGGTGTCTACTCCGCGAACCGTCACCAAGTTTACTCCACTGGCAGTACTTCTCCTATCCTTTTTACAATCCTGCCGGTTCCACAAGACTGATGCTCACTTATACTCTACAAAAACGGCTTCTTCGTCAACCATGGTTACCTGCAATCGTATACATTTCAAGATCCCAATGCAACCGCTACCAGTCCAGGTATATCCTACTATGGTGCAAAAACGTGTTTTTGGATCACTTCATTAAACAACCACATGATCCCATATCAGGCAAGATGGTATAGAGCAGCGGCGGTGATACCAGAAACAAATACGATCGTTTTCTATGGAGGTGGCTCACCTTCAGTAAACCTTATGAGTGATATTGTCATCTTCGATATGATAAATACCATTTGGGTTGGAAGCTTGGATCCAGCTACGGATGGTTACTACATGCCTACACTCACCGGCACCTCAAGCCCGACTGATACTAGCACGAAACCCGCGGCGGCTTTAGATGGAAGAACAATCACTAGCCTTATCATTGGGTGCATCGTTGTTATTACCGTACTTGAGAGGACGGCCGCAGGTCAGTAAATCACTCTCGCACAGCCAGGTACATGTCAACTTATCTCTGCAAAACATTGTGCTGCTCTCGAAACTGGCTTTTTTTTTTTTTTTTTTTTTTTTTTTGGAGTAGAAGCCAGTATTACACCAAGATATTAACCAGCCTGATCATGCCTTGCCCTTAGATGCAGCAAGCTATAAGGTGGAAGATGTAAGTTCTTTGATCTTTACTGGTTCTATTCGTATGGGAATGCCAGGGATAAAACATAATCATAAACTATTCCCTGGAACAGATACACCCCGCCTTCCGCCGGAGACTCAGCTACCTCTCGAATGGTGCGTATAACCTCACTACAGTATATCCCTCCTGGCTGTACCCCAATCCACCCAAACTGCTCCACAACCTGTACTTTAGCAGTTAATCATATCTGTAGTCCAACTAATAACTAGTGAAGCCACGCGTTAAAGATGGAATTGATACGCGAACTTCGCGCCAAGAAGCATGCACCATAAACTGTTATCGCTGCAAGCGATGCACATACAGGGATTGAGCTGCTCCACACTCTACACGCGTACGCGTATTTTTCGGCTTCTCTGGTTTGTACAAGCCACTGAAGTCCTCCTCTCCTCCACTCCTCCAGCAACACATCCTCCACGAAGTTCATCCTGCACCCATTGTGACAAACCCCCACACAGCGGCAGCTCTTTGACAACACAGCCAACACACACGTAAGACGACTTATCTTCTGCCACAAGGACATATCCCACCGCGGTCTCTTTCTTTACATCATGTTGATGATCCACATCTCTTTTACGCCGCCATTTTTTGATCCCTAGTCTCCAACAGCTCTGATCACTGATCTCTCCAAAAAGCAGCAGCTACAACGCATTCATCTCAACGCGCTGCCAAAAAGAATAAGAAAAGTGCAACATCACGCGTCCTACTGCACGTAATCTTGCAAAGTGCATGCACAAACCCTGTTTGTTTGTTCGGCGTCCCAAATCAGACCCTGAATAACTCCCCCTATTTGTCCCCACTCCCCGATCCCTGCCTTCCCTTGAAGTCGCTTGTGGTGCCAATGATAGCCATTGCTGAATGCTGCCCATCTTGTTTTTCTAATACTTATAGGAATCACCGGCCTCTTCTGACACTCCAACAACTCGAACGCTGCATATCTAACAAGCAGCAACATGCCAAAACGACAAGGCGACGGCAGCAGTTCCATCGCGGACGGACTCTTTCTCGGCAACAAAAGGGAAACCATGAAACAGATTTTGGATCGACTGGAGGGTCTTACAGATAAAAAGTAATGCAACCTTCTCTCCGGAATAAACGGAACGTGAGCAGGATCAAAACGAAGGCCCAACGAGACTGACTATTGGTTTCTGTATTGGATCATAGTGGGCGTTTTATATCCGAGCTGTTCATGGAGCTGCCAGACCGGAAGGAGTACCCAGACTATTATATGACGATAAAGAATCCTATTGCGCTTGACATTATCAGAGTAAGTGTGAACTGGAAGCATTCGCTATCACACCACTCGCACCTCGTATCGGTGTCCTAACCACTCAATGAGCACTTCTGGAACAATTAGGGTCGGTTGGAGTCAGGAGCATACGACAACGAAAACATTGGCAATTTTGCCACGGATCTGAGGACATTGACAGCAAATGCTAAAGAATACAATCGAAAAGGATCGCCTATTCACAGGGACGCAACGACACTGGAGGTGAGTAAACATTGAGATACATATGCAGTTATCGTCTCTGCATACGGATTACCGATTTTCTTGTGCTGCTTTCCTTCCTTCCGCCCGAGTCAATTATTTGCAGGGGGTTGAAGAGAAGAGAGGCAGAGGGCTCGGCCATGTGCACGGGGTCAGGTCTAATGCAGACTCTTCGCTCATATTACGCTCCCTGACATTGGATAAACTCCTTTACTCCTTTATCTTTATGCCTATAGAATCACATTGAAACAGCAATGCAAGTTTTACTGGATGATAACAGCCAACAGGAGGAACACGAACAGGCAAGTGCGCATGCTCCATTGCATTTCTCATTAAACACCACTCGTACTTTTTTTACAGTTTTGAGGCCTGACCGTGTGCATTATGATGCGTTGACTATAGTTTTCGATCGAGTTCTGCAACCGCGTCCTAAAGACTATCAAAAACCATAAGGATGAGAGGTGAGACACTCGACAGCACCCTTAAGATGTACGCTCGTCATGCGATATTACCGTCTTCATCGTCCCTCCTTGCTGACTCACGCATGCGTGCATATTCTATCCTGCCGAGTGCAGCGGACGGCTGATGTCAGAACTGTTTCTAGAGCTGCCTAGTCATGAGGAATATCCGGATTACTATGAGGAGGTACGCTCAGAACGAATGTCCACTGATGGAACAGGATGGATTGCAATTCAATATGTATTAACGCCCTAAAACTCTCATTTACGCTGCTCAAAAGATTGCGCGGCCCATTGCACTAGACGGTATCAAGAAGAAAATTAACAGTGGCGCGTACAAAACTCTAGAGAGTTTTGAGGATGACTTTGAGTTGATGTTTGAGAACGCAAAGCAGTACAACGCCGAGGGATCAGACGTCTATCTGGATGCAGAGGAGCTGCAGGTAATGATATGCTCAACGATTTATATGCAAAGTTGACTGAATCACCTCCAAGGAAGATAAAGCGTGGGACTTACCATGATAATCTCATATCTAGGGGCTGTTCTGGAAGGAAATTGGCAAGGATGGTCGTGGTCAACCGAAAGACAAGAACGCGAGGAAACATGCCAAGGAGCTAACGCAGGTTTTGCAGAATGGAGTAACATACAAAGTCGGTATGTGCAGAACCGCCGTTTGAAAATGAACCTCGAATGTGTCACCACATTTGAATACAGCGCTAATCTCAGTTTTTTGTACTCTTTTAGGCGACTTTGTCCATCTGAAAAACGACCGGGATCCTTCCATGCCCATCATCGCCCTAATTTTCAGCCTTTGGGAAGACGAAAAGTATGCACCCTTGCAAAGTCAATCATCTCGTATATTTTATCCATCGTTTTTTTTTTTTTTTTTTCTTTTTTTTTTTTTTTTTTTTTTTTTTTTTCACTAACCGCACTCTGGTGCTCCCCCTTTATTACAGTGGACAAACGGGATTGGATGCGACATGGTTCTTGCGGCCGGAGCAAACTGTCCATCCATATGCTAGTCGATTTTATCCCTCAGAGGTGCTCAAGGCGTCAGGATCCCACGAGCACTTGGTGGGCGAAATTCAGGATAAATGCTTTGTTCTATACACCAGAGACTATGTCCGGGGTCGACCAGTTGAGTGGAAGCAGGGTCAGGGCATCTACCTGTGCGAGCAGCGGTACAACGAGGCATACAAGTCTGTGTCAAAGATCAAAAACTGGGCAAGTTGTCTTCCCCCAGGCATCAAGCCCAGCGACATGAAGTTCAACTTGTTTCCAGAGTCCTTGGTACTCAAAAAACTGCCAAGTGCCTCAATGGTGGACAAAGCGGGGAAGCACGAGGCGAATGAAGGTGTATCACGGTCCAGTACGCCGCAGGATATGTCTACAGGGTCTAAATTTGCTTTGGGTGCCAATGTCAAACGCAACTCTGTCAATCAGCATCCGGGATCTCCGCCACTCACCAAATCCCACCACGGACATGTTCCACCACAACAATGGGTCCGATGCAATTATTCCAGTCTCAGCACAGGATTACAGTGCTCAGCGTAAGTCTCTCGACATCTAACCGGACTCATAATTTTTGCTGCTTGAGAATATACAAATGTATATGAGTTCTAATCCGATTGTCTTTTGCTCCACATGTCTAACAGTGTTTTCACGGACAAGGCGGAGCTCCAGCGTCATGTTGCAACGGAGCACGCTATCATCCAGCATGTCGCATCGCCTCCCGCAATGAAACGAGGGCGTCCCAGAAAGAACCCAGCCCCAGCTACAGCAGCAGCTACAGCACCTAGCATCACCCAGACCAGCGTACCACAACAGCATGCAATGATGGGTCAACAAGTATCATACTCCCAAGCTTACAATCCCTACAATCCTGCAGGACAGTACGGCGTCCCTGCTCGACCACCGGGCATGCCGGGACAGGTCATGCCGGGACAGGTCATGCAGCCCAATGTGGCTTATCCACAGCAACAGCAGGTCATGCACCCCATGCAGCAACAACAGCAACAACAACAACAGCGAGGCATGTCCTATCAACAACCATACAGTCAGCCGCTTCAAGCAGGGCAGCCTAGACCGCAGGCCTTTCCACAAGGCGTTCCTTACAGTCAGCCTTATGGGCAACCCTATCCTCAGCAACCGACTCATCCGCAACATCCTCAGTTCCCGCAACCCCAGGCACAACAATTTGCGCAGCCTCAGTTCCCACAGCAAGGATTTCCTCCGCAAGCGTATCCTCAGCAGCAACCCCAGTATCCGGGAAACTTCTCACCTCAACAGCAATATGCAATGCAGCAACAGCAACAGGCACAGCAGGTGCAGCAGCAGCCTATATATGGCCAAACCTACCCTGGACAATCGTCACATATGCAGCAGCAGCTTGTGCAGCAGCAGCAACTCGCGCAGCAGCAACAGCTTGCCCAACAACAGCAGCTCGTTCAACAGCAACAGCTTGCCCAGCAGCAACAACAGCAGCAACAACAGCAGCAACAGCAGCAGCAACAACAGCAGCAGCAATTGGCCCAGCAGCAGCATCTTGCTCAACAACAGGCTGTTATGCAACAACAAGCAGCCCTTGCCAAACAAGCAGCGATGCAGCAACAGCAGCAACAGCAGCAACAGCAGCAGCAACAGATGGCGGCTCAGCAACAAGCATTGCAGCAACAAGCCTTGCAGCAACAGCAAAAGAATATGGCGCAGCTACAGATGCAGCAGCAACAACAGCAGCAACAGCAACAGCAGCAACAGCAGCAACTTCAACAACAGCAACTTCAACAGCACCAACTTCAACAGCAACAACAGCAGGCAGCAATGCAGTCGCCGTCGTTCCAGCAGCAACAGATACCAGCATCTGTCCCGTCACCACAGCAATTTCAAAAACTATTGCCACAGCAGCAGCAAACACCTATATCTCAGCAGCAGCAGACAGCTCCGTCATCACAACTGGGTTCCCCTGTTCCTTTCAGCAACCATGTAAGGACCAATTCAGTAGGATCGCCACACATGGCTGGAGCGCTAACAGTTGCTACACCAGCAGTTGGCCTTGGTACACCGCTGGAGGGTACAGGATTGGGTCTAACGGGTATGAATGCCAATATTGCAGACCATGGACGGCTCTCGCCAGCATTGAAGGAAGGCGCATCGACAATATTGCCACCCAAGGCTACAGAGTTGTTTGTGCATAACGACAAGGGTCATGTGCTCTGGTTTGCTGGTCCTCCTCTGGATGTGGTACCGCTGCCGAAGCCGCACCATTCTGTTGAGTACTTGGCCAAGCGACAGAGGCTACACAATGGAAAAGCACATCGAACAACTGCATCGAGTACTGCGATGACTACAGTTGTGGATGGTGGTCGAACAGAAGAAGCGAATGAAAAGGGCGATATCAGTGAAAGTGCATCTGTGGAGGCGCTGCCAGCGGTGCTCCATGGCCTTGAAGGTTAGTGAATATTTTATGAAAGCAGCCGATACAAGGGCCCACTTTTTTTTTTCTTCTGGCGACGATCAAGATTTTCTAACGATCCTTTCATTTCCTGCTCTGATGTCGATAGCACTGAAGGACCAGCTTAACCGGGATATTCAGATCATTCAGAGCAATTAGTCGATACCATAGTCGGAAGTACATAGTCGTACTTCTTCTGTGTTGTAATTTTTATTAAAAAAAAAGCCTATATCTAATACACGATGCTTGAACAAAACGACGATTTCGTTTATGCCATGGTCCCACAATGAAACTATAGTTCGCGAGAATATTTTGACGAGACGAGTACCAAGTGCAAGTCGCGACTCTTCTTTCAAAGTCATCAAAGTTCTCGATTTGGATGATATTGTAGTCGCTTTTGCGGACTATTCCTGTACGTTTCATGATATTGTGGCTGGCGATGTTGTCGGCACAGGTCCCGACTTTGAGGGGACCGTAGGACATCTCTTTGTCTGTAATCTCTGCAAGAAGAAATGAAACCGAAGTAGTCGGGTCGTAAATGCGTACCCTTGGCCTCGATATTCGGGGTGGACCTAGTACACTATTCGGCCCTCTTTGATAGATCTCTTTGGGTGAGGAGGAATTGGATGGTAATGGTGCAGTTGGGTCTAGATGTATGCCCTGCTGCTGCTATTCCTACTCCTGTATTGATTGTAGGTGTTGGCTCGGGTTCAAGAGGATGATGGATGTGATGGATATGGATCCAACCCATAAGCTTTCCGTGGGGCTTTCGGTTCCTGTGGCCCAAGGAGTATTCCTGCCCCATGACTTGACGATACTATAGGCGCGTTTCATGTGGGCCTTGGCATGCTCTTGTTAGTAGAGGGGCATAAAAGAACCGACGGTACCCTGGAAGACAGAGTCGTCGATGTTAAGAATGCGGTGCTGAGGTAGTGCTGATAGGAGGTCATTGCTGGTGGCCTCGTCACGTGCGTAGGAGCGACTCCGTGGGAGAGTGAGTGGTGTGCTGGAGGATAAGTTAGAGGTAGCCAAAAAAGGCGCGTTGTGTCACTTGCGGCGGGTGAGGTAAGGTGAGTTTTTATTTGTAAAGGACACGATGCCTGTTTATGAAGGTCCTCTAGGCTTGCATCGGTTACAAAGGTTCGGGTTAGAATAGGCAGTAAAAGGAACGCCCGGTCCATTTATCCGTACTTCCAAAGGTATCACAAAGAAGGGACATGCGCACAAGTATGCAATGCATCATTTTGTCATACCTCAAAGTGGGTACAGAAAGCAAGAGAATGCTTTCATATTTATTTTATTTTATTTTATTATATCTTATTATTGTCGAGCGCGTGTTTTAAGTTCGTGGAGATGGATACTACGAAGCGCGGGTAACTGCCGAGATATGTCTATTTCCCGTTGAATCCCATGCCACCATCCAATCGTGGCTACCCTTGAAGAGAAGAGAAGAGAAAAATGTTTTCGAAGCGATAGCGGTGGGGAGGAGAGGCGGGTCGGGTGGAAGAAAGTAGATCATGAGCGGAGAGGGATAGAAGAAAGAAGATGAGGAGGAGGAGTGCTTTCTAAATGGCATATTTCGAATCCCGAAAAGGGGAATGTGAAGAGTGAAATATGTCGCCGGATTGGAAAGACAACTGAGGGATGGTTGCGTTGATGAGGGGAAAATAAAATAAAAGAAGAGGAAGAGGATGAGAAGAGAAGAGAGAGGCAGCGGAAAGAGTGTGCCGACTGGTGTGTGTCGAAAGAATCTTTCCTCGCTCCTCGATCTTTTTTCTTAGATCATCCTGGTCGAGAGAGTCGGTTGCCAAGGTGTCATTCATCGAGTAAGCCCAAGAACACTGTTGGAGCCCTGTTCATTCGCTGCAATGTCGAATCCGGGGTGTGTTGATGACAGTCGTAAGTTCTGCAGCTCAGAGATTGATGAATCTAACGATGGTCGGCCGATGCTGTCCTCGTAGCTGGGAGGAGTGCGACTGCCGCGATAACCCATGATCGCCATAAACGCGTCGTCGTTCTCATAATCACCATAGATTGGGCCTGGGGTGCTGGGGCCATCATATGCAGGCTCGCCTCCTTCGCTTCCAAGGGCCATGCCTGTCGCCTCCAGCTCATAGTCGTGAGCTTCCTCGTACGAGACACGCGAGGTCGAGAACGAATACAGATACGAGGGTAATCCTGTCCTGTCGCACTCTGGTCCACTGGGCAATCCACGCACAATCACCGGTACATCTCCAAGCGTGCGCTCGACGGGGGCCAGGATGGTCTTGCCTTTGGTGTCGACGGATCCAGTGACAAAGAGGGAATATCGGATAAAATGCTGGACCTCGATGAAGACCTCGCCAAACTCCGAATCCTTAATCTCCGTATCCTCCTTGAGGTGGCGCCTCTTTAGCTTTGTAACACTGGTGTAGGTCGAGGCGTTGCAGGAGCGGGATGAATACAAATCATCGTGGGATCGAGTCGCTTTTGGGATCGAGAACAGCACAACCTTCTCAAACGTGTGCGGTACCTGCGAAGTAATGACCTCGTTTACCCATCCAGCATCGCATCGCTGGGCGCTGACGATTCGCTCACGGATCCCGACGATGTGCTTCTTATCCCTGGGTCCAGCGCTCTCCTTCTGGACCCGGAAAATGACCCGCTCCCAAAGCGCAGCCTGGAAGGACTTGATGGCCATGTTCTCTCGCAGAACGCGGACGCGAAGGCGCAGATCGGGCTTGGACTGAGGAGGCAGGTTCGTGAAGGGAATGTTGACCGTCGCTTCCAATTGACCCGGCCAAGAATGATGGACCGTCACAGGCATCAGGTCATTCTCATCCACAGCATCGTTTGGTCCTGCCTGAGACTCGCCTTCGATCTGGCCTTCTTCTTCCTCCTCCTCGGTATATTCTCCTGCATCCTGCAGGACCGCGGCCTCTAAAAGCAAGCAGCGAGACCGAGGTGCACGGTAGATTTGAACGGTGGTCGAAGCCGTGAAGGTCGAACCTGAGGAGAGGAACGACATGATCCCGGCGCTCTTGGCCAGGGTCAAGACGGCGGTCAATCGGTAGATGGTGCCACCCTGGGGTGTGGTGACGGAGGGAGGCAAGTGGTTGGGGACTTCGATCGCGAACGGGTAGGTGATGGAGTCCGTGCTCAGGAGGGTGTACAGGTCCGACTGGGGACGAGGCTCGATCAGGAATGTTTGCGAGCGAATGTGATGACGGGAGTAATGGGAGCGCTTGCCCGCTCCCAGGAACGCGATGTGGGTTGAACCATTGAGGGAGATGGCGAGCGAGGTCACCTTGGTGGGCTTGGTCAGGGACAGGGTCAGCTTGCCCTTTAGGATGGTCGTGGCCGGGTTGGGGACAGTCGAGGACGAGGGGGAGGAAGAAGAGCCGGAGGTCAAGATAGGTTGTTCGGCCTCGAAGGAGGAGCGGACGGAGGCCGCAGAGGAGGGCAAAGTCGAGGCAATGGAGACGCCGCCGAAGGAGAGGGTTCGCTCGGGCGAGGTCATGGCCATGGAGGAGGCAGGCGAGCCGGGGACGGAGTTGGCAGGGGTGTCATCCTCCAGGAGCGGGGCCGAGTGCGTAGAGGTGGAGGGGTGGGGGAGGACGATGTAGGCATCGTCGAGCTCAAATTTCAGAGTGGCAGTCATTTTAGGGGTGATGGTGGTGGTGGTGGTAGTGGTGGTGTTGAAGGTGTGGTTAAGGAACGGTCTGGATGCCGGGGAGATAAATGGATATGTGTCAAATGAGTGTTGTTGTGCAATGTTTACTGTGGTTATCACTTCCTGTTCCCTTTTTTCTTTTCTTTCCTTTTTCTTTTGAGACAGAAGTGGGGATGAGGGCCCTTTTATAGTGTTGGGGGGGGGGGGGGGGGGGGGAGAAACGAGGGAAGGGAGGGCGTGTGCGATTCAATTGCTTTGGCAGGGATGAATAGGGCGGAAGTATAGGATTGGAGACAGTGGACGAGGGTGTGTGCCACGAGCAATTGAAGAGGCCTGGATATAAGAAAGGCTGTCTAACTTAGTGCGAGTCATCGCAGTCCCAATGCGCTGCAGTACATGAACTATAAGCTACGAGCTAGAATAGGTGAGCGAAGGAGGGCGGTAGAAACATACTCCCTGGTCGGCGCTGGCTTTGTTTATCTACTGCTTTGTTTGTCTGCTTGTTTATTTATTTGTTTGTTTGCTGTCTGTATGCTTGTCCAGTCATGGTGGAGCAACGAGGTCTACATCTGTACTCGCATCGCATCGCACCGCGTCGAATATACATGTCGTGTCATTCGCTGAATGCTTCGATACGGCGACGGGTCTTTTGTATTTCTAAGCAATTTATTCCATAGTAAAACAGTATTGTGTATACTATCCACTGCCAGATCTTATGCCCACCAGCCATTCACAGACACACATGCTACATACCCTATACTACGCTATCCTGACCCTCAATCTCTCGATGACATGCTGCGTAGACCCTCAGAAATAGCTAAATGCGTTTTGCCTTTGCTCCTACCGCGCCGTGCGCCCTTCATGTGCCCGCAGACCGCATCGAACGGTGGAACAGAAAAGGAAAAGGAGGCTGAGTACACCCATCGCGATGGGAAACCGACCAATTTGGGTCGTTCACTAGGCGATGCAACTGCATGCCGTCTGTGGATCGCGCACAACCCATGTTTCCTTTGTACCTCTGGCAATAGCCCACTGTGTTGGACCGAATAGGATGGAGCCTTACAGAAAATTGTCATATTATGAAAATGGCATTTGTTACTCATAATCTGAAAGAGGGCGTAATTTTTATTTTTTTTATGCCTAACTTTCTATATGATTCCGTGAGCGACTAGGGACGCTGCCACTCGACTGTCTATCCTTTCCGCTAACGAAACACCTCGCCGAGGATCCAAGGCCTGTTGTCAAACGCTCCTAATGCCTGCCTGGCGATTAATTGTTAAGCAATGACATCTCCGATGACACCCGCGATGACACCCTTCGTCTCGTGTAGCGAGTAGTTCTCCACAAATAGGCTTTCTGTACACGATGGCGAAAAATGAACCTGAGCACAAACACAAAATTTCATTAGGGATCGACGACCGCGCAATGACACCTCGGCTGCACTTTTTTTCTACTATCGCCATCCTACGCTCTACTCTCGGAGGTCAAAGATGCTGTTCAATGACACCCTCTTTGGGTTTCCGTTCACCCGTTCACCATTTTGTCCAAGGAGTGCACCATCTTTCGTCTTCTGTTGACATGGTCCCAGTAATTCGGCGACAAAGCCCTTCGTTCGTGTTTATGCTCAAGCAAAAAAGGGGCGGGTGTCATATTGCAGATTCCTATTAGCATCGTCTTATGGTTTGTCAGCACGGCGACGACTTTTTGTCAAGGATCACTCACTGTAACAACCGCTGACGCGAGCCTCCCCCTTCTCTCGTCTGAGCAAGTCCCTATCCCAATCTGTAGCCGCGGTTCTCTCTGGTTTCGCTTGGTCATTATGCACAATGTAAACCCGCTCCTTGTATCCTTCGGTAGGAAAAGAGAGTATCGTTCCCAAATCTGGCACCCAAAATTGTCGAGGTAGAAATACCCAGCGCTCCAACCCTAACCAAAAAAAAAAGAACAATTGAGCTGGTGATCCTCATAACCCTATCGTTCTCCACTCCGCAAAGCGCTAGACAGGGAATGCCCTTCACTGGCTGAGCTGGGTTGCCCAACTTTCCCTGGACAAGTCGCCCCGCTGGCAACTGTCCTATGAGGATCGCGGGTATACTTCCCTGCCCTCTTTCCTCTTTTATATACTCATTAACACTACTTTGTCAGGCCGACACCTCCCGGACCGTTGTATCTCGTATTTCGTACTCTTGCAGACAACTCAGCTTTAATTTTTTTTTCTGGCGGGCTATGGATGCATGGCAATAGGCCTATGCTATTCATAATTCAAATACAGTGTGAGCCTTGACTTCCCGATGCATGCCATGGCGTGGGAACTGGTGGGAAGGATCACGAAGGATAATTGGCGCATCATGGCCAATATCCACGCCCATTCTGCCAAGCGAATTTGACGCCCTGAATGCGCTATTTAGTTTGATGATTTGAGCGACGAATGGCGATTTAATTGGATGTTAAGAGGGACAAATACCTGTGTCTCCATATTTTGACGAGCAGTGGTCAATAGCTGCCAAAAGTTGAGTTGATGTTTGACGGGATGCGCAGTGCATCGTCAAAATTACTGCGGCAGGGGAATAGAAGCATAGACCGCGGAAGGTCCATCCAATGCCAATAGCTAATGATTCCTTCAACCCCTTAGCTTATCGGATCCCTATCTTTGCCATATAAATCATAGGCACGATGGACAATTGAATAATAGAGCAGTTCTTTTTTTTTTTTCTATTTAGAGTCGCCCTCTAATTTGTCAGCAGGTGCTCATTTCAAGCGCGTGTAGACCATACGAGCAGTAGACAAAAGATGACTCTTTTTTGTTTACTGGGGTGCTGTGATGGGATAAAACTGAAGCTTGACGGGTTGCACACAGAATACTTCGTGCATTAGCGTGGCTGCTTTAGTCTCCCACTTCTTGTCATTCGAAGGAAGAAGAAAGAATTGAATGCTGCGCTGTTTGTGTCATCCTACCATACCTTATTTCTCGGAAAGATCAATTGCTTTCAGTTGAATGGCAGGGCTTAATCTTATGCCTCTGCTAGCCCTGCATGGCCCCTTCATTCCTCGCAGGCACAGGCAACAGGGCAAAGAATTAGTCCGATAGAGCTTAGTATTGTATTTAGTAATACATACATGGCTGCTTCTTCCTCACATGCCCAAATGTCCTAACGAAACCCTGCTATGAAACTCGGAAAAGTTCACATAAAAGAGAGACAAGCGAGCGCCTGCTTTGCAGGATCTTCAGTGCGATATGGGTGTTCAATTCACGGTGATAGCCACATCAAAATATTTCATGTCGTAGTGTCCTGCAGAGTTGGGTCAAGGACAGCGACTGAGAATCTGCGGGGTAAGCTATCGGGCCATGGGCATAAACAACCTTGTTTTGTTGATGCTCAGCTGCAGCAGAAACGTGCGAGGCAACACACAACAACAACTACGTAAAACTCTTCCCCTGAAAGTTGTGTCTGGCTGGTGGTTTGCACTGCTCACGGAAATTCTTTCCGCCAATTTCAATGGCAGCCAAAAGAATAAGATAGACGGAACTGTATCTCTTCGTCTTCATCTTCTCCTTGTTCTATGGACTTCTCCGCAACCGCCGCAGCATCTTTATTTTACACATTTGCATACGTTTGACACATGGTCCTGTCAACGTAAACCCCACTCCGAACGCGACACGCACACAGATGATCCACTAGATTGGGACCCATTTGGAAAACTAGGGAGAGAGGGAGAGAGACTCGCGAAATTCCCCTAAACCAATCTTTGCCATTTTGGTAGCTGCTAATCCCTGGATGCCGCCGACTTTACATATTTCCTTCCGCAATGTTCATTCGTCATTTAACGTAGGGAGTCACAGAGAGATTCGATTTCATGATCTCGTCCGGAAGCAGCGATCCTAATAATAGTTTTCGTGCCTTTTTTTTTTTCTCTAAGAAGTTAATGCACCATGTCTCCCGCAATCTGCACCGCTTTGTTCAAATGAGAGGGAGGATCCCGTAAAGTTAAAAAATCCCTTGTCCGGGTAAGCGCGTCCGCGATAATAGAGGCCAAAAAACAAAATTATTTTCATCGCGTGTTTTCCCGAATATCTTATCGCTTAGCCAAGGCGTAGATGATGCTTCAAAGATGGACAGGCTCGTGATGTCGAGAGACAATTACACAGGATACAGAAAACTCATAAACGCTTGATTGATACGATCGAAGGCGTTCTCGAATTTCTTTTGTTTCTCATAGATAGATCGATACTCCATCGTAGATTCTGGAGTCATCGCTGGTCATCTAGGGACCCTAGCACCAAAAAAAAAAAAAAAAAAAAAAAAAAGTCTGTATGTACAGACATGATCAACGGCTACGATCAAGTGCATTTAGTATGGACCGATGTCTGCCATAGTACATCCGGAGCCCTAGATAGGGAAGCATCTCAAAATATTTTCACTCACTGACCGATCTTCATGCAGCAGTAAAATGCTCGAATCGCGTTCACTAGCGCTTTCCCCCCTTGTGATACCGTTGTTCTTCTAACCCTTATCCCCCCCCCTGCCGCATGAAAACGTGTATTCACAACGTCTTACGCTCGAATATCCAACTCAGCAAGGCGAATAAGGGAGCAGAAATCTCCAAATACTCATCTTGACGCATATATTTCCTTCGCGAGTTATGCTTTGTTTTATTTTGCTCCGCTGCCCTTTTGGTCATCTAGAGTTCCCACTTCGCTACATGGTTTCTTAGATTATTCCTAGGGGATGACCATGACCCAAAGGGTCCTTTTCATAGCCCACTAAAAACCAGATGCGGCAAGGTCTTTGGACGGCGTGTTAATTAATAAGCGACGTAGTTTACATGCATAGTCGCGGCACTTGGACGGTAACGAAACGACTGTTGCATTATTATTTTGGTCCGAGCCCTTTGAAGCCCATTCAATCGTCATTCAAGTATTCTCCTGTTGACGCATGTTTCGAGATGGATGGAAAGAAGTACATGTGCAGATAGAGCGAGGATCCTTTATTTTTTTTATATACATCTCCTCCGTTACCGAAGCGCGATTTTTCTTAGGCTATACATGAAGGGTGAGTCTCATGAGGTCATACCACAAGGATATGCCGAGAATGAGGTGCATAGATGCCTGCAGAGCAGCAAGGGAGCAACACACAATTCAAGTCGGCGTATTGGACCAGCCTTGAACCAGTCCTCTCCTTCTCTCCTTTGCCCTGGACTTTGATTTTCTATAATCGTAATTCTTCATGGAGCTGCTTCTTTAATACGATCGGTTAACTCGGCTTTTTTGTATTGTCCACCAATCTATTCGCCCTTCAACCTTTCTGGTAGATGCCGGTTGCTTATTGAGGAAACTCTTTTTTCCGTGTCTAATCGTCCATTAGTCTTTCTTTCAATGCTTCATGCGTACCAGGGACCAATCTATCCCTCATTGCTCGTATCTAAATTCTAAACGCATTTGTTCAAACAGCTCGCTTTGGTGCACGATGCTATTTACGAGGGTATTCGTCTATTTCCTTGGCTATTCTCTTATATGCAGACTTGCTCGCGCTCTTCTACTCTGTTGGTTTATGCATTGGATCTACTAAACTGTATACAGCGTGATCAGGACCCTGTTTAAAGCAAAGAGCGGTACAAGTAGTTTTTTTTTTTTTTTTGTATACCGCGTGCTGTTGCGCATTCGCCTATAGCGAAATTTGCACTGCGGGAATGTAAACAAACGTGGGAAAGTAAAAAAAAAAATGCTCGCATTGAAATGTGTAGCTTGGCAAGCACGCTTTATTCCCTTCAAAAGACATCCGGTTAAAAAGTTACGCATTCATCATCCACTATTCTTCCTTTATAACTGCGTTCGCTCTGAATGCCAATATACATTTATTTTTATTGAATATTTGATTTGGTGTATTTATTTTGTCAACTAGGGCCAAGATCTGCTTTGTCGTGGGCCTTTTGCACTTGCACTAGTGGCCTCCAGAAACGCCAGTTCCCGAGATCTCATCCGCCTCCTTTTGCTCTTCAGTCATTTCCTTCTCCTCCTCATGATATTTGTCTTCAGAGTGGTCATGCTCGGCTTCAGAGTGATGGTCTTCGTAGCCCTCCAAGCGTATATCGTTTAAGCCCAATGCCTCGTTCTGCTCAAAGGTACGCTTGTACTCCTCGATCGTCATAGCTGGATCGGGCTCAGGGGCATACAGGTTCTGAAGGTATGAGTTACCCAGAGGGTCATCTAAAATCAAAGTGCTCTTGATCTCCAATGACATGACCTAAATTGAATAGCAGTTTTGAAAATGTTAGATACCGATTCATACAACTCAACAATATCCTCCTTATTTGACTGCATTCACGGCACCACTCATACCTTCTCAAGGTTATCCAAGAATTTTGTAAAGATACGACGACGCTGTGGTTCATCCTCAGATTCATTTGGAACCTTGCTGGAAAGCTCATCGTGGACCTGTCTCAACAATCCCTCGACTGTGGTGAAGCGACCGCCCAAAGTACCCGAGTTCAACTCCAAATCGATCTCTGGAATGGACAATCCGCACGTCTCGGACTATGAAGGATGTAAGGCAGAATCGTCAATGTTACTATCCTGTAGATGCCGGCTGCATTTGATAATGCACGCTCGATTTTAAAACAGCAGAATGAAAACTACTAACCTTGAGAATATCTCGGCTCATGTCCTCAGCGTCCTCGATCTTCAAGATGATGCGCTTTCCGTATTCGCTGACAGGCCCTCCAGCCTTGACTTCGTTGCTCTTGTATCCGCACTCGTCGCAAGTCGTCGACATGATAATAACCTCCTTGAAATGAGGAATGTCCAAAATGTGCATCTTAGTGTCGCTGGGAGCATTGCAAGATGAGCAGTTGGCTGGGAAGGACAGAACCTCGGGCAGCTCGTCAATCTCAGCCTCCTTGGGGTCCTTGCCTTCAGCGATTGCAGTCTGGCGGTTGGATTCCCGCTCCTTCTCCAGATCAGTCTCCGTCAAACCGGCCTCCCAAAGCTGCTTTTGAGCATGCTCGAGCTGCTGATCATGAGGCATGGGCACGGAGGCAGTCTCAGGCTTTGTCTCTTCCTCGTCATCGTCAGGTACTGAGAGACCCATGGCCCGTTCCTGAGCACGGGTTCTCATGTAGACAGAGAGTTCGAGTTTGGAGTCCAACTTGGGTGCGTCCAATGATTCAATGTAGGAGTTTCCAGCGGGGTCATCCAGGATGATGGTGAAGGGGATCTTGTTATTGATGCAGTCCTGGAGTTTTTCTATGATGTCGTTAATCTTGTGGTATAACGCCTCGTCTATGTGCTAATTTATAAAGACATGTATGCGGCGCAAGTAATACCAAGAGATCAATGACTAAGCTGGAAAAAAAAATTGGGGCCAAAACATGGCAAGCGACCGACTGCGGCTCCTTCTTGAATAATGACTCCTCCATTCTGGGTCTCTTCTTACCTTGCGCACGGGCTGGCCGCTCTCCAAATCATCTACGACGGTTTGCAAGAGTCCCTCGATCGTGGTCAAATGTCCGCGCTGAGCTGGGATCTCAAAATCGATTTCGGGGATCTTCACAATGGCAGTGTCGGTCTTGACCAATTGACGGTTGAGGTCTGATCTGGTTGTGACATGACAAGTATAGATAGCGCCTCCGACGGCAATAGCATTGGCTTGCTGCAGCTCGTTAGACCTGTATCCACAGTGGGGGCAGTCAAATGCCATAATGATGACCTCGCGGAAGTGAGGAACACGAGTCAGCAAAAGACGAGTCATTCCCTGTAATCATATTTGACGAGAAAAAAAGAAAGAAATGCTGTCAAGAGATGTCTAATATTGGATCCCATGAATAAAGCAGAGTATTCCTTGAGATATCCATACGTTTTCGTGGCAGTTCATGCACAAGGACTCAATTTCGGTCACTTGCTGATCTCCATCGATATCCTGGAACAAAGGTCCGTCCGCAGGAGCGTCTGTAGCGTTGTGCTCCTTCTTATCGAACAAGGCGGTGTTGGCCATCGACTCTGCAAGTCCAAGATCGTTGTTTTTTGTCTCTTCAGCCATAGTTATAAGTGGTTATAAGGAATGTCGAAGGTGGTGGAAGGAATTGATTTCGAATGAAACCCTTTTTTTTTTCTTTTGTTCGTTCAAGCGCGCCAGCACAGTCGCTCTTCAACAGTCTTCGATCGGACTTGCCGCAAGCCACTGCTGTATACTTTTCTACATAGGACAAATTTTTTTTCATTCACACCCTTCCTTGATCCATTCTTCATCCCACTTCCCTCCACTCCTTCTTCTCCTCTCTCAACTTTCTCACCTAACCACACTGCCAGCTTATTCACGAGGTACATATCCCTTCCAGGCATTGTCAATGTTTAATTATTCCACCATTTCTTTTTTATTCTCGTTCCGCAACGCGACTCTGTCCCACACATCCGTTCGACATTGCTTGATCGCAGAAAGGGATCGTCCAGCGATCACTCGAACACCATTTTGCATATATATAAAACATCCGCACCCACGAAGGCCGAGCTTTCTCTGCTGGCATTTGTACTTTCAATCGGATAAGATTAATCTTCCTTCCTTGAGAAGGAAGGGGTTTTAGGACACCCGGATCTCTTAAACAACTGTCTGGAGTGGGACCCGCCTCCTTTGGGAGGAGTGGGACTCAGATCTGCGGCCTGTTGTGCCAGGGATCCACATTTCCATCCTTTTTTCGCTTCCTCCCTCGCTCTTCAATTGCGATTGCTCTTGTTGTCGCTATAGGTCTATCTCTGTCAATTGATCTCTCGATATCACGTATGCTAATCTGACCATATCTTTGTTCATTGCTTGATCATGGTCCAAAGTCCATTGATTCTCATAGGTTCGTTATTTTAAGGCACTGAAGCAGACGACTTGAATGAGCTATGGAGACCATAATAAAGAGTGTTTTTAATATATACAATATAAAAATGATGAAAATGAGGTTTTTCAATGCGGAAGCATCGTCAATTGAAGTCCAAGGATGATATTGCTTGCCGTCAGTGAGTCCCTGAGTGACCCATGGATCTCATTCCGGCCTAGAGATAAGACGCGCATGCAGCTGTGTGGGCAAGCAAGTGGAGGCGAAGTACAGGAAGTGAAGAGCGTGGACATGGTCAACTCAACTGAGGAGTGCTTTCCCCTTTCTCGATTGTTGACAGTCGATCGTTGGTGCCGATGGTCGTGTTCGTGTTTGTTGCCTGCCCTTTTGGTCGAAACACGCGCCTGAGAGCCGTGCAGACGACGAGGAGATGACCACAGATGGACATTGCAGTCAAAATTTGCCTCTGCCTTTGCCTGCGTGTGGGGGGCATGGGGGAGGTGTTGCTGGTTACTGCTGCTGTTTGCTCATAAGAAAGCAAAAGAATAACAAGCGTCATAAGCTTCATTCCTTTCCTTCTCCTCTCTCGTTCCTTGTCAAGACAGAAAAAATACTTCCTTTCCTTTGTCGCCTTCATCGCCATCGCCTCCTCCCATCCTCCACCCAGCTTCTATACCCATTCTCTTCTGCTCTAGCATCATCCCAGAGGCACCAGCTCACGATCAACTGTCCCTCCCCCCTGCGACCTTAACATTCGGTCAGGCCCTAGACTGTAAAACACATATCCCCGATGAGCAGGCACTCGAGCATCTCCTCCTACTACCAGCCAAGTTCCCGTCCAGACTCACCCGTGCCCTTCTCCTCCACCGCCTCCTCCTCCTCGTCCAATCCTCAGCACCAACAACTGCCGCAACAGCAACAGCAGCCACCGCAGCAACCACCCCCACCACCGAGGAACCAAAAGGCAGACCAGATCCTTCAGGTACGTTGCTTCCGCCTGCTTATTTTCCGCAGGGCTGTTCCTCTTCTTGCTGTAACGGTTGGCTAACCCGTAGTGATTGTCAAAACGTCCCATTAGAACTTTTATGTCAAGGTCATTCAGATTGTAACCTTGGCCCGCGTGACCCATACCGATGCGCATGCAGGCAATACTCCTCGGAAAGGATCCTTGCGTGGTGTCCCACTTGTGAAGAAGACCAGCAAATGGGTAAGCAATAGCTGTTGTCCTGTTCACCCCCCATTGTCTGACTCAAATACGGTGGTGCTAACTGTTAGTTCCTGTCCACACCTACAGTTCAACTTGGAGCTGGAGGATCTGGATATCTACAAAGAGGATGCCAAATTCTGGAGGGCAAGGGCGATCACGGAATCGCCACCGCCCATGCTAGTGGAGCTGTTACTGGATACATCGGAGCTGTCATCAAATCAGATGCTAGTTCTCATGGACGAGAATAACCGCAAGAACAGGGTCGACATCACAGGACCTTCTTCGACGGCAGCGACAACACCGCTGGGGCAGGGCAGGACGCGGCGTAACATCATCCTAGAGTCATGGTCCCTAACACTCAGGTATAAATACGCATTTCCAGCGCGAGATGTCAGGTGAAGAGACTTGACCACTCGATCTACAGGAGTCACTGACGATCATTCCCATTTTCCAATGCTTTCTCTTTACTCTACGTGAACAGTGATACCCCGCCAGACCCAGTTCCAGAACCACCCGTGGTCTACAAGAAGTCCATCATCTTTTTCCGATCCTTGTATGCATACATGCGTCTATTGCCCGCCTATCAGCTTTATCGCCGCCTCCGGAAGCAGAACCATCCCCTCAAGATCGGGTTCCGGGTCAGTCGTGGTCACAGTCCAGAGGAGAGCATGTTTCGCGATTCGGAGATTGGCATTGGTAAGGCGACCTAATATTTTCTATTCATGAGGCAATTTGATACGCGCCATATTGCATCCAAATGATTCGATCTCTTACACAAGGATACAAAAACTATTGCTGCCTTTGATCGCCAAATCAAGGGACAGTGCGCTGTGCTGTAGCATTCCTTCATTTTCTGTCCTAATTACGTGTAACAGCGCGCGGCTGACATGTATCGTTGTTGACCCCCTTGCTTCCCCTCCCGAAAATTGAGAAAACTAACCCGTGCTGTGTTTTAATTGATGGGGTTCGTCATCGTCATTGTAGAGGTGCCTTTGATTGAGGGAGAGGCGCGACCTATGCTTTCAGAGTATCGCTTCGGACAAGTCGAGACACCCATTGGGTACGTGCGTAGACCATATCGTTGTGGGCCGATTGGCTGATTTGCAGGCGAAGCGCCTTGAATTATTTACGATGCACCCTCGCAAGGTATTGTCTAATCAATATCATGACCCGTTCTTATGTCAACGTTATCCCGCGACTTCGGCGCTTTATAGTGCATTCTCATTGAAGGTGACATATCGAAGCAATTGCGAGTTCCATGTGGATGAGTCCGAGGCGGTGCTGAGTTCCAAGTTCATCGATATGGATGAAAACTACTTTACGCCGACTATTGTCACCCACTCGCAGGAGTCCGTCAAGTCGATGCGGCGGCCCAGCATGGAGGTAAGCTAAGGAATATCTAAGGCCCTGGGAACTATGCCGCTCTGACTCTGGACAGGTGATTGACCAGTGTTTTCGGTGTATTTGCTTTGAACTCTATAGACCAGTCAGCCCGACAATCGTCGACCCCTTTCATCAACATTCTCACCCTTCAAATCGCCGTCCTTGTCATCATCGCCATCACCATCCTATCTGGAGAATCTTCCAGCGTCCATCACCTCCAGACCATCGTCCATTCACCTCAATCGCTCACCGTCCTCGTCGTCGATGCATCGTGTGCATTCGTCACAGCAGAGTTCAGGATTGCTCGCACAGGCTCAGAAATCAGGAACTGCTATGTCAACCAATGTCACCGGAGCAGCCTCGAGTATCCCAAGCTCAGGAGCAAATTTGCTATCAACGTCAGCCAAGAGCAACGCCTCCTCTACGTCAGCTCCAAGAGTAACATCCAGCTTTGGTCATCGGTATGATTCCTCGAGCAGACGCGCATCCAGTGAAAGTCTACCTCCTGGACGCGGCAATCGAAATTCAACTATCGGCTCCTCTGTAAGTGGCATGATAACTTCCTGGTCTGTAGTCTTTTTTATTTTTATTTTTATTTTGATATCTCCAATCTAACTGACACACGACTATCAAATAGGCTCTTTTTCAGCTCACTCCGGACGATGAGGATGTTAGGGCGTTTTACAACATGCTGGACACACCAGAGCCGTTGAAAATGTTTGGAAAAGCTAGTAATTCAGGACTGGGACCATCCTTTGGTTCAGGCGATAACAGTCTTTCTGCCTCTGGCTTGAGAGCAAAATCGACCTTAGACAGATTTCAGCAGCTCAAGTTGAGCAACGCCAACTTGTCAGAATCAATGTCAACGAGCCAGCTTCTCGCAAAAGAACAACAGACGAACAGCTCATTACCCCTGGCTGTAACGACTGGACACTCATCCCGCCGATCAAATTTGAGTGACGTGGGACCTGGTAGCCCAACCGGACCTTCAGGTGTAAGCAGGCACTCACAATCGTTCACTCATCAGCCCCCAACACCTTCACCGCTGCACACTGAAATCCCAGTACATCCGCCAAAGTCATCTGGTCGATTTGAAAGCCAGCCAATTCAAGCATATTCTACTACCAGACAAGGAGCCACGGGGAACACACCAACAAAACGACACTCCTGGTTGGGCAGCGGGAGCGGTGGCAGTAGCAGCAGCTATAGCGGAATGCATCATGAGCTTGCTCGGAAAAACATGGGCAACATGGCTTTTCGACATGGCAGTTTGGACCAAGGAAAGGATATTTTGGGCATGGAGGAAGCCATGGGCCGAATGGGCGTGGCAGCACCGGATGATATTGCATATGGGTCGTTTCCTGAGGATTTGCACCATCAGCACTCCCTCTACTCGGCACCTTTGAACACAGGACGCGAAAAGAAGGGCGACGCCATAGACAACTCTCCTACAGCTGGGGTACCATTTGGACCTGACCCAAGACCTATTCCTTCCCTCGCAAGTGGTGAGACGTCGACTAGTCGACCAGGACGACTCTTACGACTGGGCAGCGGATCGGGCTTTGCATTGCCTAGGCTCAGGACACGGGCGGCTGATGACAACGAATCTTTGAACGAGATGAACTCTGCGGACAGTAGCAGTGCTCGAGGCAATAAGGGCAGGAGTCGCGGTCGTGGCGAAGATGACGAGGAAGATGAGGACGACGAGGACGCGAGAGGTGCTCGCTCTGGACGCGAACGTGACGACAAGCACGAAGCCAACACCAGTATCAACGATGATGACGATATGCTGTTCATCATGAGTGAACTGAGTCCTGCATCAACATTTGGACAGGACCCTAGCCTGACTGCGGTAGGCTCTACAGGCGTCATCCTTGGCGGGGCTCACGATCGAGGGATGCTGCCTTTGACTGGAGCGATACTGAATCTGCGCTCTCAGCCGCAGTCGCCATCATTTGATCCGCATCATGGCAATAGTGGTAGTGGGGGTACCGCTGCAGGATCGTCATCCGTATCGCCTCACTTGCGGCTCTTTGGACGAGGTGGCAATGGAAACAATCTTGGAGCAGAACACAGTAATAACAATAGCCGGTCCAACAGTGCCGCGCATAGTCGAGTTGGGTCGAGCAGTGGAAGCAATACCAATGTTCAAAACAGTATCGAGAATCTTGGCTTACTCCGCCGACCTGGATCTGGATCAGGGTTCGTTGACGAATATAACTTGCCCTCTGCTTCATCGACACCCCCACCGTTTGCGACGGTCACAGGAGCTGGGGCCTTTGACGCCATGTTAGAGGGTCGTCGGATGAGTCGAGGCGGCAGCGACCGGGGCATCGGCAGCGGGGCTAACAGCGGTCACAATAGCTTTCACTCTGACTCTCGCGGCGGACGTATTGAGGGATGGTAAAGCTTCCTTTACGCTCTCCTTTTGCCAATGGACATTTGTTTTTGCGCCGGTCAGGCATTCATGTACATAAAACGGCTAATAACACCACGCAGCCAAATAAAATAAGAACCCATTGATGGTGCAGTCGAGCTTGAGGCCTCTAGTCCTGGTGACGAAAATCAGGAACGGAACGTAGATCGTGAATCATTTTGCCCGTCTTCCAATTATGGTTTGGCCGTTTGGTGAGCACACATCGTGCGGCAGCCATTGCATCTGGCATCTCTTCTTCATTCCACCTTTCGAAGTACGATCGGCATGCGAGCTGTAAGAACCAGGAGCGCAACAAATTTGTTGTCGAGAAAAGAGACGAAGCAACATTTTGTCCGATTGACCAGGCATCCTCACTCGTTGCTTTCCTCTTCTATTTGTGTGAGAGCGTAGGTTCTTCAAAGAGTCCTCCAGGCTAGCGTCGAGGGTGAGCCAAGTCCTTGGGATTGTCCTGGACCATATGTAATTAATCTTCTTGACATTGACAATCTTTTTGTTCGTGGTGCCTTTGTTGATAGTTAATGGCCAGCAGATCTCGAAGATCAAGCAGGGTCTCTGTGTGCTGATCGGTCTGTCTGTGGATGATACTTCTGCAGATCTTGATTTTATGGTCCGCAAACTGCTCAGTGTCCGAGTGTTCGATTCCACTCAGATTGCTTCGATGCCAGCAGGAGCATCATCGGCTATTGGATCGCAGGATTCAGCGACGGGAATTGAGCCGCCAAAGATGTGGGCCAAGAGCGTCGTCGATGTCGGAGGCGAGATCTTGTGTGGTAAGTGACCAGATCCTGCGTCTATTTTGCTCGAAGGGTATAGTGCTGTAATATTTCATTGTATGCGCATGATAGGGAATGTCTACTATTGTGTGCCTGCCCTGACGACTAGTTTTTTTGCTCGGTGGTAATGAATGGTGCATAGTATCGCAGTTCACGCTGTACGGCCAAGTGATCAAAGGCAGCAAACCAGACTTCCACCTCTCGATGAAGTCGGAAACCTCCAAGCAAATGTATCACGACTTCCTGGATCGTCTCAAGAAGGCGTATAATCCAGATCGCATCAAAGGTAAGCGAATAAATCTAACGACCATTTCTGCACTGTCGCATAAAAAAAAAGAAAAAGAAAGAAAAGAAAAGACTGACGGCCACACTTTTTTTGTATCTTGTTCGTTCATGCACAGACGGAGAATTCGGTGCAATGATGATAGTTAATATCGCGAACGACGGTCCAGTGACCCTTGAGTTGGACTCCCGCAAGTTCGAATACCTCCCTCTGACGAACCAGTTCTCAGCCGCAGTAGCCAAGGCAGCCAAGGCGACAAAGGCTGCGGCGCAGGACAATCCGTCCACAGCATCGGGAAATGCACAAAGCCCGGGAAAGCAAGTCAGGAACAGGGAGAAGAACCAACAGAAGCAATTGGAGGGTCAGCAAGAGAAGCAGAAGGGAAACCAGGCGAAGGATACCGAAGATGAGGGGATATCGAACAGTTCTGCAGCTGCAGACAAAATTATGGTGGAGAGCGCAGAGGGCAAAGTGGCCAACATGTCCCTGTCTGATAAGTAAGTACGGTAGACACCTTGGATAGATAAATTATTAGAGTATTGGGAGCAGGACTTTCCAGGCATAAACCTCCTGATTGGCAGACTTTTTGGACGGAAATAAGTTTTTTAAGGGTGGCAATAAGGACCATCCTATTTTGGAACACAATCTTCTGACCGTCCATCAGACTCAATTCCTTGTGCCTGTTTGAGAACGGCTAACTGACATCTTTGTCCCGCCTGGACAGTATTGAGGCCCTTCACCTCAAGCAAGGTCTTCCTTACTCCTGCAATTGTGGTCTGGAAGTACTCGAGCGTACATTTCCTCTTCTTTGTTGAGCCAGCGGCAATGACGATCTCCGATATCATGTTTTTCAGATCGGCCTCAAGATCCTGAAGCTCCTGCTCTTGTTCTTTTTCTCTGGCTATTCTTTTCTGTTCCGCCTTTTCTGCCCTTTGCCTATGAAGTAGAAGAAGGATTGCTGGTGGGAGGGTTTACTCCAAAGACGACGGAAGTGTTGAATCAGCTGAAGGATCAAAATCATTCTGGTCGGCCTGTACTTGTAAGTAGTCAACTTCGTAAGGCTCTCCTTGATAAGAAATCTCTATGCCCTTATAGGCCTTTGCGGTTAAATACATATATTTGCACGGCGCCTGATGTTGAGCATAATAGTTGCAGCGACAGGCAGCAATGATGGCGAATTCTTCGTCTGTACGGACGTCATATGTAAGACTTGTGGGTGAGCGAGGAACAACGAGGTGAAAACGAGGGGAGACGAGTGAACAAGGTGAGTGAACAAAGACGAATGTGTGAAGACAATTGTTTATTGGCTAGACTGTTGTGAGTATATGAACTGTGGTCCAACTACATAGTCTGTCCTTCCTTATATACATCAGACGAATAAAGATCCAGATTAGTAATCCATGATTCCATGGTTCTAGACGTTTCGGTGCTGCCTTCGCTCATCTTTACATCATGGAGCTTTCTGTGATGAGGGCCAAGTTATCTATTTGACAACCCGGGTTGCCATGCATTATTTGCCAACCCCCCCCCCCTAATTGACTGCTGCTACGAGACTTATTTTGGCCCGCCTTCTGAATCCACATATACTGCAGCGGCGATTGAGGTAGCGGTCAGTTCGGCTCTACTCAGTACAGCTGGATCCATGCTACGAGGATATGGGTAGGCTAGTGTAATGACTCGTCAGCAGGGGTAAAGGAGGAGGAGGAGAGCAGTGGGGCAGCGAGGAGAAATGGCGAGAGCAAGCAGATGTGAGTTAGTGCAGCCTGCGGTGGACAAGTGTGCAGTGGGTAGCATCAGCGGTTAATTAAAGGGGGGTTGGCGAATAATGCATGGCAACCCAGGTTGTCAAATAGATAACTTAATGTTGATCCAATCTTAGACGCGTCTAGCGTCACATGACAATACCAACAGAGTTAAACTCTGACATGAACCCACGCGTTACAGCACTGATCACTCGTTTTCCTTCCTTACTTTAAACCTCATAACCTCATCGTCTTTGCAGATTCCCGACATCCGACCTCTTTTCCATTGAATCGATCACATTACTTCAGCTAAACACTACACATTCGACAGCAGCTCTCTCATCGCACCACTCGACGTACAGGAAGTGATGGGTCTTAAAGGCTGGTACGCCTTTCTTCGTAAGAAGGGTTACCAACCCTCTGTACTTTACCCATCAGCCGCGTCAACAACCTCGAACACCGCCACCAGAAGAGTCGACCTTCTCTCTCGCTTTTCAGTCATCAGGATGCTTATACACGAAACTCCATCGAGGTGGCCCATACGATCCTAGAGCTGGATGTCATGCGGTTCGGGACCAAGGAAAACATCATTATCTACGTCGACGGAGTCCAGGCAGAGAGGAAGGAGTTCACTGCTCAGATCCGCCAAGAAGCCCGGGAGAAGACTACTAAGCGATGCAAAGAAAGTGTGGATGAACTACAAAGACGGATCGATAACAACCTCAAGGTCCGTAAGCGACACTTTGCCGATGCCTGGACCAGCCTTGCGTCCTCCTTCTATTGGTCCCTGCCCATCCGTGATGCATTTGTCAAGTATATGCAGGACGAGGGGTAGAGCATCCAGCGATGCGAGACGGAAGCTGATGTTGTGATCGCTCGAGATTGCAGATCTGACGATATTGTCGTGTCTGCGGACAGCGATATGCTCGCGTACCCATCCGTGTCAACCCTGTGGCGCCCGATTTCAAGGAACTTGATTCTGATCTACAAGATACCGGATATCTGTGAGGTTCTCGGTGTGTCCAGGATCCAACTCACGGCCCTCGCTGTTGCCTCCAACAACGACTACGGAAAAAATATCTACTCTCTTGGACCGGCGACCAACTTTTCGATTATCAAGACGATCAAGAAACAAGGTAAATATCAATGATCAAAGTATTAAGGAGCGAGGCTGAACCATTTAACTAATATATATATTTTTCTACCCTATTTTTGCAGATGTGCGACAGACGGTGAATGCATATTTGGAAGACTCCAAGGTCGTTTTAAAAAACACAGACAACAGAACACTTGAACTTGCACTCAGAGTCTTTGTTGATCTCCAACAGACGCCTGTCAGTGATCCTCGTCCTTTGTCCAACGTCTCGTCCTACAGTGAGCTTTACAAACGACTCAAGGATCTTTGTGCCATGTACCAGGAGAACAAGGATTTTCGCGCACAACTGCAACCAAGGTATGCTATATTTCTGTTCAATATCGCACGGCATTTAGGACTTGGCATCGGCAATCGTCTCACAGCTCACCTTACTTATTGTTTTGATGTCAATAGTACTCGCAATGATCAGATCATCCGCCTCCGCTCCTCGCATTCTTCCATTCAATATAGGACAGTTGAGTCTCCAGCTATGTTGAAGCCTGGCCTTGGGTCGCGCTTACCACAGCCGCCATCACCGCAACCATCCTCAGCACAACCACAACAACCTGCACCGAATCTGCAGGATGACCCTCCGACCACATTACCGTCTCAGGAGTCAAACGGTCACCCGCCGCTTCCAAGGACGCAATTCCCACGAAATCGCCATCGTTGCTCATTCAAGACGAGGACAGGGGCAACAAACCCCCCACCCCCAGTCAAGATGAAGCTCTACAAGTTCGAGCCTTACAGGGAGTCTGAAGCAAAAGACGAGCTTGAGCCTCCAGCGACGAGCCCAAGACCAAACTCAAAACGTTGTCCGATTCGAGTGCAGCCACCCGCAAGCTCGCTATTACACGGTTATTACAATGCCAACACCCAACGTCTACTTTGAACGTCGGTACTCTATCCGCTAACCTCAGACGAGCTCTGCCAAACGACGGTATCGTTCAACAGGAAGTTGCCCTCTGTATTCGAAACGCTGTGCGCGAGGCTGCCAGGATCAAACGACAAGGCCAACGAGTAATTGAAAAGTTTGTCGAGCATGTGAACAAGCATGGACCGGGTCCCAACGATCGTCGATTCATGGATTTTCTTTGTCCTGGAGTCTCCGTGAAGGACGCAAAAAAGCTGGATGACGGTTGTGCTGCAGAGGACGACGGTGAGGATGGTGGTGACATGGACCAGAAACCCAAGGATGGCAAAGGCTCTGAGCAGTTCTTGTTCCTCCAGAGCTTTCTGTCATACCTCTACTCTGGGAACTACCCACGAAAAAGTGGTACCGGTCAGAAGGTCAACGATTTCATTGATCGCCTCAAGGATCTCGGACTGTATGCCCACCACGTCCTCGGGCCGCTCTCAACGAGACAACTCCCTTCTCACCAACAGAGTTACTCCTATCGGTGGCGTTGCAGCTCAAGGTCGAACTCAAAAAAATGTACCGTAATGGGACCTGTGAGCTGCATAATAAGGTATGAGTTGAAGGCACTATTGGTCATCTTAATGTACATCAAACCGATACCTATCATGCCTCTCATTTATTATTTTTTATCTTCTCAATTATAGCTCCAGAAAAGAAAAAAGAAGGGGCTGTTGGGATCCGATGCTAACGTGGAGATCCAAGAGGAGGTATCTGCTATTGAAAACTACCTCGCGATCAACAAATTGAGTCCAAACCCTCGTAGGATCATCCCCATGTCAACGGCGAAGCAACCTTTTGTCAGTTTCACGGAGCGACAACTAGCCATGTTCTTTTTCAACCGCGGAGGCGCACTGAGGGCACGGGTTCAGGAACTGGTCGGTACCGTCTGCACATCCATGCAGGATGTTGAGGAGTGGATAGGAGGAAAAGAACCAGGCTTTCTCATCAAGCACCTCATCGTCGATATCGATCCCGAAGACCTGACCAGTCGCCAGAGAGGCAAGGCTGGACACCGCGCTGCGATCAAGTTGTTATCCCTTGATGATCTCGAGACCCACTTGCAGATGCTGGACGATCCAGAGTTCAGACCGGAGACCTATGCCCGCAAAGGATATTTTCACAGGGGGTCTTTACGAACTGACGGATTCACTATGCAGCTCCTGTGTTCCAAAGTCAGGGAACTTCTGTCAGTCAAATACAAGCGGCTGCCCGACGATCGCCTACCTCCTCGATTGACTTCCACACTTCACGGTACCAGTGATTTTTTGACGGAGATCCGAAACGTTGTCCGAACCAAAGATGATGTGGCGAGACTTTGGCCTGGTGTCGATCCTAAAGATATCAAGATCCTCACCCTTGATGCAGGACAAGCTTTTGTCGTCGGAGCATACGCACATCTTCCACAATCGGGCAAAGACAAGGATCCAGTGCAAGGAGCCCCTCCGTCCTTCAAAGGCTTATTCCCTATTACCTCTTCCTCGACAACAACACCACAGGATGTTATGCAGAGATTCACTTTGGAACAACAAGCGACCACAACGCCACCAACAATGATGGGGCTCGCGAAAGCCCACCACCATAATCTTGCTGTTAACCAAAGCGGTGATGCAGCCTGTGTTCCGATACAGACGGTGACTTGAGGACGAGAAGCAGCTGATTCCAGCGGGTCAGTCAGACTCCATCGCGGACATCGGGTCCTGTCTTCCTCCTATTCGAAGTCCAGAGGCGAGCGTCACCAATTACATCGAGATGCTTGAACAAGTCGAGGATCGACTGTTGGAATTTTATAATGGTAACAATAATCGGTTCAACAAACACACTTGGGATATGAAGCGAGCCAAGCACATCGAGTACCAGGCTATTGCCAGCAGCCTACTCCGGATTGTTGGTGGCAGCATCGGTGAGCGCTGCAAGGATGACAATCCTGTGTTGATCGGTGTGGGCCTCGGTTAGTTCGGAAGCTCCAGTCGACTGTCATCTCTGCACTCTTCATTTTTGTCGTATTTCGTCCCATTGGTAAGCAAACTCTTCACCATGTACCATCGGGAATGTCTTCAGAGGAGTGAGTGCCAATGAATAATATATTTTGTTATTTTATTTAGGCTCGATCTCTCAGATACATTGTGGTGGGTCTCAACGAGTTTTATACGTCAAAGAAATGTCCGGATTGCCACCGGTTTGTGGCCCAAGTCACCCTTCGAGAACTCTTCTGCCCCCACTGTGGACGGTATCGCCACAGAGATGTGATGGCGGCCGAAAACATGTCCAACATTGCCCGAGAGTACCTATTACACCAGGAACGATCACTCTATCTTCACCCCGTCACGGCAGATGGTAGATACCCATGGATGGAGTCAAGAAGTCCAGGGCAAGAGATGGCCGAAGGGGCGATTGTTGGAACCAGCGCCACTAATCGCAAAAAAAGAAGAAAGATGGAACTTTAACATTTTGTATGTACGACCACACACACCCACGTGATGATTACAGGGGCGTTGATAAATTTATGGTGACGTAGATAGCGCCTAGGTAGTCCTTTTCAAATAAATCTTACGCGTGCACTGTGGACTGCTCTTGAGACAATCGAACTAGGACGCGACCAAGCTCTGACCTTTGCGTATGCACTGCAGACAGCTCCACCTTTCATTCCATCCATTCCACTCATCACTTTACCAAGGACCCACTTGATAAAAAAAAACCAAAATTCATTCATCAGCTTAAAGCCAATCAGTCAATTATGGTAACACTTAACCCTCGACTTTGCTTTTGCAAATGCTTCGGAGCTACATAAAACGGATAGACCTTGGAGCAACACAGCAGGAATAGCTTTTGTACTCAGTCCCAGAAAAAGAAAACTCATCGCTTCCCGGGGAGGGCTTTTTTCTTCATGACCTTGTTGTAGTCTCTCCGCCTCGCACCTTCAAGCAAACCCTCGACCGCAGGATCGGCCTCGGTCTTTGATACGTCAAACTCGTATGGACTCCACGACACGATGCGCTTTGGCATGAGACAGATTGCAAGTGAGGTCACTGCAAAGCATCCTCTTGAGAATCGTCTTGCTGAGGTACCGTTTGAAGACTATAGCACGGTATCAGGGCCGTAATGATCGTCAGACAGGAGCGATTGCAACATCGTATTAATCGCTTTTTCTTTTGTTCATTTTATCGCTTTTCTCTCGACATTTTGATACGATCTCATTAACACCGCACCTCGATCTCTTTATCAACAACCACTTGTCGACCAACAAATAATACTCAACTGGGCGCAACAATAACAACAACAACAACAAAAACAGTGGGAGAACACACAGGACGAGCTCAAGATGAATTTGGCCCGTAACATGTACGGTATGCACGCACCGATCAAGATGGCGATGGAGCGCTCTTTGGTCATCAAGGCGCGTGGACCATCCATGCTCCCCCGAAGCTCGAACTTGGGACTGGATATTTTGGTGGGCAAGGATGAAACGATCGATTTCGAAGACTTCTTGAACGGTAAGGCCGAGCAAGGAAAATCAGGGCGAATGTTGTTTTGGACGGAGTGTTTTGAGAGAATGGTTGCAGCATACTGACGCTTTATATATATATATATATTTCTCCCGCAACTTTTGTCTTTGTCTGATACTAGTTCCTGAACTGTCGACGGATATGGTGGATGTGCACACAGTCATGGAGCACCAGCTTGGAATCCGCGTATAAGTTCAGGATACAGAACAAATAGAAATACAATAAGGAGAGCAGACAAGACGAATGATTGATCGAGCTCGGTTCCTGTCTGTCTAAACCGGAGACCAGATTTTTTTTTTTTTTTTATTGGGGACGCAAAGTGGAAAATAAAGAAAAGGTTTGCCGGCGATGTCTGACAGTAATCGTATATTCTTGACAGAGACTCGTTGTTACATTGTTTTGGTTCAGACGAAGGCGCGCATCTCCATGAGAAAACCGCTGCCTGATTTCCTTGCTGCCTATGAATGTCACCTTAGCGATTGGTGAGCGAAGGGAAAGCACTTAGAAACGCACTCAAACAGGACGCGCACGAATCAAAAGTCAATTTGACTTTTCCCTTATGCATGGCCGTTAAGAGTTCGGTCTTCTTGCGTTTCTCGTATGCCCCTGGCGGTCATGGGATTCTCATTTTTTTTTTTTGATATTATATATTATATTATATACTATATACTAGAAACTACTTTTTCACTTCTGAGCCTTCTTCTGTTGCTCCTCTTGATACCGCTTCGAAGGCTTCTGGGGTAGGACGAAGCATGTACCATGGTGAGGCGTCAAGGGGAGGTATGAGCATTGAGGACGGTAGGCTGCAGCCCTGATAGTGTCTTTGTGCAGCATCGACTGAGGGAGCCATCCAAACACGATTTGGCGCAAAATACGTTCGCTCAAAGTCTGAGAGAGAAAAAGATTGGCAACAGAGCAATAAGAAATTGGGTCAGTCCAGGCGCTTCCCCAAGTAGTGGTACGTCCATGACAACAAATACAGTTATGCAGGAGTGTTTGTTATGCAAGGAGGGGAGCAATGCAGAGTGCAACATACCTGGCCGTAAATGACCTTTGCTGTGGTCTTGCTGATGTCGAACTGTTGCAGGACATGAGGGTATCGCTGCTCCTTAAAGTCCTTGAAGGCCGCGGTAACGTTCTCGCTGCTGGGATCGTGTGCAATGTCGTAGATACAGTTGGCGAGGATGACCGCGTCCTGCATCGCGTTCACGGCACCCTGACCCGCGCTTGGGAGCATCTGCAAGGAGAGAAATTGGGCATTTTTTTTGTCATTAGTGAGTGATAAAAGCGATCAAAGGGTGAGAGGAATGAGTAGAACATCTCAAAGCCGAGTTGCTTACCTTGTGGGCGGCTGGTAGTAAGCAAAAGGACAACGTGGGGAGCAGCAGCGTACACGAAATGAAAGGGTTCGTCAGATACATGGAGGTGTTTAGAAACAAAGAAACAACGAAGAGTAACTGGTGACGCTCTCTTACCATCGCCGATGAGAACGGCGCGACCGTAGTACCAGGTCTCGAACACTAGAAACGCGTACAAGGCAACAAGAGCGGCGAATGTGATGAGTGCATGGAGGAAGAGTATTTAAAGGAGAGCATATCCCAGACTTGGATACATACTCTTTTCCTCCAAGAAGACCTTGGAGATGCGGTCTCTAGGTGTCATGTCAATGAATTGACCAAGGGGACCATAGGGTGTCGCGAAATCGCGGATCTCCTTGATCATGACCTCGTTACCCTCAGGACCCCACTCGGTGTTCCTGAAGGACTTGTCCTCGGCAGTGGCCTGGGACAGCTGAATCTGAACACCCCAGCAGACGCGCTTCTCGGGAACTGTGAAGACGCTCCACTACGACAAATGAACGAATGAGAGAGCGAGGAGTGAGGAGGCGGAGCACATGTATGCTCAAAGGATCTTCAATCTTGCGCCCATCAAAAAATGCTCCATGGTTGCTGACAACAACAACAAAAAGAGCACTTACCGTGTATGGCTTTCCTTTGCCTATGATGAAGGAAAAATGCGTGAAGTTGTCCTTCAGGGCCTCATACTTTTCTTCATCCAATGGATCCGTGGTTCCGACCATGGTCATGTAGCCGATCTTGAGGCCTTGGGCGTCCTTGAGGGGCAATTCGTCCTTCTCGGCCAGGGACTTGTAAAGGTTCTGTCGCACAGCACTATAGGCACCATCTGCGCCGACGAGGATGTCGCCGATGTAGGAAGTGTTGTCGGAAAAGGTGATGACGACACCACCCTCTTGAGGGTGCTTGACCGAGAGAGCCTTCTTGCCAAACTGGACTTTGTTAGGAACAAGCTTGGACAACAAAAGGTCATACAGCTTTGGGCGCGAGAAGACGATATAGTCGTAGCCGACACTGTGAACGACAGGGAGTGCAGAGCATGGAGGATTGGGACATATAGGGTTAGACCAAAAATAAGGGCAACAGGACGTTGCTGTCAACCTTCTACGGTTTATTTCTTACGCTTCTTTGATTCCCTCGTTGCCTCGGTAAGCAATCTTCTTCATGTTCTCGTTGTAGACGTGCATCCCTGGGCTTATGAAGCTGATCTTCATCAGCTCATCATACAGCCCCAGCTGTTCAAACACCGGCAGGATATTCACATTCAGGGACATGACAGCACCTAAATAATTTCGTCCAATTAATATAAACGTTCTTTGGATGCGTGGCAGCCGAGTGCAGACTGACATTCGATCGCGGTGTGACTCTTCCGTCGAGGCGTCTTTGACGTCCATGCCACACTCTCATCCAAGTCTCCCTTGTATTACCAAGTTGTTTCACAGACGTTGCACGCTCAAAAATCTCATAAGGGATGTTGGCGCGGTCGAGGAGGATGGCTAGGAATACACCTGCGATGCCTGCGCCGACAATCATCACCCGAGGAGGGCTGCTAGGTCTGTACTCTTGTTGTGCCATTTTTCTGAAATATGAAGAATGTAGAGCTGGAGTGCGAGGGTTTGGGAAATAAAAAAAAAAAAAAGATGAAGAAGAGATCGGCGAATGGCGAGGATGAAGAGAGATCCAAGATGATGAGACGATCATGGTCTCCCAGCCATGCACGCCGTACATCTTGTACAACCATGCGAGTAGCATGCTTGCAGCCTTCAGGTTGTTTGTTGTTGTTTTCGTGCCCAGCTAAAAATCAGCATGGTTCAAGGACCCACTTTCGGTTGCAGCTGAACCTTCATGGACAGAACAATCTGAAGGAACCAATTGTAATTCTGATGACATCCATGCATGCAAACATTGTGCGAGAGATAGACCATGCTCATCGATACCATATCCTCCGCCCCATTGCTCCAGTGAACAGGTCGTAGGAGAATGGGCTACTTTCACTTTTGTGGATCCAGTGCGGATTTATTAGTGTCAATTCTGAACAAGGTTTTTTCTTTGCTTAACAAAAACTCAAGCCGTGGCAGCGGCAGTGCTCGTCTTGTTGAGCTGGCTCTGCTCCTCCTGATATCTCTTCGAGGGCTTTTGAGGCAGTGGTGGATGTGTCCCGCGGCTGGGCGTCAGTGGAAGGAATGTACACTGGGGACGATACGCCGCCGCCTTGATGGTGTCTCGATGCAGCATCGACTTGGGAAGATATCCAAACACGATTCGGCGCAGCAGTCGCTCGCTCCAGGTCTGTCACAGACACAACACCAACACATAAGCGCAGAATGAGAACGAGGACAAGACATCATGGGCGCTGACAATATGAAATTTGCCAGGAATAAAGAAGAGTATACATACCTGACCAAAGATGACCTTAGCCATCAGTTTACTGGAGTCGAACTGGAACTTGACGTGTGGGTACCGCTGGTCCTTGTACTCCTTGAATGCCGTAGCGATGTTCTTGGGCGTGGCATCGTTTGCGATGTCGTACAGACAGTTGGAAAGAATCACTGCATCCTGCATTGCATTCACAGCACCTTGTCCTGCGCTTGGAAGCATCTATGGCAATAGGTAGTTATGGAAGCATTGCTCAACATTCTATTGCTCGTATCATTTCATTTGTATTTTCCCTGGGTCCTTTCATTCCGCCATAGACTACCTTGTGTGCAGCTACGGCAGAATAAATTAAACATAAAGTTGGAAGTTAGACACCCGTTTCTGCACTCGATCGAAGAGCAATTTAGCAGAAGGCGGCCATATGCAGCAACGACTCCTTCCTTACCATCTCCAATAAGCACAACGCGGTCAGAGAACCATGTCTCGAACACTACGGTTATGCGTGACAAATGGAACCATTGGTCAAATGTAAGTAGATGGACAACTAAGTGGCTGCGTGAACGAGGCACAAGCAATGCTGGATTGAGTACTTTTCTCCTCCAAAAAGACCTTGGAGATACGCTCTCTTGGAGTCGCATCAATAAGTTGGCCGAGAGGACCATAGGTTGTCGGAAAGTCGTAAACCTCCTTAATCATGGCCTCATTTCCTTCGGGGCCCCATTCGGTGTTCTTGAACTCCCTGTCCTCTGCGCTGGTAGCCTTCAGCTGGATCTGCACTCCCCAGCAGATTCTTTTGCCTGGGACAGTGAACGTGCTCCACTAGATGTTAAAAAAAAAAAGAGAGCTCGGGGTGAGCCTTGAGATTCTTCGCTCTTCCCAAGGAATCATATTCTTAGCATAGAACGCAATATACGACTTGGTACTTACAGTATAGGGTTTGCCCTTGCCGATAATAAAGTGGAAATGCGTAAAGTCGTCCTTCAATTCAGCGTACTTATCCTCATCCAAAGAATCCGAGGTACCGACCATGGTAATGTATCCAATCTGAAGTCCCTGCGTATCTGAGAAGGGCAACTGGTTCTTCTCGCTTAACTCCTTGTACATGCTCTGGCGGACAGCGCTGTAGGCACCATCTGCACCAACGAGGATGTCCCCAGAATACGAGGTGTTGTCGGCGCAATGAATCTCCACGCCTTCGAGGAGGTTCTTGATCGAGACCAGTTTCTTTCCAAAGTGAACCTTGTCTGCATCCAGCTGGGCAAGCAGGAGATCATACAACTGTGGACGAGAAAACACAATATAGTCGTATCCAGCCCTATTTAGAATATGGTAGGCGCATCAACAGGAGATGCGGAGGAGAAAAATGGCGAGCGAGGAATGAGGTTCTAGTTTGGAATAAATAGTGGGGTTGTCCCGCGTCCTAAGAAAAAGCCTTCCTTGTATCGTTACATTGTTTTGATACCGTCATTATCGCGATATCCGATCTCCTTCAGGTTTTCGTTATGGACATGCATGCCGGGACTTGTAAAGCTGATCTTCATCAAATCGTCGTACAGACCCAACTGCTCAAAGACCGGGAGAATATTGACGTTCAGTGACATGATTGCACCTGCAGGCACCGTGGAATCAAAAGATAGATCAGATAGCTGCTCTCTTCTCTTCAACATTGCTTGCTACCGAATCAACTGCCTAGGGAAATAGCGACTGAATGCAATGTAGGGCTGTACCGAGTGGCTTGACAGTCTGGGCGCGCTCGTAGATATCGAAAGGGATGTTGGCCCTCTTGAGCAGGATGGCGAACAGGAGACCCGATACACCAGCGCCGACAATCATGACATGGGGTACTTTGGGTTGGGTGTTGCTGGTGTCTGCCATAGTGGAGAGAAGTGATCGGGTGTGGGGATGAGGAATGAGGAAGTGTGATGAGAGGGATGAATAGCTGGTTCTTTCTTTTATTTTTTTTCCGACGGGTCAAATCTTTATAGTTGCCTCCTTTTTGTACGCCCAGCAATTAGGAACGTGCATCCGATCGTTGCACCTTGCAAGGTGGCAGGTCCAATACCCAATGAACAGAGCAAAAACAAAAACAAAAGGTTTCGAGCTGACTTGTGAGCGCTGGATGTAGCTGCACCATATTGAAAGAGCTGCAGTCTGGACCGTCCTCTACAGCCTAGCACCGTTACCATCGTCTCTGTTTGACTGCGAGCGAATGAGAACCAAGTTGTTCAGATACATGTATCTCTCCCGAAGTACCAACGACGATCAATTTCAGGAACGCGTATTCTTGCCAAATCAAGAAACCGGTTTTTTGATCCTAGGATCACACATCCTAGAGGCACAAAGGTATGATGGACATTGCTGAACTAATTCACTGTCTTCTTTTCTTTTCAAGCATTTTATTATACAGTCCACAGAGCCACTTTCGCGAGCTTCAAGCAAGGCACGCGACTTTTTTATTATACATCTCAGGTACATGTACAATGAAAAAAAAAAAAAATGGATGGCAAGTATCGTTGCTCTAAGTGTTGCCTGTGCAGTTAATCAATGGTAAGAACCAATGGATAGTGGACCCAAACAATGGAGCGCTCAAGCGAAGGATAAGGCCAATCCGCGAATTTAGGCCTGGGCATTCAGGGTCTTCTGAAAGTAATTCTTTAGAGATCCCTTCTGATTCAAGTACTTGACGTAGCATCCATCAGGCTGCAATTGACCGGCGGCACGCTTCTCAATGTACTCCTCGCGAGCGAGCTTAGTGAAACCCCATTTCTTAGAGACAATGATTTTCTGGCGACCTGCAAACTTGAACTTGGCACGGCGGAGAGACTCAATGACAACGGCCTTGTTGTTATCCTTGGTACGGACCGAGAAGATGACCTGACCAATGTCGACACGGGCAGCGGTACCCATGGGCTTACCGTAGGCACCACGCATACCGGTCTGAAGACGATCAGCACCGGCGCAGGACAACATCTTGTTGATACGCAAGACGTGGAAGGGGTGGAGACGGACACGCATGTGGAAGGAGTCCTTTCCGGAGTGTTTGGAGATGTATTTGTTGGCGCAGATACGACCAGCCTCGAGTGCTTCGGATGTGATCTGCTGCTTCTCATCGCAGAGCAAGTGGACACACAGTGGGAACTCGTCAACGTTGGCCTTCTTGCGCCCAAGGTCGTATATGCGGATCTTGGGGTCAGGGACACCCCGACAGAAGCGGGACTTTGGATAGGCCTTGTTCTTTTGGTAGCGGTAGCAGCGAGCAGGACGGCGACCCATTGTGATGGAGGTTGATAAGGAAAAGAGCTGAAGGGAGGAGTGTTCAGGAAGAAGGCGTAAGGGCAAAGAGGGTCTGAAGTGGATGCTGATGGGGAAGGGTGGGAAACGAGTTAACAAGAGCAAGTACCGAGCAACTGGCTGCGCTGCTTTTATTGTTTTTGGTCGTTTCTATAATTAATAAGCAATTTTTATTTGAAATCTATAGTAATGCCGCAGTTCGCACTTCCATTTTCATCCCTTCGTTATCGCTCCACACGGCGCCTAGTATTGGTGCCTGATAGATAAAAGGAACACTGATACTGACACTATATCGAAAACCGCAGTACTCGCGAGGAACACCGTTTATTTATTTATTTTTATATTGACGCCGGATCCCCCAGGCGGCAGGCTACATTGTCTAGAGAAGTGTCACGTGCATATGTTGCAACGGTCAAGTGCCGTGCGACTAATGAAGTTATGAGGAGAAAGAAGAGGGAGGGCAGGAAGGCTCGCCAATCATTCCTTTCTCATTCCAGTATTTCATTGTTCATTCAGCGCCCATGAGACTCCGCATCAGACACAAGGAGGGTACTGCGACCCTTACAACTCTTTCCGCACAGTCCACCTTGCTTGAGCTGCATGTAAGGGCCCACTTTGCTTAGACATATTCCAATTGAAACCCCAGTGTATCCTTTTCCTTTTGACTAAACATGAGCCTGGAATCTGTCAAATGACGCAGAGCGAGATCGCCCGCGAGATCAAGGCACCTGTCGATAGACTGGAATGTATGTGTCAATTTTGGTCCGATTCCATGCAGGGTTGGGGCTGTACTGTCTTTCTCACTGTGTTTCTATTCCATTGGATCCGTGCCACCATCGTTACTCTTTTTTGCTATGGAATCGTATTACAGTAAAATTCGGATATCCGCCCAAGTTAATTGTCATAGACGAGACAACCGCTCATTCTTCCCTTGAGAGCCTCGGCATTAGGGATGGGGAGCAAATCCTGACGTCCGAGTGGCCAGAAGGATCGGCTGCCACATTCAATTTTTCCTCGTCGCATTTCTCGGTATCAGCAGCAGAGACCGCAACTGAGGCTACAATGGCCACCGCAACGAGTTTCCCGCCCACTAGCAGCAAACATGCTGGCATTAGTGCACTTGGTGCTTCGACAGAATCTGGAGGTGGTAGTGCATTTGGGTCTCGTGCCGCTGTCCATTCAACTGGAGCACAGTCGACATTCCAGGTCCGAGCAGCTACAGAAAGCCCGGCCGGAGGGCATTCATCTGATGGTCCCTCTTACAAGCCCACTCCAGCTTTCATAGCCGTGCCGCCAATGCTTTCAAGCGGCGCTGTTGATGCTATTCGTATTCGAGACCAGGGCTTCTTGGTTGTCAGAGTAAGCACGGTCGTCAATTGGTTGTACATCCTGTCAAAAAAAATAAACCTACCTTTCGGTTACTGAGATCATTTCATACTACCGTAATGTAACAGGAAGTCGAGGACGACAACAGCTGTCTCTTCAATGCTATTGCCTACACACTCGATCCAAGTATGAAAGAAAACATCAAGGGTCTTCGCCAAATTATTGCACAAGCGATTGAGGCGAACCCTGAAGTGTATCCGGATGTTGTCCTTGGGTAAGTGTCGCACCAATATGGTAGAATGCCATCGAAGGGTTATGTCGATCGCTTAATAATCACTTTATACATCTCTATTGAATGCCGGTTTACACCGTAACAACGCTACCATGACACAGTCGCCCAAGAAAAGAGTATTGCGATTGGATCACTAGGGAAAAAAGCTGGGGAGGAGCTATTGGTAAGCAGACTTACAGCTTGATGTGTCGCAGTACTTGCGCTAAATGTTGGATTGGATTGGCATGGGTATTGGTTACGTATGGTTGACCTTGGACTGTGTTATCCTTCCATGTTTGCCTAGAACTCGCCATCTTCTCCGAACACTACAATATTGGTAATGTACTAGAAGGACATACTTTCAAGTCGTTGAGAAGGTGCATAGAAGCTGGGTGACCGGCAAAACTGATGTCGACTGACTTCGTCTTCTATTTTGTTACAACAGAAATCGATAGCATTGACGTAGCTACGAATCGAGTGGATCGCTTTGGTAAGAGCCGCGACCTCATTCGAGCGTGAGCAACGACTTAAGGCGCAGCATATTCATCTTACCCGTGCATCTTTACTTGGCTCAACAGGGGAGGGCAAGTACAGTCTGAGGACTGTGTTGATGTACAGGTAATACTCGGGACGGACGTGATATTCCACAGGCTGTAGTATAAGCGGTAAAATGGTTACTTATTATGAATGTTCCCCGTGTAATGGTTCCATTCGTGAACAATGAATTGATGCTCTAGCGGTATCCGTAAGTGAAGTCCTTGGGCGCAGCATTCTGTTGCTTTTTTATCCTGCATCATTGTCAACTAACGTACTCCATTTTAGATTATGACGCGGTGGCCCTTACTCCAGGGTTGGATATTCCAGCCGAGTGCGATCAAACTCAGTTTGATACTACGTTCGATGACATCATCGTTGCCGGAACACAGCTCGCCGCCAAACTGAAGAAGGTACGGTCCCAGTGTTAAGCTGTCAATTAGCCCATTACAATCGCTGCTCGCGCCTACATTAGACTAACATCCCTAACACAACACGCATTTCGTGTAGGCGCATAAATATACCGATTTGGCGACATTCACGCTTCGATGCTCGGTGTGCCAAGTGGGTCTCAAGGGCGAGAAGGACGCTCAACAGCATGCGCAGCAAACTATGCATACTTCATTGTACGTTCTCTGCTGGATTTCATTTTCAGCTGTCGCAAGATTTGTGAACCGTGCGCTGATACCCTTGCCTTTCCTTTTCCCACTAAATAACTAGTGAGGAATACCAGTGAGAAATACCAGTGAGAAATACTAGTGAGGAATATCAGGGATAGGGTCAGGCCCCTCCCCTTCCCCCTCCCCTGGCGCCCGCGTTCTTAGACCACCGGCGGACAAATAAAACCAATTTGAATCTGAGCCCACTCAAAAATACAGCAGCAATGGCAGCTGTATGAGTGTGACTCGATATTTTTGTGCAGCTGTTTTCTTGCGTACACTATCCTTTTCACCCCTTTCCTGTCATTGCTCTTCATAGTTTACACTCATCAAAGACAACCAGAACATCCCCTCAAAGACAACCAGTGCACATCCCCAGCATCACTCGCCATGTCAGCTCCAGAAGGGCACCTCAAGCGTAGGATGCCAGACAGCCCTGAGGGCGCTTCTGGGAGACACGGACGCCGCTTTGCCGGGGATGCACCTGAGCCTACTTATGGGTCCAGGAGCAGCCACGCCTCCTCCTCCTCAGCCCCAGCCCCTATCCCACCCAACCATGCCCTGACGGAGAATGCGCTAAGGCCTGATCGTGGAGGCAGGGAGGGCAGGGCCACCCGGGTTACAGCAAACTTTTTTTCTATTGAAAGGGTATGCTGTGTTGTCAAACTACACCGCTTCTCAGCATCTGCAGCATATTTCGCCTAAGCGGTGTTCTTCTGTCTTGCTTGTGCCTATGTTCGCGTTTTGAACTGCTTTATTCCTCTCCTTTGACGCCTTTGGAGTAGTTGCCCCACGCCAAGCTCTACCATTACGATGTTCAAATCACTCCAGAGATCCCACCCAAGAGAGCCAGACAGGTGAGAGACTCAAACTCATGCGAGTGGCACGGCGGTATTGCATCTACCAATTCACTCATGCATCCATCTACCTACGTCCAAATCTTATGTTGCAGCTGTGGGGTTACCTCTCCAACGAACCAACGTTTGCCCGCGAACATCGCAGGGTCGTATTCGACGGAAAAGCGAACGCTTTCTCATCACAGGAACTGCAAGTGGTTGGAAATGCAGTTGCCATTCAAGTAAGTATCTGAATCTGTTGTATTTGATACTCTTTCGATATTGCTGGGCATGATATCTCCTCTCATTTTCCGATGTCGGGCTGCTAACGCCTTTTCGTTTTCATGTTTATATAGATGGAAATGCCAGGCGAACGTGGTGCTCCAAACAAGCCGATAGCCAAGAAAAATATGTTCACAATCAAACTGGTATTCGTAGCAATCATCGACATTGCGGAATTGCAGCTCTTCCTTGAAAAGAGAGGCCCATTCACAACCGCCTGTGCTACGGCCATTCAAGCACTGAATGTTATCCTCACTCACAAACCATTCTCAGAGATGATTAATGGTATATCCTGATATTACATTTATTCATATATTGTGCAGCAGCACCATGCTTCCCAACATCTAACACCCGTTCTTCGATTTTCCTCTGCCGACTCGATGGAAACAATAGTCGGCCGTTCGGTGTACGTTCCTGAGGGAGCTCGTGATTTGGGTGGTGGAATCGAGAAATGGGATGGTGTATTTCAGTCGATCAGACCAGGGCAGGACGCTTGTTATCTCAACATCGACACAACTGCCACGGCATTTATCAAGGGCGGAAATGCGGTTGAGGTATTTGGTGACATTGCTCGGATTCAGGATCTCAGGCGCGGTTTGAGCAGCTACGATATCACCAAAATCGAGCGTGTCCTCAAAGGCTGCGATTTTACCGTCAAGCACGAAAAGAGTCAGCGGAGGTAACGTTTGTAGTTGGTTTGAAACAGCATCGGAGAGTTTAGGCAAAATGATTTAACTAAATTCGTTTTCTAATAGATTCAAGCTGGTCAAGCTTAGTGAGAAGGGTGCGGATAGAACCTACTTCAAAATGGTTTCGAACGATGGCGTCTCCAGAGAGATCAGTGTGGAAGAATACTTCCGGCAGGCCCATGGTTTCTCGTTGAGGTATCCTGCTCTCCCTTGCTTCGGTGCTAAAGGAAGGGAAAATATCAGCTATTTTCCAGCAGAACTTTGCTTCATCAATCCTGGTCAGCACTACAAGAAAAAAGTAGGCCGCGCTCATAACACATGCATGGGAGATATAGGTCGTTTTATCATATGCTTTCTTCTACTTTACTCATCTACTCATTTCACTGTTTACCATTGAATCCATATTCTCACAGCTCAACGAGGAGCAGGTGGCTGCCATGATCAAAACCACCGCTATCAGACCTGATGCTCGAGCACAGAAAATCAACAGCTCTTTGCGTATCCTGGATTTTGACCGCAATCCTTACTTGGAAGCATTCGGACTTCGCATCTCGACTCGTATGGCGTCCGTACCCGCACGTATTCTGCCCCCACCTATGGTACAGTTCTCGAGCGGTATTCAGGAAAGACCAAACTCTGGTGTCTGGAATCTGCCACGGTCACGTCCATTCAAGCAGGGCTCTCGATTGGAATCATGGGGACTCCTCGTCTTTGCACGCGAAGACAGGGTTTATAACAGCATTGGCAAGTTTGTTCGGTTGCTGGTTGAGGTTCTGTCAAGTGTTGGTGTCGTTGTTACCGCGACCCGACCACCTGTCGTGTACGGGCAAGTCAACGGAGACATCGTCCGAGAGGTCGACTCTGCGAAGAGACGCATCGAAGCGGAGTGCCGACGCCCACCTCAGTTGCTGATGGTCATTCTCCCAGGCAAGGGCCAGATTTATCCCATGCTCAAGGCACATTGCGAGACACAAGGACGGGGGCTGATGACCCAGTGTGCATTGTTGCCCAAGATCGAGAGAGCCAACGATCAATACTGCCGATTGATGGCATGTAAAATCCTCACCAAGCTCGGAGGTGTGGTTAGCACGTTGGCTGTGAACGAGATGCCTTTCATGGAGAGACGGAGCACGTTAATCATTGGTGCAGATGTGAGCCATCCAGGCCCAGGAGAAGACAGCGAGAAGCCCTCGATTGCGTCGATTGTTGCATCGATTGACGACGAAGGATACAAGTTTATCGGAAGAGTATTCTCACAGGATCCACGGTTGGAGGTTATCGAGACTTTGCAGTCAACCATTCGTGAGATCATCATTGCATACAAGAGGAAGACAAACCATCATCCCAAGCGCATCTTGTTCTATCGAGATGGTGTATCCGAGGGTCAATTTGCCGAGATTCTGAGAACCGAGGTTATGGCTATCAAGCTGGCTTGCAAGGGTCTGGATGGTAAGTAAACTGCGTCGGATTTGGTTCTTGGTAGTTTGTGTAAGCGTGTTGGTGTGCTTGGACCCTAACAGAGCTGGTATTTGTTTTGTCCGCATGTCGTCTTGTAGCAAAATACATGCCTCCCATAACTTTCGTTGTTGTGAAGAAGCGTCATCACGCAAGGTTCTTCCCACAATCCAACCAAGACCGAGATAGGTCCGGAAACTGCGTGTCAGGCACAGTCGTCGACACCGTCATTACGCACCCTACAGAGTTCAACTTTTGTAAGTCCTGTGTGTCTATTAGTCTTTATTAGGACTCTTTTTTGTTTTCTGCAGGCATGCTAAATGTTTTTTCTTCTCGCGAAAAAAGACCTTCAAAGTCATGCCGGACTTCAAGGAACATCCCGATCGATGCTGTACCATGTTCTCCTGGATGAGAACAAGTTCACATCCGACTCGCTCCAGCGGTTGACGTTCAACCTCTGTCATATGTACAGCCGATGCCCCAGGACAATCTCAATCGTCCCTGCCGTGCAATATGCCCATATGCTTGCCTACCGTGGCCGATATTACCTAGACTATGCTCAAGATCGGCGTCATGATGTGGAGTTTGGACCGATCAGGATTGCGGTAGGTCTTATTACTACTGCACTCGCACGCACTGTTCTTTTATTCCGGAAACTAATATCCACGTCCTTTTGTTTTGTGTTTATAGGACGACATCCTTGATGCAATGTTTTTTGTCTAAAGATCACTAACGTATATTAAGACACTCAAACGATGGCATTCAAAAATCATGAAAATCTTTGCAAATAAAACAAGACTGTGTAATAAAATGGGCTGCATATGGTTCAAGCGTGCATGTTTGGAATTTAATGATAGAGCTGGTACGACAGTTGATAACAAAGGTGCATGTTGTTTTCTACGTTTTATTATCAATGCTAGTTCTCATTCCTGTCCATAAAGCCATTCGCCCTGCTTGTTCTTTCACAGGTCAAAGGACATCAAATCAACGCCGCCGCCCTTACTCACGGAGGCGGCTGTGGTATCTGTGCGGTATGGGTTCTCGGCGTTGATCTTTTGTTCGTAATACTCTTGGTTGCCGATCGAGGCCTCGGCCACCTGCTCGAACGACTGCTCGTGGTATGACAGCCGTTGGTGATGTGGCTGCTTGGGCGATGCTGCATCGTTATTGTTGTTGTAGAGATGCTCGTAAGAATCCTGGTGGATCAGTGTTCCTCTACCAGAGTTCTGTCTCCGTAGCGTTGGCGAGGGGATCAGGAAACGAGGTTTACAATGAGGGATAAACGTCGTAGGGGCCTTGTGATAGATAGCGGAGAGTGATGCGATATGAAGCAAGAGTTCTTCCAGCAGAACCGGGTCCATATTATCCGTCTCTGTCGAGATATGGGGCTTCTCTGAAAGGACCACAGCCTATACCCAAAATGCGACGATTAGCGAATAGAGTAAGCGTCAGCATGACGAACAGTGAAGAGCGATTTTCCTGAGAAGTAAAACGAAGGCGATTGTTTACCTTTGCTGCGGCGACATCTGTGGAGAGTAATCGCCAGTAAATGTAGCCTCGATCTCTCAAATCAGGGTTGTCGACTTCCTCGGTTGCCCACTTGAGCACCTTTGGCACTAAATCCTGTCCTGCTGCGGGTCGTTTGATGAACAGCTTGACGGTAGCTGTGAGTAGAGCGAGTTGCACTTCCACAGTCTCCTCCAAGAAGGCGTACAAAAAGTCGTCCAGCAGCTCATCAGAGTTCTCTATCCGGTCCGCGTACTGTCCGATGATCCAGATCATAGCAGCCTTCGCCTCTGGCTCATCCAGGTTGTCCAAGTTCTCGCACAGAATGCCAATGATACTCTCGTACTGGTTGGGGTATTTCCTGAAAATATCCTTAATAACTACAATCGATTCCTGAACCACGTAGTTGACCTTTGTCTGGATGAGTTCCAGCAGTGCCTCAACACACTTCTGTGCCGTCGACTCAATCTTGACCGCCAGTCTTCCAATGGATCGAACGGCCTTCCTAACAAAATCCACGTCGACTTCTGTTGCGTACTCTTTGAGTTCTGAGAGGACCTGCTCCACATTGTGTTCGCTGGCGAGACGAAACATGATCTCCAGTTTAGCCATTTTGACGTAGATCGGGTCGTTGTATTTGCAGAAAAAGATCTTGATGTCATTCTTCAAGATGTCAGGGTGCTTCTGGATTACGAGGAGGATGTTACGCAGGCCAACGTACTGAACCTCGGGTCCACTCGACAGCAGCGTTACTATGATAAAATCCAGAAAAAAAAGAGGCTTATTAATGGAGGGACCGTCAATTCCCTGACCCGAATGTCCTCGTAGAATGGTGTTAATAACTCACCGAGAGGAGGTGACAGCTTCTTGCACATGTTGGCAATATCCTCGTCCCTAGCCATGTAGTTCATGAGATAGACAATAACCTTGACAGCCGTCAAGACTACAGCAGAGTTGGCATGCTGCAATCGAGGCGCAATGCGCTCTGCCAACATTTCAGCGTCGCCTGGTTCCTGAGGAACGACAAACATGAGCGATTCCAGGATGTAGGTCTGTCCCCATCTAGTTTTGTTCACAAGAAATAATTCTCATGTTAGAGTCTTCACTACAGCTCCAACGGATAAAAATATATCAGTGCAGCTTTGTTGGGCTCTCCCAATGGTATTCATAAAACCTACTCTGAACATTCGTTCAGGGCTGTTACCAGCTTGCTGGCAATCGACATGTTGAGTTTGAGCTGGATATGGTCAGATCTTTCAGAGATCTCTGTCAGCGCAGCGACAGCGTTTGCAACAACCTAAAGAGATAATGGAAGGTTGCACAACCATCCATGGTCAGTGCTATTTTGGTATGTAAAAGAGATATTCTGACATAACGCGCCAGCTCTTCCGCAAAGATACGCACCGAGGGGTTCGAGTCGACGAGCATGTCGCGCAAGAGATCAATGAATCCTGCATTCTCAACAAGGTGGCGATCCTGCATAAACATCTTTGCTACACAGACAGCGGCGGTCTTGCGAACATATGGATCCTGATCGCGCATGCAGTGACGCAGGGGTTGAATCAAGCAGGCCGTGACCTTATCGACGTGGATATAGCCCATGGTTCGGATGGCCAGTGCTCGGATCAGTGGGTTGGGGTCCTCAACATCCTGTAAATGAATTCATGATAGTTGCCGTGCATTGATCAGGATAAAAAAAAATATATATATTAGTGCTCAGTCACTTCCAATATGGCTCTTTACATTTGCAATTGCTGAAGTTCCACATATCTGGGATTCATGATCATTACCCGACGGAAGGTATTAATAGCGTCGAGGGCCATATCTGGCTTGCCTTTCGCATAGTTGATTAGGAAGAGGTAGACCATCTTCTTGACCTCGAGCACAGGGATGGACATGCACGCAATGACATCGGGGTAGAGTGAAGACATATCGTTGCCCATGGTCATGTTGGCGACAATCTTTTTCAAAGTCGCTTTCTTGCGGGTGTGGTTCCTATCCTTTTTGTCCGAATTGAGCTCCATGCGAAGCTCTTGGATCTTGCCTACAATGAGGTCGCAGGGGATATGGCATTGAGTGAGTGAGTTAACTGGACGAAGGAAGGGTGCGGGCCGCTCAGATGAGAAAGTGTACGAGTGTGCGACATACCTCGCTGGAAGAACTTGGCATCGGACATCTTGCTGTAGATGTGAACGGGGAGATGATGTGAAGACGATGTGAGGACAAGGGGAGGGATGAAGCTAGGGTGACAAGGATGTGTGTGCGAGGGCTGAGGATGATGGAGGATGAGACGGAAGAATTGATGTGTAAAGGGCGAAGGCGAAATAATAGTCCGCTGTCGCGACGTTGCACCAATTTGGGCGTTCACTTCTTGTTCGCGCTTATCAAGCCACTTGGAAAAGGCATTGTTTCCTCCCCATCCTCCGGCCAACATCTCCATGGAGCCTTCAGGACCATCTGCAGCCGCTACAGAAACGGCCTTGGCACTATCAGCGCCCGTTCCGGAAGGCCTTGCAACACCCGTTCAGGGGTCAGCTGTCGCCCGTCGCAACTCCCAGAGGCGCCAGTCACTCACAGGACTTCAGTTCCTGAACCAATTGCTCGAGGACCATGAACACGACCACGACCACGATCACGACCATGACCATGACCATGACCATGACAATGTAAAGTGCTGCCCGACTGTTTGACTAATATTTTATATTCCGAATTTCAAGGGCTGCTGAGGAATATCGCCTAACAACGAACCTCCTTGTCATTATCTTCGTGTCTTTTTTTTATTTATTATTTGTTAGGATCCAATTAGCGGTGCCGTGTCGCCGAAAGTGGGACAGGAGTCATCAATATCGCTATTCCTGCAGGACGATCTTGCCTTTGAACAAGTTGGAGGTATCTCTCTCGGAATCGGTGCTGTGCAGCAGGACATATGCGGCTGGATTGCTTCAACGACTAATATTTTTACCATGGCACTTATAGATCGAATATCAGAGTTTCAAGAGGACGAGTTTGTAAAGCAGGCATTGGCAAAGGTGAGCTCATGGGACATAGTCATTGATATCGGCTCAATGAAGTTCAAGTACTGACAACACTTCTATGGATTATTTTTTACATAGGGCATGGATCTTCGAGAATACGCCCATCACATCGAGAGTGAATTGGATATTGTTGGCCAGGATCATGAGGATGACTGTAAGCTAGAAAATGACATACTCGTTTCAGGACCTAAATGTCACAGGAAAGGATATCGTCTCAATGACACTTTAATAACACCACCCTACCCATTTTGTTCTGATACAGATATACATCAAAGTCAAGCATTCGTCGATCTGCATGGCCAAATCAAATCCTGTGACGAAATCCTGGAAACCATGGAAAACCTTCTTAGTATTTTTCAGACTGATCTTGGTAACATTTCTACAGAAATCCAGACACTTCAGACGAAATCGGTCTCGATGAGCATTCAACTCAAGAACAGGATGGCGGTCGAGAATTATCTAAACGAATTGCTCGAGGGCATTCTGGTCACACCACAGTTGATCCGTAAGATCTATGATGGCGAAGTGGACGACACTTGGTTAGCAGCCCTGGCCGAGCTGAACAGCAAGATGTATCATGCAAAGACGAGGCAAGGTCGACATATCAGAGCCTTGAAAGAGGTCGGACCTGAGCTGGAGCGTCTGCGCGTCAAGGTGATGGCTCTTGATCACTGGCTCTCAAGGATGTACTTGATTTCAAACCACATCACAGCTAATTGTCTTCGATCGCTGTCATTACATTAGAGTGTGGAAAAAATCCGAGAGTTCTTGCTGTCAAAGATCAAGTCGTTCAGGATACCCAATACCAATGTCCAGATCATGCAGCATTCTGTCCTACTCAAATATAAGGAGCTTAACCAGTTTGTCATGGAGAGGCACAGCGAAGTCGCAGCCGAGGTCCGACAAACCTATGCCAACACGTTACGATGGTACTTTTCGAACCAGTTTGAACACTATGCTACAGGCCTCGAGAAGCTGCAGGTACGAAAGTAATTTGTTTGTATATGTGGAATCCGCTAAATACGATTTCAACGGTTCTGACTTGTTCATGTTCTTGTTATAGAGTGTTATTGGAGACAAACACGAGATGCTGTGTGCAGATGAAAGTGCTCGGAAAGGTAAGGACAAAGGGTACCTGTATCTGATGCGATCTTCTCGCTCTACTCCTTTTCTGGCAAATTCACATCTTATCTAAAATCATAGGGTTCTTTGGAACGACCAAAGCGCTGCACGAAAAGACGAACGTGTTTGCAGTAGGGTCACGTCTCGACACTCTTAAAAATCAAGATGCTGGCCTGATTTTGATTCATGTGGCAAACGAGAAGAGCTTGGTAATAACACGGGCATATTGCCCTGCGGTACATCGCGGTATAGATTACGGATACCAATCTTATCTTGAAACCCTCTCGTCCATATCTAGAAATATCCATACGAAGTCCTCTTTCGAAGCTTTAATCTGGCGCTGATCGACAACGCCAGTTCCGAATACTTGTTCTTGGTCGAGTACTTTTCAAAACGGTCGCAACCAGACATCGAGGGCATCAAATTGGTCTTTTCGCACATTTTCGAACCTACCCTCAAGCTAGGACTTGTAAGTTTTCGGCCACGCAATTTCCTCCGCAACACTTTTCCAAAAAATTGAGTTTCATTCTCATTGTATACTGATATCCGTGATATCATCATCGTAGGCGAACGTCAAAGAATATGCGGACTCGAGCTTTGATGCCATTGGGATCTTGTTGTGTCTGAGGATCAATCAGCAAATGGCAAAAGAACTGGAGAGGAGAAAGATCCCGATGCTGGACAAGTACAGGGATGCGATCCATATGGCGCTATGGCCTCGCTTCCAGGTTGTCGTGGATATGCACATTGAAAGCATTCGCAAGGCCAAGACAAAAGTCAAGCCAAAAAATGTGCACCCTCACTGGGTATGTCCCTCAGGTGCATAGTCATTCACATACATTCAATGCCTAAAAAAATGTAATGATCACTCAAACAACCCCTTGTTTTTGGATATTTGTAGATTGCGAGGAGATACGGGGAATTTGCAAGTTCGCTGTTGTTGCTGAATGACGAACAAGCGGATGTCATGCCAAGGTAGTAAAGACGCGAAACTTTGCAAGGGGATGTCATGGTCGAGCTGCTCGTTTACGCTGATAATGATACCAATATCTGCTTTTCGACCTTGAACAGGTTGGCGTTGCTGAGACTTGAAACAAGTTCACTGTTTGACATCATGTCAAAAACTTTCCCGGACACGAAGAGCAGGCTTATCTTCTTGATCAATACCTTCGACCTTGTCCTGACGCTCCTTGCTGTAAGCTCTCTCACTTATGGTTTTCTTTCAATGTATTTTCATCGCTTGTCGTCCAAATGGTCTTAAACATGTTCTATGGATTTATAATTTTTACTAGGATGTTCGCACGAATGGAGTGGAAGTCGAGAATGAACACTGGAAACAGGCTCTGCATCAAACCATCGCCTTGTTTGTGGAAGAAGAGTTGAAGCCATATTTTGGCGACCTGATCTCCTTCATCCGGATGGTCGATATCGCTGGTGGCGTTTCCAAAGTCCAGCTTGGTATGTATACCCTCTTCACCACCTTTGTACGATCACTGTCAATGCATGAACTTTTCTCTCTTAAGCATCGCAAATCTCCCTGCTTTTCAATATTGCTGATGAATAGATCACTTTGAAAGGACCTCCTTCGCGTTCAGTAACTCCTGGCGGCAGTCGCTGCTGGCGATCAATACAAGCGTCATCCAACACTTTTCGAGTTTCAAGAACGGAACGCAGGTGCTGCATCAGGTTTTGGGCCAGCTCATCGTTTATTATACCCGGTTTCATAATCTGTTGGACGAGAAACTGCAGGAGCTAGGATCGTCGGCTGGTGGCTCTAATACTGCCGTCGCAACCACGACGAGAGGCTGGTCCCATCAGCCTGTGGGAGTCCAGACGGTCATGGTTGAAGTCAAGAAGTTCAGGTCCAACTTTTTACCATAGGCGGCGGTGGCCGGAAGAAAAATAATAAAAAAACGACTGATACAAGTTTTCGAACAGGAATTGATGTTATCTTTTTTATTTTTTGAAATGATGAGTATGATATTGTGTGGTACTATTTCGTTTCATATCGACGATGCTCTACGACTATACCTGGTCTCCACGTAGCCTTGCAGTCGTCTAAATTATCTGGCTTCTTGGAGCAAGAAAAGTAAAGCCGTTCCAGGAACCGGAATCGCTCTACGAGCTCGTGATAGATGTCTGCAGTGTGGATGATGCATGCCGCCCGAAAGGTGATTTGGAGTTCATGTAGGAAGGGGCGTTCTCGCGACCAGTCCTCAATCGTAGACACCCTGCCTGGATCATCAGTGCTCTTGAATGTTTTGTCGACGGGCGTCTTGGAAGACGACGTATCACTATCACAGCTGGCTACGGTACTTTCAACAGAAGGACATCTTCCTAGTCCATGAAAGAGCTGATAGTCTTTGATGTAGCGGTCGATCCTCAGAATTTCAAGACGAGGCAGAAGACGTAAGATCCCATTCCACACGGGCAAACTGTCGTACTCGATCACAGACTCTCTTGCAAATCCGGCTCCGATGTGCAGACTTGTCAACGCAGATACAAAGAGCATCTTTTCTGTGATCTCCTACTCAAATGCAATACAACGTAATGCGAATGTTAGCACTTCAATAAACGTCCCTGCTTGTACGTCTCATTCGGGAAGAAGGGAAGTTTTTTGAGGCATGCGCGATAAGCATTTACCTGTTGGATGTAAAGATGGTTCACACGCGCCAAGAACGGTGCCTCGAACAGGCGCTCGAAATCTCGTCGCGATTGAGAATTGATCCAGCAGGGTGAGAGTGCGAACCTGTTCATAAACCGACCCTCGCTCACGCATTGGTTCGCCATCGGTAATAACGTCTCGATATTTTGCGAAATCTGATGTGTCTCCAAAGACAGTAACCCAGGGCGATTCTTGACAATCTCGTAAATCAGATCTTCGTTCCCTTCATATCGATCCACCAATTTAATATGCACCAGGTCTGGAAAGGGTACTCGGTGATCTCTGTCGGAGATGGTGGTTATCGTAGTTGTTGCTGTTGCAGAGTGGGTGAGGGTAGGTGTAGGTACAATGGCTGTAACACCAGCTGCGGTTGAACTGAGAGATGTGGATGACGAGGCGAGCGAGGAAGACATGCCCAAATGCGAAGTTGGATTCAGAGGGTCCGGTTCAAAGACCTGGAGCCAAGTGTTCCTGCATTTGTTCATCTCGAGCGAGGTCAGTTTCGGAAAGATATGATCTAGATCCAACATGACCAACACGGGGCACTCGCAGAACGAGAGTGCGAGCGACCGAAGATGAGGGTACTTCCGACTCGAGGCATCGTCGATCCGCTCAAACGACCGTGGCTCGTCATCGTCTTCATCTTCGTCATCATCTTCGTCTTCGTCGTCTTCGTCGTCCTGTTCATTCGGAGCCTGCTGATTGTTATGGGCACTCGTATTCGCACTTCCATTGCTGACGGATATAGTTGAAAACGTCGTGTTGGTAGGAACAGTGCTTAGGTCTTGACCGGCATCGAACGTTGTGACATCCCCCTCCTTGCCTGCCCGAAACCCTATCCCAGTGAGTGAAAGGTGTTGCAATGAAGGAAGTCTGTCGAGCGCCGATTTGAACACCTTCCATCGGATACAGTTCGTATCGGGGACTCGGTGCTTGATGTCCAATGACCGCAACGAAGCATGGCCACCATGACCCGATATTTGTCCCGCAGCTCTTGAGGTTGTTGACGATGATGTTACCGTTGTTGTCGAAGCTGTTGTGGTTTGATAGTGCTTGCCTTCACCCGATGCACCACTCGTAGCACTTGTGAAACTCGCAAGAAAGACATTGAGGTCCACAGTGTTGTAGAAAGAAACATTTAACACCTGAAGCCTCGGAAGTATTGACAGTAGATCACGAAAGACCTTGAGGTCTCTGTTCCAGCGAGTGACAGACAGTGTATGGAGGTTTGGACACTTTCGCAGAATGGGCAACAACGTGTCAAAGTTATCCATTGAGTCTGCGGTGATGGTGTGAACAATGCTCCCGTAACTCTGGGCGAATCGGAGTTGGTTTGTCAGCAGCATCCTTTTCTCTCGTGCTCCTGCTTCGTCCTTTCCTGTCTCTGGCTCTATCTCTTTCTCTGCTTCTGTGCCTACCCCTGTCCCGGAACCATTGCTGGATATCACCGGATTATTGTCGTGGTTACTATCCAAGAGCACTGGAAATGCTGTCCATGACGCCGTAGAGTTGCGGTGAAAATGCAGACGCAGATAAGGTATGAAAGTCCTGTAAAAAGTCCTCGATACCAAGCGAAGTTGACTGATGTAGATCGGCAGGAGATATTGCGCGATACTGTCTGCTAGCTCCGGGATTTGGAATACTCTGTAAACGGGCGAGGCCCGGCCGGGCCTTATTCCAGACAAATTTAACGAGCCCGCCCCCGTTCCTGAGTCATGCTCTACCGAAGGCCCCATCAAACGAATAAGGAACAGACCAAGGTGATGATGAGATGCTGGTGTGGAAGTGCAGGATGATCCACGAATGATGCGGTCGCTCGCAGGGAATGCTTGCCACAGCACCCATGAAGGTCCTCGTGATACCTCTGGCTCAACACGTCGCGTGATAATGCACGCACGCGTTACCCTCTGCATGAGGCAGCCGAACGTTCGCGGGTGATATGTCTGCGTCTCGAGGGGTATGGACAAGGAACTCGAGACGTTTTCTCACAGTTGTATTCACGATGGGCAGGATTTATTATAGTGATGTCGCTATTCTATAATGATGGCTGCATACCTGCAACGATGGTGCTGGCTTTACCCATCAGATCCAGTAGGGTATCCCCGCCTTCTTGATCATTATTGTAGCCCATGTTTCTGCCAAGCTCGTGCAACTTTTGAAGAGCTGGTTGAGCATATGACGGCCATCTACCTGAACCTCCGACTGAGAACGCGCTCAGGCCACTTCCTGATCCAGAGCTTATAGAGGACGATGCTGTGGGAGGAGCGACAGTGATGTGGGTGTAACTCTGGAGGGACAAAACGATGTCCAGATCCAATTTACTGTCCCGCATTTTGTACCGTGCATTGGCAAGGAGGAGTTTGGCATGCGCCTTCAAGTACGCGGGTATCGTGGGATCTGTTGAAGAGGCGCACGAAGATGACACCTGGTGCTCAATCAACATCAATTTCTTGGAGGAATCGGTAACAACCATATAAATCCTGTTCGAGCTGACGATGATCTCGCCGACGGCTATAATTGACAGGCGAAGTGATAATGAGAAAAGGGATGCGACAACAGCCGAGTAGGCGTCATCATGTCTATGGGAAATGGCGCGAGTAAAACTTACCAAGGATGATCACTGCAAGATCAAGTTCAGCTCCGTGATACAGCTGTCCAACCTCAGCACAGGAGATGACTTCACGAGGACGATAGTCCGTGAGAGTCATGGCCTCAGGGTCAGTGGGCATCTCGCGAACTGTCGTCGCACGAGTCCCAGTTAGTTGAAGCATACCTTCGAAGCCGAGTTCACGGCTCATCTTCTTTGCCATGAGCGAGGTTATCTGCAATGCCGATCAAGATAGTTAAGGTCAACATGCTTCCATGCTTCGCAAATCCTTGCAGACGACACAGCTTGAACGGCAGATCGCGATCTCACTTACCCTGACTCGACGCCCTTCTTGATAAGGCGTATGGTCCGCCTGCCAAAAAGTCACCAATGCTTCTTGATGCCGTCCTCCATCGCCATGGCCATTGTATCTTGTGCCAGATCCATAGTTTCCTACACGGATAGTGAAGAAGGGAGTAATGTTTCTGGCTGCAATCTCAGCCTGTAGCTCTACAGCTCTAGCTTGGACCTCTTCCCGCATTCGTCCGGAATCTCTTTCAGTTCCAAACTCCCTCTCGACTTCCTGAACCATATCTTGGTACCGCTTCTGCACCTTCTCTCTATGAGCCTCACTAGCGCACTCTTCTTCCTTCGCGGTTCGCTTGAGCTTGGTCGTACCATCCTCCAACGTCTCCATATACATAACAGGATACTTTCGCAATACGATGACATCTAGTCCTGGCACAAGTCCACCCTCTGGGGTGATATTTCGGAGCCGCGTCGTCCAAATCAGGGGTGCCCGCTGGAACCCAAGTTTGGCGTCCCATCGGGCTAAACGAGTGCTGTTTGCTTGTAAGATCATAGAGACCGAGGATGTAGATGACCCTGCGCCGGCCAGTTCGAGAATCGCGACCCCGTTTTCCGCACCAGTAAGCTTGGCCCGACAGACATGTATCTTGCTTCCGACCTTGAGTTTTCCTCTCTTTACCGCCCTTGTCAAACAAGCGTCCAAGGCCGCGGGAAGGACGTACCAACCATCCGTGACAGTAACACTCAATACATTTTGCTTGGACTGCTCAGAGTACTCGTCGACAATACTGGCGATGCAAAGGACCATGTGCTTCGCCGCAGCTTCATCTCCTTCGACAATCTTCCGCAAGGCCGGCCGCTCAGCTCGATTGATCTCGCGCTCATAGCGATAAATGAGCTGATCCATGACCACTGCTGGAGAAAAACATAAGGCTGTCTCCGTCGCAAAGTGCTGCGGCCAAGATCGAGTGTAACAGGCCACTTTCCATACAATGAGCCGATAGTGGTTCGCTACCCAGACCTTAGACAGAAGATCTGGCGAGGCACCTCGATCAACCAAACTTTGGTACGAGTCCTCCACGCCCCAGTCTCCGAAACGATACGATTGGGCGCTATCGATAGTCATATTAACCACAGCTTCGGAACTATTGTTTGAAATAATAGAATAATAGATTGAAATCAGCTAATCGCCGCGGTTTGTCACTGGATAAAACCAACAAGAAATGAATAGCATTTCAACCTACATTCCCAAATCAAGCAGCTCTTCAGCGCTTTGGTGGCACGGTGGGCCAAGGGCATCGCGAAAGGTTCTTCTTTGTGCTCGCTCTAGTTATGGAGATATATAAAAATTACGCATTTCATTATATGCCGCCATGCCATAATGCAACCTGTACATTGCCATGAGAATTTTTAAAACGTACCCTGAAGATCAAACAATGGGGTAAATGTGGAACCAGGTAATACCTTGGATGGCTGTACAGGATCCAAATTAGACGGAATCGCAGGGGCTGCGCGGGCATTTGGATGCAGAGTGGTCCTCTTGCTGATCGGTTTCCTGAAAGTATTGGCCTTCCTTACCAACGATACGTTCTCTCCGCTGGTGTTAATAGTGCTGTTCACTGTAGTGCCTATTGCTTGAGATCTTGTAGTGTCGTCCATCGTCGACTTCAATGGCGATTTGAACGACAATGGCGGTTTGAAGGGCGCCTTGGGTTTCGAGAGCGGTTTCATAAGACCCGATAACGAGAAAGTACCCGACGAAGCACGCAAGGATTTGAGTTTCAAATTGTTCATGTTACTTGAGATGGCGGGCTGTTGTTTTAAATCACCTCCAGTTCCAGGGTGTAAAGGTCGAGTCGCAGACGTACCGCCAAGCGACGGCCTGTTATTACCCATACCCGGCTTTAAAGGACTCATGTGAACCGCAGAAATCACTTGATTTGGCTCAGTCATCTCCAGGACACTGAGCGCACGTTCTTGAGCAGCCCTGGATATCGGCGCGAGGGTTTTGCCTGCTCCTGATGAAAATCCAACAAATCCTCCTGCTGCTGATGATTGCGGCGGCTGGATGGGTTCTGATGTTTTCTGAAGTACCGAATCGGTCATGTCGTCCTTAGCGAATTGCTTCGCCCACTTCTCAAGCACTTCTTTAGATGGCGGTGCAAGGTTTTTTCCACTGGCAGACGTGAACCCTCCTGGTTGTTGAGGGGCTAGTGGTCGTGCAAACGTAGTGCTAGCGACTTCTAAATGACCCCGCGATGACGGCTCAGATGATCCGGCATTTTTGTCTTCGTCCTGGAACAAACGCGTTGCTCTCTCTCGGGCAGCGCTTGAGATTGGTGGGAGTGGCTTCTTCCCTGCAGTTTGAAATCCGCCATAATGTTGGGACACTAGCTCTGAAGATCCAGTATCCATATCCTCGTCCTGAAATAAACGCATTGCCCTCCCCTGGGTGGTATTCGAGATCGGAGGTAACATTTCCTTACTAGCTGTCTGAAATCCGCCGAGATCTTGAGGCAGTAACACCACCGGTCCACCATCAATATTCTCGTCCTGAAATAAACGCGCCGCTCTCTCCCGAGCGGCATTTGAAATTGGCAGGAGTGTCTTCTTCCCGGCCGTTTGAAATCCGCCAAGCGTCTTAGTAGGAGGGGCGACGATAGTTGCTTCCGCGATGGGTACACGAAAAGATGTATTGAGCAGTCTCCTGGATCCTGAGCCATCTTCGCTATCAAACAAATTGGCAACTTTAGCCAGAGTTTCTTTAGATAGAGGAGCCAACTCCTTACCACTTGCAGACGAAAAGCCGGCACCGACAAACGGGGGTGGCACTTGATGACTATTCTGAATGGTGACATCGTTTGGGCCATAATCATTGCCGATATCTCCGAGCATAGAGGCGCTCGTGGAAAGCCAGGCTATGTTTTCAGCGCAATAGTCCGGCTCATCCTGCTTGAGAGCGGTCTGGCTTCTCGATGGCTTCTGCGTGGCCTCAGGCACAACGTTGAATCCATCATCTAGCTGGCTGTATCGGATATCCCCAAAATCGTCATCATAATCCACAGTCGTTGGCGTTTGCTGCTCGCTAGAACCGTGGTCTTCACCATCCTCCTCTTTGTTGGCCATGCCAACGCCGTGCTCTCCTTGGGTTGATGAAGATAGCACCCAGGGGTCAAGATGTAAACTCTCCATGTTCAGATCCTGTGAGACAGATACTTCTGCGGTGCTCGGCATATTTGTCGTTTGGTAGGCTGATGACTCGTGAAAATTGCCACGTGTTGGCCCGGTCCCTGCATTGTCTTCGTGAAAATCATCCGCTATTGCCTCTGGTTGCGACTCAGGATCTATCTGTGATCCAGAAAACGACGCGACCTGTGTAATCTGCTGCAACTCGTCGTTTGATCTGCCCAACAGCTCATTGTGGATCGCAGTGCTTGAGATGACATCAAAAATGTCGCTTTGGCTGTCGGGAAGGATCTGACTGTGCAGTTCATGCATTTCAAGTGTAGGCGACTCCTGCTTAAGGTCCTGTACAAGTAGACTAGGGAGAGTGAATCCAAGATCAGTGCTGCCGAACATCGAGGAGACACCCCGACCTACTTCTATTGAATATTGAGTTGCCTCTAGATCCGCCTGCGAGTTGATCCTAGACAATATTGGCGACGCCATCTCGACGTCGGCAGTTGTGATTGTGTCCGCAATAGCGCCGCCTGCAAGGTTTCGGTCTCCAGTGGTTTCAAACTCCTGTCGGTAGTTATCGTTCTCGCCAACTAAAGAAGATGATGCAGAGTGAAAGGTGTCTTCCTGTGAAGATGTGGTCCGACGTCTTACGCCAGACATAAAACTGCTGCGCGGAATTCCCCGAAGTCTCTCCAGCACCTCCTCGCTGATATGGGGTTGTATCTCTTGCTTCTTTTCTAGCATGCCTTTCCGGGGCGGCGTCTCCAGGGAAGTAGACCATCCGAGAAAATCTATCGCCTGTGGCACATCGTCCAGAGAGGCCACTGGCGATACTCCGCGAAGCCGCTGGATCACATTGCTGGCGACCTTTCCTTCAGCGCCACCGTATTTCCTGGCAGGTGTCTCGAGAGATTGCGACCATTCCAGTCCTCGGGAGGGGCTTCCCGGTAGCGAATTATATGGTTCAGTATCCTCCGAGTCGTCTCTAGGTGAGTCGTAATGAGATATCTTCGGTGCGAATCTCGCTGGGGTTCGAGTAGAAGGCGAATCCTGCTCAGGATAGCTGTTCCGCCGGAAAGGAAGCAACTGTGTTGGTAACCTGGGACTCGATGGGCTCTTTGTGCTGAGCGATGATACTGATAATCTTCTTTCGTCTGGCATAGTCGATGTTGTTAGTCCATGTCCATTCAACAGCTCACCCATCCCCGCCACCGAATTGAGTTCTTGGCGACTCTTTCCTTTTGAAGGTGTTTTAAGAATCGATTCCGGGTCTCCCTCCGATGCCACTTCAGGTGAAACCGGTCGTGAGAAACGTCCGTTTGTAGAAAACTGTGGACCATCTGTCCTGATCAGCTTTTCTATGGGAGAGCTGGGTATGAGAATACGCTTCCCTATAGAATTGCTGTTTTTGAAAGCTGAATCGCCATAGAGAGTTTGTCTTGTGGAGTCCGAGGCGTTTCTGTAGTAGTGAGATACAGTTGGAGACTCGTCGACTCGAGTCAGAGAGCGACTAAAAGCTGTATCAAGGTCCAGAGATCTGCGTCGGTACCGCGGGATAGGTGGTGACGTCCCATCCTCCTTCCGTGATCCTTTCGAATGTTGCTGGCTTTTATGAAGGAGTCCAGTCGCGACATATGAATGCTGTGGCCGATATATTATATCCCCGAATCCTTTGCCGCTAACCAGTATTGCTGTTTCTTCCTGCTCCTCGACCTCGAATGGGTTCTTTTCTATTGAACCGACTCCCATCATGTTTTGCTGTAAGGTCGGCTGCTCTCCTGTGATCTGTCTGGTTGTATTGATCCATTTGCCATCCTTTGTTGGTAGGGTATTGCTGCATCGTCGCTTTTTGAAAGGCGATCCAGATGATTGTGTCTAACAGATAGAGGCAATGTGATTAGGAACAATTTCATTGAGTGCGCAATTCTTCCACATGTCGTACCATTTTACATCTATACCTCGGACAACGATGCATCTCTATGCCCGTCCGGATCCTCCATTAAGCTGAACATTCGACTACCACTTGGGGTCTATTGCATGCAGACTAACATGTTAGAGCATAAAGGAACCTACTGGCAGCGTCCAATATGGCCTACATATAATAATAACGCACTTACAACAGGAGTTTTAGAAGTAAGACTCGAATGATCGACAATATCAGATGCACTTGGTCGTTGTTGCTGATTCGAAGAACGAACGACTCTGGGCTGGGGCCGGAAAGTTGGTGGAACAAGACTCCAGAGACTCAGCTCGTACGACTCGTCAAAAGTCCTCTTGTATGGGCTTTCCTGTCCTTGCCTTGACTCCAAGTCGTATGTTTGCCCTTCATGTCTGTCCAAGGGCGAATGGTCAGGCTCATGAGTACTTTGATTTTGGTGGCGGAAGCGGGCAAATGATGGAGAAAGAGGTGAATGTTGGGTGACAATGAAGGCGGGGTGTCCGACCTTGTGCGTTGGACAGGGCATGACTTTGAGTGACCTGCGCGAAGGCGCCGCTTCCTGTGTTGCCATGGACCCTTTTGCTGCCTGAGTCATGACCTTGGCTCAAGTGATTGTGGAATGGCGGGAAAGAAAGAGACGGCTGGGTTGACTAGGAATGCGTTTCGGTGAGAATGTATATAAAAATAGTGGCGTGACTGGATCAGAGCGTGTCCACCCAACGAGATACACTTGACAGCTCCTGGTTCCGTTCATGGAATGTATTGTCCTTCATTCCTCGGCATTACTCCGCGACGAGCCTACACCCACTTTGCCGCTATGTCTCCCAAGGTCTTGAAGCCTCGTAGAGGGAAAGCGCCACCAGTTGAATTCTCTCAGCCAGAGTACTATTTCGAGGACGGTCTCCGCAAGGTCAGGCCGTATACGCAGACATATCTAGCCCATGCGAAGCAGCGCTGGGTTAGTCGCACAGTGCCTGAAGTCTTTGCCTCAGAGATGCCTCGCAGGTGTACAGAAAATATGATTGTACGCGTCCTGAGGGTGATATTTCTTCGCATTTCAACTATGGGAAGCGCCGATCTGGTCTGTATTAATTGCCTTCCTTGCCTGCATAGATCGAAGCCATGAAGCGAGGCGACATTCTCGTTAATGATGCTGTTGTATCACCAGATTATATTCTGAAGGGCGGCGAGAGTCTCTGCTCCCTAAATTGCCATCGTCATGGTAAATAACAGCGCCATTACTTATCACTGCCGTCTCAAATGGTCGTATGCTGACCTGAGGATCTAACCTGTCTAAATTATTAGAACCTCCCATACCTGACACGCCTATTCATGTGTTGGAGCAGACGAAAGACTATGTCGTCTTTGACAAACCTCACGGGATCACCGTTCACCCTAACGAACTCAATTTCCACAACACCGCATTGGAAATCCTGCGGCGAGACCACGACATTCCCACCTATATGCATGGTAGGAATTATGGAGAGCTTTAAAATACCGACAATGAATGCGAGACACACTCAACCGACGTCTTTATGTGTTTATGCTTTGAAGCCATAAACCGTTTAGACGCCGTAACTTCAGGAGTGGTCATCTTCGCAAACGTCGCGGATCCAACTGTCCGAGAACGGTTTCAGCCGCCAAATGTAGACTCTGCAGCGGGATCAGATTCACTTGTACAGAAAGAGTACGTTTGTAGAGTCGTCGGCGAATTCCCAATAGACCCTATCGTTGTCAGAGAACCTATCCTTCAGAGTGCAGGGAAAGTCAGGGTAGATTCCACTGGAAAGCCGTCAGAGACACGGTTCGTTAGGAAGTGGTATGATCCTGCATCGAATACCAGCCTGGTCTCTTGTAAGTTATGCGGAGCAAAATATTTAATCGAGCTAGTGTTTGCTTGGTGTTGAGTTTAACCAGAATTATATGATTGGCGCCTATGGTATAGGCTACCTCACAACAGGGAGACAACACCAGATCCGGCTGCATGTGGCACATCTACAACACCCAATTGTAAACGACAGACTATACAACCCGGACTACATGAAAGACTGGGCACCCATGAACTCATCGCTGACAGTCAACGGCGAAACACGGTTCTATCCTGCAGACATCCCGCCAGAGAAGCAGCCTTATATGCCATACTATTTGAACCCTGAGACGCCATGTCACAAGTGTAAAGAGGAACTGGAAGGCAGTAATACACCCAACCCAAGCAATATGAAGATATGGCTGAGAGCTATCAGGTATCAAGGACCCGACTGGAAGTTTGAGGTAGACACGCCAGACTGGGCAGATCCAAGAATCATTGAATAAAACGCAACTAGATTTATTCTTTGCAACCTCAAATTATTCGTAGCTTCAGCGTAGGAGGCTAGTTAAATGCTCTGGACGCCCACAAACCGCTCTGGATGAAACTTTCGCAGGCGCCACCAATAGCGTGTGCAGGATCCCCACCACAGTGCTGTCACCTTACCATCCTCGTTCTGATACCAGCTCTTACAGCTCGATGACCACACCATGCCCTTCATCCTCTCATCTACCTCGTCTACAAAGTCCCTGCTTGCCTTCTCAGACACCCGAATGGATGTCAGGTTCTTCTCCATCATGTAGGAGATCGCCTTGATCGCGTACTCGACCTGGGCCTCGATCATGAACAGCACAGAGTTATGTCCCAGCGTTGTGTTTGGTCCCAAGAGGAAAAATAGGTTTGGCGTTACCGGCGATGTCAAGCCGTAGTATGTGTTAGGGTTCTTGCCGAACACCTTCGCCACATCACAACCGTCCTCGCCAATCAAGAAGCCTTCGAGAAGGAAGTCCTGCGCACGGAATCCGGTAGCCAAAATCAAAGCGTCGACCTCCTGGACAGATCCATCGCTCAACGTCAACGTATTGCTCTTCACACTTGCGATCCTCTCAGTGTGGACATTAAGGTTCTTGCGCGTCAGGGCAGGGAAGTAGTTGGACGAGACAACGATACGTCGGCAGCCCAGCTCATAGGTCGGTGTCAGTTTCTGGCGAAGGGTCTTATCGCGAACATGAAAATATCGAAAGACCCAGGCTAAGAAGGCGACGGTAGCGCGGGGAACCTTGTCCTTGAGCTTGGAAGAGAAAGCCCCAATTAGGGATTCGGATGACCAGTAGAGGATTTTATAGTAGGTGAAGTGAAAGAAAGGGATGTTGCGGAACATCCACTTCCAGAGGGCGCTATAGCGAGCATTGCGACGCGGAATGACATATGAGGCCGTGCGTTGATAGTACTCCAAGGTCTTGACTTTCTCCACGATGGACGGCACGACTTGGATCGCGCTATTTTTAAATACATGCAGAAGAGGACATTCAATAAACTGATCCACCATCATCAGCGACGATACGAAGCTTCATCAAAGAGCGTGTTTCTTACCTGGCACCACTTCCGACAACAGCAACGCGCTTGTCCGTTAAATCATACGAATGATCCCACTGGGCGGTATGCCACTTTGGCCCCTCAAAGCTTTCAAACTCCTTTGGGATATGGGGGATCCTCAGTGGTCCCATCCCCGAGAACACCACGTCGGCCTCCATCCTGTCAGCGTGTCCAGTGTTCAGATCCACGTAATCAAGCACCCATTTCTGTCGACCTTCGTTCCATTCCACGTGTGTAACTTCGGTTCGGAAGCTGATCTTGTCATACAGATTGTATTTGCGGGCCGTCCTGCGCAAATATTCCCAGATTTCTTGTTGAGGTGCATACGCCCGAGACCACTCGTAGTTGGGCTCGAACGAGAACGCATAGTTGTGGGACTTGACGTCGCAGGCACAGCCGGGGTAGGTGTTAGACCACCATGTGCCTCCAATATCGGGTTCAAGCTCAAAGACTCGATAAGATGAGATGTCGAGCTGAGTCTGCAATCGGATGGCAGCACAGAGACCAGAGAATCTGATAGAGGGAGAGAGCGAAAGTGTGAGAGAGGGCCAGGGTTCAAATCAATGCTGGGTGTGGTGAAGGTCTTGGTGCAGTGCTCCATGCAGCGCTCCATGCAGCGCCGCATGTATATATACTACGAGAGGACATGGGAAATCCCGAAGTATGGTTTTGTGAAGAGAGAAGATGTACCGATGGAGAAGGTGTGCGTGGAAAGGTACGGGGGGAGAACTTACCCTGCACCGATAACGGCGATAGATGGCGTGGTGCCATCCTTGTAAGTCTTTGTCAGCCCCATGGAATGTGTGTTGGGTGCACAGGAGTGAAGGAAAAGGGGAAATTTATCTGTCGATCCCTCTCGAAATATAATTCGTCGACCCCTGTCTAAAATAAAATTTGTACCCCTGTCGAAAATATAATTAGTTGAGCTGCCAACCGGTGATTGGTAGACTAGTCTATCACGCTTGTCGGCCGAAACCCTATTTGTCGGCCGGTATATTTCGATTTGGTCTTTTACACTTACTCAAGCCAAGGGCTACAGAAAATAAACTCTATTACTTCGAGGACAGGCACCAAAACAGTCTCTTCAGCTCTTTATCCTCGCGGATCCCAGGGCAGCTTGACAAACATTTTCTCGGCTGATACAAATGTTACAGCTCCGCTTCGCAGTCAAAACATAAATGCATACAAAAAATATTGGACGCCCTACTATGAGGAGCTTCTGGTCATGTCTTTCGTGCAACTTGACTGTCCCCTCGATGAAGTTTATAACATCCCAGTTGTAATATTCTTTACGGTGCAAATCCATTTTAATGCATCATTTGTCTTCAAGGTACCTCATACCTTTTCTCTCTCTCTTTCTTTTGCTGTAAAAATTCTTCAATGCAGTAAGTTTATTGTACAGTGAAAAAACGAAACGTGCAGAAAGTGGGTGTATCTTGTTGTGTGCTGAATTAAGAACGAATTCCTTGAACCAACAACGCCAGCGGTTTACTATATAGACATCGAGAAAAGAAAGCAGTCGTTAGAGTCGTCCATTCCATGCATAATACAGCAAACCATATAGGCGATCAATTCTCTCCCACTTACGACTTTCATGGTCTTGACGGCGTGCTTGAAGACAGTGAAGTAGGGGGTGGTACCATCCTCGCGGTAGTTGAGGAGCATGACAGCACCATCGGGGTTCATGGACTCGCCAACATAGAACTAGGAAAGACAATCGATAAATTAAATTCATCAATATCAATACAACTGACAATACTTAACAAACCAGGGCATGTCTTCGTCGAAATTACCTCAAAGTCCTTGAAGGCACCGAGGACCTTCTTGACCTCAGCAGTCATCTCGGACTCAAAAGTCTTGGTATCCGCCTCAGAGAGGCCCTTAGCGGCCTTGAGCTGCTTGAGGTAGCCCTTAATGTAGGAAGTGTAGCCCTTCTTGTCGAACGAGGTCGACTGGAGACGGAAAGAGTAGACGACGTTGTTGACAACCGTGACACCGTCCTCGAGAGACTCCTCGACCTCCTCAGCAGAGGCATTGGCACCAATATCAACATCAGCACCCTCCTTGACCTGGATCATGGCACACTCGATCTCGTAAACGCCGCCGACCTCCTTGACGTCGAAGGCATCAGAGAAGAGCTCGTCGCTATATTATATGACCAAGGTGAAGAGACGGGTCGTTCATGTGTGAGTTCTCGTGGCCATGGCGATATTTGGACGTGAGAGGGAGGAATCTTTATGGATGTATGATGCTGTTTGAGTGTATATGTCTTCTGCGACAAGTTGCCGAAGTATTGGTTTGATAGCTGGGGAATGCTGGGTCCAAGGGTAAAATGGATCGCTGTCAACTTTGTGTAACAAAATGCACGATTCCTACTGCAGAGGATCTGATTCTCCTATTTTATTCTTCCCCAGCGAAATCGTGGTTCCCTTTGGATATCTCCATTCAGTGGAAGATGACCACCTTACCCGGTGATAATGTCCTGGTAAATAAGCATGGTGAGAGAAGGGCGTGGTGTGGATGAAAGAGGGGGATCATACGACTGCCTAACCGAAAATTTTTTTAAGAAAGACTAAACAGGCTCCACAGCATCTGCATCAATCGGTGACCTCACTCACAACAGCAACAGCGGGCTAAATCAAAGATATAAACGCGTAAACTACTGAGAACCCGGCGACTGTTTCCTCCGCACAATATCTTCCTTGTGCTTGGCTTCTTCTACCTCTACTTGCACCTCCATCGCAGCTGCATGTCTCTCATTTTCCGTATCTACGTCTTCTTCCATAGTCCATTCATCTGGCCGACCGCTGCGCGACGGAGCCCTTTGCGGCATCTGCTGATCTTCATTGCGGCAGTAATAGTTTTCCACATGTTCGATATGCGTGTAATTCACTATCGCTGGGCAGGAATGGCCACCGTGATGTTGACATCGCGAATGTTGTGAAAGCGTAGTCATGAACGTAGCAAAGTGCTGCCTAGGCTGACTAGTGGATTGCGGATAAGTTTCTCGCGAAGCTCGTCTCGAGGCTCTCACAGGCGGTGGTGACCGAGCAGAGAGAGAGGCAGACAAATGTCTCTCTGATTGATCAGGATAGGGTCTTAAACGGGGTATATGTGATCGTGTCGATTGTACTCGATTCGTGCGTGGGGCGCGTGGCCCTGGGATTGCGCTGGAGCCAGCTAGCACAGGAGTATCGCGCACCGTCGGGGGCTGAGTTGGGGATGGTTGCGAAGTAACATTCGGTTGTTGGATTATCATGGGTCTGGCTACAGCAGGCGTTGGAGATTGCCAGGGCACCGAACGGTTTAAGGTCGTCCGTTGATGTTCCCTTAGATCAGATTCCTCGGGCAGCGATCTCTGAATAGGGATACTGTATTCCGTATGAATCAGGTGATTGGCATTATTAACCATTTGATTGTGCAAGGCACCAAGTTGCGCTTCAACCTCCTCCTCACCATCCTCCAACTTCACTTCAACGCGTGGAGAGGTAGGATGCCGTTTGAATGGTACTCTCTCATCGACGTCCTGAGCATCGCTATCGCTGCTACTCTCCGCCTCATGAGCAGTAAAATATGAATACACGGGATCAGGAGGAGCTGAGAACCCCGTAGCACTAGCCGCTTCGCTGACTCGGGGAACGACTCTTGCTTCTCTGTCATCACTCATCCGTGGGGTCCTTGATATGTCGTCCAAATGTGAAGACCGTGGAGACCGAATGAATTCGCGAGCCTGTATAGGGGAAGTCATCGCTCGGGGCGTCTGGGGAAGAGCGGTAGGTGATTGCTGCTGCTGTTGCTGTTGTTGCTGTTGTCGTTGTTGTTGCTGTTGTCGTTGTTGTTGCCGCTCCTGTTTCCGATATGAATCACGTTGGGACCTTTGCGAGGATAATGGGGGCTCCTCCAATGACGAGGGTGCCACGCTGCTCTCCATACTGAACAGATTTTCCTGTTCCGTTAGAGCGCCGGCATTGTCCTGATCCCGCATCATTAACATCTCCTGTTGAAATCTGAGCGCCTCCTCCTTTTCCCTGGCACGTTGAAGCTGACGTTGGGCTTCTAGGTATCTCTGTGTTGCCTGCTCTGTCAGCTCCCGTGCAGTCTGAATATCCTGCTCGCATTGAGTGTGCTTCGCCTCAGCCGCGTCAGACTTGCTCATTTTTCTCTCGACTTCACTCCAATGGGTTCGCTGAACCCCATACCTTGCGCTCCTTTCCCGAGAGAAAGGCTCAGTCCTTGCTCTTTCGTATCCAGGATTGCTGTCCTGACCCCGTTCCAACGACGCAGGTGAATTTGTCTCGGAAGCCGCTCGACGAAGGTTCTCTAATTGCATTAGTCGGTGCCGATACTCTGGATCCGAGAGTTGTTCCGGCTCTGGGTGATATCGTGACTCTACGGGTAGCTGCTGATACTGCGACTCTGGAAGTAGTGTAGTCGGAGAGGAAGACCCCGAATGCGAACCTTGGGTATGCTTCGGCAATTGTCCTTGAGGTAGGTCGGATGGCGGATACTGGCTAGGATTTGGTGGCGGTGTTGACATTGGGCCTTGTCCTCGGGGTGTGGCGGCAATTGCGGACTGCTCGCCTGCGCTTGAGACGCTGCGATGGAGGGGAAATTAAGTCTTGTGTGCTCTATTCCTGGGTTGTTTCGAGCGTCGGACTCCTGTTCTTGTACTTGGGGCGATGGATTGAGATGTGCTGCGCAGACAGTGGGGGGCTTGGGGATGGCGAGCACGAGAGTTCGAGATAAAAGCAGACGACTGGTAGACAGGAGGGGTCAGTGGAGCAGTGATAATAAAGACAGTGGGTTGGTCCATGGGCGACTGGGAGCGGTGGTTCGAACTATTACCCCGAGTGGCGGTCCGTTCGGCCTGCTTCTTGTCTTGCACAGCAGCACTTGGGGGAGGGGAGGGGAGGGCGCAGGATGTGGGTGGGAAATAAAGGAAGAGAGAGACACCCCTGGCTTTTGAAGAGGTCGGGTGAGAGGGGGGCTGAAAACAAACTGCTGCTGCCGATGTCCTTATCTGGGGAAAAAATAAAGGGGTCAGCTTCAGACCGCGCATTCATGCACCCGCAGCTCTTAACAGCTAACACCTACTGCGCGGTCCTTACAGGGCAGACAGCAACGCGTCTAGTCTGCGCTCTGTGCTGTCGCCACCGGAGGTCCTAGGAGAAACCCCTTCGTATATATAAATAAACAGCCTCCCCCCCCCCCCCCGCTGTCCCTTACCCATCCCTCCTGCCTCTGTTTTCCTGCTTTCTTTTTCAAGACCAGTCAGCACTTGCTCTTCTCATGCTAAAACATCGAGTTTGACACGGAGTTTCAAAGGCAGGCTCTGACCATGGCACCATTGCATTCAAGGGTGGCGAAACGCGCGGACCCTAAAACAGCACTCAGTGGATAAGCTAGCACTGAGGATCATTCTCGGTAATGTGCTCTTCCTTCCCCACATGGCGATTGCCTGTACTCTTCGTGCTTACACCAGTACCCGCTCTAATGGAAAACTGCAGAGTGCTGCTTGACTATAGTCCCATGAGACCAAACCAAGTGCAGCACGCTTACACATTCGTCTACTCTCTTGACATGCGCCATGGCTTTCAGCCAGACCGGTACCAAATACACTAAATGGAAAAAGACGTGGCTCCTTTTCTGCAATATATCACAAAGTTGATTTCCCTAAACAAGAGTGACTCTGCAAACATTCTCCTCCACTTGTCAATCGTTTCTTTCCTCCGTCTCTTTGTCAGAATGGAAAAAGAGAGGTAGAAATTCGGATACCATCACGGTCGATGTCGACCTGAGAGAAGTACACGCACGTAGAAACCTACCCCTTTTGCCTAGGAACCGAGTTGACTGATGCTCTCTTCCGTCTTTACCGATGCCTTGTTGTCCGAGTTCAGGCAAGTGAGCCCCTTCGTATGACGAGCCATGGCAGGCTCACCCCATTTACACTTTTACAGTTTGGATTTCATTGACATTCATGATGGATGAATAAATGAGGAATAGTAAGCTAGGCTTCATGATAGTATGATAGTCTATTGGCCATTGGGGTAGAGATTTTATTATTACTTGCAAGTTGCAAGGCTACGCTATGGGTTACACGCTTCTACATCTTTTTTTTTTTTTTTTTTTTTTTTTTTTTTTTTTTACTTTTCGGTGAATTCTAGATGGGAGAATAGACGAATGAAATATCCAGCACTTCGTTCATCCAAGCTTGATAAAAAAAAAGAGTCAACCGAAAAGAAATTAAAGGGCCAAGGAGGCAGCGATGGCAACAGCGGCAGAAGCAGCCAAGGACAAGACACTTCCGGACTTGAGGAATCCCGAAGCTGCATTGAGCCTGTTGGTCGGCGTAGGAGTGCTAGTCGAGACACTGCCTGATGGCAAGCCAGTGGCTGTGGCTGTGGTCGTGGTCGTAGTCGAGGGAAGGGTCGTGGTTGGGAGTCCAATCGTCGTCGTCGTTGCCTGGGGCTCGGGAACAGTGTAGGTCTCCTTGGAGTCAGTCTTGATGAGGAATGTGTGCGTGTACGAGTTCTCTCCGATCCTCAGTGTGTACCAGCCCGTAGCGAGAGACTTGCTAACGGCAACCACTGCAGATTTGGCGCCGGCTTCGAAAGTGCCGAAGGTGTCAACCACCTGCATGGTTTGAGGGGTGGGTCCACTCAGGAGATCGATCTTGAGCTTCTGCTTGTCGGTTGTTGGAGAAAGGACCTTCCAGCGGATGGTGGCATTGGTATTTTTATACCAGACAGTGTTGGCAATGGGGCTGGTGGGGAAGACCTCCTGGGCGAGGACAGCGCTGACAAGGGTTGCAGCAATGGCAAAAATGGAGAAACGCATGGTTCTGTTCAAAGAGAGTATTAGGGGAAAGAGGAGGTATCGTTCGGACGCGGGTTGGCGAAAAGTGAAGACGAGAAGAATGGAGGAGAGAAAGAAAGAGGAGAGAGAACAGGCGGTTTTTAAGCAGCATCAAATGCTCTTTAAGGCCGATCCCTTCCAACGGAATCTTCTGCCCAGCTTATTTAAACCGTCTTTTTCATCCAAGTCTGTGCATGGGGATTGTACAACGTCCATGAGTATTCGACTGTAAACGAAGTTTAATTGGCTAATGCTTATTTTGCTGCATTCAGATGTGAAACTTAAGGACAATCGAGTCAGGGGTAAATCAGGGCGACGAGAGAATAGACGCGTCCCAAGAGCATTGATTTATAAATCTGGATTGCGTGTTTCGCCACCTAAAACATGAGCGCCGCCGTCAACAACACAGCAGCAGCAGCAGTCGCAGCATTACTGTCGTAAGCCAATAGAGTAGCCTCTGCAGTGACTATACGTAGCCCAGCATCAATGGGCTTGGTGTTGACGAATGCTGAAGGCAGACTGGAAGCGGTTGCTTCATCGGCAGACGTAGTTGGAATGGCGCTTATTGCTGTTGATGTTGGTATGTTGACCATGATCGTGGTGAGTGCAGTAACTGTTGCATTTGTCTGGCGACGAATGTTGCTTGCAGGGTTCACCTTGATGGACGTCTTCTTGGCATGAACTAAGGCAGCGGAGGTGAACTTCGAGGAGTGAACTGTTACTATAGCAACAGATGCCTGATGTATCGTTGTGTTCGGGCTGGCGGTGGCGGTAGTGGTCATCTCAGTAGCGGGTGTGGTACTGGTGTGCGAGATAACAAGAGGAGCGATCTGTGAGGCTTTTGTTGCAGAGTGGGACGTTTCAATGGTGGATGCTGAAGAGATAGTAATGACTCCGCGATTGACGATTTCTGTAATCGGTTTGACCAACGAATCTCCGACCATGAACATGCTGGAGAAGCTGTCGCCGATTCGAATGTAGTAAAAGCCCACTCTACAGCTAACAGGCACCTCTATAGTGATCGAATTCGCGTGAAGTGCAGCAATGCCGAGATACGCGACCACCTGCAGCCTATCGGTTCCTTTGTTAGCGAGCAGATGCACTGGAAATACACTGTCAGGGCTATTGATGACATTCATGGGAGCCATGGTAGTCCATATTACAGAAACCACGGTCCCTCTAATCCATGTCGTTGAACTGTCGGGTTTAATGATACGGATTTGTTGTGACGATGTATCAGCGGAGGTGCAGTTGGCCAGAATCGACGCGACAAGGGCCGTAATGAGAACTCGCATTTTTTTTTTTTTTTTTTTTTTTTTTAGTTCAAAGATGAAGGGGAGTGGTGAGGATTAGAGCGAGTGAAACGTACGAAAAAAAATACTAGCTTCATTGACGCCTTTTATATTGTGATTCCTGAAAACCAGTGGTGTAAGAAGTGTGGCAGTGGGTCAGTAACGGATGTGGTTACGCTCCGAAAACGACCAGGTGAAGTGAATCTCTTGGTCTGAATGCCACAAACATACTCATGGTCAGTTTTATGGACTTCGCATATTTAGATGATTCTTCCATCCATATAAAATTAGCAAAGTTAGTGTCGCTATTGTTATTCGTGCACCTAGAAAAGCTGTTCTATTTTTCTATCAATTTGTTATATACGATGGCGATCATAATAGCTTCAGTCTCTTCCGTGCTCATACCATATTGTCGACCACCGCCACCACCATCACCATCACTACTACTACTACTCCTGCCTCTGCTGGTGCTGCTCCGCCAAGCCCGGCTGCTTCTCAAATGGCATTCCTCTGGCCTTAAAGAACGTGTAACTCAGCACCACCGTGTCCACATCTGCCATATCTGGATCATTCGCGAACTCCGGGTCCAGAAAGAAAAAGATAGGCATATCGACCTGCTCACCAGCCATCAACTTTTGCTCCTCGAAACAGAAGCACTGAATCTTGTTGAAATGCGGCGCGACCTTGGATGGAGTCACATTGTACGTTGCAATACCGATCACATCATCGCTGGACTTGTTCCTGGCAGTATAGAACGCCAATGCGGTCTCTCCTGGCAGTACAGAGACCTGGCGCTGTTGAGGCTGGAACGACCACTGCAGAGAAGTCGAGGTATCGGCATTGAACTTGACTTTGATGCGACGATGGTTCTCACGGGGGACAAGACGCTCGGGTGCAAACTTGGTCTCGCCAACCATGGGCGCTCCTCCTAATCCCGTGGCTGAACAGAACATGCGGTAGAGTGGGACAGCAGCATAAGAGAGTCCCAAGGTACCCACGAGGATAGAGGCAGTGTAGTACAGCATGTCCTGGTTCTTGGCTCTGACGCGCCTCCTTGATCCTGCTGCCTCTGTATAAACGGGTTTTGATGGTTGCTGAGGTGTTGGTGGTGTTGGTGGTGTGGATGTTGCATAGGATCTGAAGGGTTGCTGGTTGATCCTGCCCCGACAGCGCGCTACTGTGGCTACAGGGCATCGACTGACAGCTTTGCCAAGCGTTGGCTATATGACAAGTGTATTGAGGAAACGGCCGTCAATAATGAAGTGGGTAGGAAGAGAAAGCTAGCGAGGAATGAAGAAGCAGTGCTGTGATGGCGAGATAGGCTATGTACCTGACAAGTGGATGCCATGCGGAGCGAGGTGGATCCCAGGAGACTGGCTATTGTCTTGACAGCCATGACGATCAGATCAGGGGGAAGGGGTTTTGCAATTAAAGAACTAATAGGGACAGACAGATCACTCAGGTGAGATGAAAGAGAAGAAGGACGATCAAGAGGACAGCGAAAAACGAAATGAGTGCGCCGGGTTGCAGACTGATTGAAGACGGGTGGGATCTGCACAAAAGGGGGATCCCGTCTCCTTCAGAAACGGTATTTGCTCGGAAGTGACTGTTGGCATGCACTAGGTAACGAAATCGGCTTCGGTGCATCTGGTGTACCGGGCGAAGAAGGTTCGCCACAATTACGCATTGCTGTGCATGACAGCTGGACGCGCCACCTTATCATTCTTTTTCTGGATCGAAGAACCTCGGCTCGGAGATGTGCAACGCCTTGTGGAGCAAACCTACTAGTGGACAGAGTGTAGAAAGCATAATGCGTCCCTGGCATTTATTTTATTTTATTTTTTACTTGACCATGGAATGGTAGTTGAGCCATACGAGAAATACGAGCAGTAAGCACGAGCTGAAATAAAGATTTCTTGAGGCTGGATATCATCCCTTGGAGCTGTCCAGAGTCTACCTGACGGCGAGCTAGCGAGATCCATTTGTCAGTGTAATCGATGGGTAGGTGGAGCTATGATCTTGCATTTAGTGCAAGTTCAGTCCGCTGACTACGTCCTTAACAGATGGGCTTTGCACGCTCTCAGGCCTGCACTAAAATAGACGATTGCAGAACAAAGCGATGTAGTGCACCTGCCTGCTTTCGTCAACGAAAAAAAAAAACGGTGCAGGAGCAGAGCGTTGTTTTCTGCAGCAGATGACATGCAGCAATTTGTATACAGCTGGGCAGGGTCGCGACCTTGGCGGTGGTGATAAAAGTGCAGAGAGATATAGTCGAGCGTGGCGTGCATGATCGATGGAGTGAGTATGTTGCAGACCTAGTGCACAGCTGCACAACTAATGATGGTACTGCTAGCGGCTTAGTGTTTCCTGACACTTAGCTTCGCTTTGAGCATTTTAATATCAATATTGCACGCAGCATCAGCGACGACTTTGATTCAAAAGCAATAGCCAGGCCAGGACCAACACCATGTGGCAGGCAAATATGCAATCCAACACTCTCAAGGAAGGCAAAAGTACATATTTGCAGGTCGAGATATCAAGACCCTACCTGGTACCTAACGAGGCAATGCGGTTACAACCATCGACACAAAACGAACTGGTTCAAAGTACGACTTGCAGAACGGATCAAAGTCAAGGAAATCATAGCTGTGAGTTTAACCCAAAGGAGAGGCCTGCTCAGCGCGCGAATTGGTTGCATACCGATGCATCGTGAGCTCCTCTGCACACGCGTCGACATGTTGGACAGGAAATTATATTTGAAGACAAAACAGACTACGCCCAAAAGAGTACCGCACACGTTGCAGAGTGCTCTGGTTCAGAGTGAATGCAGAAAGCAGCATGAGTGATACACCTGGTCTGTCCTTGTTCCTCATGAGCCCTGCTTTTCCCACCCTTGTTTCTTTGTCATCTTTGTAAAGTAAAGCAAAGTAAAGCAAAGTAAAGCAAAGTAGAGCAAAGTAAATAGGGTAAGACCCCCCGAAGGAGGCCAAAAAACCCCCAAGGCCAAGAACCCCCAGCTATTTAGCCAGTGGTCAAGCACCTCAAGGGATGCTACGCGCCATGCTGAGCAAGCACGAAGACTTCGAGGGGAAAAAAGAAAGAGAGGTGGATTGGTCTTTTTATACTACACAGGAGGTAGTCACTTAGTGCAACAACTGATCACTGATCTGATCGTTGGACCGCACTGGCCGGTTGACAATTGTGGGACCCTCGATCCAAAAACGCAGCAGTCAATTTGCATGCCCGGAATAGCGCATGACTTCTGTTCATCAGCGCTGTAGAGAGTGAGCTTCAGGCGAGTTTTAACAGCGGTCAAGGAAGGATCCCTCCAGGCACACACGCATATACGCACACAACACACACACACACACACACAATCAAACAACGCTGCAGACATCCTGCTTCCTTCATTGCCCCCACTGCTCCACTGCTTTGGATCTGCAAGAGTCGGTTTGCTAATCAACACAGTCCACCGCATCGAACTGGAGTATGAACCTTGACCACTCTGATATCTCATAGTGCCTGAGCCCACTCTTTTGATTTGTTTACCTCGCACATTGTTTTGCTCCCTGCTTCGCTTATCAGTGTCCCCTGATCCACCTAAGAGCTGCAGTAGCCATACAGCTGCAGCGGACCAGCACAGAGGCCAGCAGAGTTTCAGAAAGATATGTCTCCAGGGCCCAGTCTTTGCTATTCTCTCTTGTGGATAAGAAGTGCCTGTGTGTGGCTTCTGGCTTTCTAACTGGCTCCCTGTGCTTGCTTTTGTACAAACTGCTTTTCATGTAGTCTCTGCTCCCGTCTGATTTGAGCGAGACGCAGCAGCAACCATGCGCCGTCCGCTCAGAGCGAGAGCCTCAGTCCAGTCGATCCCAGCCTAGCACGCTGCCCAGTGTGTCAAGCCTTTCGTGCCTTGTCGATCCCCGCCGAATCCATCAAATTACTTGACACATCAAGTCTGAAAATGAAGATATGAAAAACCTCCCTCGTCACCAATGATTGCCCCTATCCCATCAAAGAAATATCTTCTCGCTCGAGTGCCTTTGCGCGCTTTGTCACCTTTCGCAGGAGCCGTCTTACGGTCCAGTAGCCTCGGGGCTGAAGGGCTGGCGGACTCGAGGTGAATCACGGCCACCAAAGCACTCTGGCGCTTTGAGTTCTGAATCAAAAAATAAGAAGCACAGCGTGCGTCCAAAAAATAGTCTCTGTGATTGTTGTACTCTAGGGTTCTTCAAACTATTGAACCCAATTCATCCTATAGCTAATCCTCAGAGCGTGGATCACAGATAGTCCCATCCCATTGACGAAGAGCACTGCTCAAACCCAAACCCAGATGTCGCCGGACTGAACTCCTCCTCAGTCTCCCTATCAGCTACTCCACCGATCTCTCCTATATCGAACTCCTGCTCGTTCCCTTGCAGCTCAATTTCATCCTCCCCACGCTCCTCGCGTTTAAGTTTCGCTCTCCGGTTCTGGAACCAGACCTGGATCGTCTTCTTGTCCAAACTCAAATGCCTTGCAAACACCTCGCGTTCCTGCGCTGTGGGCCGTTCATTGTTCCCAAACTGGCGAAGTAGATACTCGCTCTCCTCAGTAGTAAGTCTTCGCCGACGCTTAAGAGGACAGATCGGAGGTGGAGAAGCCGCGTGTCTGCCGATAGACCTTGGTCTTCGCATCGCAGGATGATAGCCGAAATATTGAAGCGTGCCGTTGTGCTGATGCTGAAAACTGTATGCAGACTGTTGGGTCTGTGATAGCTGATGCTGGAGGTACTGAGGGTAATTCCGTTGGATGTAATGTGAGGAGTGTGGGACTTGTAAATCTGCATAAAGCTGCACCTGAGGGACATGAACCCACGGCGCCAGATGGTGCATTGGGTCATCAACCAGGTGAATCGGTGGCGGGTGCCGTATCGGCTGAACTGGTGGGTGCAGCATTGGAAGGTCTTTATCCTGGATCCAAGGTATAGGTGAGTCATACAAAGGAGCTGAGGATGGACCAGGCAACATGTTTTCTATACTAAATCCATTACAGATGTGCAGATGGCGATCGTCGACCAGTTGCCAGTTTTGTAGGATATCATCATTGCTGATGGCAGGCACGGACGAAAGGCCTGTTGCCCATGTCGCTACAGTCTCTATATGTCTCCTGGGAGGGTCAGAACGGTTAATCGAAGGACTTTCGGCAAGGCCTGAAGCATTGATTCCCTTCTGCATCCTCTGGTTAACTTCACGCTGTGAGGTATCCTCGGCCTCATCTTGTCCAAAGTCGAAAAAATCACCAGGAAGGACGAGAGTACCCTGCAGGGCGCCCGACGAGAAGTTTAGATCAGGCCGAGTCGGCTGATGAGAGATCTCGGGCGAGACTTGGTGGGAAAGAACATCTGCGGACGCGACATCATTCGACCAAGAGCAGGACGATAGGATCGACTCGAGTGATGACATGAAAGACATCTGCGAGGGTGATCGCGAGGAGAATGATCGGTGTTGCTCCGGCGTGGCACTGCATGGGTGGATGGATTCCCTGGTTTCTTCCGTTTGTGCGGCAGAACCGAATATGAGCGTTGCCGGTGACGAATCCTCAAGCAGTGATGATGATATCTGGCTGTTGGTATTAGAGTGCATGTAGGATGGGTCGATGGAGTTGCCCGAAATCAATGCAGTTGTGTGGCCATGGAACCCTGGGTGCTGTTGAGGCCACGTAAGATTGAAGACCCGGCACCAATCGTCCTCGTCAACATGGGTTTCTGATCTAACGTCGCGTCAATATCCATCAGTAAATGTGAAAGCACGACGTGTCAACGTAGGTCCACCACGAAAGGTCCATCTTATTTCTACGGTTAAGGACCGTCGATATGCGATGCAAGGATAAAAATCATGACAGGAGCAAACTGCCGGATCTATGAATGATCGATGTTTGTTCGAGAATCCTGAGCGCGTCAAGGTACGATGGAGTGGAGTTGATATATTGATTTGCTCCATCTCTTGATCCCCTCTCCATCACCATGGATTCACTCCACTCTCCACGGGCAACGTCTTTGATGACATAGAAAAATTTCTGATCAACATGCTGCCAGCCTACCTTGAGACTGAGAACCCATCCGATATGAATGTCTCATCGGGCTCAGTAATCCCTGCATCCAAAGCCAGTAATGCGCTCTCGAGCAGCTGCCCACCAGTGCTGGCAACGACAGCAGCTGAAGTTGGAAATCCTTCTTCGCGTTCATTCCAGTCGTTCGCGGCAAATCGATCCGCTGCCTCATAACTAGTCGTGTCGAGGAAGCTGAAGTCCGCCCATAGGAAGTCCATATCCGACTTGATCGACTTCTGAGAAGCAGAATGTTCGGACGTTGGGGAGTTGATATGATCTGCCATATAGGTAGTACAAGAAGTATTGTAGAGGGAAGGGAGGAATGTTGGGCGTGGATCGGCTACAGAACCCCGCATGCCGACGGTTCAATCACTGAGAATATGTTATAGAAGTAACTCAGAATTCGAACAGCTCCTCTCTATATTACGCGCAGTTGAGAAGGCCTACAGAAGGAGAGCACGGAGAAGATCGGTCGTGTAGATAAGCAGTAGTGTTGCTTGGGACATGAACTTTGAGATGCGAAGAAAGTGACAGGAAGGCAGTGGAAAAGAGCACGAGCAATGCGCGTGTGCGAAGGAGAAAAAATATAAAATATAAAGACCGTACGTAGAGAAGTTTAGGGCATGGCTATTTGTGATAACTTAACTAGGAAGTACTATTGTCAGAGCGAGTCCTTGTCTCCAGAATCAGGCCCCTTGCGGCACAGCATCAGATCATATGCGTGTCTTGCTGTGGATGGGACCTTAAACTGGATCTGAACATTGTCATATACCCTACAGGTCCTCTTTTTCCTCTTCTACGTGGCAACAGCGACCGCCCTTTCCAAATCCTTTAGCCGCCTTTCTGCCGAGTCCACGCCCTTGGCGCATGCTAGATGGTACCACTGCTTCGCCTCCTTCAGATTTCTCTCCACGCCCAATCCGTACTCTAAAAAGAACCCCGTAATATACTCCGCCTTGGGAACACCCCTCTGAGCTGCAGTCTTGACGAACCTGAACGCTTCCTCGTCGCTCTGCTCCACTGCATGACCTGCGCTACCATCCAGATAAAACCCCGCCAACGCCAGCAATGCCTCGACATGCCCATTTTCGGCGCCTTGACTATACCAATGCACTGCCTGGACGGGGTCCTGAGGACAACCCAGTATCCCAAACTCATAGCACGCTCCCAGCTTGTACTGTGCGGGCGCATAGTTTGCTTGGGCCGCGGCTGCGTACAGCTCGAATGCCGCATCTTCATCTGGGACGAGTCCGTACTCTCGAAATTCGTGAAATTGTGCAAGCTGATGCACCAAATACGGGTTGTTTTGATTCTCGGCTAGCAACGCGTCCTTGAGATGGGCATAATCGACATCCAAACCAACATGGCCCACCAACAGCCGTAGTAGAGCCCGATCGTTGCCCTGAGCGGCCGCCTTGATATACCACTGCTTGGCAACTTGTAAATCTTGCGGCACTCCGATCCCGACCTCATGATAATGACCCAGCGTATATTCTGCCTTGGACCAGCCCCTCCGTGCTGACTTCGAGGCCCATTCGTAGGCCAGAGGCTCAGATTGAACCAGTCCCTGAGGATGTCCTGTCAGATACCATCCTGAAACCGCGAGCTCTGCATCCGCATGCCCCTGCATCGCCGCTCGCTTGTACCACGCAAATGAGTGTGAGGGGTCCGTAGGAAAATGCATCAGGCCGAGCTCGTAGCAGATGCCAAGTTTAAACTGCGCAGGTGCATATCCCAACTCGCCTGATCGTAAAAATAAGTCCTTGCCATAGAGTTGCAATTCTATACGTGGGCTAGTTTCAAGTTGAAGAGCGAGGTGATAAAAATGCTCCGGTCCTGCCATGAACATTAACCGGTTATTGGGGTCCTCTGACCGAGGATCGTAAAAATATCGAAGGTCCAGCTCCTCAATACCGGAGTCGTCACTCAAGTCTTTGCCTGGTTGACTTGATCCACCTTCCTGCTGCTCTTTTGAAACTTGTTTCCTGCTGAACTTCTCGATTATATGGGGTCGTTTGGAGGCAATTTTGCGCGAGAATTCCTTGAAGCGTCCGCACTTTTTAACGGCACGTTGTAGCCACTGATCTTTTAGTCGCCCTGGTTTGACCTGTGAAGATACGTCTTGAACTATTCCTGAGGGTGGTATATCTGTGCTGCGTCTGCGAGATGGTGGTTGGCCCGTGCGTGCGGTGTGATGTGCCTGAGAAGTCTCTGATGGTGGATGGGGTGAAGGTGAGCGCCGAGGACGACGATGGATCGCAGCATCTTCTGCTGCTGGAAACTGTATTGTGCCGTCGTCCACTTCTGCATGTGCGATCGGATCGCTGTTGGCTGGATGGGTTGTGGAGGCTGCTGTAGCTGAAGTAGATTTGTGGCGGCGGCAGCTCAGTTTTTGACGTAGCTGATGGCGGAAGCGATTCGCGAACGACATATGAACGACAAGGACCAAGACAACGTAGCGACAGGGGAAGAAGACAAGAGGAAAGCAGAAGTCGAGTTATGGAATATGGATATGTGAGCTAGCAGCAAGGGAACCGGGCATGGATCCATAGACAAACTAGGGCGAAGCAAAAGGAGTAGAATAAAATATTTAAGAAAAACGAGGGCGAGAGGACCAAGGGGGATCGGTATTTGTTCGGGCGATCAAAGTGATCCACCTAGAGTCGTCCACGATACTTGGCCGTCATTATCCATTCCAGGAGAGCGAGCTAGCGCCGTTATTAATCCCAGACTCTGTTACACGCTCATCGTCGCTGTTCGACTTCCTTCAGCTCCGCATCTATCAGTCTGAGCATGCCGTTCTAGCACGTCAGAAAGAGGCAAGCAAGGGGCGGTGAAAAACTGTTGACCATCAACGTCCTCATTATATCCTTGAATTGTGAACCCCCTCATCCCGCGTATTTTTTTTTGCGCGACTCCTTAATAATTCATTTATGGATAGAGGATAAAGAGCCTGGCATCTCGCGGCGATCGCGTCAGAGTCCGAATGCCTCTGCTAGTCCCAGACCCGACCTGCTCGACCGTCGATTATATCTCTCCCGTTTTTGTCGGCTATTGGCCCGTCTTCAAGAAATACGTGAATAGCGGACTTGACAAGAAAAACTGTGAAGCCGCATCGAACGCCTCCGATTTTTTTTTTTTTTTTTTTTTTAGCTGGGAGGCGCGGTCTCTGGCCTCTTCTTTTCTACTTGGGGTGAAGAGGCTGGATGCGCTAGCCTCATTCAGGCCTAGATTAGGAGGGAGCATGAGAGAAGTCTCATTGACATGGGATAAGCGGAAGAGTTTGTTCATGTCGTCCTTGAACGGTTCAGGGGGAGTGTGGTGCGCTTTAAAACCTTGCACTTTCATGCATCCGGAGTGTGCTTTTTAAGGAACATAAGAAGGGGAGGGATGGTTGTATTGCCTGTGTGATGCTATTCTGTGCTGCATTCGCCGATTTTCTTTTGGGTTCGATGACGGCGCCTTTTTTTTTTATTCGCTCATCCAGGATATGTACAAGTACTGACAGCTGTGGGCCATTGCTCCGCCAGACAAGAAGGGTCAGTAAGATATGGTGAGACTAACATACAACTACGGGTGTAGTAAAACAAACCAGGGACTCTCTGCGGAGACAAGCACGCTTCCTTTTCTTTGTTTAGCGATCCTCAGCCCACTCGTTCTCCTTCTTAATCTGGGCTTCCTCTTCGGGCGTAAAGTCGTTCACAATATTGAAGGTCTTTCGGATCTCCTCGGGGGTCTTGCCCTTGATGATGTTCGCCACGGTCTTGCATCCAACATCCAGCAGTGGCTTGATATCCAGGTAGTTGGCCGCGAGGATGATCTCGAACAGCATCTCCTGGTCGACCTGTATGAACTTCATGTCCCATTCCTCGATATCATTGGATCGCTTGCGAGGGTCGTCCGACTCGTCTGGGACCTGTTCAGGGTCGTTCCTATGGTGCTCGCAGTATTCGATCACCTTGGCTAAGACGGCGGCTGAGACATTAGGCAAGGGGATGGGCGCCTCCGACTCGCCGACGTCCTCGATCATGTTCTTGATAAGCACCGACCGTTGTGCCACCTCTTTGTCGACTTTGAACTCTTGCATCTCGGACGATTGGAGAGTAATAGACATGGCTGAATGAGTTTGTGTTCTGAGGTTGAGGTTGAGGTCGTGAATGAAGGAAAGTGAATGGAGGTTGAAATTGTGGAGAGTAGGGTTGAGAAAAAAACGAGAAAAAGAGAGAGAGAGAAAGAGAAGCGAACGACCACAACAGGGGGTATTTAAGCCTGTGCAGGAAAGGCGTTTTGCCACCGGTGGCAAAGGACACCTTCGGCCCCAGTTGACCCTGCGGTGTAGTTTAAGGTTCGCATCAACATTTGGATGCTGCGCCCGCCCGTCTGCTTCAAAGACATCCTCTAACCTTTGGCGAGGGGAGGGGCCCGCCTCTTCTTCGCCAGACTATGTCGGTATATTTAGAAGGTGGCTGCGGAAAAATAAAATAAAAAAAGGACACGCAGGAATATCTTCTGCTTCCATGTCTCCCCATCTTTATTTCAAAGGTGTTCACTTCTTGTTGTAGTATTTCTTAAACAGCACATGATGCTCACTCTTGTTCTTGTCCTTGTCCTTCAGGTTGATCGCCTTGTTATACTCGATGTATGCCATTTGGTCGCCACCGCTCAAACTCTTGAGGCCACCGACCGTGCGCTTTGCCCCATTCGATCCTCCAGCGACCGAGGTGCCCATATGGCTCAGTACTGATCCGCCTCCAGCTCCACTGCGGCGACTCGTGTTGCCAGTGAGGTCGTCCGCATCCGGCTCGACATCGTCGTTCAGGTCTGCTTCGCTCTCTTGCGCCAACAGGACCGACTGCAGCAGACTGAGCTGTTCTGCCTGCGACGAATACACCAGGTCCTGTTCTTGATCCATGCCATCCAGGTTCGTAATTACCTTGAACGCATATCCCTGGTCAATCAAGAACTGCTGTCGCTTGGTCGAGTAGTACATCTCCTGCGTGTCCTTCGACACCAGCGAATAGAAGAACGCATTGAATCCCTCGTCGTTCCTGCGCTTGGCTCTCAAAATACGACCCAGACGTTGCGCCTCCTGACGACGCGAACCATAATGGGATGACACCTGAATCAGACACGTTGCCTCTGGCAAATCAATTGATGTGTCTCCGACCTTGGACAAGAAGATGGTGTTAATCTGAGGGTTGTACTGGAAGTTTTGCAAGATACGGACACGCTCCTGCTGACTCGTCTCTCCGTAGATGAAGGGCTTTTCCAGCTTCTTAGCATACGCCACAAGCGCATACACGTTGTCGGAGAACACAATAATCTTGTCACCACGCTCCTCATGGTATCGGATCAAATACTGGCATGCCTGGAACTTATTCGGATTCATAACGTAGAGCAGCGTCCGCTTCCTAGATGACTCGCGCAAATACTCTCTGTAGAACGCCGGTGTCATCGGGCACCAGACCTCGGCGCACTGGACGTTGGCGATGTGTCCTCTTGATGCGAGATCCATCCAGTTGGCTTCGTACAGCTTCGGCCCGATCAGGAAATTAAGGTCGTCAATCTTCTCATCCTCTCGCACCAGTGTTGCAGTCAATCCCAGTTTGGCATGTGCTGCGATTGTCGTCAGAACTTTGCGGAACATGTTGGCCGGAACGACGTGTACCTCATCCAGTAGCAAAAATCCCCATTCTCGGCTCTTCAAAAAGTTCATCATCTTTTGCGAATCATGAGAACGGTTGCGAGTGTTGGCCACCATGCTGTAGGTTGAAATAACGATTCCTGCTGCGCCCAAGAACTTCTCCTTCTGGTCCGACGTGAACATGGCAATTTGGTGGGGTTTGATGTTGGACCAGAGCAAGAACTGTTGCTTCCATTGTAGCACTGATACAGACGAGGTACAGAGAACAAGTGTGCTCTTCTTGACTGTGCACGCTGCTGTAATTCCAACGAGGGTCTTTCCTGCTCCACAGGGCAACACAATAATACCGGATCGGGCACGACCGTTTCCAAACATTTTGCTCAGCGACTTCTCTTGATACTATCGTAGTACAAAAAAGGGAATAATGCATTAGACTCCACGCTAAGAATTCGATCGAGTCTGCGCTTCCGAGATATTTGACACTTTCCGCTTACAGGGCGAATGACTGTAATGGGCTTGAGATCGATCTCCAGGTCAGGGTTCAAAGTATCATTCCTGAAATCGTACTCCTCTAGCATTGGGTAATCCAGCTCGTTACATCTCTTCTTCACCGTCTAGAATTATTAAAGATATCTTATTAGAACATGTTATATCAAACACATCGCGCAGAAAAGGACCAACAGGCACTCAAGCGAGCAACATGCCTCGACAGATGAAGAGCTGATCTCGAAAGAATGCACATCATCGTTCTCAACATCGTCATCATCCTTGTCCAGTCCTACGACTGCAAAGATTTCCTCATCTCCTTGTGGTGGTGGCGCCGCGGCCGCAGCTGCTACAGTTGTTGAAGCCTGTTTGTTGGGATCGGCCACATCCTTCTTGATTCCAGGAATCGAAAGATCCTTGGCATTTGGCGCCTTTCCTGTGATCAAAGCACCGCTACTGTTGGGATCTTCGTCGCCGATGAGCCGTGATTCCTTGATGACTGGATCGCGCAATAGAGTTTGTAGCATTTCTGGATGTGAAGACTCCACAAAGTATCGGTTATGTTTCAGAACCAGCTTCACTTTTCCGTATGACAGTGTGCAATCCCGGATGAGACCCAAGATACTATCTGGCACAGGGACCTTTGAAAGGCGACTCAGCACCTCGATGATATCCTCCGTTTCCAGACCGACTGAGACAGCGGCGTATAGTGAATATGGCGTCAATTTGTACTCGTGGATATGTGAAGGTCTAATTGTAACATACAATGAGCGTGCATGTAAGTGGATATGATATGCTTCTCCGTTGCTCGTTTCCCATAAATGAATAGCATCTTACCTGCTGACTGGCTCTGCGATAGTAATCAAGAAATCGATGGCCTTTTCGGCGATTGGAGAGAACCCTTCTAAGATGATATGCCCATCTTCTGTGATCCACAGCGGCCGGGATTCGTGATCCTGCTTAAGAGGAAGCCATGTATAGTCGTGGTCGCCAAAGATGTATGACACGCTGTCTCTCTGAAAGTTGTGCGACTGAGCAGTTGCATCCATCGTGGCGTGTTTTGGCCCTAATTGACAGTCCAAGCAGGAAAAAAAAAAAAGTCATAAGGGAGACTTATTCTTAAAAGGCCCAATGTGATATCGGGTCATGATAATGGATGTATGACATACCAACAAGTTTGTCGGAAAAGTCTTCATCGATATCTTGATCTTCGGAAGGACCAATGTCATGGATGGGCCCGTCGTCCCGACGACGTCTGTTCAAGCTATCTTGGCCAGCGTCTACAGGGATGGCAACAAATACCTGCTATCAGTAGTTGCCCTTACTTCACAAATCACCGCCCACTTTAGCATGCTGTGCACATGAACCAACGAATCCCCTGTGCACGCATCAAACTGCGATGCAACATACCGTCCGACAGTCCACGTTTGACGCCCATGATTCTGATTTTTGATGAGAATAAACGTGAGCTGTAGATGCGGTTGCCTTTTGCGTATTCAACTCCAACAGCGATGTCTTTAAGGTCTGCGCAATGAAGGAGGAGGAATGCATCTCTTCACTGTCGAGTCGCAGCTTCAATTTATACACCTCTGGCTTAAGGGCCACGAGAGAGAGAGAAAGTGCTTCGCAAGTGTGCAATCGTTTATTTAGAGTTTGGACTGCGAACAACAACTGCGGGCTCATTCTACGGGCGTCATCTCCAGTCCTGAGCTCTTCCTCTTTCGAGTCGACGGCTGATTAGATCCGGCAAAAAGCAGTTCCGATCCTGCTGTGCGAGTTGTGGGCGTAGTTGAGTTGGATGTGTTGCCCGATCCTATAGTGCCAGCAGGAACATGAGCAGGCGCAAACGACTGAGAGCTCTTGAAGTTCTTGATAATAAACTCCACCTCGTTCATCATCGCCAGCGCCATCTGATACACCTCAGTGTCCTCTCCATTGTACATCAGTGCATTCATGAACATGAGGAGGACATCGCGATGGAACTCGTCTGCGTTCGTAATTTGCTATATCCGAATACAAATGAAACAAAGCATTAGACACACATGTTCGCTGCAGGGTTAGGGTTACGAAAGGAACAATAGCTTGAGTAAGCACTGCTTCATGACTTACACCGTCGCGGATCCGTTCCTTGATGCTCTTCAAATCCATGGGCCGCTTGATCATGTAGTAATATCCAGGGGCATCTTGCTCCTTGATCGGCTGCATAAACACTGCTCCGTAGCGATGATTTGCAATATCCTGCCAGATCATCATCAAAATTTTCTTCCATTTTTTGTCGTCCATTTGTGTGCGCATGAGCTGGTCAGACATGTTGGTCTGGGCGCTGTCGGTCATCTCACTATCTGTAGTGTTGTAGCCGTCCTCATTCTCTGCAGCGATACCTCCACGACCCGACCGTCTCTTACGCTTGATAGGAACAGCAGTCTTGATCTTTTTGGGTTTCCTGCCTGATCTCGTCGTTGATGCCGTCTCCTCCTCATCCGCACTAGTCGCTCCTTCCTCCCCACCTTCTTGAGCTGTATCCTCTCCGTGATCTACGTCAGGTGTCGCGGCTTCTCCCTTGATCTTGGATTCGTCTTCCTCCCTTGATGAATCTTCGGCCTCGGGTGGCGCCTCTGCATGAGTGTCTTTGGATGGCAGCTTTTTCCGGTCTGGGTGGTCGTCCTCTCCCTCTTTCTCTCTCTCATCCTTATGCTTTTCCTTAGACTCGTCATCAATGGTTTCCCCATTCTTGTCCTCGTCCTTAGTCGCCACTTTTAAATCGTTAGGTTTAGCCTCTGTTGCCTTAGACTCATCTTCGGGCGTAATATCTTCCCCCTCCTCTATAACTTTAGGAGGTGAGAGGTCGGACGCTGAGGTCGTTGAACTGGGCGCTAACGTGAGGCTGATGTCAGGTTTCCGGTTCTCTTCGGCTGCTTTTGATTGATCAACACTATGGTCGGACACTGCTTGAACTGCGTCCTCGGATGTGACGGATGGTGATTCCTTGCTTGTGACATCCTCCATATCCACGTCCTCGCTACCAGTCGCTGAGGTAGAGGCACCAATAGGCTCTGTAGGTATCTCTGCTGCTAAACTCGTTGCTGCAACATCCTCCATCTCCACATCCTGCAACTCCCCTACATCGTCCTCGTTGCCCTCTTGCAATGTCACTGATGCTTGAACTTCTGCCTCTGGTGCATCAGCAGTCCTACTAACGTCCTCTTGTTTTTCTGACAACGAAGTTGATGAGGGTGTAAGGAGGGATGATGATGTTGTGGTGTCGGCCATCGCAGTTTCGCCCTCTGGTTCTTGTTCACTCAATTCCGTGAATGAGACGGCGGCCTTATCTGCAGCTGCTTCTGACTCCGGCTCTGGCTCTGGCTCTGGAGGGTTCTTTTCCAGTTCTTCTGCAAGTTGGTTGTCCCATTTACCCTGTCGAATCTCGTCCAGTTCTGCAACCAATGCCCTGAACCTCTCCTCATCCTTACGGATGAGCGCCTTGATCTCCATTATCCGCTGCTTGTAAAGTTGTCCTGCAAGCTTTACTACAGTTGAGATGTCTATTAGATGGCATTGAGAGTGTCATTGTAGAGAGTGAGTTATTCTTTGTCCTAAAAAGTGCCTCAAACAATGAAAAGAAGGAGCATAGGTGGAATGCGTACCTTGAGTAGTAGAAGTTCCTACTTCATTGTTGCGTGATTGTTTTGACCGTCTATATAAAGTTGATAATCCAATTGAGAAAAGGTGCTTTTGAGTGAGGTGTTCCACCATGAGTAGTGTATCTGGCGTCCTGAACGAGAAAGATAATCGTGAATAGCGCGTATTGAGTCCAACGTACGTTTCAGCTTCCAGGTTCTCCAAGAGTTGGGTATATTGAATCGCACAACTCTATTCAAGATGCAGTGGAAAGGGAGGCGAGTGATATTGTTAGCTTCTGGCCAGCACTCGGTTCAAGCTATCGGTGCAGGTGTGACTGCAATTCGGGCTGCAGACACTTTACCTTCTGAGAAAAGAAGTTGCTTGACCGGTGGACTTGGGGGTGTCCTTTGATGGTGCGGGCAATAGCCACCCAGTTTGTGTCGCCGCACTTGTAGATGGCCTGGACGAGAATCAGATTTTCGAGAACGGACCATGGCTCAGAGTCGCTCTTGATTTCTGTAGATGCGGGGTCCGACATTTTGTCGCGTATGTCGCAGGTGGAAATATATAACGCACTTTAAGGATAACAGTAAAAAGAAATGTGTTGAAATGGGCAGAAAAAAACGTCGTTTGCGCGTCTAGGTTGGAATTAGGCGTAGTAGAAATCTTGTTGCCGCGTTGAAAATAGAGAAAAAAGACAAGGATTAGCAGGTAATAGTAAGGGTAGTTCCGAACATTGTTACGATGATGATGCTTTTTCTCTGAGGTTTCCAACTTTGTTTACATCGTGACGGCTTATGACCTCAAAACGAGTGCATTTCTTCCTATTCGTCAACGCGTTCGAACCTGATTCGCGCGAGGTCTTCAGGACGCGTACAGCCCGCTTTATTCGTCAAATAGGCTGGCTAGCCCCTCTCCGATATCTTCATGGTCCTTGGAGTCCAGAACACTTTGAGACGGTCTCTCATACTTGCCGGTAATCGTTCTGCTGGACACAGGCTTGTCGTCTTGTTCCTTTTGCTTGAACCACTCGGACTTTGCAACCTATGAACCAAGGACAGTGTTAGATACGCTAAGCAGTGAAAGAGAGACCAAAGTGCGTGCAACTACATGCCCTTTACTTACCCCGATTATGCCTTGCAAAAAGTTGCGGACCAAAGCATGTTTTTCAGTCTTGTTCGTAGCCGCTGAGAGATCCCTCTCAAAAGCCTAGATAGTGAAGGCGGTTGTATCATAAAAAAAAAAAAAAAAAAAAAGACACAATGAGCATATATTTACGACGAAAAATATAATAAAATAGACCATACCTGTTGAATCCTTACCTCGAGCCGCTGTGTATCGGCTCCTAGTGTCTGCTGGAATACAAGCTTAGGTGCTTCATCAAATGCGCGGACTTCGACATAGACCTCTGTTATGAGACGGATCAATTTATCATGTCCCTCTTGATGGTATGGATCATGAAGGGCTTCCATGGCTGACTGAAGCACCGTTGTTGAAAAGCTACCGATAATATTTTTCGATCCAGGGTAGTTCTGAACAAGGACCGTCAGCACGCAAAGCGCCGCTTCCGTAGATCGTAGGCATGATTTCGTATCCTTGAAAGTCATGATGTGGCACATCAGTGGGATAATCGACTGGACAATCGTATCTCGCGACAGGATGAAGAGCGCCAGAGGCGCTATCTCTTTATGGCCAGCAGCTCCAACAGCACCCTGATTCTGCGCTGTGACAGCATTTACAGGCGCTTTCTTGGCGTAATCGAGAATTGAAAAGATAAACCCGGCGATATAGAAAGTAAGATCCCGCAGCATGACCTCCCTCACGATCCCGTCTGTGATGTCCAGTTCCTCTGGGTCGTCCTTCTCATCCATGACCAACCCCTCGTCTGAAGCTAATTTCCAGTCCTTGAGCAGCCGTTGGTCCAAATATGGGAACAAGACAGTCAAAAGATGCGAGAGCACTGAATCCATACTCGACTCCGGACAGTTGAGAACGAGGGGCTGGATGGCGTGGTTGATGAGGAGCCGAAGTTGACGGTCGGTGAGATAGTCGACATGCCCAAATAGAGACTGTTCGAGAATAGTCTGGAGAGAAGATATAGAGTAGAACGCTGGTCCTAGTTGCGAGATCTGTGCAAGTACGCGGTATGATTGGTCGCGCAGACTAGAGAGCCAGTTTTTGAGGTCGAATATCAATCTTGCAACAGTTCCTGTGGGAGCCGAGCCAGCCGCAGCACTGGGTGCCTTTCCTGTCACCATCATCTCTTTCTCCTCTGCGGACAAGCTAAGAGCGCGGCTCACGTCCGGTGAGAAATCTGCCCATAATCTTTCGTCGCAGATGGCACTGAGGCAACGAATGGTTGAAAAGAGACCGGGCAGTATTGAGTCGATACGTGAGGTCCAAAGCATCAGTCTTTGGTCGTCATTGACGTCGATTGTCTCCTTCATGAACGCATGCAAAGATTCAATTGCTCCTGACAATTTGCAGCGACGCTGCGTGATAATTCTTTTTAAAGCGTCGATCTGTTCCGGCAGGGGTGTTGTAATGGACGCATTGGATAGCTCTGATACTCCAATAAACGCCATGAATTTCTTGGGGTCAGATAGCGCCTCCTGTACGTCTGGCGAATGAAGATCCAGAACTACCGGCTGGACAATATTTTCGAATATTGTCTTGCGATCCAATGGCATGTTTGAGTTGAATCCGATAACGAGCAAAAACAATTGCAATGTTCTCTTTTCACCGTGTGTAATAGCGTTGCGCTGAATCAACCCTTGGATCGCGATTTCAATCTGGCCATAGATCGGGTAGAGTGTGTTGGGAATTGCCTTGCCGATTTTGGCCAATGTCGTTGCTGCTCTGAGTCGTAATTGGCGGGCATCGCGCATAGTCAAATCAGACATGGGATGCTCGACCGTCTTGAATAACTGTGATATGAAATGTTGAAAGCGATATGCTAAGTATTTCGTCCGACTAAAAATCCTACGCTCGACGAAATTCAAATTGACATACCTTGTCCAGACTGCGGAAAAGCAGAGTCGAATTCAACTTGAACAAGTCTGTGAACGCTGAGAACGTTGCCACACAACGCTCCACTGCAGGCAGGCACTGTTGAGGAAGCAATGTGTTAAGAGGTTGGCTCCTAGGCATGTTCAACCATAACACAACATGAGTGTGCAGTGCTCATTCTTACCTTGTTATCGTACTCAATAAGAATTCCCAAGAGAGAGTTCACGGCATCCAATACCTATTCATAGACAAATATCATCTTTAATCATCTGTGTTAAGGTTGCTTGTCCTATTTTAAAGCTGCCGCCTCTGCTTACCTGTCCAGCCTGTGCATGAGAGCTGTCGGCGATGAGATCCTTCAGGCTAGATATTGTGATCTCCATCAAGGTAAGCGTGCCGTCGAATTGATGATATTGAGATGTTTCTCTAACTAGAATGACAAATAAGAAGACATGTCAGACGAGGTTGGCAATCAAACAGTTAAAAGTATAGAGTGGAACCTACCATCAGTGGCCTGTGGAAATTCTGTTTGAAGCGCCTGTGTCACCTTGTTACCGACCCAGATAAATGCATCCAGCGGCTAAAACGTAAAGAAACAGCTGAATTAATATCACACACCATCAACGTTTGTATTACAAGATCAGTACGCATGAATTACTTACTACGACCGGCACACCGCGATGGATAACATCAACCGCTCTGGCAAACGTCTTTTCTGCATATCCTCTGAACTCTGTCACAGAATCAAAGTCAATGGAGGCAAAGTGCCGATAGACAAGATCGGTCTCCCATCTGATTTTGAAGTCCCTTGCTAGGTGTTTCGAGTACAGCTCCAAAAGTGGAGGAATAAATGAATGCACAGTTGGGTCCTATTTGGAGGAAAATGTAGTCTGTATGAGAACAACCGTATAATAGAGATAGCATCGGCAATATGCCAGCAATGTCCATGGCTCTTACTTTTGAAAACGTTTCGTGGCGTAAAAGTGTCGCCCAGAAAAACGACACTATAGATGAGATTAACATGGACGGATGCGATGCCATCGAGTAAAGGAGCTGTAGAAATCTGAGGTAAGAAACTTTAGATTATTTTTTTCTCGCGACGAAATTGCCTTTCATATCGTGCCACATGATGTCCTTACTTTGAAAGTTCTTTCGGCACGTAGGCGCTGCGCTTTGCGCACAGCTGCTGTTCTCCGAGATTAACGGTGGCCTATAGACACCACAGCAAAATATGAGCTTATGTATGGTCACGATTATATCTGCTGTAGAACGCCTACTCATGCTAACACCAAGTCGCGTACCTGCACCGTCTTTTGAATGAATTTGTACGCTTCCCCCTGCAATATCTGGGTAGCATATGCAAGGTATGCTCTTGAAATGATATCGACCCCACCCTCCTCCAACAATGGCCAGATAATTTTTTCCCGCTCAGCGTCCGAGAGATTCCTGCAGGACAGCACGTCGTAGCACTCAGCGCCAGCCTGTCGAGTCAGAATAAACTTGCTAGCATTAGAGTAGCCTGCGAAATGGGCACAAAGGAATTTTCTGGGATACTATTCTTACCAACCGAATCTTTTCCGATGGCGACAGTAATGATTGGCAGACAAATGGAACTACCGGTGCTGATGATACGGAACTATAATTGAATAAAGCTCAGTCAGTACTGGAGCCGGCACTTTGATGAGGAATAAGGACTCTTAGAACTGCAGTAAAAAACAAAAATAAATACCTAACAATGACCCAGTCCAAACCCGAGGAGAAGGTTTTCAATGCCGCGATGGCAATCTTTTCGTCCGCAGGCGCTCTGGTCTATGGAAAAGACACTCGTTAGATATTGGCTCATCTACCATCTCGTCTTTTCCCAAGAATTGCACACTCGAACATTGTAGCTAGGTCCATACCTCTGACTGACAACGGGGAAGCAGTTCCTGTAATAACACAGCCAGTCGAGCGATCCAACCATCATTCCCGCTCTCGCCAAGCATGAGCGTCACTTCGTCCCTGTGTCCCTTCACACCGTCTGGATAGTGCTCCTTCAAAACGCCTTCGCTGGACATGATCACTAGCAATCCTGCACGTAGATCCTTCTTTCGTAACCCTGCCACGGCATCGTCGTAAACGAACACATCTTCGCAGAGGGATCTCAGGATCAGCAAGGCCATCTCCCTTCCCGTCTCCTATTTGGAGGAAAAGAACAAAATACAATGAACGGGGTCAGGTTACCATCGCATATATGCGGATCAGACCTACAAGCACAGGGTGCAAACTGAGCGGAACTCACATCTTTGAAAAACAATTGCCTCAGGAATGCATCCATATTTTCCCAGACGCCGGGCCATTCCCTCTTGGCAACCTCGACAAATAATCGGGCCACTTTTTCCTTGATGAACGACTGCTCTGTCAGCAACGGTTTTGAACCCTACGAAAAATAATCCAGAGGGTGACCAATACAACCGCACGATCAGCGACTGGACGATACATAATCCCATTTTGTTTTAATTTTTCCCTCCTCTCACAAGGCCATACCTCCGCTGCCAAGGACATGACATTGTCCCGGATCTGCGCCTTGGTCTCAGGGGTGAGGGTGCCGTCCGACCACCGATATCGAACCACATTCTCTATCAGGCCCAGTCCGAAATGTCTGACCACATCTGGCTGCTGGTTGTCCTTGTGGGCCAGGTAATACCCATACAATGGCGCAGATGCATCGCGCTTCAATCCTTCGCAGTACTATAACAATGGGTACATAAAGCAATTTGGTTATTACAGGGCAATTAAGGAGTTGTCTGTAGCGCGCTTCAGCAATTGAGCAAGCTCTTCAAATTGTCCTCCGTATGTCATTTACTTCTTGGGCCTGTTGGCGAGCTTCATTGGTGCTGGTAGCATTGTAGATAGTCTCTAACGCCGCGAGAAGGTTCCTTAAAACTATCAGGAGAGGAGAGCAGAATGAAAAAAATATGAGGCGTCAAGTTTAGAGTACTCTTTACAGCACCGTAGTGAATCTTGCTGGGCGAGAAAGGCCATGTACCTGACTCATCCATTTGAGAGGATTCGATTCAATGAAGGAGAAAACAAGAAGGTGCATGGGATCTCATGGTGCAACGCCTCCCCCCCTTCACTTCTTTTGAAGCTGCGGGGTAGAATTGCAGAAAAGGTCACACATTTAAGATTTCGCGTCTCATTTCTCGCGTTTATTTGTTTTCTCATGCGCGCGTCTCTACAGCTATGCGCATCGCCCGCAGCATACACACATACATCTCTAAGGCTCCTCGGGCTTATTGCTGACCCGCTCATGCATCGAATCCAACATCTCTGGCCGTGCGTAGAATCCATAACATACCCAGTCGTACACAAATCAGTCCTTCCGTCAAAAAAAAAATGTATAGCATACAAAACTCGGGCAACGTCCGTCAATATCTCCCTCCAGCTTTGTCTTTTGTAAAATCCGAGCTGCTTTGCACTAAATCCTCCACATATCTACAAACGGCTGTGGTACGTGCTAGGACCTCTGAGCCTGCCGCACGATGTTGCTCTCCCTTTCCTCGTCGAATGCATCCGGGAAAGATTTTTTTTTTTTTTTTTTTTTTTTTTTAATTGGCGGACAAGGACATGCTTCAAGGGGCAAGAGGCAAGAGTAGTCCTCATCAAAAGCATTTGGCCCCTTTGAAGCAATCGACCATACGCTGGTGCTCCTACGCCACAGAGAGACCTCTTCCCGATCCTGTTCCGCCATGCGCATACTCACGGTTTAGCTCCTTCAACAACACGTACTCGAACGCATGGCCCGCATCCTAGTCCTCAGCTCGACAGGAATCGTCGCAATACCAAAATCTTTCCATATAACTGTCGCAGTGCCTCCCAAGGTCGTTCTCTTGACTGTCCCTGATAGGTAAACATCTCAGACAGAACCCGCATCTCTTTCGGTTCTCAATATTAGAAACTAAGACTTGGAGCGAGGAACCGACGACCATGATTTTCCCGCGGTCTAGTCTCGCGACCCGGTCGATCCTGATCACATCACCATTGTCCTCGTCTGTTACCGCATTGACCGTTAACTATGTTCTTGCTCCTGAGGGAGATACCTTTCAAAAACCACCATAACGGTATCAGCAATCTGGAAGGCGCTAGTTCAGTTCGACTTCGATCTGGCGCTGGGCGGGACACAGTCGATGGGCTATGCAGTCCTTGCTCAGCAGAGTCACAGTGACAAAGGAAAATAGAGAGAGAATAGTTGAAGCCAAAGGGTGAAAAGGAAGAGGGGGGGAAGAGAGAAGAGAGACAGAAAGATGGGAAGGGCAATGTGCTTCCAGGGACCTAGGTTATCAGGAGGAATCAAACCCGTCATTAGCGCATACCACAGAGGCGTCTTTTGCACCTTTACATTCTTTTATTGATAATAATGTACACTAAAGAAAAAGAAAAGAAAAGAAAAGAACTATGCGATACAATGCTAAATCGCTCCTTTAGAAATACTGCCCGCCTCCGTTTCCGTTAGCATGCCCTGCGCCATTGCTATGGTGATCGGTCCCCGACGCCTGCTGTTGATGGAACTGTTGCAACGCCAGCTGTGAAGACGTCAATGTCTGAGACTTCATCCTCGCGAGTCTCTCCTTCATCAGCGCCACAGTCTGTGCCCGCTCCTTCACTGCCATCGATTCTTGCAGCGCCTGCAATGTGGGCACAGTCGATGGGGACATACTGGGTAGTCCACCGTTCATTCCTGGGCTGGGATATCCATTGTTCTTGCCGTCCTGATGGCCAAAATGTGACTGATAAGGGGAATGCATTCCGCTGGTAGAGCTAGCGAACTGTGAAGTTGTAGGAGATGCAGTTCCGCTAGTGAGCGACGACTGATAGAGGGACGTAGGACGCGAGCGACTGTGTTGTGCCAGAATCTGTTGCTGCTGTAGTTGATGTTGCTGGAAATCAATCTCTTGCTGTTGACGCATTGTCAAGCTGGGACTATTGCGACCCTCCATCAACCTGTTCGTAACCTCATGGCTGTCCTGAACCGGCGAAGGTGACTTTGACTCCTATTTCAAATGTTGTCGTCAAGAAAATTAGCAAATTGTCAAAGCCAGACGGTATCATGTCCGGTCTCGAGTGCCCTTTCAAGTGAGTATATTTTACCGATTTATATCCAAACATCTGCTGGAGACGAGACAGTCGATCTTTGTAGGACTCGGATGGATCCGTCGAAAGCGATCCAGTACCGCCTGCACCACTTTCAGAATTGGCGATTGACAGCACACTTTCCCTCTTTCGAGCGGCTGCAGCTGCATCGGCTGCATCGCGATCCCTAATAATGGGTGATCCGGTAATGCCTGCTCCGATGCTGCTGATGGATGTAGGAACTGATGCACCCGTTGCAGCAGCATTGGCCTCTGCCTCCAGATTGGCAAGTCCTCGTCGGATATAGCTCTGGAAAAAGGTGCCAGTCTTAGCGAGCTGTGCATTGACCTTTGGCTCCATGTTCGGATACATTTTTTGGAACTGGTACAGGTCCGCAATACCCTAGAGTAGCAAAAAGCACAATTTGTTGGTGTTTGAATTAATATACTAGGCAAGGCCGAAAAACAGAGATGCGTCGACCGGTATAATTCTTTTTACCTGCTTTGTCTCCTCACGTGTCCCAATCTTGGTAAAGATCTGCGTTAGTCGGCTGTTCATCTCCGTCTCGGACACGCCAGAGAGATCATCCGAGCTCTTGTTATCACTTCCATCATTAGTCTGGCTTGGAACATGAGATTGACCCAAAACCATGCTCATGCGGCTAGTGCTGGCGCCCGCGCCGCCAAAATCGTTTTGAGGAGGCTGCGACATGCCAAAGCCAGACAACGACCCCTGAGGATTTTGGAGTTGCGATCCAAAGGATGGTTGCTGTTGTATCCTTGGCGAAAGGGCCTGTTGCTGGAACTGATGAGAATGCTGGAACTGTGGAGATGTAGGCAGCTGGTTGAGTTGTGGCTGCTGTGGCTGCTGTGGCTGCTGTTGCAGCTGTTGCTGTTGCTGTTGCTGTTGTTGTTGCTGTTGATGTTGTTGTTGCTGAAGCATGTTGTGCATGCTCAAGTTCTGGTTGGTCATTGCACCAATAACGGACATCCTATCGCGAGTAGCGTTGCTAGGGATGGGAGGGGTAGCCGGGTTCTGGACCTGGGCGATGGGTCGTTTCTTGGAGCCAGTCATATGCACAAGATACTGGTGGATCGCTGATTTGGTTGGGTCGTGGATTAGGTCCAGGTGATTAAAAACTTCGTCGCCCATGCCAGACGACAATTCAACCAGAACAGTCTTGACAGTCCTCAAGGGCATATCTCCCAGTGGCACACCCTCCTGCGCGCGCCGCTTCCACTCTGGTGGCGAGATCGAGACCAGAAAGTCGTTCATATCCGCAAGGAGCTCATTGGGCTTCAGCGTTCCAGCGGCCACGCACTCCTTGATGGTCTTAGTGAGTTTCCAGATGCACTTCATGATCAAATCTCCAAATTTGGCCTGGTGAGCAGAATCCTCCATGTTCCTGAGCGGCTGGGCACAGCGGACCAAGATCAACAGTAAGGCGCTAAAAGTCGCGTTACGGTTGCTGTTCTCCAAAACCTTGACCATGGTGACGTTCAACGCCTTGGCCAGCTGCTGACCGCTCTCGACCTTGTCCAGATTCTTATCCAACAATCGACTAGCCAGCTCATGCAAAAGGTTGTAGAGAGGATCTGATTGAACCTTGATAGCCAGCTGCTTGTTGGAGAAAATGCTCACAAGAGAGTTGACGAGGTGCTTACATACGCGTGTGGTCGAGTTGTTGCGCTGCTCCAGTCCTGTGTATGCCAGTCGAATCTGAAGGGTGTGCGCGTTCACGAGTTCATTAATATGAGGGATGATAACGTCTAATGGCCCATGAAGCGCCTTTTCCAGCTGCTTTAGAGCATCGATGCTCTGGTATGCGTCGTCGCTCGTGATCTGAGTGACAAGGTAGTCCATGACGGCCTCCCCTCTCCTATCGCCTCCAGAGACTGAGAGCCGCTTGATTTGAGCGGAAGGTGGGACTACAATCGCGGGCGGAGGCTGCGACAGACCGTTGTTCGTGGTGAGACCGCCTCCCAGCCCACCAGCGTTGTTGCCGCTAGGCCGCAATCCGTTCAGTGGTTGTGGGGCGGATGTTATACCGTCCATAGGATCGAATGGTCGCTGTTGCATGCCCATGTTCATGAGTGGCGGCGGCGCATTACTGGTGGGAGGAAGCACATTATAGTCGTCATACTCTGGCTGCATATCATGAAGTCGTGACACTCGTGGTGGTGCTCCAGGGATCCCAGAGTCCAGGGCAGATGGGATTGACTGGCCAGGCTTCTTCAGCGTCAACCGAGACCTTGGTGCGACCATGCCTGATCCCTGGCCAGGTCCTGGAAGAGAGGAAAGCGACGGCAAAGAAGGAAGGGGCGAAGTCTGCTGTTCGCGAGGCGGACCTTGCGGCGTTGGGAGTGCACTTGCCGCAGGTCGAGCTGCCACCTTTGCAGGTGCACCGGGGAGGGCTGATGCGCCAGGCCGAGCGCCCGCCTTCGCACCGGGTCGGGGCAAACTTGGCAAGGTGTTGAGGGCTCCTCTTTCTGTGGGTGCTGGTTTTGCATTTCCTGCTGCGGATGGAGGACGTGGTGGGGGTGCGGGCTTGGCTGCCTCGAGCATCGGCATGATAGCAGATTTGGCAGCCCCCTTCAAATCGCTGCACTTAGCAACGACGGCATCGTATCCCACACTGCCCATCAGGATCGGTAAGAAGGCTTGGCCTGCTTTGCGTACATCGGGGCTTCGATCCTGGAGACATTGCAAGATTGGTGGAGCAAGCGGTAACAAATCCGGAAGGTTCACATCACGCTCCTTAGCTCCATTGCAGAACGATGTAAGCCATACAAGAAGATCCTTTCGCAGCGTGGGTGAGTTGGTGACCAGCGAGACCGCAAGAGACGACACAAGGCAATCCAATCCGCCTTGTGTTGCAAAGGCTTCCAATGCTGCAATCGACGCGCTCCTGACGTTGTCCTTTTGATCCGTCAAACAGCTGGCAACGTTCGAGCACAGGATCCTGGCGTACTTCTCAAAAGGCTTACCCATGGCGTTGGCAAGACTGGCGCAGATTTCCATCGTCAAAATTTGCAGGTTTTTGTTGCTGTCGGCGAGTCGAAGCTTCAGCGCTCCTGGAAGTCCACCGAGGTTGGGCTTGATACGTTTATTGGCATCGATGATGGCCGCCACCTTCTCCAGACCCTCCTTGCGTATCTTCCAGTTAGCATCTCCACACTCCTCCAACAATGCAGACGTGAATTGGTTGCCGATATCCACCTTGGGGAAGAGCTCCTCCACGGCTGCGCTCCCAGAACTTTCTTCCACTGCGCCCTTTGTCACCTGTGGTGGCTCCAGATCGGCAACTTTAGCGAATTCTGCGTCGATGGCTGCTAGCAATGCTGTGTTGCAATCCTCGACGAACGATCGAATGCCTATTTGACATAAAGCATGGTCAGAGGGGTATCCAGTAATCAATCAAAGACAAATAAAATATGTCGCGTTACATACTAGGTCCGATAAATCGACGAAGAATTCCGAGAACAGATACAGCGTTGGTACGCACTGCAGCATTGGCACTTCCAAGCGCAACCTTCAAAAAATCAATCAACTCGCGCACTTGAAGGCCTGCGATACCAAAGTCCTCCAATTGCTGATTAATCCAGAGCAGAGAATCAGCAAGAGCCTTGGGTGCCTTCAGTTTCTTGAGCGGATCGTATGACTGACTTAATACGAACTGAAGCGAGAGCGCCTCTGCGTATGCAGTCAAGCAATCGCCAGCCGCCTTCTTCAATTTGATGTCACCCATCTTATCAATCATGGCTAAAGTAAGAACGAAATCGGTTAGAGCCAAACATTCAATGAGAGCACAGAACCTGGCTGCTCATCCCCAGAACTGCACAAACCTGGAATGCTCAGTGCCGCACAGGCCTTGGAGAAGGACGGCAGCTTCTGCGCCTGAAGCTGAAGGATCCCGTAGAGCTTTGTCATCACTTGGAAATTACTATCCTTCCAGCCCGGTTTCTTGGCCAGAACGCGCGTGATCAATTCCGCCTCGAATCCTGGATTGTTATCTACCAGATCATGCAGTTTTTCCATAGCCTCCAGACGCACTTTCCAGCTCGAGTCGCCAAATTCAGCGATCAATCCTGGCGTCAAAAACTCGGCTGCCTGTTCTTCCGCCGACTCGCTCGAAAACTTGTATCGGAGGGGCTCTTCCTCTTTTTTCGAACCTCCTGCAGCTGGGGCCGCCTTCTTTGTTGCTGCGCTTGCACTCGATGCTGCTGATGCTGGTGCAGCCTTGGCGACAGGTTTCTTGGCAGAAGAAAGGGCTGAAGGTTTTGCTGCAGGTTTCTTTGTTGCTGCGGCTGCTGGTGCCTCTGACGCTTTTGCCGGCGCAGGTTTCTGTCATAGGAAAAGGCAGTTTCAGGTGAACAACACATTCATTGCAAATTAACATTAATAGCGCGGTCGTCATCCCCTCTCAGCTACCGTACCTTTGCCACTGGCTTTGCAGCAGGTGCCTTTGCAGGTGCCGGCTTTGGCGGGGCAACAACAGGGGCGGCCTTTGCTTTCACGACGGCCTTTTCGCAATACTCCTTGACCTTGCCCATCTTGACAGTGTCCAAGCCCTCGGTGTAGGCCAACAGCGGTTTCTCTCCACAACACTTCATCAGCGTTCCGAGGGCCTCTGCAGCAGCCTCGCGGACGGCGGCATCCCCATCATCGAACGCCTTGACAAGCATTTCGCTTCCAGTCTTGATTTCCTGTTTTGATGGTGCGATCTTGATCTCCCTCAGTCGATGAATCTGTAGTTTGATGACCTCTGCCCTGATCTGCGGATTCTTGTGCACCACATTCGTCGCTGTGTCTTCCAGAAGCTCAGAATATGGTATCTAGACAAATGGTATCTCGTTGGCGTTAGTTATGCGCTCAAAATTACATGGCACTGTGTTAACAATCCATTCAGGCTTGGTCCCTACAGTGCTATACATGGCGTTGAGGGCGCCAGACAAGGCCTCCACTACTGTGACTTTGCGTTCCTTGAGTCGATCCATGACCGGTCCTGCCACAGATGGCTTATATTTGTTGAAGCTGTCGCGTAGTCCACGGGCCAATCCATCCAAACAATTTGCTGCCACGATGACGATATTAATGTTGGTATCCGCCATGCGCTGTTGTAGGACATCAAAATTGTAGAAAGCATGAGTATTGTATTCCACAGGAGACGATTGCGATACAGTCAATAAGAACAAGCAGTACCTTTCCGAGAGCTCCGACCAATTCTGAGTAATGGTTGTCAAGAATCTTTGGCGATTTGCAGAGAACCAAAAGTGCATCCAACGCCTCCTTCCTCTCCTGCCACTTTTTGGATGCCAGGAGCTCATAAAAGTTGCTTTCCATCTTCGCATTCACATCGACGGGATCGAAGAGGTCCAGCTCGTCCACGACAACCATCTCTTCATCCTCGTCCTGACCGTCGTCGCCGTCGTCGCCTCCATTTTCTGCTGCGGCCGCCATCTCGGCTTGTTGTGAGCGAAGATATTTTAGTGGTGTTGGGCGCTCATCGGGTAGCTTCTCAAATGCCTCCGTCAGCTCCTTTTGCTGTACTGGTTTCAGCTCCTCTAGTGATGGCATGATAGCCTTTCCGAGCCATCGATACAGCTCTATCGTCAGGGCATTGGCTTCGGCTCGAACATTCTTGTCGGAATGACCAAAAAGTGGTGGCAGCTTCTTGACAAGTGGTTTGACATTGAGATTTTTGATACCAAAGGTACTACGATTTTGAAGAGCACCAAGATGATCTGAAGTTAGTGTGGATGCATGCATGCATACATACAATATTAACAGATGACCACGATTGTTGATTGAACATGCTCTCCGCGCTCTTCCATACCGAACAATAGCAGCGAGGGTATTCGTGGTTGTGGCGACGAGCTTGGGGAGTTTAGCATCCAGACCTGGTAATACATCCTCCTATGGAAGAATAGTATAAAGATGCAGTATGATCGAGGGGAGCAAAGAAAAAAAAATGATGAGAAATCTGTACAACCAAAGTATTCGACGCGACTGCATAAGAGATCCTCTGTGCTTCCGAGCACTTACGATGACGGGATCTGGGCTATCGACCTCGACATATAATAGAATCAACTCTAGGGCCTTGGCCTTGGTTCCTGTCCTTGTGGAGGACAGGCACTTTTCCACGACTGCTGGCACCACAACACTCTTTGTCCTATAAAATATTCACAAAGGTAAAAAAAAAAGGAGAGAGGCATACAACAATGCATCAGTATCAGCGTCCGTCTTTTCTCTTTTATTTTCAGGAAGGTGTTGATCACGGCTCCCCTCGTTATTGGACATTCTTTACCTATTAGGATCTGGGGCGTTCTCCACAAACTGGATGAGCGTACTCAACCCTGATTCCTGTGCCACAGCGTTCGAGTCAAGAGCTATCTTTTTTAGGGAACCCTCAAATCGCCGGAAATCAGAGTCCTCCACGCTTGTGCGGAATAGCTTTGCGAGTTCCTCATATGCAGAAACGCGAGCTTTCCAGTTCTATCGGTATTATCAATATCATTATGAATTTTTTTTTTTTTTTTTTAGAGAATAGGGTATTAGTTTTCCTAGGAACACTGAACTGGGCAATATGGTGGGATTCCCAATAAGACTTAAAGCTGATGAAGAATAAAAAAAAAAGTTGGCCGCACCTTGTGCTCCAGTCTCTCCTGGACTGGAATCGAGTTGAAGTTCTCCTCTGGTGCATTCCCTCCGAATTCGTCCATCATTGAACGCGTTGCTTATTGTACAAGTGTGTTTCAGGAACGAATAAAAAAAAAATAGGGTGGGGGAGAGGGTGTAGATGCTGCTGGCGACTCGATCCTCGTGGCTGTGGTCGTGTTCGTGTTCGCGTGAATTTGTGTACCAGACAGGCTCAGCCCTGCAGCGGTTGGAGAAAAAAACGGAAAATGAGTGCAAGGGAAGGAAAGAAAAAAAAATAAAGGAGAAAGAGAGAGCGAAGGAAGAAGAGGGCTGGATGAGCAATGGTGACTAAAATAGGATGTGGAGAAGGAGAAGACAGGTGCTCAGTTTTGTTGATGGATGGTGCTCTCTGGTGAAACTCGAGTGTTGGCGGCGATAAAGTGACGAAAAGACAGTAGGGGGTAAACGAAGGAATGAAGACGATGAAGAGGTAGCCAGAAAAAATATTCACCAACCAAAAGGACCAAAGTTGGGTTCGCAACCCCACAAGTGCTTCTGGATTTACGTCACATATGTCACGTGTGAATGCAGGGTCGCCTTTTGAATGATTGAGTGTTGTATGCTGTACATGTACCTGAAGGAGCGGAGATATATGAATACAACTAGTCTGTGCGCGGGAATGTCTGAAAAAAATAGTCTATCCGTGTGCACGTCCGTGCCAGCGCTACTCCTTTCAGTTCGATGGGTTTACATTTTCCGCCGTCAGCACAAGATATTTATTGAAGCATTAGTAGACTATGACCGATAATCAGCATTGATCGAGATGTATTCATGCGACAGATCGCAGGTCCAATACGCAGTCTTCTCTGTGCCTAGGTTCAGATCCACCCGGATTTCAAGGTCCTCCATCTTCAAAATCTCGCTCGCGCGCTCCTCATCCACTTGTTCGGGTTCTCCATTGACAAGTAGCTTCAAGGGTGTCGAGTTATCCGTGGGGATGAACGAAACCGACACCTTTTTAGGATCAATCTCCTTCACACCAGAGTATCCAACCGCACAGAGAATACGGCCCCAGTTGGCATCCTGACCATAGAGCGCCGTTTTGACCAACGAAGATGTAGCGACAGTCGAGGCTACAGTCTTGGCTGCCTCGAACGTAGGCGCACCCTATGGCAATGCCAAGGTCATCGAAAGACGCAAAGTGTGAGTGATAAAGACCACAAAACCTGTGTGAGTGGAATTTTTAGCAGTATGTGAATCATGGTGACGAGTCGATAATGCCACAGTGTTGAATACTTGCCTCGACTGAAACCTTGACGAACTTTGTTGCTCCTTCTCCATCCCTGACCACCAGCTGCGACAGCTCCTGCGCAAATTCGGTCAAATTCTCCCTGAATGCTTCAAAGTCCTTGCTCGAAATCTTGTCCACCACGACCTTGCCCTCTGTCGCTCCCGCATTCGCCAACAGCGCGACTGTATCGTTGGTGCTCATATCGCCATCAACGCTGATTGCATTGAACGACCGATCGACCGCATGACTCAAAGCATACTGCAGCAGGCCTGGCTCGACTCCCAGATCCGTTACAATGGTTCCCAAAAGCGTGGCCATGTTCGGGTGGATCATTCCAGCACCCTTGGTGATACCTGCGATCCGATACTCGACCTTGGACTCTGGTAACTGGAAGACCTTGGATCGCAGCTTGGGGAACGTGTCTGTGGTCATGTATGCCTGTGCACAGTCCATCCAATGCTCATGCTGATCTCCCAAATGGCTCTTTGAGTCCTTGACGCCCTGCAAGATCTTATCCATTTTCAGGTGCTGTCCGATCACGCCTGTCGACATGACCAGACTTGAGTGCTTGTGACCCGTGAGTGAATCCAGGGCTTCCAGCATTTCCTTTGCGTTTTCCAGACCCTTCGCACCGGTAACGGCATTGGCGCAACCTGAGTTGGTCACGATGCCGTGAATGGCCTTACCTCCGTTATTCTGCAGCCTCTCCTTTGAGGCAACCACAGGGGCAGCCTGGAAGACATTCTTAGTAAACACAGCTGCAGCAGAGCATGGGTAGGTGGGAGATGTGATCAAAGCCAGGTCCTTGGCGCCAGATTTTTTGACCGAGGATGAGATTCCGGAGACGAGAAAGCCTTTGGGGTAGATGCCTGAAGTTGGGATGAGGCGCTGCTTGGATGGTGGGAGAGAGGCCCAGGTTGGAGGTGCCTTTGTGGAGTAGGTGCGGGCCATTGAGGAGGAGGCTGCGTTCAAAGAGCCGAAAGAACGGCGAGATAGGGCGAAGAATGACATGCTTGATTTGTGTCGATGTCCTTTCTTTTGCTGTCTAAAGAAAGTGGAAGAGACAGGGAAGCGATGAGGATGATCGGGATGGGGAGAAGAATAGAAGGGAGGAGTGAGATCGCGTCCCTTTTTCGCGCTCTGGACGATCCTTATATATGGCCCATCGGACAGTCACCTTTTTCCTCGATATGCCATGATCGTGCGTGAGTCAAAGGTTTTGGTTTATGAAATTTATGGCAAGAAATATATTTTTACACTGTTAAAGCGTGCGCTTGACGAGAGGTGAGTAAGGCTGCATGGCATGGGTTAATATGGTATGTATACATCGAAGCTGAGCGAAGTAAGCGGTGGAGGCGGGTAATTATTAAAAAGGCGCCAACACTAGCTGGGAATCTGCGAGAGGTTGAAGAACTGATCGAGCTGATTAAGCCAAGAGCACATCTCGTCGCGAGAGGGAGCCTGTAAAAGGTACGCGTTATTGACGGTGTAGATCGCAAACACGTACTGGCGCTAGGGCGACAGAGAATCAACGCAGTATACATGTTAGCGCCAATAAATTGCACGGTATTATAGATACAACAAGATTACTAAAAAAAAACGAAGGCTCCTTACGTTCAGCATCTCTTCCAGGTCTTGTTTGTAATCGACGCGCACCTGGGTCAGGTTCAGAACAGTGAGCTCCTCTGTCTCCGAGCTATTGGCATATATGTACATGTACGGACGGCGGATCACAAAGTATCGCTTGACCCAAACATCGTCCTTGAACTCGGGGTAATGTAAATAACCCTTCTTGGACACATTCTCACTAGTAAGTCAAAGAGACAGAGTCAAGCTGATGTCAGGTCCAAGGCTTCAGAAGGGCGCTTTAAACTAATTGCCTTAGAATGATTGACAACAGTTGTTACCTCTTAGTAATGAACTTGACCTCAGAGTGGAAGCGCAGAGCTGGCCGAGAGGATTTTGCGTTTGAAATATCATCTTGGTCGTCTGTTGAGTCCGAGTTGCGGCTCGAAAGAAGCTACAAGTCAAATAAGACCACATTAACTAATGACCAATCTTGAATATTGGCATACATATCCATCAATAGGAGTCGCATCCGCTAGTTACCTGCTCAACTGTAATCGATTTCCGCCTCCATAGTCGCACCATCCTCTCCAGTAACTCCCGTGAGCGCGAATCCAGCTCGCCATTGATACTGCCGTTCGCAATCGAACTATCGCTTTCGGTGCCCTCCCCATCTTCGACCTTGACGCTTTGGAGCTGCAAATGCTGCCTCACCTTCTCCACCTCCTCTTGCCTGTTGATTAGGGCTGTCCTTGCTTGAAATCCGCTCACAAGCGACACACTCCTAGGCTTCCAGCCTGCCAAAAACTCTTCGCCACGAACGTATTCGCCTGCCGTGTTCATTCGCCAGAGCTCTGACGCCTTTTTAGTGACAATCGGCTTGAGTGAGAGCAGGAACAATCCACTCATTCGCGAAAGAAGCCTTGTAGATGCAAGGAAGGATGTCAACTTTGATGGTGCTCTCGCCTCTCGCTCCTGAATCTGAGCTGCAACATCCATCTGGAACCGAATGGGCTCTGGACAGCGCTCAGCCTCTACACACCAGCTGACTGTCATCACCACCCGAGTGCCAGATACTGTGACCCTGTTCAGGTGCTGCGACTCGTGAAGTGTGCTGTCCCAAGAAGCCTGAATAACTAATTCGCTGGTCCCATCCGTTGAATACTCGACTTTTTGGCCAGGCACAATACTGAGTGAAATATCTTCTCTAGATGAAGAATCCGTGACACGACCCTTGCTATCCACCAGTCGCACATTACCAACCTTTATGTTCGAAATGCTGCTCCAGAGAAATTGTCGTCCGGATGTGTGTGAAAGCGACAAGATGATGCGACGCTGTAGGCCTTGCCGCAACTGGAATGCGCCAGGGTCCATGACCGAGTTCGAGAGTACTTGTACCGGCATGTATTCCCCATCAGGAGCGAGCTCGCACAGCTGGACAAACGTCAAAACATCGTGGTGTTCCACCCTCGACTGTCCATCCTCCGATCGACGATCTGACACCGCACCAATGGAGCCGAGACTATCCAGCGAGGGCCGATTATTGCCAGTACTCACGACGCCTCCGACAGGCGCATGCCCGTTTTTCTGAACGTCCTGTTGCTCCTGCTGTTGCTGCTGTACTTGCTGAAAGGCGAGCTCTTGGTCCACGTCCCACTTTTCCCATGCTGCCAAGGTCGCTGTCCTGGCTTGTCCGAAGACCTCAAAGTGTAGGCTTCCGCTCGTCAACACATCCAGCATGGGCTGAGTCACCACCATAGAGAGTGTCTGCGTAAAGCCGAAAAAAATAGACTTGTCCTCGAAACTATTCGCCGGATCGGTGGCAAATACCTTGTCGCCTGTCGAGTTTGGTACCGCACCACCAAAATTCGAGAGCCGGAACTGGGCATGCACCTGGGTATATTGCTGCTCGGAAATCCCCTCGATAGCGAGAATCGAGATTTCAAATAAAAGCTGGTCGCCAACACCAACAAAACTTTGTACCCCTTCCAACTTGCCATTGCCAAGGCGAGGCCGCTCGCGACTATGGCCTCGGTTAGTGCCCCGACTATGTGCCAGGGCCGTTGGTGAATTCGGTATTGAGGAAGTTGGCGACAGCGCGGCTCGACTCTTGGCATCACTCCGGCTGAGAGGGGTAAGTCCTATCCGGCAATGACCCATGGCCTTTCCTGTTATCCGGCAAATGATTGGAACAACGCTCTCCAAAAATTGCATCCTGAGAAGACTCTTCAAGGCGACAGATGCCGCTCCAATGAACGTAAACCTCGGACATGGTGTCTCGTAGAATGGGTCCTCCATGTTGAACTGCTTCCTGTACTGAGGTCGGTCGACAAAGTTGTAAAGGCTCCTCATCCGCTGCAGTCTCGTCATTAACTTCTCAAGCGACCAGAAGTAGATCGAGTGGTGCTTGTTGTCGATGATTTTGACGCCCACACATGGTCGCTTCAGACTCGAGAGTGATGTCTCCTCGTCGCTGTTGAACTGAGACAATCCTGAGGCGCTCTCCCAGAACGATGATGGGTTGACAAAGGGTCCATCTTCGATGACCGTGAACTGGTAGACAACATTTTTTGAAAGCTCATGACTGATGATGTTTGCCTCCTTAATCAGCACTGCGTTGGTCAGGATCGTCTCGGCCATCTGTACGCTCCTCTGTTCCTTCCACCGCTTCAGGGTCTTGTGGATCACCTTCAGCTCATAGTCCGAGTACAATGGAAGTAGAAGCTTTCCCTTTAGCTGGGATTCCTCCAGGTGATGAGAAGATATGCTTGCCAACGATAGTCGCTTCATCTTGCTCTCATATTGTTCCCGCTGCTGCTCCAGCTTCTTCATGAGATCCTCCTTGGCCTGACGCAGCCGCTCCTCCATAAGCGCCTTCTCCGCTAGAAGCTCGTCAGACTTGGCCTCTGCAGCGGAAAGGTTCTGGATCTTGGCCTCGTACTCCTGCTTTTGCTGTGTCATTTGCTGGACCTCCTCCTGCGCAAGCCGAAGTTTCTCCTTGAGAGCCCAAGCGGACGACTCCAGAGGTGGAATCGGACTCTCCCGTCCATCTTCACCATGCCACCGCCCATTAAACGACAATCTCGATGACCTTGATTCCAGATCGTCGTCAAAGTTGGAACCTGCTCGGCTCTCGGACCGCACACTCTTGCGCATGTACCGGATCTTTGCAATGTTGTCGAACAGTACGTCCAGGTCCTGGTCCTTCAGCTGATTGATATTGGACTCGGACAGCATGTGGGCGTGAATCACGGCTTCTTTGCGGGCATAATTCCAGTCCACGAATTCCGATTGTACAGATCCTGAAGATAATGGAGAGTCGGGCCGATCCTCTGGACGATCCTCCTCCATCCCGTTCGAGTGATTTCCCTGTGTCCTGGAGTTTGGTGACGAGACCATGCTTGACAATGGTGTGTTCTGTTGTTGCTGCATTGAATCTCGCTCACGGCGGACCTCCTCAGGGTGATTGAATCGAAAGACGTGATAGTCGCCAAGGATGACGCGAAATCCAGACCGGAGTTTTTTGGGTTTGCTAATCCGCAATCCATTGACCATGGTCATGGAGGACTTCCCAGGGTGGAGTGTCACTACCGAGTTGTTGTTCTCGAAATAGCAATGTTCATCCTGGATATTGCTTCCTGAGAGTCGAATATCTGCTGGCACGGACGAATTGAGTCTACCAACGACTGTATTGCCGGGTTTAAGCTGATAAACGAGACATTCCGACATAAGTGGGTCCTCGTTGAGATTCACAAGATGAGGCATCTTCTTGGGTGTGTGCACTCCTATATGTCCCTTCTCGACTGAAATTCCAAGCTCCTCAAGTGTCTTTTCGCGCTCCTGTTGGATCTCCTGAGTTTTGCGCAGTTTTTCCTCCCAAGTCTCGTTCAGTTCGGCCATGATCTTTTCCGACGCTTGGACCTCGTCCTGCAACTGCGCCTTGCTGAGTATCCTCGTGTTGCCATGAAGATCCACGATGGTGACCAGAGTATTAGGGGTTTTGAAATCGCCACCAACGTGGGAAGGATCGTAGACATTGAGCTTGGATCTCAGCTCCAGAAGTTCCTCCTTGAGCTCCCGAATAAGTTTTGCATTTGGGTCCTCGTTCACGACAGCCTTGTTCTTGATTCGCTTAGCCTGGTCTGCATAACGAAGGGTGCTCAAGGTTTCGTCGTAGTTGACATCTGCAGGTGAGAGTGCTGCGATAATGGTTGTCTTGGAATTTCCTCCTAGACAGTCCTTGAGAAGCCATGTCAAGACCTGTGCGGAGAACATACGACATTGTGTTGTTAGATCCAACATGTATATTGTGCGACTTTAATCAAAGGGCAAAAAATGAGAGCTGAAATCCTGGTAGCACGCATACCGAGTCGCGATAGGGAATGAAGACCTCAGCCGGCTTCTTGGCGCCTTTTTTGGGTACAGTCACAGTTGCACTGGATGCGTCCGCCAGAGCAGAGATGACTTTTCCAAGTGTCGTCAACGATTTATTAATGTTGGCTCCTTCTTTGAGTCGTGCTCCTGTTGCTCCCGTTGAATTCGCTCGCTCACTGCCTGCAAGATCCACTAGACTGATGAGAAAGGTAGAAATGCAAGGTTAGCATACAGCGCACATATTTTTTGTTCAAATAAACTAAAGAGCACCATGAAAACCGCGGCCTACCTGATCCTGGATACTTTTTCAGTGTCCAGCTTCGTTTCAAGATCATGTCGCTTTTGGGTGAGGAGCACTGTAAAGACAGCATGCGATCGACTGGAAGTCTCGTTCATATTGGTCGCTGCAACAGTTCGTGCCTGGGAAGGTTGAATGCATAAAAATAGAACCAGGTCAGCTATTCTTCTTTCAGCGACGAGTACATTTGACATATTTCAAAAGGCGCAATGAACGCTCATTATCACCTTGTTTCCTTCGTCCATCAGGTTTGCAATGTCCTGATACGAGGTCACCATGAGCTTTGAGAGATCCTCAACATAGGGTCCGAGCGAAGGATGTTCCCGCACTTTGAGATGACCCTTATTTTTTGGGTTCAACAAGTCCCGCACTCGCTCACAGTAGATCTCCATGTAAGAAACCTCGACCCTGTAGCTCAGTGCTGGGTCCTTGTTGGTCTCTATCCTGCGGAACAGCTCATGGCAGGACAAGGGTATAATGCCGCGCTCTTCGCCGTATCCCATCTAGTCGAACACGGGTCCATATTGATGTTAGGCTCCAGTAGAGATTATTCTTCGTTTCACTGGCTCCCCTTCTTCATCTTTTTTGGTCACGATTATTGTGTCAACACAACATGTGGCCCGTTCCTGTGGCCGATTCAGCTGACACGGACATAATGAATACCTACCATTGAATAGGACTTTCCGCTGCCAGTTTGTCCATCTAGGAGGCGTCATAAGCGAAAAGGGATGAGGGCGTCATAAGTGTGGGGGCAGCGACCATGCGGATGATGAAATACCGTGGATCTGTGAGCATCTCAGTGTACTGCAGGCCATTCTTCCGTGGACGCCGCAAGATACTGCTCTCATCTCCCATCTGTATCTCGTTTTCCCTTTTTCCGTTTGCCTTTCCAATCTCAATGGACTGGGAACAGATGGGCTGGGCACAACAAAACCAGAACCTAATCGATGATGAAATAGTATAGATGACTTACAGGCCACAATGCAGGTGTTGTACCCGCTGAAAGAATGGTTTAGCAATTCGACTCCAAGATCCTCGTACAGACGCTGCTGCCCTGCGTAGTTGGCGTCGTTTTTGTCGAAAGACCAGTATGAGTGATCAAATGAAAAGGACTTTGAGCTTCCGTCGTCCGGTTTCCGGATCGTGGTCATGTTGCCGTCCATATGGATGATGCATTCTGATTGCTTTGCGATTTCTGTGGTTATTGTGAAGATGCAGGTGATCGGCCGAGTCAAAGATGGGAAGCGAGCGAAGTAAAAGGAAGATCAAAAGGAAGCGTGGTCCATTAGAAACACAGGTACGATACTTAGTCCAGGACTGTCATAGGGTGTTGGTCCATGCATCGTTACACGTCTTGCATTTCGATCAGGATCTGTTACCTCGACTGTTGAGTGGTCGACACCGCACCACGACCTTGATATTCCCGCCTTTGCTCATAGTGGACTCGCGAACGGCTGTTTAGAGGCTGACTGCTGTGTTGGTCGCTGAATGAGTAGGGTGTTTTATTAGGCGAAAAGACTTGTGCGTGATACCCGGGGTCAGGCGAACGAGAACGAGTGTCCCGAGTCCCTTGGAGTTGTAGACTGGCTGAGTTTTCTGACAATGGTGTGCTACTGAGGAAGTCTACTGAGGAAGTCTACTGAGGAAGTGTAGATGTGGGTGTATGATTTAGAACGAGTTTGCTATGTTGAGCTTGAGTGTGAATGGGACAGGGGTCGATTGGAAAGTCAGGAAGGGGAGAGGTGCAGGTGGCGTTGAGTGAGAGTGAGAGCGAGAGCTGTCTTTCAGGCACAAAGAGAGCGGACGTGAAAAAAAAAAAGAGGAAAAGGGATGAATGAATGAATGAATGAATGGAATGGGAAAAGACATGTACCAAAAAAGAAAAAAAAAGCGTTTTTCCCGTTGCCCTCAAATTGGCCTGGGCGCATCCAGCAACGGCATTCTTCCGCAGAAGAACACGCGGCGCGTGGACCAGGCCCATGCTGTGGAGGTCACTTACCTTTTGTCGACAGGCAAGCTGGCTGACTGAGGGGGTGACTGGCAGAGGGCCGAGTGGTCTGAAGGGGAGCCGCAAAGGAGAACAGAGAAGAGCGCGAGGAGGAGTGCGCTGACCGGACTGTGTGTGTGTGTATGTGTGTGTGTGTGTGTGTGCAGGTGGCTAGGGAAAGACGGCGGGGGCTGATTTTCCGTTGATGGGTGCGGCAGTATGCGTTTGAGCTACAGTCGCTTGTTGAGCTTCTACTTGAAGTCGCAAGGCAGTGGGTGGAGAAGGATCGACGGGTGGGGAGGAGGGAGTGGTGAGAAGAACAAAGAAAGAGTCTCTCCCTCTCTCTTTCAGTGGGCAGTGGGGCAGTGGGGCAGTGGGGCAGTGGAGCAGTGGGGCAGTGTCCGATCCGCGTCGCCAGGGCGCGCATCTCGAAAAGGGGTTCATGAAGGGGTGCACACACAACCAACCAGTTGACAGCCAGCAACCAGCCAACCATGACGACTTCTGCATCGAGCAATGTCCATACCATTCTCAGCAAGGAGAACACCCCCCATCGTCCCAGAGTGGCCGAGACTCGTCCGAGTGACTTTCTCTTCGTCCCCTATACAGCTTGTCTCTATGGCGAATCGTGTGTCCTCTGTAGACTATCGTGAGATTGATCCCGTTGCTGTTCCCATGCAGGCACCATCCTATATTTCCCCTTGCGATGCAGTGATTGCCCATGACCGCCTCGAGCCCCTTTTTTTGACCACGGGACCTTGTTTCCATCTGCCACGCGCAGCTGCATGCACCCGCTGAAAATGACGAACAACTTAACCATAATCTGCAGCATGGGCCATGGACCATGGGCCATACATAGTATTACATACCATTAAAGCATCTGGATAGATGGACATTCATCAAGCCTCATGCGTCTGCTTCAGATATGAACTGCATCCGTATGAGAAATAACGTGGTAGTTTAGGAAATGAAATGATCTTTTTTACGCTGCTCTGTGCTCTTGTAGAACAGTTGGTGGTTTAAAAAAGATGCGGATATATAACCGTTTAAAAACTATACTGGCTTTCAGGTTCATGTCATGGGAATGTTATATCTGACCTGGAGAATGACCTGCTTTGCTTTAGCTTATAGCAGGAATGTGAAGTCGTTGCCACCAAAACGCGTTTCGACGTGCTTTGGCTTTGTTCAGGCCAATCAACGCGTACCAGAGAGAGTCAAGTAAAAATAAACAAAAAAAAAAAAAAAAAAAAAAAAAAACGTAGAAGCATACGCTCTTTATGTGTCAGTGGCCAATGTGCGTCCCTGTAAAGCAAAGCGCACTTCAAACTAGGGCCCCCTCATTGGCTGGCTCCACGTTTGTTCTCTGTAGGTTTTTCTGAATCCTCGGAACAGTCGTCAACTATGGAATGCTTCCTTCTTCAACACGATGAAACGATCCAGGGCAAACGACCCCCCAGAGAGCACTATTGAGCGATTCTCGCTGTCCTGGACACTTGTATACGGCCATTTCTCTATCCGTCTGCTTCAATGCTACTCTACATGCGCTCCTTGTCTTTCGAGGGGAGCATACACTTCTATTTCTGCTCCTCGATAGCAACCACGTGCTCTTCTAATAGCTTAACCGTCCTCAACAGAACACTCGGTGCTCAGTTGAGGAAACGATATCCAACACAGGCGACTAGTATTGAGAAAGCTGTGCCTCGTCCGTGGGTGAGCCTCCGTATCTATCTGGCTTTTTCATTCACCATCCCTGACCTCCATTCCTGCATTTCACAGCTTCTAAAGCAGATCCTGGACGTCGAAGAACATTTTGTGTGGTACACGCCACGTTGAATTGAGTTTGAAATTGATGTCAGTCCCTCCTCTGAGAGACACAAACCGAAACTTTAAATCGCGACCAATGCGAGTGCAGCCAAGCTTTGACCAGAACAACCGTCGATCAGATCGCCCATACCAAAAAAGAAGCAAAATACCCGCTTCCCACGCCCTACTCCAGCATAGCTGCATGGAATAAAACTGGACTAAAGCTAGACCGACTAAAGATCTCTCTCCAGCAATTATTCCGGCTAGCGAGATCTGTACCTTTTTAGACTCGGAAATGAAGGAGAGGGCGATAACGACAACATCCTTGGCTTATAGTGAACAATAATGAACAATAATGAGAAAGAAATACCCGCACTCTTTCCTTGCGTCGCTCTTCATCCGTGAACGGGCGTGTTTGATGAATACACGTACGTAGATATCTCGCATTAAGCAGGCCGCTGGCTGCCGTGAAGGAGCGCATCGAAACTGGAGACGGGTCTGGCCCCTTGGGGCCTACAGACAAACAGAACACCCTGGCGGACAGATAAAAGGGGTGAAGATGTTTATAACGCGGATCCTCTTGCTGCCATTAGTACGTTACAGATGCAAGCAAACAAATATTTGGACTCTTGTCTCTCCTGGCGATCCATTATATAAAGGCCGATGGTTGTTTGGATGAGAAAATGAACATGCCCACCTCCGAAGACCCCCTCGAATGTGCACCGTATCAAATGGGCAAATGCAACGAATGTCTACAAGCCGAGAGAGTATTTGTCGATGGACGAGAACCTGGAGAAGGGATGGAGACCAAGGAGGCCAGACCGAGGGCCGAGGACGAGAAGGACAGGGGCACAGAGGGGGAAGCACGAGTGGGAGCGGGCAAAAACAGTGACCCGGGTTTTTGCACACACGTTTGCAGAAACAGCTGCAGTCGATTGAATAAGACAGCGCCGATTCAATTCAATCGACGCATTATTGTTTTGAGTCGTTGGCCGCTCCTTCTTTTCTTCTATTTCCTCCTCTTCCTCCTCTTCCTCCTCCTCTTCCTCTTCTTCCTCTTCTTCTTCTTCTTCTTCCTTTCCTTCCTTCCTCTTCCTCCTCCTCGCTCCTTCACTTCGACTCCCTCTTCGCTTCCTCATTCCTCGTCCCCCCTTCCCCCTCTCTGAATCTCGTCCTGCGATCACTCTCATTCGCCGACAGACGGCCAACTGCACTCCCAGGCAAGTAGTCTAGTAGTCTGTTCCTGTGTTATCAGTTGCTTCCATCGCCACCAGCAAAGGACCTCATCCGGGCCCCCTTCTGTCGCAGTATCTTTCTGCCGGCTACATCGGGTCTTGGAGGCAGCTCTGTCGAAGGATTGTCATTTGTGGGCCAATATGCGGGTTGATTGGGCCAGAACCAAAACACCGGATGAGACCATAAAACGTTACTGTGCCCAGGATCCTGTGCCTCTCTTGAACCCGGTCTCAGTCCCATTCTCACCCATCATTCGCTTACTTTTAATCTAAATTAGGCGGCGCAACCATTACTACCGTTACGACTACCACCATTACTACTCCACAACAACAACAACAGCCCACTATGGGTAACCCCCTCTCCAAGTGCTGTGCCCAGGACACGACCGTCCCCGAAGATAATGTCGCCACAACCGACCCTGGCGCATCGACTTCAGCATTAGTGGATGGCCAGGGCAGCGTCGAATCGAGCCCTCCTGTGGCATCATATGCCCCTGTTAAGGACAACAACGCTGCGACAAGTAGCAACGACACCAACACTAACACCAACACCACCACCAACAACAAGTCCTCCTTTTTCAAGAGCATCTCGGGGCGGCTTTCGTCCCTTGGCCAAACCTTGGTCGGTCCAAAAAGCCGGTCGATCGAACAAGGATTTAAAACCTTGCCATTCCCCTTGACGGAGGACGAAAAGAGGATTCTTCTAGCCAACGAGATTCCGTCTGTAGAGATCAAGAAACTCTCGATCGGTGTCGATGCAGGCGGCATGGGTATCATCCACGTGGCCGAGTGGAAGGGACAGAAGGTCGCTATCAAGGAGGCAGCCACCCATGTCATTTCAAAAGAGGCAAGCTTCCACTCCCTGTTTCTGATCATTCGAAAGATTATTATTGCCTTGACCTTGGCTTGTGCGACGATACACACGTTGCATGAACAAAAAAACGAAATCTCTTGAGAGCCAAGATGCCCGAGATCTAATAACCCCCCTTTTCTGAAAATTAGGTCGAGATCTACAGCCGCATGAAGGGCTGCGATGGTGTTGTTCAGTTCTACGGTGTTACTTTCCCACCCGGTCTGAACAAGATGTGCATCGTGACAAAGTACGCCGATAAGGGTTCTCTCACATGGCATCTCAAGGTCGAGTACCAGAACCTCACCTGGGACGACAAGCTCAGGCTCGCGACCCAGATCTCGTCGGGTATCGCTCGTCTTCATCAGGAGGGCATCTACCACCGCGACCTGCATGGAGGTAACATTCTCATCGACGACCAAGGTAACGCCATGTTGACGGATTTTGGAGCCAGCACAATCATGGAAGAGCGCGTGGTCCGTAACATCAAGCGGTACGCCCTGGAGGAGGTGCCCGCAGTTGAAGGCCGCTCCAAGTTCATCAGCAAAAAGATCACCGGTCTCGATGGCCAGGACGACGGCGCGAAGAAGAGCGGCACCGTAAAGAAAGATGACGACGACCAGGACGATCCCTTGATCGGCGTCATGGCCTACATTGCACCGGAGCGTTTCCGCAACCCCAAGTTCTTTGACGCAAAGTGCGACATCTATTCTCTTGGTGTCTTGATGTGGGAGCTGACCTCGGGCCACTCTGCCTTTGCCAAGGTGCCCCAGGATGTTCATTTGGCTGTTGCGATCATGAACGGCAAGCGCGAGTTGTCAGTCGACGGCACCCCAACGGAATACAAGGCCCTGTATGAGAAGTGCTGGCATAGCGATCCTGCACAGCGACCCTCGTTGGACGAGATCTTGAAGACACTGGCCAAGGTGCGTGCTAGCATGACGCCTGAGCAACTGGCTGTTACACGCACTCGCAACAACACACATTACGAATCAGGTATGTTGCCAGTATTTTTTCATGTCTTTCGTAATATCGAAGAATCCGTTGAAATCAATTTTAACCGGACGTTTTCAATTCTCGCCACTGTAGTTGAGGTTTATGAAGAATCGTTGAGCATTCCCCGACCGACTTCCGATATCCAGCAGCACTTTGTCTCCGAATAATTAGTTCCGGTTGTCCTGTCCCGTCTCTTTAGTTACTTTGTTTGCACACACAACACAAACACTGTTCACGTTTATGGCTCGACAAAATGACGGATGCTTCCAACATGGCCAGCAGCTCGAACAATATCACCTATAAAAAAAAAAGCCATTGTGTATTTTTATTTACAAAACAAATGATCTATCGTTGACTATGCAAATTGTCGGGTGTCTCCACCGGACTCTAAACCACCGGTGTCCTTTTCTCGTTTGGTTGTTTCTGAAGACATCTGCAAGGGGCCACATGCGAAAGGAGACGGCCCATGAACGATTTAAAGGCAGCCCATCGACTGGGCTCCGTGGGTTCTGGATCAGATTCTCAGGATCGCCATGTGTGTCGAAAGAAGGTTTGGTGGATGAATGCACACACGACTGGGTGTTGCTCCATTCCCGGAGATGAATGGTCTCTACACTACTACCAAACGAGGGATATTGCTCAGATACAGTCGTTCCTTTATCGTTCCTTGCTTGAAGTATACATATCATACATATCAAAGGGAAAAAAAAGGCACCGCTTTTCTCAAAAAAAAAAAAAGGTTGCTTTTGAGTGCCACTCTATTGTCCTTTGACAAAATCATCCAATGCAGCGATTACCACAGGTCGTTCTTGCTTATTTACCGGGCCAAACCTCACTTTTTTACTCTTACTCACTCAGCACCAATGCCCTATACACGCGCCATGGACCCATACCGTAATTCCACGATAAACGCAATCCGCAAGACCATCATCGCAGTGTCAGGGACCAACGCCTGTCTACTCGCCTTGAACTTCTTTCTCAGCATCACGTTTGTCTCTCCCCTGTCCCCACCATTACCTTCATTCACGCAACTCTATGAACACTACTTCCTCCCTGTTCCCCAAATTGTCCTAAACCTCTGCCTCTTTGGGGCAAGCCTTTTCTGCTACAAAGCGCCGCGTACATGCACGTCTCTCCGATGGCACTACTACCGCTTGATCGGCAGCATGCTTTTCGCTGGGACCATACTCTTCTTCACTATCCTTGGACTTGTCAGGATTATAGAGTACATCCCCAGTCCTAGAGAGCATCTGCGTGCATGCGACGCGCTTGATGAAATAGGAAGGATCAACAACCATCCCTGTGGTATCCACGTCTTTGTCGCTGTCTTTGAACTGTTTGTGGTCTTCCTGGTCCTCCTGGAAGGCGTGTGGACGTTTAGAAGGGCTCTGACAGAACAAAGAATTGTTGAAGCAGAGGCGAAACGAAAGCGTGAGCAAAGGATGCTTACCCTAGCAAGGCTGATTAGCCAAGAGCCTGGAAGGCTGGAAGCAGCAGCCAGAGGTCAATCACGGCCTGTTCAGATGTTGGACCGATCTAGTCGCAGTCGACGATTTCGACGACTTTATTCGTCCCATGATTTGTACCTTCATGAAAGGCACATTCCTCGGCAGCGAACAGGGCTGGAGCACACCTTGGCTTTACAGATCCTGGTCGAGCAAGCTCCTTCGGCTGAAAGAGAGCGAATGCTGAACCGACGTTTCATCCGATTAACTACTATCAGAGAAGCGGAGGAGGAGGAGGAGGAGGATCAAGAGGAGGAGGATCGGGAGATCGAAGAGCCGCCGCCAGCGTATGCGAGGTCTGCGTCGCCATGTCGACGACTGAGTGAGTCTACGGTTCGTATACTTCTGGGAGCAGGAACAGAGCGTGGGCGGGAATTGGCACCGCCTGTAGACATCGCAGGCGAAGATACACTATCGCGACCACCAACCTACACGCTCTGACAAAGAGGGCAAAGAAATAAAGCGATTTTTTTTTTTTTTTTTTGGGAATTGCAACGTATAGTATGTGTATTTTTTTTTTTTTTTTTTTAAAGGAGACCCCTCAAAGACATGGAATTGTGGTGCATCTTTGGTGGCAGAAGAAGGAGGACCACCAATGGGTTGTTTCGAGCATAAAAGATTTTTTTTTTTTTTTTATTTTTTATAACAACTTGTCTCTCGAGTCAATTGACTCTGCGAATCTATCAGACTAACTAGCAAAGATCTACTATCGCTGTCCTCACCACCAAAGCGGAACCGATCCACAGTCGCCAAAAGACAGGTCACATTCCCCGGGCCTGCCCCTAGGGCCTGCGCAACAATTGCCACACCTCATCAGTGTGTTAAAAGCTGAAAACACCTTATTACAAGAAGGGTATCTTCCCCATCCCCTCCATAGTTGTCAACCGCCTCCTCCCTTGCAGGCAATCCAGCAGTGTCCGATCCGCTGCGTCTGGGTCAAGCACGGGGCCAGGGCAGCTCCCGTTTACATGGTCAGCGAGTGTTTCGAGCATAAAAGACAAAGAGAACATGAAAAAAAATACAAAGAAATTGCAGAACATCCAACTTATAATTCTAGTTAAGAAAAACATGTCGACGACACGCAAGAAGAGGTGGCCGAGTCTGGTTCAAGGCGCTGCAACACTAATCTCTTGATTGAAACTTCTGCAGTTTACCTACACGGTATTCGTGGGTTCAAATCCCTCCCTCTTCCCTTTTTTTTGTTTGCCGTATTTCATCGTCTTTGACACATTGCACTCAGTTTATGGGTCGAAATCCTTGGAGGCGTAGTTCTCAAACACGACATAAAATCTACTACGCCCCCCCCCCCCCACCCCCAAGGTGTATATTGTTTTGAGCTATAACAATTTGTCTCTCGAGTCGATTGATCCTGCGAATCTATCAGACCTCACTGCAATGATCTACTACAGCTGTCCTCTCCACCAAAGAACCGATCCGCAGTCGCTAAAAGACAGATCACATTCCCCGGGCCTGTGCAATAATTGCCGCACCTCATCAGTGTGCTAAAAGCTGAAAACTCCTTGTTACAAAAAGGGTATCTTCCTCGTCTCTTCCATAGCTGTCAACCGCCTCCTCCCTTGCAGGCAGTCCAGCAGCGTTCAATTCGCAGCATCAGGGTCAAACGCGGGGGCTAGAGAAGCCCCCGTTTGTATGATCTGCGAGCAACGCATCACACGGACAGTGGTCAGCGTCGCAAATGTATCCATTGCCCTCACTTCAGTCTCCTCGAGGGCCCTTGTATGTGTGCGCGTTTTATCTTGGCTGTGGTTTCCTACTCTCATTCCCGAGCAATAGTCGCGTCGCAGCGGGGTTTCCAGATCAGCTCCGTAGCCTGCGTCCCAATAAAGCCGATGGAACTTGTGAATGACCTGGCCCGCGATCGAAGATGGCGAGATAAACAGACTACCCCGCTCCTTGATAAGGCTGAGGGGTGTGATGCCACGGCATAAATCGCTAATCCTCCAGGTCAGATCCGGAGAGCGGCCAAAAACCTCGTCGCCTGCGAGCAATGACTGGGTTCCGGCGATACAGGGTAGACCTTGGACGTGGGTCTCGTTGTTAGGACAAACCCCATCGAATGGGTTTCGGCGCAGCAGCGTAGACCCTGGCAGGGGCACCATCACGCTCTTTTTTTTCTTTTTTTTTTTTTATTAACATAAATCCCCATGAGCACGCGACGCATGGTCCGCAAAGGCCTTGAAGCCATAGATGCCTTCCATGCACGGCAGAGCCGCATCCCCTACCAACTATGTTGGCTTGAGGCGTCAAATTCATAACCCATGTCGCATAGCTAGCCTAACCTAACTCCTGCGTGACCTGTTGCGCGATACACGTCTCCTAATCCAGATCCAATGTTAATAAAGTTGTTTTTAAACCGAATAACCCCTCCATTATGTCCAGCTTCCCTCGCCCCAAGCAATGCTGTAGCACCCTATAATCCGCGGTCCGTCTACCTTCCTGGATCTCCGTTGCAAGTAACCGTCTCCCTTTCAAATCAGAGAAATCACCAACACTACGTTGGTGTCCCCGATCACCGTTGCGTCCTCCGGCGCGTTTGCTCATGAAGGTGATTCCAACTGACTTTTCCCAGGCGACAGTGCTGCGGTGTAGGGGGTCTACTAACGGGTTCTATAACTTCTACCATTAGTTCTATTTACAACGGGAGTTACCACGCGAATAGGACTTCGGCAAGGCTGTGCTTCGGTCACTTACTGGTTCGTGGTGCAGGGTCCTCCTTTAGATCGGAATGTAAGAACACAAAGGTAAAATAGACTAGACGTAAATGGAAAGGAATAAATATGGGGATCTATTTAGCTAAATGGTGCGAGCTAGGACTATATTCCTTTGGGAATGACTGGGGTAGTTGCAAGGAGTTCGCATATTGTGATGTCCGATGAGGTGAGGAGTCGTGACAATGAAGTCCACCCCTCTGGAGTCGTTGTATGCCAATAGTTGCTGATCAGGCCTCCGTTGTACCTTTGTAATGCCGTTTCACGAGGGTGGGCCGATGACGGATGCTCAATGAGACGATCGGTAATCGGGGAAGCGCTGCGGGGCAAGTACAATGTCTAAATAAGAGCGATTGACGGCGCAAAGGTGGCGAATGATCAGGATCGGCATTCCCTGTTGATTGTATCTCGTTGCATGGGTTACTGACGGTGGTAGTCAGTACCTGTCGTTGATGCGGTGTTATCCGGACAATCTGGACGAATACAATGTGTGATACAAATGATTTTGGTGGAAAGAAGACTCTGGTTCAGGTACCAGACCGTTTATTCTTTTATTCTGGGGGCGGTGCTCTTCCCCGTGATCTAATATTAACTTTGCAAGAACAACCAACTGATTCTCATTTACTACACCACAGTGCCCTCGCATCGTTTGTTCCATATCTTGGTCCTGCCAAACTCTTCGATCCTGCTCACGAACTTTGTCACCATGATCGTCGCAATCCACTTGGTGGTGGTAAATAGCTGCTTCCAGGTCTTAATGAGTCTCATTGGCACCAAACCTCGGTATAACTCCTTGACCTCCCAATCTGCCTCACTCTCCGGCTCCTCTCCTTCCGCAACCCGATATGTCCCTCGTCTTTCCGCCGTCCCCTGAATCCACTGCATTGACTTCCAGATAGCCTTCGTTCCTGTTGCCGAGAAGTTGGGACAAGTCGCAGTGAAGGGCTTGTCCTTCCGTTCGGCCTTCTCTCTCTCCTGTTCCCATTTTCGCACTGCCTGCCTCCATGCACAATATCCATTCAACTCCACTTCCTCCACCGCGTCCCCCCACTCTTGTCGCTGGTCGCACAAGGTAGCTGAACAACGCCAAAGATGATCGTTCGTCTCTGGTTCCCTCTCACACCTACGACATATGTCCGTTTGGTAGGTATCTGGATGTCGTTTCTTCATCGCCTGCAATGTCGACAAATCTCCATGCAACTACTTGATCCTGTGCGAACGTAAACGACAGTCTTCCAGGCTGGTGTATAAGCGCTTTGGTGGGTTGTTATCGTGTAAGATCCGCAGCGTGGGCGCCCATGCTACCGACCGCCAATCCTTGATGTAGGTCCTCGTTCGATGCTGCAATGTCCACTGATAATGGTGCCGTACCGCGGACTGCAGCTTCAGTATCCTCCTCAAGTCCAGGTCTGCACTGTGTGTTGCAAACTGTGCGTGGCATTTCAAATCATGGTGCTGCGTTGCGTCTAGCCTCCATAGTCCTGTATCGATCCCATGTGCTGCCTTGGCAACAGTGTCTGCAGCCTCGTTGCCACGGTGTCCAGCATGTCCTCGTACCCAATGCACAGATATACCTTGTCCTTGTTGCAAGAAGGCATAATGCACCATCGCCCACCACTGTGCATCTGCAGATCTCAAACGCTGCCTTGCTGTTGCTGAATCCCGCTGCTGCACCAACTCCTTGAAATTGTTGACGACTGTGAGATTGTCGATGTAGATGTCGACGTTCTCTTCCCTTGGGCTGATAAGAATTGTTGCCAAGAGCCCACACATCTCTGCAATTGTTGACGACGCGTATCCTCCGACCCGTCCACTGAACGCCGTTGTGTAGGGACCACCATCCACAGAAACGACAACTCCGAATGCTGCACTGACCTGCTCTGTGCCGTTGTGAATCACTGACCCATCCGAGCAGAAGTGAAGCCTTCGATGTGTTTGCAAACGTCTCCTAGCTGTCCGAATTTGCTGGATTGTTGGTACCTGGAGCGCCAATCCCAGTAAATCTCGCTCAATTTCATCTGATACTGCCGGCAATGGTTGGCGAACAGGTGTCGTCATATTGTCCACCGCCTTGTGCGCATCCTCATGCAAGTGGTCTATACACGCCTCTGCATCCACATTCATATATCTACGATATAAATGGCGTCGTCTTCGTCGTTCTTCTCTGTATCGAGCCCGTCTCTCGATGTCCCGCAGGCGTGTTGCTCCTCCTGCTGTTGCTTCTCCTGCTGCCGCTCCTCTTCCAGCTGCCGCTGTCGGTCACTCTCTTGCTGTTCTGCCCGCCGCCGCTCCTCTTCCAATTGTCGCTGTTGTTCCCGTGTTTGCTGTTCTGCCTGCTGCATTTGTTGCCGAAGGTGCCTCTGTACTACTTTCAGTTGTGCCCGCTTCTGTTTAATCCATTGTTGATCGAGTCTGTGCTCTTCTCTGTCGAAAGCACGGTCCAAGTCGTCTTGATTACGCAGTCGATTGCCTGTCATGTTTACCATAGCACGTCGAATGTATTCCTGCTTCCTTACGCTACGCTGGCTGAGCGTCTCTTGGACTCGCGGTGTGAAGAGCGCAGTTTCCGGATCCAAGTTGAGAATTTCCTGAGACGACAGCAAACCGTTGTTCTGCTCTCCATTGTCTTCCTCCAGTGGTGGTTGATCCATCGGTTGTTCTGCATTGTTATCTCCTCCGCCTTCGGACCTTTCCTCCTCACTCGCAGCTTCGTCGGGCACGCTGTCATCGTCGGCAGTCGCAGTATCCCCTACAGGTAGAGGTGATACCGCCCTGTCTAAATTGTCAACTGGTGCTGGATGCACAGCGGCGGGCTGTTCATCTTCGTCCAAGTCATTTGGCGCCTGTGGCTCTTCCAGATCGGATGGTAATTCCTCCAGTAGCTCATCAATCCATTGTGCAGTAGCTTCCTGGACATAATCGCCCCCGTGCACGATCGCCTGCAATTCCTGGAACCAAGGCGGAGAGGCTACCGTTCGCACGTTGAACCGCTGTCTAAACGTTTGCCAACTTGCTAATTCTGTGTGAGTAGTGTTCAGAATCTGATCAACAAAAAATACTCCAACAGCTCCAAGCCCTATTCTGATCTCTTCGGTCAGTCTATCACCAATCCAATCCTCAATAGTAATCGCATGCTGGGAAAGGTCCATCTCCGATGCCATCGTAACGTCGAAGGTGATCTGTCGGTCCGCCATAATTTTGCATATCTGGCTGATCAAGCAGTGCTTAAAGCCCTGCACTCGTTCTGGAGCCTTTGTGGGACAAACGGTGGTGCACTGTCGTTGTTGGAGCTGGAATAAACGAACACGACTCGCCCGTCCCACTATGCTGTTGTCGTTCAAACGCAGAAAAAGTGTTGAGATGTGCTCTTCTGCTTGTACGTCTGCTAGGTGTCGAACTGCAAACAGTCGATTGTGGTGCATGACGCTGTTGGGAGTTGTGGATGCCATCCTGGACTTGCTTTTGCATATCTTCATGTAACGCCCTGTCAACTGTTGGAGCGTCGCCGGAGGCAGAACATAAATACTAAGAAGGTACAATATTTTCGGCAGTAGCACTGTGTTGATAACATATGCAGCCTGTCGGTCCGTGATGCTCTTGTATTCGAGAATATTGCAGATGGTGTTAACCTCGTTCTGCACATGGCGCTTAACTGGTCCTGTGTTCCCCGAACTGTTGATCCACACCCCCAAAATCCTGATCAGTCGGTCCTTGTGTACAGCGTACAACTCCTCCGCCGGTGTCCCAAACCGTAGTGGCTCCTCTCGAACTGGGCTGTTGAGCGCCGCCACCACAGTTTTCTTTGCATTAATCTCGATCCCGTTTAATGCAAAAAAGGACATGGCGACGTCCAGAATCTCCTGAATATTCTCCCGAGAGTCAGAGATCCATGTCGTGTCATCGACGAATGCAAATGTGGAGACAGTCAAGGGTTTTCCAGGTCCATTGAGAGTGTATCCTGTGCACGACTCCATCACTTCACACAATAAAGCGTCGTATGATATCCTCCACATCAATGGACTCTCGACCCCACCCTGGTCCAGCCCGCACTGAGGGTGATAGCCATCCGTGACGCCGTAGTCGGTGATGATCCTGTTCTCCTTTGTCTCTGCAATCGTCACACATAACCGAATGAGACTTTCCGGGATCCGTATGCGTCGTAGTCCTCTAGCAAGCATTCCGTCTGTCCCACACGACACAGAATCGAAACACCGCTTCATTCCTGAAAAACAATCCACTATTCTTTTTTGAATTCTCGTGCATCCTCCAGGGTAGCTTGCAGCACATAGATGGGATCCTTGGTCGTGGTGCCCTTGAGAACCGAGAAGTTGGGACCCTTGAGGATATCGTGTTTCGAGAGGATAGCACTCAGTCGACTCGTGATGATGGAAAAAAGCAGCTTGCGGCCATGTTCCAATAGCGTGATTGGACGCACATCAGCAAGACTACCTGACCACTCCGTTGCCTTGGGGATGCAATAAACGATCCCCGTCTTCCACTCAAAAGGAACGTCTTCTTGGAGCAAACACGCACAGATCAGCTGGAACAAAATGTAGTCGCCCACACCTCCTTGCTTCAAGAAAAGATCATTTGCTACCCCTGATATTCCTGCTGCTTTAGCCTTGGGTGATTCTTTCAGCGCCGCGAGAAGCTCTTCCATGGATGGTGGGTCCATCAAGCCATTGTACCATGTTGGGTCAATCCACTCTTTAGGTTCGTATTGTGCCTTCCATCGTGGGTGATCGTCTAATGGCTGCACCTCCCGCCTGCCATGCCACTCATTGAAGTGTCTCTTAACGGTGTCCTTCACTTGGTCGCCCTCCTTGACACTGACAACATTTCCGTTGATTGTCTGCTGTACTCTATCAATGACCACCTTCCCACGATGGCGGTCGAGAATGCTATCAAGCATTTTGCCGGGGTTCCCACGCATCTGGTCGCACCGGCTGTCTATCGCCTCCTTGATCTTTGTGCGCTTGATGCTCTCTCGTTCTGCCTGCATGAATTGTATGGCATCGTGCCAGTACTTCTTGATGTCACGTATCCATCCCGTCCATGTTTCTTCCTTATCCGTCAATGTCGGTGGGAAGGCAATGGCTTCAACCGGAGCGCCAGCGTGTTCGTTATACGTATCGATCTGTGTCCGAAGTGCGTTGTCCATCGTTTGTATCGTATCCCAGATTGTACCATCCACATTCGGTAGCGTCGCCCTGAAACGCTTGGCGAGTCGCTTCAGTCGACCACAAGCACGGATGATGTGAGGGGCACCATCACGCTCATGCTGCTTCTTGCTGGCCTTTGTTATGTGTGGCCGTTCCAACTCGTCCCCACTTATCAATCTGTTGCAGATCTTCGCGCCAGACCTGCTTGTGGACATCGCGAGTAGCGCTGCAAGTCCACAGGTGATGGTTGTCCTCGTCCTGAACATCGCATATGCAGCAGACATATAGACTCGGGTGGGGGCCAGGCTGATAGACAAAGAGAACATAAAAAAATACAAAGAAATTTGCAAATGTGCAATTTATGATTCCAGGTAAGAAAAACAGGTCGACGACACGCAAGAAGAGGTGGCCGAGTCTGGTTCAAGGCGCTGCAGCGCTAAAACTTTGTTAAAATTACTGCAGTTTACCTACACGGTATTCGTGGGTTCAAATCCCTCCCTCTTCTCTTTTTTGTTTGCATTACCTCAGTTTATGATGTTTGCGTTGGCGTCAAACACGACATGAAATCTACTGCAAGTATATAACCCATCTGGAAGAAGCCTAGACAGAGATGGTGCTTCAGTTGAATGTTTGCCTGGGTAGGGCCGAATAGCTCAACTGGATTACGATGTCCAGGCGAGGATGCGATACTGGCACAAATCAAAGGAAATTCCTCAGGACATTACAGGAGGTAGAATTCGTCAAGGGAGACTACGCAGCTTCCATGCATTATGCAGATGCGTGTCGTTCTCGATTAACCTTTGCAGTAACATGCTACGACTCAGCCACATATCGCCTCTGGTTTGTAACTTGTAGTATTGACGGATGGTTTTCGCAATGGATAGGGATGATGACCAGTCGATGAAGCACGCCGTTTAGCGGTAATGCAGAATTGAGAGCCGACCAGATACAGCTGTACATTTGACCTTCCATAAAATAAGTAACTGTCTGTCCTCGACATTAGTAGCCTGAAGCCTTCAGTAGACCCTCTGAACTACACATCCCTCGTTAATCCATCTCATTGGATATTCACCTCTCTCTGTCTCGCACACGAACGAAAGCATGCATGTTCTTTTACGTCCTGTACAAGCTGCTGGCGACTGCCTTCGTCGCTGGAAATGTTGCTATCGCGGCTCTATACTACCGGGACCGAGAAGAAGAGTCCTGACTTTTATGCATTGCTCTCCACAGTATTCCTCACGTGCTTTCACTGCTATGCCGCGACGAAGAACGAACATCGACGGCGAATTCAAGCCAAATGACTCGGAAAAGGGGTCCCACTGCATCTGCAGTGGAAGTCTTTGCAAGCTGGCCACCGTTGCCAGCTACTGCTCCGTTTTTAGTCATGTGGGGTTTGATGGTTGAGCCGACAGCTAACCAATGGCCATAGCAGAAACGAAAGCCCCGAGTTGCAAGGTCTGCTAGTCGTTTTTTTACACACTAGGGTACTTTTTTTTGGCCGTTGGTACGCGGAGAAATATATTTGTTTTTTTTTTTTGCTAAAATTGCAATAAATCAAGTAGTGTTTCAAACCATGTTCTACTGGTGCCGCCAAGAGTGAGTGTCGAGCAACACTATATAGCCATCGGCTCTTCTTCATTCTCTCTCTTTCTTCATCGCTCCATTCCCTCCATTCTCTCCATTCATCCTCCCGTCATCGTTGTAGAACCACATCCACTCACGAGCCAAAAAAGACACTCCACTCCACAAGCAGTCCTCCCCCAGACCCCAATTCTGTTTCACACCTTTTTTTCATTCTTCTCAGGGACACTGCAGGTTCAGGCACACACCCACTCCGAGGTCGACTCGACTCGACTGGATGCTGCAATAACTCCAAACAGCCTCACACCAGCAATGCCGCCACTAGGAGTCCGCCTCCAGGCACCTCGTTCAACCCTCGCAATCCTTGTCCTCACCCTCCGCATCCTCCTCCTTGCCCTCGCAAGCATCAACCTTTGCGCCCTCACCGCTGCCTTCCAACTCTACCAATCCTACTCGCCTTACAGCACCAGCCGCAATTTACTCTACAGCTTTCAGGACACTCCACAGCTGGCTATCAACACCTTCCTCTTTCTCGCTGGCATCTACTCCTTCCTCGGAAACACACAATGGTCCAGGAGGGTGCGCATAATCGCAGGGCTGATCCTCTTAGGCTGCAACGTTATATTAGTTAGCCTCCAGTTCAATAATATCGCTCTCAACGGAGGATGCGAGCATGGCCGGATCTATAATACACCCATGGCCGAGGACAATACCGACGCAGGGCCCAATGGCAGTGGAGACGCGGGCGCTCAAATACCACCAGCCTCAGATATCATGTCATCACTAAAGCGGAGGTGTATCATCCAGATGGTCATTGGCATCGTCGGTGTATGCTGGAGTGCGTTACTCGCCGTCGAGCTCGTTCTGACCAACCTGCATCGGAAACGGGACCTGGATCATAAAGTCCGTATCTGCCGAGTAGCTTACCAGGAGCGTCTACGTCAACAGCAATTGTCTTCTTCTGCGGTGCACCTTTACCACCCGGACTTGTCACTTCAGGGCACAGGGAGGAGTCGAGATTCTTTGGAGTTGGAGGCGTTGCCGGCATATGAGCGGAGACCGACAGGTCCCCGTCCACAGATTGTGGATCTGGCGAACATGGGACGTTTGTCTACTAGGCCGACAGGAGGAAGACCGAGACCAGAGACGATTCAGTCACCGCCGCCGAGCTACCAGGCAGCATAACCCTAACACCCAAAACGTTCAATTATCGATAATAAATATAATCTTGACAATTGCTCAAGGGGAGAGGAAAATATACCCAAATACAAAGACACTGGAAGTGGTACCTTTTCATTTAATTAATTCATTTTTCTAAGTTAATGCATGCATGTACTCTTGTCTTATGGCCGATGTGAAGGAGAAGGACGCAATTGTCCGATCTCTGCCGGTGTCAACTCTGTTGATCCTACGCTTTGTGTGCCATGCGACAGAGATGTGGAAGGCGTTGTAGGTGTATGCACCTGTACTGAGAAGGTGTTCTCAGACTTCGGATTCAACCGCCTCGCAGCCCCTTCAGCGAGTCTTACCGGAGGATTCTTCGCGTTGACAACATTTGGGTGGCCCCTAGGTGTTCTCGGGCTGTGTTCTGGAGGCCGCTTCTCAGGCTGTTCTGTACCATCAATATTTTGACTAAACGAAATAGTCATCAGCTCGATTATTCCCTCTAGAGTTGTTCGCTGTCTCGGCCGAACTGGCATCCTTGTCCGTAGGCGGTGAAGGATCTGGTCGGTACAAGGCTGCATCTCTCACTCCTTACTCCTCCACAGCTTGTTGATTCCGCTCGGAATTGTGTCTCCGATAGATAACCATGAACCCCTCAATGATGAGCAGGATACCACAGAGGACTTCACAGTTGCTGATGCCTATTGGATATAACATCTCGTTTGTGTTGATAAAGTACGGGTCTTTGCAGCCTTCCTGATAGGACAGGATGTAAATGTCGAATAAGATGCCGATAGCAACACTACAAAGGGCTAAGGTGACGATGGGCCGCCTGAGGGTGGAGGAGAGTGGCCAGTTGTCGACACTACGAGTACATAAGGTAAAGAGGGCGATGCTGAAGAGTATGATGTTGGCACAGAGGTGTATAGGGTCCCGGAAGGATTCCTCAGTGGCGAAAGAGGCATCGTCATCTGGATGGGGCGGTGTATCTGATAGATAAGGGTTCCCTGCCGATGGATATGGTGATGATGTAGGCGAGAGCAGGTGCGCCGATGAGGACGCGAAACGGAATAATTGTATAGTAGTGCCGGGTCATTAGAAGGATATCTTGCGGAATAAAGTATACGGAGATGCTTGGCTGTCTTTATACGCTGTTTTTTTTTTCTTTTCTTCTCTTTTCAACACCACCGATTGCCCAAACCAGACAGCTTGTAGCTACGTAGATTGATGTCTGCTCTTCTACATTATCATTTTTCAGCGTATGGCCAGAAAGTCGACCGAGAAGGGCGACGCTTTTTAATCAAACCTCTTTGCCTCGAGGCCAAGGTGTGAAAATGGTGCTTCGCCCCCTTTTTGTAATATAAAAAAAACTGTGCTTCGCCGCTTTCACAACATCGAGTTATGCCCAAGAACGATACGGTCGGCAGCCAACAATATAATTTGAAAAAATCGAAAGGGCCAATAAAGTCGTAAACATGGTTACATGGTGTTGGTCCTGGCGACGAGAGAGGGAATGGAAGGGTCGAGTGGGTCGAGTGGGGCGATGGGAGAGGGAGGGAGTGGAGAGGAGTGGGATGAATGGAGTGCATTTGGCTTTTTCATATCTTCATTTTCAAACTTGATGTGTCAAGTAATTTGATAGATTCGGCGGGGATTGACAGGGCACGAAAGGCCTGACGCGTTAAACAGCGTGCTAGACTGGGATCGACTGGACCGAGGCTCTCGCTCTGAGCGGGCGACGCATGGTTGCTGCTGCGTCTCGCTCGAAGTAGACGGAAGCAGAGACTACACGAAGAGCAGTTTGTACAAAAGCAAGCATAGGAAGCCAGTTAAGAAGCGAGAAGCCACACACAGGCACTTATCCACAAGAGAGAATAGCAAAGACTGGGCCCTGAAGTCATATCTTTCTGAAACTCTGCTGGCCTCTGTGGCGGTCCGCTGCAGCTGTATGGCTACTGCAGCTCTTAGGTGGATCAGGGGACACTGATAGGTGAAGCAGAGAGTCAAATAACGTGCGAGGTAAACAAATCAAAAGAGTGGGCTCAGGTACTATGAGATGTCAGAGTGGTCAAGGTTCATACTCCAGTTCGATGCGGTGGACTGTGTTGATTAGCAAACCGACTCTTGAAGGTCCAGAGCAGTGGAGCAGTGGGGGCAGTGAAGGAAGCAGGATGTCTGCAGCGTTGTTTGATTGTGTGTGTGTGTGTGTTGTGTGCGTATATGCGTGTGTGCCTGGAGGGATCCTTCCTTGACCGCTGTTAAAACTCGCCTGAAGCTCACTCTCTACAGCGCTGATGAACAGAAGTCATGCGCTATTCCGGGCATGCAAATTGACTGCTGCGTTTTTGGATCGAGGGTCCCACAATTGTCAACCGGCCAGTGCGGTCCAACGATCAGATCAGTGATCAGTTGTTGCACTAAGTGACTACCTCCTGTGTAGTATAAAAAGACCAATCCACCTCTCTTTCTTTTTTCCCCTCGAAGTCTTCGTGCTTGCTCAGCATGGCGCGTAGCATCCCTTGAGGTGCTTGACCACTGGCTAAATAGCTGGGGGTTCTTGGCCTTGGGGGTTTTTTGGCCTCCTTCGGGGGGTCTTACCCTATTTACTTTGCTCTACTTTGCTTTACTTTGCTTTACTTTACAAAGATGACAAAGAAACAAGGGTGGGAAAAGCAGGGTTCATGGGGAATAAGGACAGGCCAGGTGCATCGCTCATGCTGCTTTCTGCATTCACTCTGAACCAGATCACTCTGCAACGTGTGCGGTACTCTTTTGGGCGTAGTCTGTTTCGTCTTCAAATATAATTTCCTGTCCAAGCATATCGACGCGTGCGTGAAGGAGCCCACGATGCAGCGACATGCAACAAATTCGCACGCTGAGCAGGCGTTTCCTTGGGCTAAACCCACAGCTATGGTTCCCTTGTCCTTGATCCGTGTTGCGAGTCGTACTTTGAACCAGCTCGTTTTGTATCGATTGCTTTGTAGCCGCATTGCCTCATTAAGCATCAGGAGCTGGACGCTAAAGACGCCTTGCTTGGCAGCACTCTCGACTCAAGTACACAATTAGGAAGCAAAGATGACGAGCTGAACAAGACTGGTGAGGAGGCACACGGACTATATAGAGCAAAAACATAAGAAAATAATAAATACAATAGAAAAAAGGCGCTTTACCGCACTATCTGCAATTGACTCTCCCAGTTGAGTATCCTTCGCATGAACAGATTCTATAAAACGCGGGTTAAGCTGTCGAGGTGCCTAGATAGTGCCGATTTACACTTGTGAATTTCTCCAAACAAAGTTTTGCACAGGGATACCTGCTTGCTCTTTGCCTGGGTAATGTGCCGCCTGGTCATTGCTTCCTGTGATACCTTCTCTGCTACAATCTCGAACTCTTGTAGCAAGGACGATGTCGGGTCCAGCGACGGCTTCATGTTATATATCTCCTCAACTCTCTGAATCGGCTGCATACCAGCCGTAAATCGTGCCGAGATCCGAAGCTAGGCTCTGTGCTTGCGATAGTCAAAGAGTATTGTAAGACACATATGTACCTTGAACGTTATGCCTGTCTTGGACCCTGAACCATTGCTATTCTGCTTCTTGGATCCATTCAAGACTCCGCGGCACAACACAATCGAAGATGTCTGAATCAGCTGTGCGCTGCAGGGCTGCGGATCAATCGAGCTAAGCAAATTTATGGCAAGCAAGTTTACTGGTGATGAGGCGATAAAAGGAAGCGAGCGACCTTTATTATTGTTTATTATTATTATTATTCTATTATGCTTGCCGCCGTCCAAAGTACTTTGGGGCAGCCTGCGATAGCCAAGCGCTCTCAAGGGCACTTACGCCTCGGATATAGTGCTTGGTCGTGAACACCAATTCATTATACATGATCGCCTCGCGCTTCCTTCCGAACAATGATGACGAAGGGTGGACACTGACGGTCTGTCCTCCGACGATGCTTTTATACGTCCCATCGGGCTGTAACAATGCCGTGTTCTGGAAAAAGCCTGCCAAAAAGCACTTTAGTACAATCTCAAGATCATGTCCGCATGATTTAGTTGCGTCCATCCCGGCACGTTCACAGAACTGGATGAGTTGTTTACGGACATCCATGACGTGGCGCATATGGCGCGAATTGATGAAGTTCTCACGGCACCAGTCCCGATCGCCCTTAACGGATTCGTACGCGCGGAGGGTGTTGAGTAAGGTAAGGTGGTCTCCGTCGAGAGAGATGAACTTCTGGCGGGCCTCGTTTGCCTCTTCGCGTTTGGCTGAAGGAGCAGAAAAGATGCTGTCGACAGAGAGAAGCGAAATGATCTCAACTGCTTCCTTTGTGCAATCCATTTTCTATTCAAGGGAGACAGCGAAAAGAGTCGATGATTAGTACACTGGTACGCCGGGTTGAATCAAAGCAGCTACAGTTCGATCTACTAACCTCAGACTGAAGAAGAACCTTAGCGTAAGGTGGATCTACAGGGAAAGCAGCCATCTTCTTGCCAGTCTCTGTCAATTTGCCCTCATCGTCCAACGCCTCCAGCGCATAAAGGTGCTCCAGCGACCTCAACATCCCCGACTTTGACGGCCGATCCATAAAGTCGAATCCTGTCACATCGTCAATGCCTGATGCCTTGAGGGACAGAATGGCAGATTCTAAGTTACATCTCTTGATCTCCGGCACTGTATCCTCCTCAAGCTGCTCGAATGCATCCTCAGTGTATAGCCTGAAGCACAGGCCGGGAGCCTCACGACCGGCACGACCCATCCTCTGTCTTGCGGACGATTTCGAGATCGGTTCTACCAGCAGCGACTCGATTCCGATTTTGGCGTTGTACCCTCTGGATTTGTGGCATCCTGTATCGATCACATAGCGAATATTGGGGATGGTGATGGATGTCTCCGCAATGTTGGTGGCCAAGATAACCTTACGTGTTCCGGGAGGTGAAGGTTCGAAGATACGTTGCTGTGTTGCTGAATCCTGTGCGGCGAAAATGGGGCAAGGGATGAGCTTCCCAACGGAGGGTGGGAGGTCGACTGCGTATTCTTCAATCAGCTTTTCAAGGTTCTCAATCTCTTCCTGACCAGTGAGGAAAATCAGAATGTCACCCGGCACTTCTTCTTGATGAATCTGGAATGCAGTGACCAGTGCAGAGTCGACATAGTCCGACTGAGGTTCGACAGTGTTGAGAGTCCTGACTGGATACATCCGCCCCGAGATATACATAATTTTTGCGCTACCAGATGGACCAGAGAGGAGCACCATGTCAGTAAATAAAATCCACGGTCGACAATCTCTATCCAAATATTCAATGATCCCTTCATCTTACTTGTAGAAGTACTCCGAAAACTTCTCGGCGTCAAGGGTAGCACTCATGATGACGATCTTGAGGGGCTGAACGTCTCTCCGACCCTTGTCGACCAGCTCCTGTCTCTGTTTCTGGATCGATTTGACCATCCCAAACAAGATATCTGTTCTCAACGTCCGCTCGTGCGCCTCATCCAGAATAATGACCGAATACTTTAACAATAGCCGATCTGAGAGCAACTCTCGCAGCATGATACCGTCAGTCATATACTTGAGTAATGAATCCTTGGAGGATGTGTCGTCGAATCGAATACTGTAGCCAACTTTTTGACCGATGGGCGTCCCAACTTCCTCAGCAACACGCTTCGCAAGGTTGATGGCGGCCACCCTACGAGGCTGAGTGATGGCGATGGTTCCATGTACTGCGAGTCCTGCTTCGAGAAGATATTGAGGGATCTGTGTCGTTTTTCCTGATCCTGTCTCACCCACGATCACTACGCATGCGTTGGCCTTGACCTCTTTGATGATGATATCGCGAGCTATACGTATTGTGCCATCAAGGTCATGGAGTTAGCCCATTGATACTCAGGCCCCACTGCAGTGCAAATCGACACAGATGCTTCTGAAGGCTCATACCGGTATAAATAGGAAGACTCTGGCGATGTTTCTTGAGGTCCTTGGCCCTCTGAATGATACTATCCGTGATCGGTTCCTTGTTCGCCAACTTCTTAGGCCGTGCTTCAGATTGGTGCTGCAGTTTCCGCTTTTGTTTTTTTGTCAATTGATCTGAATTGGCAGATACTGAGGGCATGGGTGATGGCCCTGCTGTGGGAGTTGAAGTTGGAGTTGAATCGGAGTCATCTTTTGCTGGTTTTGCCTTTGTGGTCACTGACGCCTCGGTACTGTTCTTGTTGTTCAGCTGTTGTTTGAACGAGGTCTCTGGACGCTGAACAGCTTCGCCATCGTCGTCAAATGTAATGACCTTTCGTTTCGCGGCTTGAATGCTGTTGAACATGCTGGGTTGCAAGCTGTGAATGAACTAGGTGTTGTGTTGTTCCTGAGCAGGTTGAAGTGCTGAACTGGAGGAGGGTAGGTTTTTTTTTTTTTTTGTAATGTTTGTTTTGTGTGGTGACTGCCGCCTTTAAACAGCATTATTACTGTTGCTCGTACCTTCGCTTCCAGAGCACGCAACAGAACCAGGACACTCAGCTACACAGAGATCAGCATGACAGGATTAGGACCAGGAAGCAAAGTCAGAAATGCATCCGAGATCAAGATGCGATTGGAGGAGGAGATCTGCTCCTTGATATCCGAGGTCCAAGGTCCGTTCCATCAACTGACTGTATATATCTAATGGGCGTTACTTAATTGTTACCCGCCAATGGCCTCACAAGTACTAAACAGCATCGCCCCCATTATAACCAACGACAGACTTCAACTTGTCAACGATCGAGCGGATAGAGCTTCCTACAGCTTTGGAATTTCATCGTTACGTTGCAGCCAACAGACCCGTCGTCATCTCCCTCCCTGCCTCCTGCACGACCATCCACGAACCCTCGTCCAGCCGCGCGGCACCAACATCACAAGAGAAGCAATGGGCCTGGCCAGCATTCACAAAGTGGACCAACGAGTATCTTTCCGACACATTGGGCAACAAAGAAATTACAGTAGCGTGCACACCCAACGGTTGGGCAGACGCGGTTGTCGATGACAAGTACTTTGCGATGCCCTGTGAGAAGAAGATGACGTTTGAAAAATTCTTGGAAGGGATGCCCATTCGGACACCAAAGAAGAGGGACGCTCAGTCTCAGGATTCATATGAGGATCTGGAGGCTCGCACTAGGTATCTTGAGCTGGAGTCCAGGGATCTCAACGGCGTGACAGAGACGACTGATCCGTATCAGGAAGTTCGCTACATTCAATTACAGAACGGAAACTTAATGACAGAGTATGAGGAGCTGTTGGAGGATGTTCCCTCGGAGATTCAGTTTGCGAGCGAGGCACTTGGCAAGAAACCAGATGCTGTGAACTTTTGGTACGGCGACGAGCGGAGTACCACCTCCCTGCATAAAGGTAAGGATAACATCGATGGATTGTCACACCTCGCACAAATGAACGCGCTTCATGCTTACATAGCTAACACGCTTTTTTTTTTTCTTCTTTTTTTTATCTTTTCTCAGACCATTATGAAAACATTTATGGTGTTATCACAGGAAGAAAGATCTTTACATTAATCCCACCAACAGAGCAATATTGTCTACATGGTAAAGGGAATGTAACCGTAAGGTGCAATGGCACTTGGACTCGATTGATTCATCTAACATATCTCGATCGCCATCTCGTCTTAGAAAACCATTATATCGCTGCGACCTATGTCGACACTCAGGACTCATCTTCATCACCTTCGCAGCCAAGCTCACCATCTTCACCACGGTATAAACTAGAGCCCATGGAACCTCTCACTTATACGAAATGGATCGGACTGAACCCATCGCATGAGCCCAAGGAAGAGCTGTATGAAAAATTTCCACGCTTCCATATGTGCCAGCCCTTCCGTGTAGAGCTGAACCCAGGAGAGTTGCTCTACCTGCCAGCAATGTGGTATCACCAAGTGGAGCAGGAGCCTGACCACGAGGGCAAGTGCATTGCGGTCAACTGGTGGTATGATATGGGCTTTGAAGGCGATCGCTTTGCGACAGCAACATTCATGTCGAACTTGGTTCAGCTCATCGATCAGATAGATGTCTCTTCTGAGTGAACGGCGCCAATAAAGATATCGCATTTCACTTTATTGTTTGGGAATGTTGAATATACCAGCTATGAATATGGCTATAGATATGGCTATGAACAGGAGGGCGAACATTGAACAAGTATAAAATTGATCAGTCCGTTTGTGTCTGAGTTAACAGAAATGATACTTGGCCGTGCATTATCCCCGCTTAAGCGAGCCTCTCCAGGGCATCGACAAGCGTCAGCATGTCGGTCTTGATGGACTGTGCATATCGCAAGACCTTGTCCTTCGAGTCCAGAATCTCAATGCTCTCCGTGTAAGCATTGTACCGGACAGAGAAAGGTCTCTGCAGAGAATTCGCAAACTGTCGAACGCGCATCTGTGCATCCTTGAAGGACTCTGCAACAAAGTACACAGGCTGGTACTCCGTGATCGGATACTTTTGCTGTGCGACCTTGGCGGGCTCAAATGGTCTGATCTCGGGCTTGTCACTGAGGCAATACTCGAGTTCACCAAATGAGGACAACAATCCAGCACCATAAACACGGAGCTGGTCATCCTGACGACAGAGACCAAACTCAACTGTGAACCAGTAGATGGTTGCAAGGTGTTCAATATCCGAATCACTCGCACCCAAGGAGGCCAGACCAATCTCCTGTGAAAAATCTGCAAAGTCTGGGTTGGCGAACAGAGGCACATGTCCCAGGAGCTCATGACAAACGTCCGGTTCTGGAGTGTACAGTGGTTTGGAGTGGTGTCGAATGTATTGGGTCGAGTGGAAGACCCTAAAGGCTAGGCCGTTCAAAAAATCGCGGCTTGTCAGCAGACCCATGACAGGTCGTAGGGTGAAACCGGTGCAGTCCTTCAAAAACTTGGAAACACCGTCGAGCTGAGGGATTTTGGAGGGTCCATAGCCACAATTTTGGACGAGCAGTGGGAAGACGTATTGGTGCTCTCTGCAGGCGTGGGTCGGGAACATGGTGATCAGCTTGTTGAAGACAGTCGTCCAAGTGTCGATCTCGACCTGCGTGTACTCGACGTGAGGAATAGACTGGCCACTAATGAAGGTCAAAGTTAGACATAAGCAAGCACACACGAAAAATGCATGTAGCCTACTATAATGACGTGAATGAATGGCTGCGTGAACGTACGTTCGATAAGTCTTTGCAATCTTGGTTATCTCGGCACGGCGCGCTCGGTAGACTGCATCCTTTGCACCAGGATGGTCGGCATCAAGTTCTTCGCCCATCTCAAGCACTTTGTCAGCAAACGTATCCAGGTCGACCATCTTGCGAGGAAACCATGGCGTCGACTCTGGCAGCTCTGTTGTTAGGTTGGGGGGGGAGGGGGAGAAGATCAAGAAGATATTTGCAGTCAGTGCTTATGCACTGGTCATCTCTGTCTTTCGGAGGTGTTTATATTAGCAAGCAGATGACGAGAGAGAGATCCTTTGGACCATACCAGATTCTGCAGCACCAGAAGCACCACCTGTGCCTACGACGTGGACCTGCTTGGCCAGACCCGCAAGCGATTTGGTGGCCTGGCTGACCTGTTCAGCATTGACGGCATCAAAGTCGACAAAGAAATCATAGTCCCGCTCGGAGGTCTTGCTCGGTCGCCTAAACAGAAATGGACGAAGTAATACATGAGAACAAAGTATACATAGATTCTAGTGTGAAGCAAATCTCCTTGGAGAGGGAGACTTACGATTCAATGCGGGTGAGAGAAATGTTCATGGCCTTGATGGCGGCCAGACACTCGTCGAGAGCACCGACTCTGTCGGTCGTGGAGAAGTGGACGGTGACCTTGACCGGGGTGACCAAGGCGTCGGTGCATTTGTGAAGAACTGGGGAAGACATCTTGCCAGGCGCAGTGCTGGTTTCTGTTGAAATGTAGCTGTGAGTGTGTTGTGCGGTAACGACGAGGATGAAAATGAAGAGGAAGAGGAAGAGGAAGAGGAAGAGGAAGAGGAAGAGGAAGAGGAAGAGGAAGAGGAAGAGGAAGAGGAAGAGGAAGAGGAAGAGGAAGAGGAAGAGGAAGAGGAAGAGGAAGAGGAAGAGGAAGAAAAGGAGGGGTCGAGAATAGGATTAAAAACAAAAGACAAAAGGCAAAAGGGGCGTGGGACACTTGTCGCATTTGGGGAGTATTTTCCCCCCTCCCCTCCCACGGGCCACAGAGCGGCGCATGTGAGCAGTGCATATGCCTGGGCCACATGGCTGTGGCGCCCGGACACGAATGTCTTTTTTTATATGAAAGAGTATTGAAGAGTATTAAAGAGTATTAAAGAGTATTGGGTGCCAATGTCAGTTATCTGGGGCTTCCTGCCATCCGGCAGAACACTACAGCAGACTGCCCCCACGAATGGGAACAGCAGACTGCAATGAACCACCCGACAATGCTGCCGAGATCATCAACCATTGATATGTATGATTATTATCATTACAGTCTTAGGTTAAATACTAAGACTAAGGAGCCAATTCAAGGCCACGGAGGAGGGTGCCTTTTATAGCAGAGTGACTGGCGCCCTCCTCGACCGGAGCGTGGATATTGGGAGGCAGCTTTTGTGGGACTGACAATCGACGCTGCAGAAAATTTGCCCAGTCCACAGCAGACCGAAAAAGCAGTCGAGACCCTTGGCGGTTGACCACCCTCGTTTTGATCCAAATCAACTGGATCAGTCAGGGTCGCCGGGCTCCTTTCGATCACCGTCAACCGGTGGAAGCTGGCCCAATTGCGGATTTGTTGATTCTACCCGAATAATAGAACAATAGAACAATAGAACAATAGAACAATAGCGGGTAGAGCTGAAGACACTGCACAGGGCGAAGCAGCGTGCTGGCAGTGGTGCATGCTGAGACCGGGGGGCACCCTTGCCCTCCCAAGTCCCAACCCATCGAGGGACGGGACGGGACTGTTCTCCCGGCAGGTGGTATCGAGGGCGTGGCACTCCATTTCCTCGCTTCCATGTCCACAGTAAACCTTCCTCTGTTTCCCCACACTCCCTTGGCCACATACCGTTGATGATCCACACCTCCCACTGAGTCGATCCCTTGAGCGGATCAGGGAAAGAAAAAAGGACGAATCCGATCCCTCTTCTCTTTTCCTCATCTCATCCTTGCGCTCCTACACTCTGCACTGCACACCCCGTTTGTTCTTTTCGCCATGGCAAAACTTGAGAGCGACCTTCTCGTCTTCCTTGACGACGATGTCGCTCCACCCGCGTCCGAGGCAGCTCCATCCTCGATGTCGCAGTTTTCTCTATCCACTTCCATGCGGGTAGCGGACCTATTGTCGAGTTCCTGCCAGGGACTATCGCTATCCCCAGCATTGACTCCAAAGTCGGCAGTCAATCCTCCTCTCTCCTCCTCTTCCTCTTCTTCCTCTCGTTTTTCTGCTTCTGCTACTTCTTCTGCTGCTGCTATTGCCAACATCGCTCCATCATCCTCTTGCTACAATGCCTCGCTCTTTAGCGGTGGCCTCTCCGGTCTCACTTCTAGACCCGCTGTCATCAAGCCAAGTCCAGAACCCACAGCAGCCAAGAACGTTTCTCTTTCCAATGGATCGACCCATGGTGGATCAAATCAGGCACAGGCGAATTCCAGGGCGGATGTGGAGGTGGTTGTACCCAAAGTCGAGCAAGATCCCCTCCTTGTGCCAAGACAGTATCAGATCGAACTATTCAAGAAAGCATTGGGCTCCAACATCATCGCAGTCATGGACACAGGAAGCGGCAAGACGCTTGTGGCGGTGATGTTGATCAAGGAGATGATCCAACGAGAACAAGAGGCATGGAGAAACTTGGCAGAGGTAAAGCGATCACTACAAGCAATGCCTCATTTGCGCTCAAGATCAGGACCTTGCTCGTTAGGCAATCGAGCTGACTTTTTGCTGGCCCTTCGAATTACATGGAATAGCGTAAGATCTGCTTTTTCATTGTCCACAACGTGCCCCTCGTCTTCCAGCAGGCAGCCGTCATTCGATCCAACTGTGCGGGCGAGGTCATCGAGATGTGCGGACCAAACCAGAAGAACAAGTTCCAGAAAGACTGGGACGTAGTCTTTGAAACGGCGGACGTCATCGTTTTGACAGCACAGATCCTATCAGACCTTTTGCGGCACGGCTATATCAAGATGAACAGGGTAGGTGTACAAATTATACGCAAGTGGCTGTTATCGGCAGTTATGGAGAGGTGTGTCTAACGGATCGAGGATTTGATTCTTCTATAGATTCACCTGCTAGTCTTCGATGAGTGTCATCACGCAAGAAAAGATCACCCCTTTTGCAAAATCATGAAGGAATTCTACCACAATACCCCGGAACGGGATCGACCCAAGGTCTTTGGAATGACCGCATCGCCATCCATGGACACTGGATCAAAACTCTACCATTCCGCCAAGTAAGAGCTGATATGGTTTTATTTTATTTTTTGTCGTATTGGAAAGTTGTACATGAATAACTTATCTACATGAACATTTTCTTCACGCGTTTGCTAGAGAGCTCGAATCGCTCATGGACGCACGTATTTTTACGGTCGACCAGGAGATGGTGCAGTCTTATGTCCAACGACCCAGCGAGTTTGTTGTCCATTATCACTCACCTCCACTCTATAACCCAACAAAGCTCACTCATCAGCTACGTGAGCAATGCTTCACGCTCCCAAGGCTGGAATCGCCCTTTTCATCGGTGACCCATAACCTGAAACATCTTGGACCCTGGTGCGTCGATCGTCTTTGGAAGCTGTACCTGCATAGGCTTGCAGAAGCAAGTAATTTCAAGCAGTTGGATCACGATGCCAGGGCCGCGGTCAACATTTCAAAGTCTCTATCACTTCGGAAGCCGGTCTGCGACGAGTCGTATTTATCACCCAAGGTTCTCAAGCTTGTCCAGCTTCTGCGGGTCGCCGTTGAAGGTCTGGGAGACGACTTTTGTGGGATCATTTTTGTGGAGAGGCGAGATACGGCTATGGCGCTGTGCTTGTTGCTAGAGGAGCTCGAAGAGTTTCAGGACATCTTCCGCGTCCAGATTCTTGCCGGCCATGGAGAAGGCGGCGAACAAGTCTTGCGCATGACCTTTCAGGAGCAAACCGCCATCATTTCCTACTTTCGTCACAGGGTTTACAATTTGCTGGTCGCAACCAGTGTCGGCGAAGAGGGTCTTGATATTCAACCCTGCAACGTTGTTATCAGGTAAGGATAGCGACTGAGCTGTAGTACTATTATAGTAACTAGGCCTCTTAAAGCCATGGACCTCCTTTGTACGCTTGCACTAATGCAAATCTTTCTTTATGGTTAGATTCGATCCTGCATCCACGCCTATCAGTTACATTCAATCTCGAGGACGAGCCAGGAAAGCCAATTCGCGATTTATCATCATGCAGGAGCTCGACAATCGGGCCGAGGAAGCGACATTCGAAAAAATTAAGTACTCTGAAAAGAATATGAAGGAATGGTGCCATAGCCTCGATGACGAGCGCCTCATGCGGAGCCCGATAGACATGGACGACGATGATGTGTTGGACAAGCTGGCGCCTGCGCAAATATATCGGGTACCTTCAACAGGAGCAATTCTCACCTTGGATTCGGCCGTGGCCCTCGTACACTATTACTGCAGCACCCTCGCAGGCGATGAGTTTTGTTCTCTTCGGCCTAATTTCAACATCATGTCTAATGGTGCATCGGGATTTATATGCGACCTCATCTTGCCGCCCAATGCCCCCATCCGTATTGTTCAATCCGATCGAACATCGACCAAAAGCATGGCGAAGAAGAGCGCGGCATTCAAAGCTTGCGAAAAGCTCCATAGTCTCCATGCCCTGAACGACAATCTGCTTCCCATCATGGTTGATCTGGCCAAGGATGAGAAGCCTGGGGAAGAAAAAGCGGTGGACAACAAAGACAAGAACAAGTCGTATCCAATGGCCTCGCCTACATTCTGGAAGCGCTCGCCTTCACTCACGGAGACGATTCCGCTCTTTGGTTGTGTGATGGAACTTACAAAGGAGGATCTGGATCAACTGGGTGGCAAGTCTCGATTCCGCACAATGTGCCTTTTGACCTATCAACCACTGCCGTGCGACATTTCCCCGTTCAATCTTTATGTTGAGGGCGCTCCTAGATTGGTCACACTTAAGAGCAGTCCGGTACCGATGCAGGTGGATGAGGGACGACGAAAGCTGCTGAAGCAGTTCACGCTCAATCTGTTCCAGAGAATGTGTCGCAAGACGTTCGAGTGTGCGTTGGAGGGCTTGCCATATTTTGTCGCCCCACTCACCAAGACTTACGTGGCTGGCTCACCACTTCAAACAGGAATTGCTTGGGACAATGTAAAGTTGGGTCAGAGTCTGGAGCCTTTGCCGATTACAGAGGAAGACAAGGTGGAGGCATTCATTATGGACTCTGTCGTGACCCTCCGTACCGATTACGGCCGCGACTTTTTTATCAAGAAGATATTGCGGATATACAGGGTCAAGGATGTGATGCCACCCGAAGATTTCAAGCAGGAATTGGCGGCTTGGGACGTGGCTATCGCGAAGGGGAAGGCCACTGCCCTAGAGCTTTCCAATGGTTCAGATGCGAGAGCTGAGGGCAGGACATTCGCAGCGTATTTCAAATGGAAGTACAGCACGGATTGCACCAACGACGATCTTATTTTATCGGTGGATCGAGTGCGTAAGATGAGGAACCATCTTCAACCGGCTGTTCGTGATGAGGAGAGGCGGGATGATGCCTCTGCAAACATTGTCCCGCTCAGCGCATGCATGCGTTGCTCTGTAAGCGCGGACGTACTTCGAATGTCACAGCTGGTTCCTTCAATTCTTTTTAGTCTTGACTCAACTTTGCTTGTGCAGGAAGTTCGGATGAAGTTCGGGTTTATGAGGACTCGGCTGGATCTTTTACAAGTGGCATTCACAACCTCATCAGCAAACAGAGACTACCAGTACGAGCGCCTCGAGTTTTTGGGTGACTCTTTTCTTAAGTTTGCATCCACTATCCGACTCTACATAATCAACCCCTCCAAGGACGAAGGACAGCTTCACGCCAGCCGTATACGCATCATTTCCAACAGGGCACTTCTCGGTCATGCCACCAAACTGGAGCTGTATCGATATGTCACCAGTATTCCGTTCCATCGCAAGTCGTGGAGACCAACCCAATTTGTGGTCGATGGCAAACCCTGTAAGGAGGTCCAGTATCAGAATCTGTCGAACAAGACGCTCGCAGATATTGTTGAGGCATCTCTGGGCGCCGCCTATCTGAGTGGAGGGGTCACCAACGGATTTCATGTGGCGAAGACACTCGGCATTCCATTTGATGAGTTTGCAGAATGGAGTGATTTCCATCGAGTCTTTTCTCGAATGAAAATGGCGACCCTGGATAACTCTGAAGACCGGACCAGCAAGTCCATGTTGACAAGAGGCCAACTCTTGAATATCCAGGATGTTCAGAAGTTGCTCGATTATGAGTTCAAGGATCCGTTTTTATTCGTTGAGGCAATGACACACGCATCCCATATCAGGAACGACTCTGTTTGTTATCAGCGACTGGAATTCTTGGGCGATGCCGTTTTGGATTTCCAAGTGGTCCGGTACTGCTATGAGAAGTATCCAAGCGCGCCTCCAGGGGCAGTTACTCTCATCAAGGACGCGTCCGTCAACAATGCGATTCTGGGTGCGATCTCCATCAATTGGGGTTTACATCATTATCTGAACCATTACTCGTCGACGCTGGTGGGCGCAATTGCCCGAGCGATTGTGTCACTTGAGTTCAAGACGGAGCAGTCACCGACCAAGACACTGGAGGGCGAGTACTGGTCTGATATTACGATGCCGAAGGTCCTGGGAGATTTGGTCGAGAGTACGCTAGGTGCGGTGTTTGTGGACTCTGGATTTGACTTTGATGTGATTTCGGGATTGTTTGCGCGTCTGATCCAGCCGTTCCTGGATAAGCACGTGAACTTTGAGAACATCGTCATCCATCCAAGCAAAGCTCTGTTGGAATCACTCCAGGCCAAGGGTTGCAACAACTTTGCGTTTGAGAACGAGGATGGCGCACAGGAAAACAGCAGGAGTCGAACGCTCAGACGTCTGGGACTGGGTGCTCATAATCAGCAGACCGCAGAGGGTGCCAGGAGCATGAAATGCCATTTTAAGATCCACGACAAGATCGTAGCAACAGCGACAGGGGATCAAGTAGAGGACTTGCGGAAGGAGGTGGCGATTGCGACAATGGCTCTCCTGAAGGGCGACACAGAGCTGCTCGGCACCCTGTGCACCTGTCCGAAGAGAAGCGGTGCACGGCACAAGTCTGTCCTGGATCGTTATCGGGAGTGATTTACAAAAATAAAAAAAAAAAAACGACGATCTGACTGAAATTAATTGTTTTGGTGGCGGTTTCTTGAGAGACCCCCCCCCCCCCCCCCCCCCCCCCTTCCTCCTCCTCCTCCCCTCCCCTCCTTTGATTCTTCCTTCATTCCTCTCTGGAACACCCCTTCCACCGCTCGACGATTCGGGATCCAACGCAATAGGAACGATGACCAGAAACGCAAGTCAAGGTGTCTCCGGCCTGCAGAGGCTGTTCGTTCAATGCAGATTCAAACCAGTGCTAGGATCAACTCTTCATCTCCATGATCCCGTCTCCAGCACCAAGGTTCGTCTGACGGTAACCGCACAAAACGCGTTTGCAGCCAACACTATCACCCAATCTCGATCCCAATCCCAATCCCAATCCCAATTGCAATTACAAGCGCAACATCGCAACTATTCCACAGGATCCTCTACAAATCAATCCACAGCAACCCCAGCGACTTCAGGATCGATTCTGACGACGAACCATCGCAACGAGAACCCTACGCCCGCCTGGACAAGGGACGACGATAAAATGCTCGCAGTTCTCCGACGCAAAAAATCAGATCTTGCGCAGATCCAGATCTATATGCCGCATCAACCCATTGCCGTGATCGAAGCTCGACTAAAAGAACTGGAGACCAAAGCCAAGCAGAAGCCGACCTTCCAACGGTGGACCGCAAAAGAAGACGAGCAGCTGGTGAGGGCCGTGAGAGAATTTGGGTTGAGTAATTGGAGTGAGATCTCGGATGTGTACTTTTCATCGACGGAACGTAGCAGACGGAGTGCACGGTCTTGTCAGATTCGGTGGAAGTTCCTTCATCCGGACTCGTCCTCCCCTTTGTCCCCTTTCTTGGCAGCAGCAGCAGCAACAACAACAGCAACAACAGCAGCAGAAGCAGCAGAAGCAGCAGTAGAGTCGACAGAGTCAGCAGAATTAGGAATTGGGTCAGGATCAGGATTAGGATTAGGATCAGGGGCGTACAGGACGGGCCCTTGGTCCCCCGAGGAAGTTGAACTCCTCCAAGAACTCGTGAACCCAAACCCGACAGCGGAAGCCCCGAACGACTGGAACGAGATCTCGCGGGCGATTGGGACACGATCTGCACTCCAATGCCACTCACAGTTCCGGACGGTGTTGCATTCGGGCACGAAGGGGAAATGGACGGTGGAGGAAGTGAACAGGTTGTTGGAGGCTAGGGAGTTGTTTGGGGGGGATTGGCAGAAGGTTGCGAAGCACGTGGGTACAAGGGCTCCGGGACAGGTGCGACAGAAGTGGAATCAGTTCTCGGAGGATGTGCTGAGACGACTGCAGGCTAGGCGGCAGAGGGGGAAACAGGGCGAGGAGGAGGAGGAGGAGGAGGGAAGCAAGTCGTAGGGGTGAGGCAGGAAGGGAGGGAAGGACGGGAAAGGAAGGGAGGGCGAGAGGGGCGGGAAGGGGCGAGAGGGCGAGAGAGGGCGAGAGAGGGCGAGAGGTAGGAGAGAAAGTCGAAAAGTGTGAAAGTAGACCGAAAGAAATGGAAGAAAAGAAGGATCGTGCGCTTGCTAAATATAAAAGAGCGCTTTTGGGGGAACTTGCGTACGACGCAAAATGGTACTCAGCCCTTGGGTTTGATCGGACAAAGACTGTCGCTATAACGCCCTATTATTCTTCCTTTTCCCCCCCTCCCGGATATTCCCTCTGTCTTATTTCTCGTGTCGCGTATTACCCAATTCGTTGCGAGATGGAGCGCGATATAAAACGGCGGTTGGTAATGCTTATTTTTTTTCTTTTCTCTCACCTCTTACAACACATTACAACAACAAGAATCATCTCGCTCTGCAACAGCTCCTTTCTCACTCGCAACTTTTTCTTTCCCCCCTCCCTCTCTCTCTCTCTTAACGATAAACTTTCCATCCCTCCACATCCTACATCCTACAATCCACAACAATGCCCATAAAGATCTCCCCAGGGCTCCTCCGTCGAATACACATGGGCGCCGGAACCCTGACCTCCTGTAACACCTTCCTCATCGTCGCCTCCTACTCCTTTGGCCCGAGCGGATCCTCTTTCTCCCGCTGGGCGACTTCCAATCATCTCTTGCTCCCCCAAGTCCTCGTGAACCTCTTCGCCCTCTTTTACTGTTACTTCAAGGGCTTCCTCGGCCGACGATGGCTCCTCCAGCTGTGCATGTCCATGTTCCTCGCAGTCATCTACTTGGTCTTTGCGGCGACCGTCTTTCCAAAGATTATGGGCGATAGCTCAGATTTTCTGCTTCAGATTGTCGAGGGTGTGAATGTGGTGGTCGCGGCGCTGTTGATGGTCGATGCGGTGCTGACAGTAATTTGGGTTAGGAATGAAAACAAGTCTATGGAAGATAGCGAGATCGGAGAGGAGGAGAGGAGGCTAAGGAGTGGAGCTGGATCGGGGGAAGAAGTGCAGAGACCACAGCAGGTACATGTCTATCAGCCACTGATATCGCTTGCTCCTCTGTCTGCTCGTCGAGGCTCTGTCCTCTCTGTCGCTGAGTCCGGAAGATCATCACCCACAACAGCGCAGCAGCAGCAGCAACAGCAGCGACAGGGATTGTCGACAGATGATACATTCCATATTAGTATCCCTGAAGCAAGGGCTACCAATCCAATCGAAGAAGACGAGGATGAACGTCTGGAACTGGAAGAATTACCAAAGTATCAGCGGAAACCTCCAGCCCAATCGGCGACGATCATCGACCTCGCGAACCTTGAGGGCGTCGATCCTGCTGTCCTAAATAGTATCCCGCTCCTGCAGGAGACACAGGCACAAGCACAAGCACAAGCACAGCCACAGCCACAGGCGCATGGACAGAGAGGAGAGCATGTTGCGGAAGCACCGGTGTACTCCCTTGCAACGCCTGCATCCGCATCTGCACCTGCACCTGCATCGTCAGCGGTTCCAGAACCCGCACATGCATTGACTCTCGAACCTCCTGTCTATATGCCCTAAATAGAGCAACCCCCCCCCCCCCCCAACCCCCCCCCCCCCAACCCCAACCCCCAACCCCTCAACCCCCCAATCTCAACCCTCAACCTCAATCCTCATCGATTATTACCTTATAGTCCCTTGTGTATAACATTTAATAATATAATTTTAAAAACGTGCTACAGTTATGAGGTAAGAAGGTCATCAGAAAGGGGAGGAGGATTAATTAAAGTACATATATGCTGCGTTTGGGTCTCAATAGCTCTTGATGGGCTGCTGGACCGCAGGAAGCGCTGTAGCCTGCTTAATTGGCATCTTTGAAGGACTCCGGACCATAGGTCCTGGGGCTGCCATCTGCTGCTCCTGAGGTTCAGATCCCGTACTAGGACTTGGAGCCTGGGGTGAAGCCATAATGGCAGGGATAGGGGGCACAGGAGGAATACTCACGTTCGCCTGGGTGTTGGCGCCTGTGACGGACTGAGCATTCTGATTACTGTTGACCGATCTCTTGGACACGGAACGGACCACGCCCCCGGAGGATCTCCGTCCAAAGGAACGCTCTCGAGGAAGAGAACCCAGACAGACCTTTCGGATGAAGAACGAGACGACCTTGATGAAATCCGTCGGTTTCTCCTCCTGCGGCAAATGGCCCGCATGCTTGATGATCTTCAAAACCTGGGGTACGTTCAACTGCCGTGCACTCTGGAGAGTCTCGAAGAGTCGGAGGGTCTCCATCGTGGGCACGATATCGTCCACATCACCGGTCATGACCAAGGTCGAGATCTCTGTTAACAAATCGAGGTGCTTGTCGACCTTGTAGCTCGCCCGGAACCTGGTCGCGTTGGCCAGGCCTCTCCAGAAGCCTTCTTCCTTCGCGGGCTTGGTATACATCTCGATCGTCTGTGGATCTGCCATCATGGGCTTGGGTTTATGGTAGAACTGTTGTAGCGGTCCATGATTCCCATAGAGTCCTCGATAGATCCAGGTCAACGGAGGCGGGTAGGATACACAGGCTCGGAGGTACAACGGAGGCGCCTCGTCCAGAATTGCAGGCGCGACAAGGATCAGACCTCGGACGAGATTCGGTTTCGACAGCGCGAGGGCGGAGGCGATCGTTCCACCGGTCCCGTTCCCGATCAGGACTAGGTTCTGGTTCATGCCCAAGGTCTCGAGCAACGCATGGCAGATCGAGAGTACGCCCCCGTTCTTGTAGGGGTTTGCGTCCTTGGGCCAGGTCGTGGGTTTGTCCGAGAGGCCGTGGCCGATCCGGTCGTAGGCCAGGACCCTGCATCCCGTACGGTCCGCGAGGGTCTGTTGGACCTTGCGCCAGGTGTCGAGGGTCGAGAGCGCGCCATGGAAGAGGATGATGTTGCGGCCGTTGCCGTTGACTCTGTAGGAGGGGTCGATGGTCGGGTAACAGATCTTGTAGTGGACCTTCCAGTCATGGACCGTGACCAAGCCGTCCTTTTCAGCATACCGTTTGATTGTAGGGACTGAAGAAGAGTTCTCTGTGCCCGGGGTAAGGTCCGTCTCCGTGGGCTGTCGGCTGGAAGCGGTGGTGGTGGTTCGACGGGGCGCAGACGGCTTGGTCTCGGTGGAGACAGCGGCGGTGTTTCGACGGGATGTAGATGGTTTGGTCGCGGTGGGAGCGACGGAGGAGGCGGTGACAGTATTGTTAGCGTTGCTGAGGGGACTGGCGCCGTGGAGCTTTGTTTGCTTCGTGAATTTTTCGTGGTAATCGGGCAGATCCTGGGCGAGAGGCGAGATGGGCGAGGTGGGTCCTTGTCGTTGTGGTTTGGGGGAGAGCGGTTTTTTTAGATCGGCCGAAAGGGTCTCGCGCGGGGTGAACTGTGTGTTGATGCTGGCGGGGATTCGACGGGCGGAGGGGGACACTATTGCGGACGATGATGTATTTGTTGGTGCTCCTGGTATTGTTGATCCTTGAGTAGACAATGATGCAACTGTGCCTGCACTTATGCCTGTGTCTGTGTCTGTGTCTGAGGATGGAGCTACCGCGGTAGTGGCGGCAGTTCCTGCAGGAACAGATGCTGGTACTGCTGCTGCCAAAGTTGCCGATGATGAGGGCATGTCATGTCCCTGTGCGACCATAGGTTGCATTTGTTGAGAGCTGCTGTTGCTGCTGTTATTGTTGATATCGCCGCTGAGATTGTTATCGCCGTTGCTGCGAATACTGTCGTCATAAATGTCGTCCCCCTCCTTGTCGAGCTGGTGGAGCTGCTGCTGAAGAAACGTGTTGAAGTCCTCCTCCTCGACTTCAATGTCGTCGTCTTCGTTTTCTGTGTCGGTCTCTGTTTCGAGTTGGTCGTCTGTGTGGTGGCCGTCCATGCCGTTTTCGATGCCCTGGTAGATGACATCTTCCTCGTCACTGTGGTCGACATCGACGTGGTCGATACCCACTCCGAGCCGCAGGAACTGTGTTGCAGCCGGGTTGGCATAGGGCACTGGAGGGGGTGCTGTCGACTGTCTCCGAAGAAACGGGATCCCACTGGAGTGTGTTCGTTGCATTTGAGGGATTGAAAGAGGGAAGAAGAAGGAAAGGGAGCGGGGGGAGATGGAGCAGACGGGGGGGAACGAACGGTGGCAGTTGGAGGTGTGCGCTGTGTGGAGAAAGAAGGAGGGAGGAAGAGTGAGCGAAAGAAGGAGGGAGGAAGAGTGAGAGAAAGAGAGAGAGAGAGAGGGATGAAGAAAGAGGACTGAGATTACCGCTGGGGTGTGAAGAAGGACGGAGCCAAAGAAGAGGGGAGCATTACACGTCGGATATAACCTTATTTGCATAATTCAGGGATCTCTGAAAAGACCCTCTGGACTTGCGATGATGCCGAGGTTTCTTGTCCTTGTCAATTAGATGGAGGAGGGCGCAGAACATGTAATTGACCATGGACATATAATTGACTATGGACGTGTAATTGACTGAAGACCTGTAACTGACCGCAGACCTGTAATTGACCGCAGCAGAAAGTCCATTCGGGCCGGAGCGACGGAGAAAGTGAATGGGCCATCGATTCACATGTGAGAAAAAAGGATGCACATATTTAGACTAGATGGCTCCTGAACCTTGATCTGCACTCAAACAAAGACATTTTCCCTATCGCGGATGGACCATGCTGCTGATGTCTGATGTCCAGACACATGTGTGGGTGGCCTTTGCACGAGTCTCCCTCGGCACCATTGGCTATCCTGCCGCTCTGGGGCACCATCACCATCACTATTACCAGCACCAGCACCAGCACCAGCACCGGCACCTCTAGCCCCACTACAGTACATAGTCGTCCAGTCTAGTCTACTGGCTGTTGGTGAACGTGTTCGTATGCACACGCACATGGCATGCGTCCATCCCCATCGACCGTCCCTCTCCCCTTCTTCTTTTTCTTTTTCTTCGTACCCGTCGTCTTCTTCGTCTTCGTCTTCTTTCCCTCCATCTTTCTCCCTCCATCTCTCTTTCCCTCTTCTGCTTCTTCTTCTTCTTCTTCTGCACCATAGTAGATCTTCTCCATCGACGACCCACTGCATCCCTCTTTTCTCGTTCTGTTCACACTCTGATCTGTCTCGCATGTGTGTGTGTGTTTGTGTGTGTCTTTTATCTCTCTCTCTCGCACACTCTCACATGAAATCTCCGCTCTATCTTTCTCTCCTTTAACTCTCAGATCGCGATATACATCCGATCGTCTCTCTCTTCTCTTTCTCTCGTTTCTTTTCTTTTTTTTTTTTCTTTCCTTTGTTTCCACCTCACACTTACATCCTTCTTTATATCCTCACATCCTGACATCCTGACATCCTGACATCCTCACGCCTTCACATAACGTCACATCCTTCACCTCCGATTACAATGTCGATGGCTGCCTCGCTCGAGGCTGCGTTCACTCTCGATCCCCGGCGGGCACAGCAGCAGCAGCAGCAGCAGTGCCCCAAAAGAGATTCGCACGCGTCCTTCGCGGCAAGCACGGCGAACACAGGGGCACCAGCACTGCTGCAGCCACTGCAACCGACCGAGTCCTGTCCACTCGAAGCACACCCTCAGAAACACTCACCACAAAGGCATCTCCTGCTCTCAACACCACCACCACCAACAACAACAACAACAACAACAACAACAACAGCAACAACAATATCCCACCCATCTTTACCCCACCTTTCTTCTTCGTCTTCTTTTTCCTCCTCCTCCACCTCTTCTTCTTCATCTTCTTCCTTTCATTTCCATTCCCATTCTCATTCTCATCCCCATCCCTCTTCCTCTTCTTCAACATCATCCTCACCGCCCTCCTCTCCCTCATCCACATCCCCAAAAGACATCCACTTCAACACAAACACACTCCACCACAGAGAACAGCTACCTCCCCCCTCGCGGCCTGTCTTCACCAACACTCACTTCTCTGCTCTGCCCCACCCCTCTCCACAACAACAACAGCAACAACAACACAACCATAACTACAACATCCAGCCCCAGCAGCAGTCCTCTCCTCGTCGCCGCCGACCATCCCCCTCTGCCCGCACCTCAGTCGACACCAAGGCTGACTACAAACACCCTCCCTCCGCTGGTGGCTACATATCCATGGATGATGGTTACTCATCCCAAGGTGGATACTCCTCCCAGGGCGGATTCTACTCCTCTCCTGACGAGTCCAAGTACGCGAGCGGGCCTGGATACAGCAGTGGCAACGGCTCCAATGGCGGACGCAGGAAAACAACCCCCCCGTCCTCCCAAGAACAAAGTCGCGCTCCTATGGAGACCGTCGGCATGCTCGCCAGTATCTCAAAAACACTCAGCGCATGTAAGCAAACACGCATGCCTCCCTTTATTATTTCACATGTGCACACATCAAAAAATAACAACCAAGCAAGCAAATAATCATGCAAGCAACCATGCAAACAACCATGTAGCCAAGCAAGCACATAGTATGATACGATCCCTCTAACACACATCCTCTTTTTTTTTTCTTCTTTTCTCGCCTTCTCCTTCTAGCCATACAACATATACCCCGTTCTCACTCATGGGACACATTGGCCTGATTCTTTACCGTATCATCATGCTCCTCGGCACTCCGTCTCCCTTCCAGCTCGTCTCCTTCACCCATCTCGTCTACCTCACCGACACGGCCTTCCACATCTTCTCCTTGGCCTGGCATCTCCTCCGCTTTCCGAAGCTCGAGCGCATTACCGTTATTTATGGCACCTGGGTTGTCTGGATCGGTTGGGGCCTCGCGATCTGGCTCTCAGATCCGGACATGGAAATCCATCAACAGGAACATCGCGCTGCTTTTGGAATCGGTCAGGATGTCAGGACAACCACCAGCGGTCATCATCGCTTTTGGTCTTACCGACCACAGCATCATCATACCTATGGATCGAACGACAGTATCGACATCAACCAGCTGTTGCCGCTCGCGCCCTTTGTGAAGAAGTACAGCAATTGGTATATTCTCTACATGCCTGTGGCGACCTTTCTGGGCCTGTTGATGTTCAGACGGAACCTCTGGGGCCTAATCTCATGGGAGCATCTGACGAGGATGGATCAGATTGGACAGCTCAAGTACTATCGGGCCTGGTGTCTGTCAGGCGTCGGCGCAGGATGGGCAGTCGCTTGGAGATTCTGTCGGTGGTGGTTTCATGTACCCTACATGCCCATGGATGACCCGACCTTCTGTCGATATGCGTCAGGAAAGAGCTGTCTGGATCTTCTGGAGGCTGCGGCGGCTGCTGAACGATCATCTTCATCTGCGTCCGGGTACTTTGGACATGGTGCACCTACGGTGGTGAGGTACAGGACCGACGTGATCGAATTTGGATTCTGGCCGATGATCCTCTCGAACTTGGTGATGGGCCTGATCCTGATGTGCTGGTGGAGTTTTTGGACCTTCCAGTACCAGGGCGTCGTCTGGCGTGAGGATTTGAAGGAAGGATGGGCGGTTTGGAAGACGACCACTGGTGGAGTTCAGACAGGACTTGTTACAGACGAGGAGCTCCGAAAGAGCGTCAAGGACTGGGCTGGAACCCACCACCATCACCAGCAACATCAGCACCGAGACCACCATAGGACTCAAGGAGGACACGCGAACGGAACAGCGGCATCGCCAACTCATCCTCCATACTCTGGCTCAACGACGCCTTTGCATTCTTGAACAAATAATCCCCTCATCTTTAATGCACATATTCACAACCACTCTTCTTACCTGCGATACCCAAACAAACCCACGCAGCAGGAACTCTCCATTCTCCGCTGTACTCGCTATTGTAGTCCACTTTATAGACACTATCCCACTTAATATGCTTCCACATTGTACAATACAAATTAACAAGCTCAAGCTGCGAATATCATGGTCTCTTTGGTCGGCATTACCACTGTCATCGTTGTCATCATCATCGTTGTCGCCGTCATTACGGTCTCCAGGCCTCTGTTATTCTCTCTTGTGGATAATAAGTGCCTGTGTGTGGCTTCTCGCATCTTAACTGGCTTCTTGGGCTTGTTCTTGCACAGACTGCTCTTCGTGTAGTCTCTGCTCCCGTCTGCTTCGAGTGAGACGCGATAGTAACCATGCGCCGTCCGCTCAAAGTGAGAGCCTCCGCAGTCCAGTCGATCCCAGCCTAGCACGGTGCCCAGTGCGTCGGGTCTTTCGTGCCCTGTCGATCACCCCGAATCTATCAAATTACTTGACACATCAAGTCTGAAAATGAAGATATGAAGAAGCTAAGTGCGCTCCACTCCTCCCACTTCTCTCCCCTTCTTTCTTCTCCACTCCATTCCCTCTGCCACCGTCCCACTCGACCCCTCCATCACCTCCCTCGTCACCAAAATGGTTGCCCTATCCCACCAAAAAAATTTCTTCTAGCTCGAGTGCCTTTGTGCACTTGGCCGCCTTTCGCATGAGTCGTCTCGCGGTCTAGTGGCCTCGGAGCTGAAGAGCTGGCAGACTCGAGGTGAATCATGGCCACCAAAGCACTCTGGCGCTTTGAGTTCTGTATCAAAAAAAATTAAAAAAAAAAATAAAAAAAAACGACCCCAATAAGGTGCACATGAAGCACAGCAATAACTGTCTTGAGCCCTATCTTAGAAAAGAACACGCACCCGAATAAGGAAATCAGCTTAGGTGTCATGTGGTGTACCGGGCGAAGAAGGTTCTCCATAATTACACATTGCTGTGCATGACAGCTGGACGTGCCACATTATCATTCTTTTCTGGGGCGAACAACCTCAGCTCGGAGATGTGTACCGCCATGTGGAGCAAACATACTAGTGGACAGAGAGTAGAAAGCAAAATGCGTCCCTGGCATTTTTTATTTTTTACTTGACCATGGAATGATGGTTGAGCCATACGGGAAATACGGGCAGTAAGCACGAGTTGAAATAAAGATCTCTTGAGGCTGGATATCATCCATTGGAGCTGTCCAGAGTCTACCTGGTGGCGAGCTAGCGAGATCCATTTGTCAGTGTAATCGATTGGGTAGGTGGAGCTATGATCTTGCATTTAGTGCAAGTTCAGTCCGCTGACTACGTCCTTAACAGATGGGCTTTGCACGCTCTCAGGCCTGCACTAAAATAGACGATTGCAGAACAAAGCGATGTAGTGCACCTGCCTGCTTTCGTCAACGAAAAAAAAAAACGGTGCAGGAGCAGAGCGTTGTTTTCTGCAGCAGATGACATGCAGCAATTTGTATACAGCTGGGCAGGGTCGCGACCTTGGCGGTGGTGATAAAAGTGCAGAGAGATATAGTCGAGCGTGGCGTGCATGATCGATGGAGTGAGTATGTTGCAGACCTAGCGCACAGCTGCACAACTAATGATGGTACTGCTAGCGGCTTAGTGTTTCCTGACACTTAGCTTCGCTTTGAGCATTTTAATATCAATATTGCACGCAGCATCAGCGACGACTTTGATTCAAAAGCAATAGCCAGGCCAGGACCAACACCATGTGGCAGGCAAATATTCAATCCAACACTCTCAAGGAAGGCAAAAGTACATATTTGCAGGTCGAGATATCAAGACCCTACCTGGTACCTAACGAGGCAATGCGGTTACAACCATCGACACAAAACGAACTGGTTCAAAGTACGACTTGCAGAACGGATCAAAGTCAAGGAAATCATAGCTGTGGGTTTAGCCCAAGGAAACGCCTGCTCAGCGTGCGAATTTGTTGCATGTCGCTGCATCGTGGGCTCCTTCACGCACGCGTCGATATGCTTGGACAGGAAATTATATTTGAAGACGAAACAGACTACGCCCAAAAGAGTACCGCACACGTTGCAGAGTGATCTGGTTCAGAGTGAATGCAGAAAGCAGCATGAGCGATGCACCTGGCCTGTCCTTATTCCCCATGAACCCTGCTTTTCCCACCCTTGTTTCTTTGTCATCTTTGTAAAGTAAAGCAAAGTAAAGCAAAGTAGAGCAAAGTAAATAGGGTAAGACCCCCCGAAGGAGGCCAAAAAACCCCCAAGGCCAAGAACCCCCAGCTATTTAGCCAGTGGTCAAGCACCTCAAGGGATGCTACGCGCCATGCTGAGCAAGCACGAAGACTTCGAGGGGAAAAAAGAAAGAGAGGTGGATTGGTCTTTTTATACTACACAGGAGGTAGTCACTTAGTGCAACAACTGATCACTGATCTGATCGTTGGACCGCACTGGCCGGTTGACAATTGTGGGACCCTCGATCCAAAAACGCAGCAGTCAATTTGCATGCCCGGAATAGCGCATGACTTCTGTTCATCAGCGCTGTAGAGAGTGAGCTTCAGGCGAGTTTTAACAGCGGTCAAGGAAGGATCCCTCCAGGCACACACGCATATACGCACACAACACACACACACACACACAATCAAACAACGCTGCAGACATCCTGCTTCCTTCACTGCCCCCACTGCTCCACTGCTCTGGACCTTCAAGAGTCGGTTTGCTAATCAACACAGTCCACCGCATCGAACTGGAGTATGAACCTTGACCACTCTGACATCTCATAGTACCTGAGCCCACTCTTTTGATTTGTTTACCTCGCACGTTATTTGACTCTCTGCTTCGCCTATCAGTGTCCCCTGATCCACCTAAGAGCTGCAGTAGCCATACAGCTGCAGCGGACCGCCACAGAGACCAGCAGAATTTCAGAAAGATATGCCTTCAGGGCCCAACCTTTGCTTCCCGTCGACCCTACGATTGTTTATTTAGTATTAAAAAAAATGAAAAGAAAAGAAAGAATAGCTGGTTATAGTCTAGTCGATCCGTTAGCATAAGTGCGATACAGTACATAATTGCCATGTCCTGCTTTCTCACTTACACGGAAGTGCGATCGATAGAGGGCTTTCATTTCAATAACTTGGCCACCCAATCTGCAACCATCCCACATCCACATCCTACCTTCCTGCCGATCTCTGCCTTTCCGAGAGATCTGCGGTCCACCAAGATTCTTGCCCAAGCTGAGAGAGATAACTATGGATTACTGGGTGTTCAGATACGGGGGGGGGGGGGGGGGGGGGGAAAGACATGGGGTGCCATTTAGCTCATTTATCATCTCTAGTCGAAAATGGGGGTTTCTAGTATTATACTGACCGGGTTCACAGCATTAGGCCACTCATTTCATTCCGCCATGGAGCTATATATTCCCAAGTAAAAACCATGCAAACCGAAAACTGATCTTGCGCAGAGCTGCAAATTCAATTGAGATTTTATTATCACCATCCAAGGTCATTTTGAGTGAACTATAAAAAAAAAAGTACCGCAAAGTTGCCGGAATGTTCCCACGGCTGTTATGTTGTTCCTCAAAAAAAAAAGAGAGAGAAAGAGAGAGAGAGAGAAAAGTTCAATCCGACCCGGGGAGGTGTCGTCAGAAGTGATAGGTGACCTCCTTCTCGGTAGTCGTGTAGAGGACTTCGCTCCTCTTGAACCCATTGAACTGACTCGCTGCTGTGATCGTGTACGCGCCCATGTTCTCAAAGTACATCCAGTCCCCAGACTCCAGCAGCGGCAATCGAGTCTTGCTCGTGATGCAGTCGATGCTGTCACACGTCGGACCCCACACCGAGGCCAGTCCTCCTTGCTCCTGCTGCATGTCCTGCATGTAATGAGCATCGTAAGAGAACTCGCCGTCGCGGAACAAGACCTTTGGCTCGCAGATCTGGTGGTCAAACATAATGCAGTTGAAACTGCCATACATCCCGTCGTTGATATAATACATGTGCTTCACCTCCTCCTCGTCCTCGCCCCTGTTCCCGTCCTTGTCCTCGGAGGCGGCAGCAGTAGCAGTAACAGACTGGATCGTGCGTCGGGCAATAACCTGTGTCGCAAGCGTGAACGCCGAGCCCACATAGTACCGTCCTGGCTCTGCAATGACCCTAACTTCAGGTCCGAACAGCCTTTCCACGGTCTGTCCCAAAATCAAGGCCACCTTCTCGAACGTGATCCCCTCCTTCACATGCGCCGATGGGAACCCGCCTCCGACATCCAGGAACTTGAACTCGTAACCGTACTCGATCGCTTGATCAAACACTCGGCGCGCCCGGATGACGGCCTCACCGAACGCCTGAGCATCAAAGCATCCAGATCCGACATGGAACGAAACCCCGATCACGTCCAAATCGAGCTCCCTCGCCGTCGCCAACAATCCCTCCACGGTGTCCAGGGGCGCTCCGAATTTGAGTCCGAGCTTACAAAGGGATTTGGAGTCATCGGTCAAGATTCTCAGGACGAGTTGCGCATTGGGATGGAATCGTTTGATCTTGTGGAGTTCCTCTGCGTTGTCAAAGGTCATCATCCGGACATTGTTCGTGTGCGCGTATTTGACGAACGCGTTCTGCTTGCAGGGATTCGCGTAAATGATCCGTGTGGGATCGACGCCGAGATCGAGGATGGATTGGATCTCGTTTTTCGAGGCACAATCGAACCCAGTACCCAATGAGGCCAACAATCGGAGGACCATTGGGTCGGGGTTGCACTTCATCGCTATTTTAGTTTTTTAAAGGATAAGAAAGGATGGGTTAAAAACGTCATGGGTATGTATGATATAGAGTTAGCTCACGTCAGAAAAAGGACAAAAAAAAAAGTTTCTATGGCGCTTAGATAACGAAATACACACTAGGCAACAAAACAAAAAACACCGTTCCCTTATCAAAATCAATTGGATCCATTGGATCCATTCATGAGTCTAACTCACATAAACAAAAAAACAAAAAAAAACTTACCAAAGAACGGCTCGATACGGGGCAAGAGGGCCTTCCATCGGAGATGCTGTCGATAGACTTCTCCCAGATCCGCGACATAGAACGCACACTCTGCCTCAGCATCATCGCTCGCGGGGTCAAACGAGTTCAAACGAGCCTCGAGCATCTCTGCGACTCCCAATGTCTGCACTTGCGGCAGCTGATCCGACTCTGTAGCAGCGACGGCGGCGGCAGTACGGACACGCGACTTTAGGGCCTCGACCAACGTCGGTCGCACCAACGTCGGGATCACCTCGAATTGCTTCTGCTGATGAGAAATGTCGATCATCGTTGAAGAGAGAGAGAAAGAGAGAGAGTGTATGTGGAGGGGAAGGGAAAGCTGGGGAACGAGCAGCGGGGGGCGGGGGGGGGGGGGGGGGGGGGGGAGATTGGAGAGAGACACAGAAAAGGATCTTCAGAAAGAAAAACTAGAAGGGGAAGCGGAAGTGCAAGCCTTCCCAATATAAAAAAAAAGGTCTTTGGTTGGGATGGGATGGGTTGAAAGTGCAAAAGAGGGTGCGTGCCTGGGTTCAGACTTCAGACAAGACCCTGGGTTTCCGGGAGCCAAGGAGGCGATCGCCGAAAGAGATGGGACCTAAAGTTGCTGTTGCGTAGCGCCGTGATGTTAACTAGCAAACCGAGCGGAGACGGTCTGCTGAGGGTTTGGAAATGGGTGGAAGCCCGTGTAGGAGGACTCTTTTCAGGCGGAAAAGAGGGAGGTGGTGGGTTTGTTAAAAGAAGAAAGCAAAAAAGACAAAGAAGCGGCAGAGAGTGTAGCTGTCCAGTGCAGAGGTGTGTGGAATGGGAAGAAGGTGGGGGAGAGAGAGCGAAGGATAACGAAAAGAGTGGGATGGGGAAGAGTGTGATGGAGTGTTTTGAGTGAAAAAGAGGCGGCAGAGGGGAACGGGCGGGGCAGCCGTTTTTATACGGGCACTAACGCAGAGTTCAGATTACGCTCAGAGTGGGCTGTGGAGTGCTGTCATGCACCGCGTGCGCATCATTAATTGCGGGACTCCAGTCTATTTTTTACTTTTATTTTTTATCTTTTATTTTTTATCTTTTATTTTTTATCTTTTATTTTTTATTTTTCAGCCCGACATGTGCTGTGGCCCCTTTTTCACCAGTGGGGGAATGGCATCTTCTTTCATCTCAGCCTGGGTCCAAGGGAGCGGGGGACCATAATCCTCACCACCATCGCCTCTCTCTCTCTCTCTCTCTCTCTCCACACACCTCTCTTCAAGCTGATCTGCAACAGGACTCTTTGCATCTGGAAGGGCAACCCGGTGTTGTCATAGTAGGGTCTGTGTCCTATCCTGCACTCCGCTTATCTCTCCTCTGCAACAACAGTAGATGCATAAACATTTTTGTTCAAGGGAACTCACCGTTCCTCTGTCAAAAGAAACAAAAAAAATCTCCAGAGAGTACCGAGTCAACATTCGAAAAAAAAAATATAGCATCATCATTTCCTGACGATGTTACTACGAACTGCATACAAACACGCACATAGCATAGACCTTGCGCGATTAACACCTGCATGCGGCATATCTTCAAATTGCATTTGGCGGGTCAGCGTCCTAAACCCCTCTCCCTCTCCTCTGATGTCCCATCGCCGTCCAACTGAACACATTCATTGGCACGCAAAAGCAGCGTACAACGGGAGAGAGAGTGTGTGAGGGAAATATAGACGAAATTGAGTTGAGGCATTTGTGAACGCCTTAACGTAGTACAGGTCCAAGTCGTGCGTCTTTTTTTCTTGGCTCTTTCATCTCGCAGGAACAGGAACCGGCCTGAGTGAACAATTGCATCGGCAGGAGCAATCTTCGGGACATGAGAATCCTTGGAGGGGGGGAAAGACCACAGACGACCATATCAGATTTGTATTTCTCCCGGTGGATAAAAGAGAAAAAAGAAAAAGGAAATACCTGTCCTATCAGCTAGGATAGCAAGGGGATGCATAGAGTAGATGGTTCCTATCTCCCCTGCCCTTTTTTTTCAACCACTCCTATGGTCAACCGTTATCAAGGAATGGATATTCAGCCTTGCTTTCTTTCTGCGTTCACACTCTTTGACTGACCCGAAAGCCTTTTGGAAGTACGGTTTGCCGGGGCACGTGCGTTTGCTGTCCAAAAAAATCGATGATGGGATATAAATGAACGTCGATCCGCGTTTTCGTGTACAAATGTCCGTGCGCAAACAGTTGCTCTCAAGATTTCAACGCAGACATTCCAGTTCGAGAGCCCGGTTGATTTCGCATCCGGTGTTGACGAATGACAATCGACGTGGAGAGCGCCATGAGGGGGGCCAAGGTCTACACCAATCTAGTATATGTAACTGTCAAAGGCTTCTTTCTTTTCTTTTCGTACAATGTATCGAGTCATGAGCAGATAGATGGATTGCCCGATCCATTCAGATTCATATCTCACACCAGTCAGTAACCGTCAATGCGAATCGGTGCGAGCACCAGTCAACGCCACTACTGAGTGATCCACTCAATCCTTGCCCTCATCGATGCTCATGTCTTCGTAATCGCCATCCCTCATCGCTCTCATCCTGCTCCGCCTCCATGGACCTCCTCAGCACCATCCTCAGAACAAGGATTCAGCACCCTCCTCACAAGCATTTGCGTCGCAGGCGTGAACGTCCTGACCACATAATACTGACTGCTCAGGCTTCCTCATCACCCGGACCTCCGGTCTAAAACATCCCATCCATCCGGTCAGAACACCCTCTGCAACCTTCTCCGACGTAATTTCCAGTTCCGACGTCGTTTTTGCGCCGAGAGGGGGGGAACCCATACTCCTTTGCCTGTTCAAACATTCGTCGAACCTTGTTCTGCCGTAATCCCTAAACGCGCTCGCGTCCAACCATCCTGGAAAGTCCACATCGCCTACATCTAAATCCGAGCTCCTTCGCGGTCACGAATAACGCACCCATGACACCCGGGCATACCCCCGAATTCCATTCCCGAACTTGCTGAGCGATTTTTGAATCGTCTGCCAGGATCCGAAGGATCGTATGAACCTTTTTTTGGAGCTCATCTCTGCATCATTAAAGGCCGGGAGATATACACGGCGAGCATGCGCACGTATTTGAGCTTGACCAATGGGCTTGCAAAGGTTTCGCGTGGATAGTTTTTTGTAGGAGTTAAGTAAGTACCTTTAAATACCTTGGTTCTGGTAGAAAAATACACGGTTTTTTAGTAGAGGATGGGTTGCTTGTTTTTTTTTTTTGGTTGGATGCGCTGCTTGGTGGAGGATAGAATCAATACAGATGGGCCGGTATTTATACGCGGCGCCGGATGGGGAATCATCGATATCTTCAGACGGAAATGAGTTTCCCTTTGCCTCGATTTCCCCAGAGATGGAGCGGGGTTCCCCCCTGTCCGACATTATTCTTGCTGCCAATTACTGAATCGGATCGATTGGCTTCCAGGCGCGAATGCCTTGAAGGCCCTGTGGTCACTTTTGGATCTTTGGATCTTCGTAGAAACTCCCCGAGTCTGGTAACTAATCCCTTAAAAAAAAAAAAAAAAGAGACAGACGCAACATCCATAACGGTTCATACGCGCCATAAGCATCATGACGATCAGGCTCGTAAAAGTAGACATTCGCTGATCGGCGGTTTTCAGCTGTGTATGTGTTTGTATTTTCTAATAGTCTATAGCTAAAGCTCAATGGAGTCGATGGGCATCATCCAGGCGTACAAGACACATTCGCAAAGCTCCTCTACTCTGCTTTCTACTACAAGCGCTACCTTATCCATGCTATGTCATCCATGAAGTGTTGTCCTCCCATCCGCGACGAAACGCCACAACCAACTCCGCTACATTTGCCTCTGCAGTCCTGTCCGATACCTAGCACCCCCAAGTCGGACGAGCATTGCATAAGGGAGGTGAATGCAAACATTTCCGTGAGCACTCAAGTCAGCTTACCGCAGCGTCGTATGCTCTATGAAGAGGTCTGTCCTATCGAAGTTCTGGACCATAGAGCTTTTTTCCCTACGCGACACGAAGGTACAGAACTCATTGAAGAAGTCATAGAAGGCTTGGTCAGTATTTGGCCTTAGTTGGTGGAAGCGACGGTGGATCGGATCTCTTTGATAGTGCACCCGCCAGACGGGCAGTCGGTGCACCCAATGGACATCTCTCCGCGCCAAACGGGCAGTCCGGAGAGTATGAGGAGACACACTCACGGAGTCCACCAAGTAAAGGGCGATACTTACCATGATGCACCCGCCAGATGAGCAGTCGATGCACCCGATGAGCATCTCTCCGCGCCAAACGGGCAAACCGGAGAGTATGAGGATAGGAGACATGTCGTTGTGGCACTTGTACCATTCTCATCGAAGATATTGGTGCCCCCCCCCCCCCCCCCCCCCCCCCCGACAACCAGGGTTGACAATGATAAGTCTCCATGACATCCTCACTAAGCTCATCGAAGAGTAAAAGAATAAAAGCAACAAAGACACTTACCTTGATGCACCCGCCAGACGGGCAGTCGATGTACCCGATGCACATCCCTCCGCACCAAACGTGCAGACCGGAGAGTATGAGGATAAGAGACATGCCACCATGGCGTCAAACGGGTTGACAGCGACAAATCTCTATGACACCCTCACTAAGTCCATCGACAGCAAAAAAAAGCATTCTTCAAACCGTACCTTCATAGTCTTGGATGTGCAGATGGGAAAGGCGTGTGGTGGCGTGGCGGCATCGCAAAAATATGTGTAGTGTGGCTGAGACCACACCAACACGTCTCAAAAGCCCCAATCAACCTGTCTTCCCACGGAGGCAGGGACCCTATCCGACAGGAACCCTATTCAACAGGAACCCTATTCAATATGGTGACTACCGAGAACTTCACCGTATCGCCCAAGTATGCGGGAGACCCAACAGAGACGTTACCTCAGCGACTCCTACTGAGATGCCCCTACCTGAAGACAATACCGATCTCCAACTGGGACATACAAGAGTATATGAGGAACGGAGGCGACCCCAGGCTTCTGCTGGATAATCTGCTTGCACTCTCGAAGAACAAAAGTCTGCCTCGAAACATCCGAAGATTTGCCTTTATCTTCCACGGCCACTTTACAGGCGACATGGGTGAAAAAAGGCTTCGTATTCTCAGGAACAAGTTGAAGGATATCGTCGATAGACGCGTCATCGAAGGGAACGAGCTGACAGCAGCTCAGGACAGAGTGATTGACCGGCAAGAGAGAAACAAGGTCGGTCAAGAATGAAGACTTCCGCTTGTCCATTCCAAGTACTGGGTACTAACTTCTGTCTATACCAACAGACGGCGCCAACCATGGCCCCCGAGGCAATAGGCATTGAACCTGAACTTCTCAGCGAGACTGAGGTTCAGTCAAGCGTCATGTCTGAGGTAGAAGGTGATGCCGAAACTAGAGTTCCACGTCCTGGCATGGCCAGTATGAGTGCCACGTTGCGGAGCAACACCAGCGGCGGCGTCTGTACATGCTTCTCTTTCGAGCAAATCGCAATGATCCATATTTCATACTCGGACAAGATGAACGACAGCTGATTCTGTAATCTCTATTTATTCAGGGAACGGATGTCCCTCCAAGCGGACAGCCAGCATTCAGCCTGAAAGAGCTAGTAAGTATAACTGTTACCTCTACTTAGGTTAAGGTTTCTCTAATAAAAGATATACTCATAGTCTACTGGACACATTTCCTTCATTTTTCTTCAAGAGAAGCGCACGAGTACAAACCAAGTAACGACAAGGCCGATGTCATCTACTACAGAACCGCATCCAGTCAATGCCTTTCCTGTCCTTCTGCAACTGTACTGCTTGCCATGTTTTTTTTTTTTTTTTTGAACGGTTTCCTCTCCTGCGATTGCTTTTGATCATAACATTCTCTGTCGGCCTCTGAATACGCCACCAATGGACAAAATCCTCCCAGTAGCAATGACAGTGTCGACACTGATGAGGTCAACGACCTTATGGACAAAATTACGCCTATATCGCACAGTGAGTGCGACACAGTAAGCGTTGCAACCGGTGTTCGCTGTCATTAACGGCTCGCATATTTCAAAGCTGCTCACTTCCTCTTCCGCCTAATCTAGTGGGTTGTGGACGATGACCAGTGCGTAAGCTGCCTGATCGATCGATACCAGAAGGATGCCATTCAGGCATTGCGTCGTCGAGAACTAAAAAAATCGGATCCAGCCGACACAATGTGAGAAACTCCCTGTTTTCATGTAAAATGACCATAGGTAAAAGCCTCTCTTCGGCTAATCGCTTCGACCTCTTCACGTTCAGGATCCTCGGAGGGACTTTCGCACCGTGGCATCCAACAGATCGAATGGTTAAAATCTTTACTCATTGACGTCTGAAGAAGATCCAAGCGTCACTGAAGAAAGATTTGGATAAGATCGATATCAACGATAGCTGCATTCAGAACGCCATTCGGGTAGGTCTTCCTCCACCTGGATGTGATGGATGGAAAGTTGCAGACGTGCCAACTTACGGAACTGCTATCATTTGCCTACATATTCATCATTTGTTCTCAGTACAAGATGAATGACGATCCAAGCATGGCGGTTCAGGAGCTCGGCGCATTGCAAGATTATCGACTGAGGATGCCCTTTGAGCAGCTGTACGTTTCAATGAGTGTGTCCTGTGCATCTTCCAACAATTGTCGGACCACGAATGCTAATTCTGGGTCTCTTTCTTGCTTTCTCTCTTTCTTTCCACTTTCATTTTCTTTCTCTTTCTGTCGAAATTTCCATAGAATCATGAACTTACCGCGCAAGGAACTGGAGGAGCAGTCGGAAGAAACGCTGGTGGCAAACATTGTCGCCCCAATCTTGAGCACGTTTCTGAACCACGTCGACGATGACATCCACACACACTTGTAGGCCACATCTTTGTGTCTTTGTTTACTCTTCAGTCTTTGGTGGCTCTAACTGACTATTGCACTGTGAACTTCGTAGTTCCAATACGGAATCGAGCACATAGAGGAAACAGGGCTTCAAGGCGGACAAACCCGATTTTAAGGTCATGATTGGGAATAAGGAGACTTCCTTTGGTGAAGTGACCGGACATTGCCAGAGAGGTGACAAGGCCAAAAACGATTGGGATTTGTGGCGGTTGGTGAGGTTCGGAAAGAGCGTGCTCGATGAGGGTGCACCAATGGTCTCGCTGGTGCAGATCATTTACGACGAGGGCACACTTTACCAACATTTCGTGAGGATTCGCGGAATTATGGTATTGGCGGAGGTAGGGGTTTTCACGATCCCAATGCACCTGAACAGCATTGGGTCGCTTCAAGCATCCCTGCCTGTCCTGTACTGATACCAGGTAACGATATATCAAGACTGATAAGGCACATCGCTGACCCATCTAAGGACACTCAACCGACATTGATCCTGTCCCTAGGGCGCCATCAAGTGGCTCGAAAACAATCAGTAATGGCAGAAGAGGTCGTGGAAGGCAGCTGATTTGCTGAACATCAAGAAATACCGCTGCTGGTTTGTTGAGCATTAAGAATTACCGCTGCTGACTCGCGACAGAGTCAACCTGGAAAGAGATGTTGTTGCGGTGCGCCATTACTGAATAAATGCTGATACACCAGAATCAACCACTGCCTATTGGTAAAAAAAAGGGGGCAGCGTTCACAGGCAAGGTGTGCAATTATCTTGACGAAAAGTACTTTGAACCAACCTGGACCAGAATGCAAAATTCATTCGTATAAATCGAGGATCTGTAGGCAAAAGTTCTTTGATGGTTTTCATGGTAAAGGTGTGAGAAGGTGGATGGCATTCTATTGATGGCTAAGTGATCATTTATTGAACCTATCTAAAGCGAATATAGCCAGCTTTGGGCTGGGCTAAAACTTTGAGTGTACTATCGCTGGTTCTTTGTTTTGTGTCGCGGACTCTAAAGGCAAAGCAGATCTAATTATACAGCGCTGCGCCCAATGCAAGCCTCCTTCTACTGCAACCTTCCCTTCCCCTCCTCATACCTTCCCCTTCCATCCCAACGCGACTCTAAAATCAATCTGTTCTACAGGCTGCACTCTAGTCTAAAAAAAAAAAAAAAAAAAAAGAAGCCTCCAGGCCAGATTACCAACCGAGAGCGCTCATCAAAGCGTAGCCGAGGGTCACAATCGTCGCGCACGCCACAACACTCGAGGGAACTCCGACCTTCAAGAAGTCGCCAGTACTCAAGTACTGCTGACCCATCTCATCCTCCATCATGATCGCATTCATGTTGGGGAAACCAGAAACAGGCAAGCCCATAGCACCAGAGCACATCAATGCGGCCGACTATGGTATTCACAGGAAAGGAAAAAAAATAAATATAAAGACGATGCTGTCAGTTTAGAGAACTAACTGACTGTTCCAAACAAACGACAGGAAAACTTCATTCGTTTTACTTACCATGACCAACAGGCGCGGGTGAGGATCGGGCAGAGTGGCGCCCACTTGTGCCACAATCGGCAGGATGATTAATGCGCCAACAGTATGAGAGATGAAGGTCGCAACCACAAGAACTAATGCTGCAAACACGCAGCAGACCTCGAACGCCGACATATCCTTGACATATCCCTGAACCGCCATTGCAATGACGTGCAGCAGGCCTGATGACTCCACAGCCTTGCCAAGAGCAATGCCTCCCATCGCGAGAATGATGACCGTCCACAAAAAGTTGTTGAAGTCCTCCTTCGTAAGGATACCGGTTCCAAAGAACGCGAGTAAAGGAATGATGGCAATCAGACCCATGTCTCCAAACAGCCACTCGAGGCGATGTTCAAAGCACCAGAGCATAATCGTAACACCGGTGACGGCGCACACAAAGACCTGAGTCCCCGTAATCGGATCTTTGGTCGAGCGGATCGTGCTGATCGTCGGCGTGTTACTGGAAGGCTGGTAGACCCAGAGCAAGAGCGCCCAAATCGCCAAATCGCAGACCAGGGCCACTGGCAACGCGATCACGAACCATTCAAGCCAGCTGGGTGCAGGGCTCATGTACTCGATCGCGATGATGTTTTGGGGTGAGCTGATCGGTGATGCCATACCGCCCACATTCGAAGCCAGAGCAATACCCAGGATCAGACACTTTGCGAACGAAGATCCTGGAGGCAGCGTGCGAAGGATGGGCTACGCAAGATAATTAAAATGAAGCCGTAAGTGACATGTACACGGATGTCAACAAGATTCGCGGAAGCGTTTTTTTTTTTTTTTGCTGTTGTTTGTTACCTGGATTAGGGAGAAGCAGAGAACCGGAGCAGCCACATTGCTAATCCACATACTCGCAACAGTCGCGACAAGCATATTGGCCAACAGCACAGCGCTTGGACGGGTTCCCGCCTTGGAGAGGACAACCGTGGCCATGGCCTTGGCAATATGGAATTTGCTCATGGCTGCAGCCACGGCGAATCCTCCGAGAAGCAGCATGATCACAGGAGAGAACATGAGCGAAAAGATTTTCTTGGCTGCCGCGCGAGAATCCAGTCGCGTGTGATTTTCATCGTCTGCTCGCATCACACGCAGCATTACGACCAAAAGCGGGACCAATAGTGAGGTGACAAACAAGGGCATGGCCTTGAATATACAAGAAAAAAAAAAAAAAAAAAAAAGACATTTCAGGTTAGTGTTGTGTTCGCTGCATCTTGCAGTGGTGTGCATGCTGCGCAAACAATGCCGATAGTACTGCGTAGGGCTGCACAGATCAACAGATCCCGTAAGGGAAAGCACGTCAGATCTCAAATCAGAGACATACCTCAGTTGCCCAGAGCAACGATGCAAAGATGAGGATGGCAAAGCAGTTCTGTTGCTCAGGATCCTCAAACAACTCCACGTTGAGAAGAACAGCGAACACCGCGCAACAAAAGACCATCACGAGCGTATCCCGCGTGACAAACTCTGGCAGCTGGAAAGCACCGCATGGGGTGTTGAATGTGATCGGTTCCTTCTTGAGTTCGGATGAAGGTCGGACAGCGACAGCCTGGCTCTTGCGTTCCATGCCAATCATGTCTCGCCAGATCGTGTTGCGCTCCCAGACCATATGCTCCTTGAGATGCATCCGCAGCGATCGCTTGGCAACTTCGAGATCATTGTTGGTGAAGATGTGTGCGTAGATGGCAGTGACGCGATCGATCTGTTCTTGCAGCTTGATAGTGGTCTCTTGCTTGAAGGGGTATGCTTGGAGGACGACCTGGTTCATGTAAACCTTTTTGGTGTTGTTCTCCGAGATCTTGTCGTACTTTTTCAAGATCTTTGAGAACCCGGTACAGTTGAGCTTAACATAGGCCTGCAGTTCCGACAGGTTGACGAACATCTCGATGCAGTTGTGACGATAGCGCATTCGCTCGTGCTCCATTTCGGGTTCGAACCACAGGCTCCTGGTATCTTCGTCCTCGTTGTCGTCCTCCTCGTACTCTTGCCCCTGTTCTGCCTCGGGGTGCACCTCCGTGGCCGTGAGGTCCGATGGTCCTGCTTCGTGTCCATGCCCGTGTTCACTAACGGTCGCTGCTGGATTGGGAGTAGCGTCTTCTGCAGACTTTTGTGCAGCTGCATTTGCAAGTGCGACTGCTTCATCATAACGCCAGCTGCCAGAGCGTCCCAATTGAACCGATCCGCGGCTTCCCCTGCTGTTGTTGCGAGTCCTGGTCCTGCGTACGTTGCCTCCGCTTACGGTCTTGCCTTGATTAACGATTCCCGAGCTCGCCAATCGCCCCGTTACAACTGGATCAAAGTTCTCGACAAACTCGACATCGACGGCCAATGCCTCGACCTCAGAATACAGCTCACGCTCTTTTTTGTAGTAAAAGGTTACGATTTTTTCGAGCTCCTTATCAAGGGCGGGCAAGAACAGATTGTTGGCTCTAGTCTTGGCCTGAGCGCGCCTGCTTGTGGAGAGCAGCCCGGATCGTTCATTGGGTTCGGCCTGTCCCGACTCGATATCGCTGCTGGAGGGAGCACCGGCAGCAACCAAGTCCTTTTCGACCTGGTAGATGATCTTTTTGAGGTTTGAATACCTAGAGGGTCCCAACAAAACACAAAACGCAAAACACAAAAAAACACCGACGCAATTGTTTGTGTTTAGCGAATGGTTAGACAGGATATTAACTCGTGCTAAGGAGGGCGGCGATCGTTTGCGTTGCGCGCTTGTGTCATTGTGTCGAGACTTACGCCAGATAGTAGTCGGCCCATTCGGGCACGACATTGAATTGCAGCTGATGAGAGAACTTCATGCTGGCGATACTTCAGGCCGAGAGATCGCCAAAGAGAGTGGGTAGTGTCGCTGACGTGCGCTCGAGGTGTTGTTGTTACTGCTGAGGAGGAAGGGGGTGTTGCGGGTTACTGGGTGGTGCAGCAACAGTGCAGAGGGATGAATGGAGAGGTCCAGATATACGGAAGGGGAATGAGGCCAGGGAGCGAGATTAGAATGAAGAAGAAAGAATGGAATGGAGGAGTGGGAGGAATGAGGAGGGGAGAGGGGGGAGGATTTAGAAAAAAAGATAAGAGTGATTCGATTGGTGTGAAACAATGCCAAAGTAGAAGAAATATATAAAAAAAGGGTCTCCCCTCTGTTACTGCGCGACATCTAATTGCACAGCGCAGGTGGGATAATTGCCTTTTAAGGAAAGGGTGTTGGCATTGGTCAAACGAGGCTGGTTGACCATGGCCAGTCTTTTTTGAATAAAAGGGGGTCTCCATTTGTTTTGGTTGCCTTTTCACCAAAAAGCTCTCTTTGCTCTGCTTTCAGCATCCAGTCTCTTTCTCTCTCTCTCTCTCTCTCTCTCTCTCCTCACTCCTTGTCCCCCTTGCCCCCTCCCTCTCCCTCTCCCTCTCCCTCTCCCTCTCACACCTTCATCTGTCTCACATTCCTTCTCTACAGCTTGCACACCTCTAAATCCACTCCTGCTCTCTCCTGAACACAGCCGTCAGCTCGGACATGTCCTTCTCCTTCTTGCCCCAGACTGCCTCCTCCACCTCCATGTCGCACCCACTCTCCTCCCCCACAACCCTCAAACGATCCCGTCTTGTCCGCACCCAGACCCCAGTCCCTGATAGCTTCTTCTCCAATCCCGCTCCGGAAGAAAACACCCTCAAGGCCCAAACTTCTTCCAACACCCTCGTCAACCGCAACATGCTCCGCATGGGCACCTCCCTCTTCTGGGACCTCGTCGGACAGCACGACGACAACAGCAACAGCAACAGCAACAACAGCAACAACGACGATGGTGACAATGACGACGACTACGATGACGAGGATGATTCCGACAACAGCGCCAGCGACAACAGTGATAGCGACAGTGATAGCGACAAAGACGAAGACGACGACAAAGCCGATGAAGATGAAGACGACAACGAGCAGGATGGCAGGGAACGCAGCCCCGCCATTGTAGACCTCAACAGCAGCAGCTCTCTGCCCACCGCATCTCTCTCAGGCTCCCCTCCATCATTTGCTATGCAGGCCAGCAAGAAATCCAAAAGGGTTAGGATCGACGCCTCAGCTGCCCTTTCGGGCAAGCGAGTCCGATTTGACGAATCCAGGAACACGGTCCATCTGCACTACCGCAACAGCAGCATCAGCCCTCCAGATAGCCCCGAGATGGTCCGTTCGCCCTCCGCCACCGACCCCACACGACCGCTTGTCTCTGCACTGTCCCCTCGCCGTTCCCAATCCACCTCAACACCGCCACTCGACAGCCACTTTGAGCTCTCGCTCGAGAACACCTCTCAGGAGGTCATGGACTTTGCCTCCAGCCTCAGCCGACTCATGGGCGGTGCCAGCGCCAATAGCGGATCCCAGGACTCGACTACCAGCAGCAACAGTACCTTCCTCTCGCCCACATCCAGTCCGTCGCCCCTACGCTCCTTCGCCATGTTCCAGGGTGCCCCTCCATCACCCGTGCGCCCCTCGTTCATGTCCGCATACTCTCCACCTTCCTCGTCTTCTCTCTCATCCTGCTGGTCGCCCATTATGGACGATGACGAAGACGATGACGAAAACGAAGACGAGGAGGACGATTCCATGGACGGAACGGCATCCGCAAAGCGTCCGCTTTCCCCCACTCGCCCTGCGCCAAGAGTAAGGACGCCCACGACCTTCCAGTCAAGACGCCCTCGCCACTCGCTCGCCGGTAATGCCGCTGCTGCCGGCAACTCCTCTCCGAGACCAAGACTCCCCGCTATGCTCAAGCGCGAGGCCTCGAATGCCTCCTTTTTGGACTCGTACCCAGCCAGCTTAGCCCCAGACGAGCCACCGTCTCATGAGAATTCTACAAGCCCTGTGATGGCTAGCGGCGGTAACAGCAGCAGCAGCAGCATGGCCCATGCCACTATCGCGACTGCTGTGCTCAACACCCCCATGTCATCGTTGCCGGATGACAAGACTGTCTCCTTTAATTCCTTGCAGACCTCCCCAGAATCTCAAGCCATGTAGATCTACTTATTGCTACCTATTCCTGTATCATACATTTGCTTTCCCTTTTGTTTCCACTGTATCATTACCATTACCATTACCCATTAGAATAGATGCCCATACCCTTTTCCTCACCCTCCTCCCTCCCCCCGCCCTTACTCAAGAGCAGTAATGCTTCGGAACATTCCTGCAACAACTAAAAACAGTTCAATAAAAAATAAAAATGACCCGAAGGTGCGTATTAAAAAAAAAAACCATTGTTTTGCATGTACCAAAAAAAAAAGGTGGCAAAGCGGCGGCTGTTGCGCTCATTCGGTTCTACGCTTTCTATGGAGTGCTAGCCATTCACCATATTTAGCAAAAGTCGAAGGCTTTTTCTGTTGCGCGCCGATGTTGATGCTTTCATTGTGCACGAATGAGGTTAAAGTACATACAAATACATATATATATATATATACATTTTTTTTTTATTGGTTGCCGATGGAAAGAACACATATGTGCAATGCGAAAAAGCGATGTTAGCAAGGTAATGGGGGGAGAGGGGCCCGTAAAAGCGAGAGATCCTGAGTTCATCATCCTCATCCTCATTCTCATGATGAACTCATCCAAGGCACGACCGTCGTCCTCGATGCAGGGTCGACCTCGTCACCAACACTGACCAGTCCACCGGCCCTCTCTGGCCCCAGGATGCACTCCTCCAGCATGATCAGTTGCGATACAAATCCAATGTTGGGCGACATGATCCGGCGGCGCTTCACCATATGGTCATAGGCCTTCTTGAGCGGCCAACGACATTCCTGAATCAGATATCCGATCACCGTCGCCACCGATCTGGATTTCCCTGCTTGACAGTGCACATAGACTGGCTCCGTGGATGATGCTATGAAACGAAGAATGAAGACATTGTACATGTAGACAACATGTCCAAAAATAAACATGCATTGTCAGGGTCAAATGAACCTTAAATAGGCACGGGAAAAAAAAGGGAGAGAGGTCTAAAGGAGCATTCATTCTTACCGATGAACTCGATGGCTTTGTTCAGCCCCTCCTTCAGGTCCTGGTCAACATGATCCAACAGTCCGATCTTGAGGTAGCCCTCTGTGCCAAACCGCCGGATCCAGAGCTCATCATCGCAATTGATGGCCATATTGAGGACCCTCTTGATGCCCAGGCGTTCCAGCTCCAGGATCTGCTCCTCCTCCACGAGCTCGCCTCCGACGAACAAAAAGTTGTCTAGGATCATTGAAATCTCACGTTCAGCTTCAGCATTGTCCTGTAGATGTGTCGGCAGTTTCGAAGAAGAACTCGGTCTTGATCCTAGTCCTGACCCAAACAGGGGTGGTGATGTCCCGCCGGAGGCATTCGACAGCACAGAGGAAGGAGAAGAGGCGAGGGATGAAGAGAACGGTGGTTGTGATCCAGAATTGTATGTCGAATCCTGAGGAAATGACGAAGACGATGAGGCAGTGGATGAGAATTGCATCGATGACGAAGCTCCTGGAAAGACTCCTGATTCCGTGAATCCTCCATGTCCTCCTCCACTTCCTGTTCCTCGCTGTCCTCTTTCTCCCCATCCTACGGCCCCCTGACCTTCTGCTGCTGCTGCGGCAGCCGCTGCAGCCCTGGCTCGTGCGACAGCAATGGTGGAATAAGATGGCGAAGAAGGCGAAGCCAGAGATATGGATGTACTAGGATTAAAGTTTAAGGATCCAGTCGACAGGTTGAAGGACGCCCGCCGCGAGCTGGCGGTGCTGGCGCTGCTGGTTGGTTGAGAGAGTGATGATCCCAGGGAGTCATGACTATCTCCCAATTGGCTATTGTTGCTCCCATTCTGTTGTCTCTGTAGATCAGCGTTGTTTGCGTTGCACGAGGAGGGGTCTGCTGTGAGGTACGAGGACTGTTTAGGCGGAGTGATGCTGAGGGTCAGACTGCCGGTGTTTGGGTCGTTGCAGTTACTGTTGCTGTGGGTGGCGGCGGCGGCGGCGGCGGCCTGCTGATTACGTTGTTGCTGCTGCTCGCGCAAGGAGAGCCCTGTGCCGGCGCCATGGACTGGGATATTTCTGCTGTCCCGTGCGGTGGTAGCGAGAGCAGTGTTTATACTGCTGACTGTGCTGCTTCTGCTCCTGTTCTTGCTCCTGCTCCTGCTCTTGGTTCTGCTTTGAGGACGTCCATGTCCATGTTCAAATCCAGGGTGATTGTGGCTGAGGCTGTGCTGGTGGTGTTGATGGTGGCGTTGGGGCTGGCTCTGGGGTTGGCTCTGGGGCTGGCGAGGGCCCTCTGGATCCGGCGAGGCGGACTGCAGCCGCTTTCCGTTCTGGGCCAGCTGAGGCATAGGGACCGGGCGGGCGGTGGAGGTGTCCATTGGATACGATATGCAAGGGCCTGCTCGTGCTTGCGGAGAGTGAGAAGGATGGGAGAGAGAGAGAATGAGTGAGTGAGTGGGGGTGGGATGTAGGAGTGAGCGAGAGAGAGAGAGAGAGAAAGAGAGAGAGAGAGAGAGAGAGTGGGAGTGAGAGACAGCAAAAAATGGAGGGAAAGCCAATTGCTTCGTGCTTATGTAGGACTGCAGCAGCAGGACCAGCCAGTGAGATCATCTTGTTTTTATTTTCGGACCAATGCGTGCCCTGGGCTACATTACATTCATACGCACCACTGCCTATCGACACCATTGGCTGGTCCATAGCCCGGTCCATCCCTCCATGGCACTCCCCCAAAAAGAGCAGGGGCTCAGCTCCCCATCCGTGCCATCACTCGGCCCCCAAAGCACAAACACCCTCATCCGTCCTCCATTCACTCGCTTCGTTTCCGAGGCCAACCCTTTTCTTCTGTCTCGTTGTCCTCCTTTGACATCCTCGCCTTTTTTTTTCTTTTTTTCTTTTTTTCTTTTTTTCTTTTCTTTTTTTCTTTTTTTGCTTTTCTAAAAATAACACAAGGAAGACGAAGAAAAAGCAATCGACCCCCCATCATCCCATTGTCAAGAAAAAAAAACACTCTCCTTGTCAAACCAACCAATCCCTAATCCACAGCACACACAGCGGCCCATTCGAAACACAGCACACGACTCACAAATGGAATCCACATCTCCCGACGACTTCGCTGCTACCGCCACGGCCGCTACAGCATCCACGTCCCCTCTCCAGGCCACACATCAGTCATCCTTCAGCTCAGAGTCATCCTTCGTGATCGCACCAAGCAGGACATCCACCTCCTCCAACAGGGATTCCCTCAGTCTGCGACCGACCTTTATGGAGAAGTAAGCACCCAGCACCTTTGGACGCCGCGCCGCAGACGCGAAAAGAAGGGGAGAAAAAAAAAGAACGCGTTCTGACAGTGAGCGCGATGAGAACTGACACCGAATCCACGCGCCCCCCTCCCTCCTCCCCTCCCAAAAACACACACACATGCATGCATACACAGGTTCCGTCCGCCTGTCGCCACAAAGTTCATGCAACAGATCCTCCAGAGTCAACTCCAGAACAAGATCTACCATGCCGATGAGGCTCAGAAACTGTCCAAGATCATCGCCGAGGACATCAAGGCGAAACTGATCGGTAAATACTTTCTGAACACTGAATATCGCCGACCGAACGCCACAGCACATTAAACCCCCCGCCCCCCCTAGACTGACATCTGTTACTGACACTGACACGCGCGCGTCTCGCTCCCCCACTCCACTCCCCACTCCTCCTCATCCCCTCTCTTGTGACAAATTCCTCTTTTTTTTTCATCTCCCGATATCTGGTTCAACCCACCTCCCCCCAGAGCTTGAACTAGGCAGATACAAGTACGCCGTCAATGTCGTCCTCGGAGAGAACCTCGGTGGGGGCGCAAGGATGGATGCCCGCTGTCATTGGGACCAGGAATCCGACGGCTCCGCACAAGCATTCTTCACCAACGTAAGCGTAGGAGGCTAAATGGACTCCTTATTGCTTGTTTCCATGTCGTACCGTGCCTGTTTGCCTTTTTAAAAAACAACCAAAAAAAAATTAGCACCCTTGGAAATTTGCTGTGCTAATCATCACGAATTTCAAATTCTGTGTTTTCCTTCACCATCCTCTTTTGTTCCTGCGCGATACCTAAAACGGATGGGACTACTCTTAGGACTCGCTGTGGTGTGCTGCAGTGGCATTCGCCGTCTTTTACTACTAGGAAAAAAAAAGGACAAAGCAAAGCATGATCTTGTCCAATAAATCAATATACCAGGGCATCAAGATAGAAAAAAAAAAAAAAAAAAAGAGCGAAAACTTTTGCACAGTTACTGTGGTGTTCCAGGACATTGCTTATTACCGGAGCATTGGAGGGCTTGCTTATTACCGGAGCATTGGAGGGCTTGCTTATTACCGGAGCATTGGAGGGCGGGCACTTGAGGCAAGCTTCTGGATGACAATGCAGGTCGGTCATCGAGTTACAGGACAGGATCCGTTTGGGTCGTGAGGATTGGGCGGGCCGAAGGGCGATATCAATAACAACAAAAATGCGAAAGATGACAATGATGACAAGAAGAAAAAAATTAAAAAAGAGAGAGAGAGAAAGTGAAATAGCATAAAGAGAGAGAGAAAAAAAAAAGAAAAGAAAAAAGAACCGGCCATTGCGCGAATGTACCGTCAGGAACGGGAAGAATTGGGCGCAAGAGGGTCTCAGCATGCTCTTCTCATTTCATGCGCTCGGAGGGGCATGCAGGATTTCAGACATCGGCTACTGTTGATTTCATTGGCACCATTGCACGCGCTGTGTTCTTCTGGACCATTCATGCACATCGACCGCTATAGACGACAAAGAATGAAGGTCGGGGGCGAAATAGAAAAAAAAAAACCTGATGACACAGGCAAGGGAAGGAAAAGATAAGGAAGATAGGAAGGAATGTGTGAGAGAAAGGTAAAGGAAAAACCACAAGAATAAGAAAGAGCGCTCGAATGAACTAAAGTAAGCGTTTTCTTTGATGAAAGAGGGAGAGGCTGTCGGATTGGAATCAACAGAAGGAGTGGTGCCAGACGCGACGACGCGGTCGAAAAGTGCAAACTAAAGAGGCATAGAAAGACGGGAGAAGAATAGCGTGGGCCATGCATGGGTCAACCTCGACTGTCAATGGTCCTTTAGGAACGCGCTTGGATATTTGCGTCATTTTCTCCGCTTCCCGAGGAGAACCCTTGAGGAGGAAGGGCTACCCTGTTCGGGGCTGTCTCTTGTTCGTTTCGACAATGGTCCATCCTCTGACCATTGGATCCAGGCTTTTTTGCTTAGCTCCGCAGCGAAGATAAAGAAAAAAGCACAAAACGGCAGGGAAAGACGACTCAAAACACTGAGGAGCAGATGTCTGCATCTCGGTCAAGGGCCAAACCTTCAATGCAAAAAAAAAAAAAGAAAAGGGCAGAAAAACGGTGGCAAATAGGGACAAGGGAGATCAAATCGTCTTGGCAGATAGATGGGCGTTTCTAGATGTCGCCTCTTGAAGCTGCAGGAACCCCGTTCCTCCCATTTGTATCGTAGTCTCCCCGACAAACCTTTCCTTACCTTTACCGACTCTTCTATACACGCATACACATACGCGCATTTGTTGTCTCTCCGTAGTTCCAAAAATGACGGATGTTAACATGTGGACGAAAAAAAAAAAAAAAAAAAAAAAAAAAAAAGCGTAACCAGTAAGCAAAGCTGGATATCGCTGCCAAGAGTCCGTTGCTGTATTATTGCGCCCCCCCCCCTTTTTTTTTTCTCTAGGTCGAACTGGCGTTCCGTTTTCCATCAAAAAAAAATGAAAAAACAAAAATGCAAAGGCTGCAATGGATCCTATCCACCTCGGTCTCTTCTCCCTCACATTCCCCTGCTTCCTTTCTTCCCTTCAATAGTAGGATTGAATAACATTTCAGTTCTTCCCGCGCTGCCGCTGAACAAAAAACATTTCGCGGGAAAAAAAAAAAAAAAAAAAAAAAAAAAGAGGGATGATAGCGAGGCAACTTAGCGCAACATAAACAACAACTCAATCCTACCCGCCTTCAGGGCACACGCACGCACACGCACACACAACACATACGCTCTCTTATCGACCCACGCACTCAAACACACTGACACGCATGAACAATAGGGACAATAGAGAGCAACTGAATAGCAGAGTGAATAGGACTAAATTAAAACTCAATACTCTACGGGGTAATAATAATAAAAAAAGATATAACTGTGGCGACATAGACGAAACGCAAAGTAACAATGATACTACTACAACTATCGTCCTATTGAATTGGATAGAGTAGTATAAGCCGTTGGGGACACAGAACGCGTCGCGTGTTGTATGTTTTGTCTATCTGCGCTCATGCAGATATGACCATAGTGCGATCGGTCACTAGAGACGTGCACTATGATATGGCAACCCTAGCATCTCTACATGGGGGACACACCTCAAATGGCTCTCTTTTATACTTTTTTTTTTCGCTGCACAGCTCAAAGGAGGGGAGAAGGGGAGGGGAGGATGAGTGGACAACAAAGGACAACAAGAGAGGAGGAGAGAAGGATATGCAACCGACGAATCGGACGCCTGACCACTGCTGTGGGTCAACAGAGATCAGAGATCATGGAACAAATCGTACATGCGACTTGGACTATGCGGTGCACATACCAACTGCAGGTCATGTAAGGGAAAAAAAAAAAAAGAGACAGAGAGAGGAGGAGAGAAGACGAGTAAATAAATAAAGGTGCGATTCAATAGAGAGGCCCTATTAATAAGAAAACGAATAGGGAGGAAGACACTGATGGCAATGGAAGAGGAACAGGAGACAGCAGACAGACGGACAAAGGGGGAAAACAGAGCATGCATGCCGAACATATATGGGGGAGCAAGCGGACTGAATACCTTCAATAGAAAATATAAAATGGGCCCTATTCAGTCGACAGAATGTTATTCACTTTTTTTTTTGTTCTTTTGCTGTCATCATGCCATGTCGATGCCCGTGTCATCTTCAGGGCTATGCCATGCGCTTCTTTTTTTCTTTACCTTAATCAATACAGTACGAAAAAATAAAGGGTTTTACAATAAAGACTGAATTGATTAGAACACCACTCGCTCTTGTGTCCTACTCATCGTCCCGATGATTCATATATAATTCTCCTTTCAAGAATACAAGAATAAAAATAAAAAAATGGAGAATGACTTTCTTGGTCTACTCATTAATCGTGCGTGCGAATATATATTATACATATGTTATATATGTGTCTATTTGCCATGCACAAGCAACAAAAAAAAGAGAGAGAGAGAGAGAGAGAGAGAGAGTAAAGAGTAAAGAGTAAAGAGAAAAGGGTAAGAAAAAAAAAACCACCATTGAAACATGAACAGAAGGCGTTTACCTTGTGCGCCCAACCACCAAACAACAACCCAAACACAACAGGGAAGATCACAGTCCCTGCCTCGCATGGAGCAATGATGAGGTGAGCGATCATCGATGGGCGGGAAGGGAGGGGGCTTTCCTTTTTTCCCTTCTCTCTCTCTCACTTTTTTTTTTTTTTTTTTTTTTTTTTTCCCTTGCAGCACGCAGCTGCAGTGCGTCCTAGACGCGTAGGCGGCAAAAATAGCAAAAAGCGCGGGAAAACGTCCTACGACTATAAAAGGGAGCGCAAGCGACGCGTAAACCCGCTCGAATGGTTATTTTTTTTTGTCTCTTTTTTTTTTCGCGACGAGGATGCGCATACGTTCCTATGGCGGTGTATTCTGCTAGACTGAACATAGGAAAATATATAGCTGCTAAAATTCCAATCCTCCCTCTTCCCCATACATTCGACCTCGCCAACAACTAAAGACACTTGTATAACAAAACTCTGTTATAGTCTCTTTTTTTTTTAGTCAAACGTGTTCCTGATTCCTTTTTACCCCTTTTCGGTTCTCTGCTGTGTTGATAAGCATTCAATAGTTCCTACACATTCCAATAGCATAGCATATAGAAGATTCTTTTTTTTTTTTTTTTTTTTTTTTTTACGCTGTGCTGCTTGGTTATTTCTTTTGTCGCACTAGAGCCCTGAAGGACGGAGAAGGGGAGCAGGATTACCGAGTTAACATTCTTCTAGTGCTCCTTTTGGGAGGGCCTGTGGCCTTTGAGAGTTGTGAGTGCGGACCTAATAGGAAGGACACTATATGCGACCATACAAGGACTACCGAAGAAAAGGATACAGGGGATTGGTGACAATGCCTTGCTGAGGGCAGCAGCTCTTTCAACAATGACCATGGGATCTTCTAGACCAGCCTCTCGTTTCTCCCTCGGCGTCTTTTTACATCACTTTATCCATTTAGAGGATCATGCCGCGAGTTGTATTCAATGCCTTTGTATGTACGTTGCCGATGATGAAGGGCGATGATGAAAGCGGCAGTAACGAACGAAAAAAAAGAAAAAAAAGGCGAACGATTGACCAACTGCAGGCGCTACTCTTGATTGTTTTTTTTTTTTTCTTTTTCGATTCCCGAAAAGACTTGACCTGTTGTGGTCGGCCTTCCCGCGAGACGAATGAACGAGCTCCCGTTGCTTGACCAAGATGGTCAGAAGGGGACTTTCTGTTCGTCCTCCTCCTTCCCAGCCTGTCGCATTACCTCTGGATCCCCAAGCACAAGGGACGATAAGGTTGAGCCATGTCTAAAATACTCCCTGTTCGGGTACACGAACAAAAAAAAAAGAAAACAAATATTTACAAGCGCATTCTAGGATAAACAAAGCGAAACAAGACAGTCTGCGATGCAGCAAATCCCTTGGAGCGCTCCTAAAGTGGAGATGCAATTGTACAACAAAGCGAGACAACTACATACGCGCAACAAACAGGAACCATCCGCCTCTCCCCAGACTATGTGCACTATAAAGAGACACCAAAGAGGCTTGAAGATGGAGGCAAGGATGGAGGGGGGGGGGAGGGGGGAGGATGAATGGAACAGGACAAAGAATAAGGAGAGAGCTGAGGTTGTCAATGGCTCTTCAAGGGCTTGCTCGTCCTTCCGGAGAACGTTTTCTCCATCCCTCTTTTTTTTTTTTTGTTTTTTTTTTACCACTGTTTATTTACCCCTCGTTCTCCTCGCCCCCCTCTTTTTCTCGTACACGCCAATCCACTACATGTCCACACACATGGAGGTGCCTTGCTCCCTGATGTTTGTGTACCATTCCTGATGCATTTCGCATTGGCCAAGAGATAGTGTGCAAATACCATTGCACAAAAAAAAAAAAAAAAAAAAAAAAAAGAAAAGGCATGGGGGGAGGGGGGAGTAGACTATTGGGCAAGTCAACATTACGATCACATCAACTACGCCCAAATGTGTCGCCCCCCTCCTCCTCGTCACGGCCCCAACTGAATTACACGGAAGATGCAAACTAGACTGCAGCGGCCCGCATGTAGAAATGCCAACGTATGACATCGTATATGTTACTCGCATATATATAACAACAATATTCTTTATATACAATTGTTTTCTGGTTTGTTCGAGAAAATGCATAGTCTATCCCAATTGTCTATTCAATACACATACACCTAACGTACCCCCGGTCCGTCGCGTCAATGTGTTTTTTTTGTGTTGTTGTTGTTCTTGGCATTCGTTGCCGTTGTGTGTGTGTGTGTGTGTGTGTGTGTGTGTGTGCGTGTGAGTTGGCGAGTGGGTGTGGACAAGCGAGGGACATTTTCGTGCTTTGTGTCTCCGGCACCGGATTGTTTTCTTTTTTTTTTTTCTATTTCGCAGCCGAGGGGGTAGTAGCCGTGGTAGTAATTTGGTGGTATTTGAAGGAATACGAGTAAGAAGTGTTGTTGTTGTTGTAGTCTTTTTTTTTTTCTTTTTTTTCCTCGTTTCCGTTTCTTTTGACACGAAATCTGTGAACTGGAGGGAAATAAAAATAAAAAATAAAAAATAAAAAAAAATCGAAGGAATCGTTTACGATTAGAACCGCCCTCTAACCTGTCGAACCCCGGGACCGGTCATCGCCCGCGACCGTGTGTCATCGCGCCACTGAAAATCCTGCCACTTGATTGCGCGTCGCAGGGCGAGGAGGGGGCGCGGTGTCTCTGATTCCTGGCAATGTGCTCCCATGTTTCGCTCAGTCGGACCCTGTCCCTGGCAATCAGTAACAGGACGTGCGGTCTTAATGTCACACATCCTGTCATCAAACAGTCGATTGAGTCTCTATCTTTCTTCGTTTTGTGCTGCAGCAAAGGGATCCCCCTTGGTCCCTCCGTCGTCCGTTGGTCTTTATTGCTCGTGCCTGTGTCTCAACCGCGTAACGGTAAACTCGGTTTGGGTTGGTTGACTCTGATGAGAACGAAAGGAAAGAGGGAAGAGAGAAGGGGAGAGAGAGGGAAGGGAGGAGAGAGAAAAGATAGAAAAGATAGAAGAGAGAGAAAAGGAAAGTGCGATGGTGGAATTGGCTTAACAGCGGTTACTCAGTTTCGTTTACTCTGTTACTCTGTTTCTGAATTGAATAGTAATGGCTTTCAGTGTGAATTGGAATGGGAAATGAAAAGAACCTTTTTACAAAAAAAAAAAAAAGAGGGAGTTGAAGGTAGTTGAAGTTTTGAACAGATTCATTTTCATTCACTTATCCATTCAGTCATTCAGTCAGTCAGTCAGTCAGTTAATCATTCACTCGCCCATTCATTCATCCATCCATTCAGTCTTTCATTCATTCAATCGAAATCAATCAACTCAATTAACTGCTGCTACTACTACTACCACTACTACTACAACAACAACTGCAACAGCTGCAGCTACAGCTGCTACTACCACTTACTACTACCACTACAACAACCCTTGCCAATCGTTACCAATCCACTTCTTTTACTCTTTACTTTCTTTCTTATTACCACCCTCACCCACTTCCCTTCTCCTTTTCCTCCTTTTCCCCTTCCTGCCTACCCTCCATCCTGCGTTTCCCTTCCTCGTTCCCTTTCCGCCTCTCAACAATGGACAGGGTAACAGCCTGGGTGCGCGCGTTCAGTCGGGCGAAGACCCTTGGCCAAAACTCTTTCCGGGCGGTTCTACTTCCCACCTCTTCCCCTTCGCTGATGACACCTACCCAACGCAACATCAACAACGGAAAACTGATCCTCTTCCTCATCCTTGGCGGCTATAAAAAGGGAATCCGTTTCTCGATGGATGGATTCCTCTCTCTCTCTCTCCTCCTTCTTCTCTCCTCATCCTCATCCTCATCCTTCTCCACCACATTCCACAGCACAACTCCTCCCCTCCTCCACCACCCTAAGACGCAGCCCACGGTCCAAGTCCAGTCGAACGTCTCTCAAGGCCTCCCACTCTCCAAGTCCTCAAAGTCGATCAAGCACTCAAGCGCTCGAGCAATCCCAGGTTACCAAGCCCTTACAAGCCAGCCCGCAAGTCCTCGACCGATCAAAGCCCGAAGCCAAGCACCGGTTCCGCACACGCACGAACGCACGCACGCGCACCGAGACAGCAGACACCACGAGAACCCTGTCCGTTCAAGTACAAGCCCATCTTGATTTCTTCTTTGTGCATTCACTCCCAAGGTAAAGGAACGAGCGGGCACACAAGGATCTATACTTTATTTTGTTATCATTTTGAATTTATTTCGTTTTGACCTCCCCTCCCCTTTGTACTCCCTCCCCCCTCCCTTCTCTCCCTTGCACAAACCCATCATCGTCATTCTCATCCGTATACTCGTCGATATACAGACTTGTTATGCAGTATGCGTTTGTCGAATGGGGGGATTTGTGGAAGAAGAAGATGTAAAAGAAGAAGAAAAAAAAAAAAGGTTGCTGCTGCTGCTGTGAGCGAAATTTTGTTCTAATCGGATGGTTACACCAATGCTTCTTTAGATACCAGTGCAAAGCACCAAAAAAGACCACCTAATCCCACACGCACCAAAGGGGCCAGCCGTTGAACACTCACCCCTCTCCCCCTCTGCCCTTTTTATTTTATTTTTTTTTCCCACCAAAAAAGCAAGCGCGCCAAAAGGTCCTATTTCTCCGAACAGGAAAACCTAGTCCGGGTCCGACCATCAGATCAATTACCTAACAACCGAACACAAACAACAACAGCAAAGCAGCAGAAGCAGCAGCAGCAGCGGCAGGATCAGCAGCAACAGCAACAATAGCTACAAGAAACAACACCAGTCAAAACTAAAGTAAAAGCTCCGCAACAAACACTACAACACAATGTCGTTCATCCAGTCCAACCAGCCCGGCAACTTGGTCAACATCGATGATTCAACCCAGAGCCTTGCCCCTCGTTCGGCCCCAGGAATGGATGAGCTGCTTGCGCTCATGGGAGGTGCCCAATTCTCGAACGCCGCCACAGCAGAGGCCGCAGCCATGAGATGGCGACAGGGTGGAGCGGACCCAAACTTTGTTACATCAACTGTCGCACCCGTGGGAGGACACCGTCGCAACCACGAAGAGTAAACCCCACACAACACGCGCATCGTTTGACCGGAAGACAACCTGGAACGGTCATTTTTATTTTAGCCTTTGCCGCCGCCTCCTCCTTTCACCACCACCACCACCACCACCACCACCACCACCCCCTTGTTTCTTTTTATATTTCATTCTATTTCCATCTTTTCTTTTCTGCGACGATACCTTGGCGGCGGCGACCATTCCAGACCGACTTTGGGCGACACCGACTATTCATTTCTTTTCCATTCCTGTTTATTTTATTTTATTTATTTTTTCATGACAACAACAAAAATCACGATCCACGGGCGCAATTGGAGGAGGAGAGAAATAGCGACAATCATATGGAGATCGGACAAGTCCAGGGCAGGACAAGGAAACGCAACATGTCGGCAGTAATTAATAACATCGGAACATGTGCAACGCATGCATGCATGAGAAGATCGAACAAACCAAAAGGATCAGCTCAAATGAAATGGAGAGGCGTCCCCCCCCCTTCCTTCCCCACATTTTCATCATCCTCTCTACCCTGTCGTGCTCAGAAATCGGGTTTCGCCTATTCTTGACATTCGACTTGGATGATGAAAAAAAGGGACCACCGATTCAGTCCCTTGTTTGACAATCGTTCTTTTGTCCGACGTTGCAACGTTTCTGCACGACAATCAAATCAACAACAACAAAAAACAACACAATAACAACAACGGAACATGGGGAGCATGAGCATGAGCATAAAGCAGGGGGAGGGAGGGGGGGAATGTTGGTGGCGATGGGAGTACAAGGATCCAAACAAGTCCAGGGAATCTTTTTTATTTCCCTTTGTTTGGCATAGTCTCTGTTCTCTGCATCATATTCCCCCTCTTTCTTATTTTTATTTTCTATGAGCACTCCCCCCTTGACGCCACGTTTCTTGTTCCACCTGCCCTTACATATGCTGCCTCTTTTTTTTTTCTCTTTTTCTTTTTTGTCAGCTCCTTCTCCCTCTCTCTTTTTTTCATTTCCCGCACTTTGTACAGCATGTTCATGGTTAATTGCTCTGAACAAGAGTTTAAAAAAAAAAAAAAAAAAAAAAACAACACACACCCACTTCTATTTTTGCACCCTTCTTTTTTTTTTTTTTCTTTTTTACCCTTTTTTGTTTCTTGTGCCCATGTCTTTTCTTTCCTTACTTGTATCATGTCTTTTCTTCACACACACACACACCCATATCAACAACAACAACAACAAAAAAAAAAAGGAATATTTAAATTACTTCAGTACTTCAGTGTTTGATTTGCAATAAAAATTAAAGTCAATTAGTTTTACCAACAAAAAAAAAAAATCGATTCTCATTCCTCATCAATTATTTTGGGATCTATGAGTCTATGAGAAGAACACTATTACAAAAAGTACAATATGCAAAGGGGGAAACAATAACAAGAAAAAAATGCAGGAGAACTACGATACAAGGGGACCAGAGATAGATAGAGAAAGGGAGAGAGAGAAGAGTTTCCAGCAGAATGGAACAGAGCGCGCACGCGATCTCCTTAAGCCGATCCAGCGTTTGCAGAGAGCCACTGACCAATTGATGCGATATGAGACTCCAGGAACGAATGCTCCTGCGGTGTTGATGACGATGACGTTGATGATGATGATGACGACGATGTTCTGTTGTCGCTGGATGAAAGTTGCCTTGAAAATAAGGATCCACCCGAGTGCAAATGAAAGTCCTGTGAATTATCCTGGTCCTCCGTACGCAAAGATGCTGGGGACAGCAATTCCTTCTTTTGACATGTTGGTCTAGCGAGCAGGAAAAAAAAAAAAAAAAACACCCCCAGAATGTGTGCGCGCGGCAGGAAGAAGTGAGTTCAAGCGCACTCGGACATCCAACTCCATAGCAATTGACTCTACGCAAACAATATTTGATTTGGGACCCCTTTTTTTTTTTTTACCTTGCAATTGAGTATGGCTGTCGGTTGTGTTCAAAGCAATGGATATGTGAACAAGAGACCACATTCGACAATGCACATCCTGTCGTGGTCGATCGGTGGTGGATATAAATGGGTCCATCCGGAATTGTCGGGTGCAAGGGCGATGTAGTCATCGAGCTCGTAGGCATGGCCTATTTTTGACAGAATGACAAAAAAAAAAGGATGGTTGGCACGTGCATGCATACCATGGCCGTATTTGCTTCTTTGGATCGTAATATAACGGGCATTCCCGCTTCCGTGTTGTCCCTATTTAGCAGATGTCTATTTTGGCTGCTGCTCGCAATGTAAACAAACATACGGATAGCAAACTGACATACCTCATCGTTAATCTGCATGGCAGGAGGCGTCATGATCTCGATAGAACGATGCATTGCCCGGTAATTAAGAAGGAAAGAAGACATGTTCAAGGGCTTCTTGGTGATCAATGGATGCTCCGTGTAAATCGGCACTGAAAACTAATTGTTGAAGGTAGGATGTGTTCGTTATCAGCATATGTTCTTCTCGATGATAGTCGCTGTGCTACCGTTGTTTGCCTCGTTGGGTTCATAAATCGAGTGTATCCTGTACCTCGTCTTCAGGATCGCTCCATCGACGGCGGTTGCTGTCCTTCAGATCCTGTACAGTCCTAGCTGAGCTTGACGGATCCTTGGTCGAGTTGGGCGAAGAATTGAAATAGACAGCATCGTCTGCGACAAAGTCGAGTTCTGATGGTGCAGACGACGATGTGAGGTTCGTATTGATGACACTGGGCATGGTGTGTAAGTGTAGATAGTGTAAAAACAATGGCGTGTGGGGAAGGAGATGAGGGAAAGAAGAGAAGAGAAGAGACAAGACCACCTCTTTTTTTTTTTATATCCATCTTGGATTTGAAACCGCGCCCGCAAAGGTGTAGCTGCCACGCGGGAGCGGAGCCTGGACTTTGGTATCCCGCCCAACAGATTGCGGCCCCACCCTTTCTTGCTTCGTGGACTCGGCTTTAACCGAATTTGACTTTTACGGGATGTCGCCAGCAATTGGGTGAGCATTGAACATACACATCATCCGTGCGTAGACAGTCGACGCACAAAAATAGTCTTGTAGCCATGCTCGATATGGGTTTGGACCGATCCGAGATTCTCCTTTTGTTGGGCTAAGCAATTTGTTTGCCATGAACACATTTCCCATGGTCTCCTCCCTATGCCACTCTTTCTTTTCTCTTTATTTATTTATTTTTCTATCTTCACTTGCTTTTTCGACGGTCCTATCCCGTCAGCTTTGAATAACTTGGTGGCGCAAATTTCCTCCTGAGCGCCTTGATCACATAAAGCGGGAAACTGCTCACCATCGTAATCACCGCGACTTTCCACACGAATGTCCTTGTCAAGATAAAGTTGAGGTCTATAAGTATCACCATCATCATCGTCACCATCATTTCCATAAAAAAAAAAAAAGAAATGCATCTGTTAGACATGACCAGAGTATGCTTCAGTATACTTCTCAACGCACAGATGAATTGCTATATGGAAAACAAACATACCAAAGTACGTCGGCAAAAAGACCATCGAGACGACGTAAATGACAAGCGTGGCAACCTCGGACACAATCATAAGTCGATGCCATGTGTTGATCTCCAAAGCAACCATCAACAGCTCATTCAGGACCAAGGCTGTGAACGAGATCGAAACAATGTTCACGAACTGATTTTCGAACAGCCAAATCGACAAAATCATAATTGCACCGCCTATTAGAGGAAACAGTGACGAGTCGTTAGAGGATGCATTGAAGAAAGGAAAAAAACTGAATATCCCTATTCGTGAGAGTTAAGGAGATATGGTACCTTGATATACGCTGATCAGTAGCCAGCTGAAAAACGTCTTGTACGATAATGATCGCCCTTTTGTCAAGTCCCTGTACAGTTCCGGGTACAGCAGTGCAATGTCCTCAGGCACATCCTGGTCGAGCACCAACGAGAACACAGGTGCGTTCGTGTAGATGGTCGTGTACCCCACAATCAACATTCCTTGGTACAACGCGATCGGCGCAAAGTAAAACATGGCCGAGAACACCGCCTGCATGATCGAGATTATCAGACCGCGATGGATTACAAACTGCGACAGCTTAGCAGAGCGCTTGTACGAGTTTCGTCCGTGCCACAGCAGCAACTTTGTCAGATATGAAAACTGGTTGACCGAAAAGTCTGCAGCCAGCGAAGCCTGCTTGCCCTCCTTGCCCACGATACCGACGCCAACATCAGCCTGCTGGATCATAGAGACATCGTTTCCACCATCGCCAATGCAGCAGATACGCTTCTTTGTATACTCCTTGATCAAGCGCGCGATATCGGCCTTTTGTGTGGGCGAGCAACGACAGCAGACAACCACTGGCAATCGGACCGTAATCTCAATAAATTCCTCTCGTAGATAATCCAGACAGAGTTGGATCGATTCCCCGTCAATGACGAGACAGCAATCCTTCTTGCCTCTGAGGAGGTCAAGCTCATCCTGTGCATCCAAGGGGTTTTTGAGTTTAGCGATTTGATGAATGCTTTGGTTCCTGGCAACAAGCTTGGATGAGATCGCAATACAGGTGGCTGTCTCAATCTTGTCTCCCGTCAACATCCAGATCTTCAGTCCTGCATTCCTCAAAAGTTCAAGAGTCGACTTGACTCCATCCTGTAGCTTGTCCTCCACACCTGTCAGTCCCAGTAATTCCAAGTCCTTCTCCAGAATTTCGTTCACGACCGCATTCATAGCGCTGGTCCTGTCCGAAATACTGGTCTTGGCGACATGGTATTTTGCCTCAAACTCCTGAAACAGCTCCTCAGATAGCCTTTTCCTTGCCACGACCAAAGTTCTCAATCCTTCGCGCGCCATATTACCGCACTCTTCCTCCAGCCAGTCGTTATACTGCACAATCTTAGCCATGACTACATCCGCTCCCTTCTCGTAGAACGTCATCTCGCCTGTGGCCAAATCCCGAACAATGATTCCCATGCGCTTGGTCTCACTGGTGAAAGGGAACACTTGAAGAATCTCGAATTCGAAAATGTCACCGCTGGCGTTCCTAATGTGAATATTGTTGATGTCCCTGTGAACCAGCGTCAAGCCCACACTCTCAGTCCACTTTACAATAGCCACCTCATCGGGGGAAGAAGCCTGGTAGGTGATGCTCCCATTGTCCTCCTCAACTGGCGTAACGTTGTGACATATAGCCAGAGCCTGGACAATATCGCGTACACGGGAGGAAATATCACGACGAGCTTTGCTGCCTCCGACATGCGAGGGAGCCGCTGTAATTCCACGAGCCCTGTTGAAACCGCTCGCTAAAAGTAGCCACAAATAGAAAGCAAGAATTGTATAAGCGCGCTTGTCCCTGGCTTTTTTTTTTTTTTTTTTTTTTTTTGAAGTTATTAATGCTGGCACGCATGAATTGAGGCTCCCCTTACATTGCTGAGAATATGCAGTATCCAAGTGTGTCGAGATCTCGTCCATAGTATCTACGCTGTAGGACATTGTTCCCATGTGCAGCTTTTTGAGCTCCATGTCTATGCAATAAGTTCAAAACGAGTGCCGATGAGCATTTTTGAACAGCAAGTACCCTCAAGCAACGCAAAAAACTCTTCCATGTAATGTGTCCTACCATTCTTGGTCAGAGTTCCAGTCTTATCTGACAGCAAGTACTCGATGCGTCCCAATTCCTCCGGAATAGTGCTTGTGCGAACGATGGTGTCTGGAATCTCTTTGTCGTTCATGATCTGCCATGCGTACACAGTCTTGCCCATATCCAAATTCACGCGCAACGAGATGGGGATGATGGACGAAAACAAAATCAAGAACCGGAACAGGTAGATGTACCACAGCCCCTCGAATCCGTTGAGGGCAATCATTGATAGCGATAGAGTCAGGGTGAAGGCGCACAGGATCTATAGAACAGGACAGAGAGGATCAGACTCCATACAACTACTTGCTCCGTTAAAGTCGAAGGTATTCTAGCTGAGGCCGTACCTTAGAAAGACGGTTGACCTCCGAGTCCAGCAGACCGATCTTGGTCTTTGGATGGTTGGTGTTCATCACCGCACGGGTATCCCTTCCAGTGTAAATGACAAACCCAATAGCATTTCCTGATGCCACAACGGTGTTGGTCCATAATGTGTTATCCACGCTCAATGGTTCCGTGTGCGGACCCTAAAGTACCGTTTCCCGTATCAAATAACGCCACGAATGTCAGCAGTCATTTTTTCAGGTTATGGTCAAGGCAGCACAGGTTTGATTAGCAAAAGATAAGCGCCACTTACAGGTCCGTCGCCTTCTGTTGTGAAGTTGCCGATGAAACTGTGGATATCTTTGTGAGGCGAATCCGCATAGATAGAGGCGTTCAATTCGAGCAGCGCTTCATCGCTGGGCAGTGCCTGGCAAGAAGGCACCGCAAGTCTCAATTTCCAGTCGGTTTCTCCGTCCAGTTGATCTGTCCTGATAAAACACGCGCCCGACTCCTCAGTGGTTCGCAGAAGGACCATATCTGCAGGCACATTCTGGTTTTTGTTGATAACAATCAGGTCTCCGACTTTGATTTTCGATGAAGGAACCATTTTGAATCCTGAAGGCGTGAGTTTTTGGTAGCGCTGTGAGTTGGCCTCCTGGTCTCGACGATAACGTTTCATATCATCCAATGCCTCCTTGCCTATTGTCACTGCCAGCACAAAGCATAGTGGCGCCACATATGTCACGATGTACCCGATCTTCAGTGCTGGCACAAACTGCGACAGTGCCACGACTAAAAAGTACAGGTTCAAGAAGAATTTGAACTATGATATTAAACGAAAAAACACTAATAACGTCAGATAAACTGTTTCTCCTCCAGATTTCCGTTCAGAATTCATGGCAATTGCTCCTGTGTACTTAACCTGTTCCCACAAGACGACGGGCAAAAAAGTAAAGATGTTGTATTTCGTATTACGTGTGACATTGGGTGGATATCGTTTCTTCTCCTTGGCTAGTCGATTGATCCGAGGAAGAAAACGCGTGAGCACAAGAACATGACACGTATCACTATCACTAACATCATATATGTCACAAAAACTTCTTTCTCCTTGCCTGATGCATGAAAGTCAATCGTTCTTGATTTGGCTGCTTTCGAGTCCTTTGAGGGCTTGAGTTCATCCATGATAGCTGATAACTTCTGCCTGTTGGGTCCCTTGTTCTGCTTGGGCATATAGGTTTTGGGGAACACGGGCGAGTACAGACCATAGAGTCGCAGGAATATCACGCAGGCGGAACCAATATGATCCGCCGTGGATAGTCGGGATAAAATTGTGGACAGGGCGGAAAGGAAATGAGTGGTAGCATGGGATCATCGGCCCGACATGTCGGGGTATGGATCGACAGGATCACAGGCAGACAACACGAACAATGTAGACAAGGGCGAATGAGAATATGAGAAATAGTGATGGAGGCGAGATCAGTCATCAGTATGCAGGTAGTTGTGATCAGAATCCATCGCTGCAGCAGTGCCAAGCGCCTATAAAAGGCGACTTCCAACCACACGTAAAGCGATTGTTTACCTGAGTGCTGTTGCTGTTCCCGCGCGTGGTCCCAGAGCTGGAGCTGCCGTTGAACGAGTTGCTGCTGTGGAGCAACAATGGCTCTTCGTCTTCATCCTCTTCGTCCGAGTAACGGTACTTGGAGTGCCGATATCCATGGCTACTGCTACCTGCGCCACCGCCCCCGTTACCATTGCTGCTACCGCCTTGACCTAGTGCCATGCCGCCTTGACCTGTGCTGCTATTGCTATTATCGCTGTTATTAGTGGTATGATTGATAGAGGTTGGGGTGGATGTGGTTGGGGTGAATCCTTCTCCGTAGCTTCTTGTACCGTCAGAGGAGAGCGAAGCGGGCGAGGCGAAGGCGAGATGCTTCTGATAGGGGTTGCTAGCGGGTGTGGAGGGGTGTGTCGGGCTCGAGGACTTGTTGGGAGGCGAGCGAGGTCGTGGACTGTTAGTCCTGCTGTGGTGGCTAGTCCTGGTGGTGCTGGTAGTGCTGGTAGTGGTCCGAGTGCCGTCCCTGTTGATGCTGATGGTGCGGCTGGCTGGGATGGATGTGTTGGCGGGTAAAGACGAATCGGACTGTTGGATAGGAAGAAGCGCAAAGGTTTCTTTGCCCTTGGACATTTAGAGGACAGACGCAAGGTGCAGGTGCGTGTGAAAGGAAGTGATGGAGGTAAAACGGGAAGTCAGCCGCGTGTGTGTAGTAATTGCATGCGAAGCGAGGGAGGGCTGAAGGGATGGCTGCATATGGTAGTCGTCGGACATGCACTAGAATGAAAAAGAAAAAAAAGAGGGCTTCTATGCCGGCGACTTGGGTGCTGGGAGAAGCAAAACCGGACGGAGCTCAAGACCAAGGACAAGACCAAAGGGCGGGTCCCATCAAACGACGAGGAATCCAGCGCACCTCATTGGAGTGGCTTGCCCGCCCAGCTCGTTGCCTTTGGTCACTAGGATTCTCTCAACGCAAGCAGTAGCAGTGTTTGTAGTTTTATTCGTTCCTCCTTCTCTGCAGCCCCCCCCCCCCCCCCCCCCCCTACATATCAATGAGATAGTCGAGCACTTTGAGGGACACGGCGGGATATGCTAACGAAAAGACCTGCTTCAGCAATTGACGACGACCTTCACGCATATTAACCTTAGAGGCGGGCTGCTTCAGTTTCCTTGGTCTTACTCCTCGCTGGTTTGATAATGCTCCTCTCGATCCAGATCCAGATCCGCCTTCATGGCTAGTGCCCTCCTCCATATTGTCCTCCATCTCCGTCTCTGGCGCGGTTTCTTCATGGTCAACATATCCTTCCCAAAACTCACGGGTGTTATCCAAGGCTCTCTTGATAGCCTGAATCGCATCCGGTCCGGGCACTTCGTTCAGTTCCAGCCACACCTTGAACCAATTGGTCATGCTCCTTGGTTGCGCTCTACCTTCACTGGAACTAGAAGGCGCTGCCTCATACGAAGGAATGGTTCCGTTCACGAAGTAATATTTGGCAGTATCCTGGATCGACCACTCTTGTTGTCGAGGACCGGATCGATTGCCTTCCATTGCCTGCTCCACGCGCTTCGCAATCTTCGAGACTAGCTCTGTTACGCGACTGACTTTTACCAGCGTCTCGCTGCCATCGTCCTCCGTCATTTGTGATTCTAGCGCCAATATCGCCCCTGAACCATCCGGATGCTCCGTGCTAGCGCTATGGGTTTGCTCCACTTCCGAAAGATGCCTTCTTAGTTGTGTGTCGTAGTAATTTACCAGGATTCGAAGTTCCCACAGCGTCCGCCACGAAACCTCGTCCAGATTCTCGAGTCGATTGACGATATCATACAACCAGACATGCACCCCAAGAGCCTCGACTTTGTCCATTGTCAGACACTCGTACAACACATTTGTGAAATATGCTGCCCTTCTTTCTTCCTTTACAGCATCCTGCTCGTTCTCGCAATCGTCCAGCTGCACTGTGCAAAGATATCTGGCAAAGGACGCCACCTGGGGATCATGTAGGAATGTCAAGCAGAAATCCTCGCCGTATGACGCAGACCTCTGTTCAGTCTCCTGTTGGTCTTGGTGGACCTGGTGCTGACGCTGAATTAATTCCTCGGATCGCAAATTTTCTAGATACGTCCTATGCCGCCACTTAGTCGATCGCCCCGGTCTTTCTAAGTTCTTCCTTCGCGCTCCTCCATTCTCCAGCGTCTCTCCTGATCTCTCGCTGGTCAAGACCTTGGGAAACGGTCTCGCAAGGATTCCACGCATGCCTAACGGGTCCTCAGTATAGCTCAAATGGCCGATGTGCCGCATCACAGAGATGGACCGCGTCTTGAGGATCCTCCATATCCTGGTGTAATCTTCGTTATCTCCACTCAAATCAATTGTAATGGGCCAGTACCGAGGGCCTAGGATCTCAATTTTGGATATTTTCGATAATTCAGGAAGAAGACAGGGCGTCATCATGTCAAGTTTGGTGATCGAGAGCAGGGCCGTCGCTACATCCTGAGAAGTGTTGGGGCGCAATCCCGCGTACAAATCCATCTGATGATGTAATCCTGCCTGATTGACATAGCTCACCTGAACCTGCGATTGACACTGAGTCGCTTTCAGGTGTATACGCACAGGCACAGGACAGCAGGCTCCAGTGCTGGCGTCCCTTGTGACAAGACATCTCGGCTCTACAGCTAAGACCCATAGATGCCTGAAGGCCTGCAAATGTGATCGGTTGTCCGCGGGATCGCTCGGTAGCCTTGGATAGAGACTGCAGAGCAAGGCTGCGACGCATCGGTTACTCGTTCCGAGAGTGTAACCCCCGCCTCCTAGAAACAAAAGTCCCAATGCCATATGGTACGCGAGATGGCTTCCATAGGAGGTATCGCCCTTGGTTCTGCGGTGCAGCTTGCGGAGTCTACGCATAAAATCGATTCTACCCGAGCCGGCCACTACCATCGAACTCGCCATCGTGGTCACATCCAAACAAGTGCGGATCGTCGACTTGGTAATGCTGTCCTCGTATGATCCATCTATGATATATTAAAAAAAAAAAAAAAATTAATATTCAGCTATCTATCCATTTCAATCAATCGCGAATAAGGGGTTCACTTACTTCTGCTGGCGCGTCCAAGTTCCATGAACATATCCATGTATCCAACGATGCATTCGTATGCTGCTTCATCTCCACTCCCTGCAAAGCGAAGGCCCATTGCAAAGCACGCCCCTGCCAAGATGCTGTAGTATGATTGAGGCCCTGTCTCTGTCCTCGGCGGTCCGCCAGTTCTGATATCCTTCAGATAATCGGGTATTTGTGAAAGTACCCATGCCCGGGTAGGCACTATACTATCCCAGATAACGATGGCTCTGCATATTACTCGGAGCATCAACGCGTCAGGAGTGATATAGTCCAGCAGAAACTGGGTTTCTGGTACGCTGAGCTTTGTTGCAATGGCCTTACTGTTGGTTTTAAGGTACATAAGGCCCATCGCTACAGCAGCTCCGGCGCTGGTTATATCAATACCAGCGTGGTGTCGATTTAATCCATGGTCATCTGTCTGAACGGATCCTGTTAAAGTCCTGACGCCGTGGTTCTTGTCGGTACTACCGGGCATGTAGCTGACGAGTATGTCCACAATCTTCATGTCCCTTAACCCCATCGGCTTGTTTCCCTGGCCAAGAGTGATAAAACCGAGTCCGAACCCCGCTGCGACAGAATGGCATTCCTGAAGGCTGTTTACCGAATCCGTTGTATCTCCTGAAGCCAAGCCGATCTCAGAAAGCATGACCTCAGCCATGCGTCGGTGTGAAGTCTCCATGTAAATCAAGCCAATGCCTAGCACGCAGGCAACCTGAGTCAAGGGTGATAAGTTGAGCTCCGATCCGTTCTGTGGTAGCAAGGCCGGCATGTGGACTGAAAGTACTCTCGTGATAGCCGTATTCATGGTACCTCGATGTGCGCAGGCTAATCCGAGAAGGAGTCCCGTCGACGTCAACTCGTGCTTGAAAGACAGATACCTCCATACATGCGATCTCGCCAGCGCCCTCAGATGCCCCGTAAGACCTAGCGCTAAAAGGAACCCGGCATGCTCGCAATTTAAGACGTCAGGTCTATTATAAATGATCCACGAAGAATTTACGTCTTTGCTATTGGAGGATATCCGTAGTCCAGCTGCGACGCCGTTGTGGAAGTTGGGCCAATAGAACGTTTGGTCTCCACCGATGGATGAAATATCGGGCTCCATGACTCCAAAAGACGGTAGTAGTTTTACAGACAGATTGATTGGGGGTATAGGGCATTTTTGGTTCAGAATGGGCGTGGCCGTTCCAAAGGTCAAGACGGCGCGTCCGACAGGAAGGGCTAATGTCCGCAAGGCCAGCTTGCAGAGAATATCCTGGTGTGATGCTCGAAGGTCTTCCTCGCTGAGCTCCGGCGACTCCTTTGGCTTGATCTTCAGCACCACGGAGGACTGAAGCATCTTCTTAGTCTCGGCAACGCGCATATCGGCTCCAAAACGCAGATCTGTAATGTCTGACTCAGTGATTTCGGCGCCTGTAGTTTCTAGTTCGTGCTCTCCCTCTTGGTGAACGACATTTTCGCACAGCGAATGAACATCCTGTCTTTTACCAGGTTCCTGTGCCCAATATTATACCAAAGAAAGGATCAGCGTTGGCAGTGGTACAGCTGGATGGACGGCATGAGATTAGCCCCTTCGTTTACCGTGGTATCCTGAGAAGGTGGTTTCATGTAGTACCCCGGTCTGTGCTTCGATGCCAGCTCCGCTAAATCGTTCCTGCCGATAAATGAAAGAGCATCCGAGTCCAAATTCGGGGACGGATTCCTGCGGCACTTCCACAGCGCTTCTCTCAGAGGTACTGAAACACCGAAGGGCAATTGGTCGAGCTCTGTGTTCGTGGATACCTCGCCTACAATGGCCCTCACAGCGCTCTGATCCCCATCCTCTTCGACAGTCATCAGTGCTGTAAAAAATAGAGTGACCTTCCTGGTTTGTTCTCCTGGGGTAGAGGACAGTAGTGAAAAGTCGGATTGTTCAGGATCCCGGAGTGACGAGAGAGTGGTCAAAGTCGGAAAAGGTTTCGTCTCTTTGGGATGAGACACCATGTCCGAGATCCAACGAAAGATATCAGGTGGTTCGTACTCGTACAGCTCCAGGGGTAAGGTCGGCCCTTCCATGTAAACCTCTTGAAAAATGGTATGAAGCGGAATATGGTTAAAACTTGATACATTGTCCATCGAGTAAACCAATCCCCAAACTACGGCCAGAACGTACCTGGTAACTTGACAACCTTACTGCTAGAGAAGTCACGCCTGGTATAAGCATCAACCCAGGTACTCCAACGAACAAGATGTGCCATGAGCAGTAACAATGGCGCCATATTCCCCTCTTGACATGTCGCCAGGTTAATATTTCGATCCTCGTAGACTAGGTGCAGGGCAACCAGAATGTACTTATAGAATAAATCCAGGCGAAGGGACTGTCTCGTCGCAGGTCCACGAAAATGAAGCGTTGCCAATTTCTGTGCCTTCGTAATCATGTCGGTGAACTGGTTGGCACTCGAGACTGGGAGCGGCAAGATCTCACCGCGAAACGAAGGGTGATTACCCAGTATCCGATGCATATCAGAATCGAGAAAAAAATCCCAATTAGATTCGGATGTTGCTGGCTTCTTCGGCAGTCCAGATAATGTGCGCGTCTGCATTTTCGGAGACGACATGACCGGAGGCGTAAAGCTAGGATCACAGTATGACAGCAGCGTTGTTGTAAAGCTGCTCCATTCGTCACCGGCAAGGATATCCGCGTATTGAGGCGCCCTATCAAACTGAAGTTGAAGGAATCTGTGCCTAAAATCCCAAAGCACATCCACCGGCAACGCGTAGCTGATCGCATCAAGACACTCCTGAACCAAGCTTGACCGCACAATGAAGTCCAGCTGCACTCTCAGGATCATGCCGTCGCCAAGAATCAGACTGATTCTGTCCTCCACCGGGTCGCGCATCTCGATAATCTCAGTACTCTCATTGACGGTGGAAGTCGCTCCTGTCGCGGGAACGCTCCGTAGTGTCGAGCCCTTTAATCCCATACCGTCCGTGAAAATACTACTGGTAGTCCTCCTAATAGGCCGCTTGCTTCTCCTTTTACGCTTGAGGCAGTTGCTTCCAAGATTGACATGACAAGGCACAAGCTCCGCTGCGAAACCGGTCCATAATTGCAGATCACCTTTATGGGATAGAATCAGGATGTCGCGCTGCTGCCTTCGGGTAGCCTCGACAGCGACCGCAGAAAGCGCAGGCCTTGTCCAAAGATGCACGACAATTTGGTCCGCAATGATCTGATAGCATGAAAGTTTCTCGACTTCATGGTCCAACACGCCGATTACGGTAGAACCATCAAAAGCATGAGCGCTGAAGATCGTCGAATCGGGTCTAGTCGCGGAACGTGGAATATATCTTAGATCTCTGCAATTGTGAATGCAAATTGGCGACGATTAAAATGACAGCTTTAAAGGCTCTGCTTACGATGCTGCCTGGATGTTGCTCTCAATTTCAAAGAGATACGTGTCTGTCCGCATCTGAAGGTCTGTATCAGCGTCGGTTTCCATGGTTGTACTGTTAACAGGCGTCGTCTGGGACTGCATCCTTGAAAATGGCAAGGCTGAAGGCATACTTGACGCGTACCGCCAAACTCGATGTCGCCGCAGCAGCAGGTCAAACGTGATCACGGTTCTGTCGTTGGCATCCAGATTAGATAAAAAAACGCATGTGTTGAATATGTCGCCCACGATGCCGTTCAGGTGCCGTATCCGTGGAACATCCTCCCGAAGCATTGACTTTGGAGGCGGTGTCTGCTTGGGGAGCCGGTAAAGTGTCACGATCTGTAACTCGTTGAATGGATCCATGATCATATAAAATCTTGGCAGACCTGCGCCTTCCATCTCCTCGGAGACTTCCTCCTCGTATTCCGGCTTTCGCTCCAGCAAAAGTCCCAGATCCATGGCCCAGACCCTATGAACGCTGAACGGCAGGTAGACAGAGTACGACTCTCCGCTGGGGAAGTAAATTCTGGCAGTTTCCTTGAGAATGATGACCAATGCCTGCTGCCTGCCCTGACGATCCGCGCCTGGGTTATCAACTGAATGTAGCTGCGCAACATCAAACTCGTCGTCTCGCTCTCGCTCACGGTCTCGCTCTCGATCGGAAGTCTTTTGAGAAAGAGTGTTGACAATGAACCATGCAAACAGTGTTTGTTGAATAGACTCATTCTCAGCGCTAAAGTCCAGGATCTTTCGAAGCACTCCACCTTGCGTCCAAGTGACTTTAGCACCCTGAACAACAACCTCGACATCGTATCCCCGCTGAGACCTGTTTTTTCCAAGACTGGATCGGTTGCTGTCCTTCGGCGGCTCAAGCGCCTCATTAATGATACCATCCTGAGTCGGTGGGTATAATTCATAACGGGGTAGAGTAATGCTGCCTCGTTTTGTTGTAATGTGCGAATCGTCTCGGCGTGTTTTCCCAAAGCCGTAGCCCTCTGGAGCGGAAAACGGTGGCGCAAAAAGTCTCTCGGCCTCCTGACTGGCGCGACCCTCAACCCTGCCAAAGGGCCTGTATTCCCCGAGCACAGTGATCTCCATGTCTCGGTCGTCTTGATCCTTTCGAGTGAATAAGGAATTCTCTGTCGTGAATCGACTTCCAGAATGTCGTCGTTATTCAAAGGGCACAGCAGGCTGATTCTCATCGCTTATGGAGCGCACGACCGAAACTGTGTAGTGAACAGCGACTGACTGGCAGTCACTACAGGGTCGCTACTCAACTTTACGCCTCGCCTTCCTTTTCTCAAATTCAACCTTCCTGCAGGCACACCAATACATCAATGAACTTGATGCGCCATGGCTGTTCCAGAACCACCACCACCGTCGCTTATATTCGACTTTGCCTCCTTTGACGAGGATGATCCCGTCGACATTGCAAGTGGCCTCATCCTTATCCATTCATGCTGTCTTGACGGGAAAGCATGCTAATCAATTGCCTTTTTATGATCCGCTCTATAGGAGATGAGCCAGGCCCACCGTCAACTTCTCGAAATGATCCAGGGCCTGTCAGAAATTGACATCCACAACCAGCTTCAAGCGTCGGCGTCGAGTAGTATGCAGAAACACGCAGAAATCATCAATGGACTCGTCTATGGTATCTTAACCCACAATGCCGATACCAACAACAGCGCCAACACCAATAACACAAATAGCAGCAGTAGTAGTACCTCAGGAGGTCCAGGGCAAAGCATCAGTTCATCACCAACAGAACTCTTTCGACATATGAACCTTGTGGCGCGCGATTCGCTCGCGTTTGCGGTCAAGCAGACGCGTCATTTCTGTACACTACTTCAATTCCATAAGATCAAGCCGCAAGTACGGGAGCAGCTGCTTTGGTTGGTCGGCCAGTTCACGGAAGTCAGAGTCCATGGCATCGAGCAGCTATACATGAGTCTTCTGAGGCAGATCCGCGGTGGCGATGTCTCACGAGCAAATATACAACATGCAGAGGGTATGCTTCAATTGCTCGAGACACATCTTCAGTCCTTCGTGTACTCAATCCCAAATTTAGTTGCCTATTCGTGTTACACGTACCTGAGGATCATGTTGGACCATGGACGATATGCGGCACTCAGACAGCATGAAGCAATGTTTTGCGCACGACTGTTGCGAGAACGATTTCGAGACTGCTCGGACATTGGGAGGGACCTCGTTAGGGCACTTCAGGATGTTGCGCGGATCAAGCCAATAGAGGAAATCTGGATCAATCTGCTGTACTCCCCCGAGAAATTGAACCCGCAGCTCGAGGGTCTGCATCAACTGACCGCCATGCCAACAAAGGACCAGTACCTACAGAGTCGACTGACGTTCGATATGGAGCACAAGATCCTACACATTCTGAAATTCGTAAGTTGGCGTCTCATGGATATCACTTGAGATCATAAGAAGAGCATGCACAATAGATACACAACACGATCTAATCTTTGTTTGTTTCCGATCCAGATTAACAATGGACAACATCACAGAAATCTGCAATGGTTTGTAGAACGGTACTTGTCATCTCCCGAGGCCGATGGATTGTACTGCGACCTCATTCGCTATATCTGTGGTGTATATCACCCTTCGAACGCAGTTCTTGCCAGCAGCATCGTGCCACGCTATGTCGTCATCGGAAGTATCTTCAGGACCATCAGAGTATGTGCACCAGTCCCGCCTTTCAGCCCATAGTCATGGATCAGGTCATTTGGGTTCCACAAGTATTAATGCCCTCATTTTCGATATACAACTAGTCCAATGTCACAGCTGCCAATGTCAAGCTCGCACTGTTTTATGACTGGCTATTTTATGATCCTGGCAGGGATAATATCATGGACATCGGTATGTCCCTGGATGGCCATATGGACCACTGTAATTCAGACTATGGAACGATAATTCATTCATTTCCTCTTTCTGCTTAGAACCGGCTATATTGCTAATGGAGAACTCAGTGGAGCGATACCCATACATCACCGCGATTCTGCTGGAATTCTTGCATTTTACAATCGAAAACTATCACCCATCACTGCGGGACTATATCCACAAACATATAGGGATGGCAGCGCAGGATTTAGTCAAGAAGGGCGTCATCAGGTGCGAGAGCAAATGCATCACGGCATTGTTACAAATAAGAGGTTGATGAGGTCTGCTATTGTAACTGACCCAAATGTCAACCTTTTTTATATATGCGCTCAGATCGTTCCGCTTTATTTTCAAAGCACCATCACTTGACGATTACACTCCAGTTCGCGACTATATGCTATCAATGTTCCCAGCTCAACTCGGAGATTTGGCGGAAAATAGTGCAGGATTCTCCCTTGGAGGAGTCGCTACTATGGAGAGCATGGATGAACAGCCTTCTTCTGCACAACTCACTGGCGACAGTGACAGTAACGAAGGTATGGATGATTTCGAGAATCCTGCATCTCATGCCGGCTTTGCCGTGCCTGGAATTACAGGCCAGGATAGTGAAGATGATGAGGAGGCGCATGATCGTAAGGAGGTCAAGAGCGAAGGTCAGAAATCAAGGAATCACTCTCGAGAATCTTCCAGAGAGCCAGCATTAAGGGAGGATAGTAAATCGACTGTTCAAGATGATGAGGAAAACGGTGAGGATGAAGTGATGGAGTCATCTTTGGTTGAGCATCCATCGCAGCAGTTGAAATTTCAGAATCAAGCAGTACTCGCAGATTGGACATTCACCGATGATATGACCACCGCGGCTGGATCAGGAAAAGACGATGACCTTACCTCTGCAGCTGCAGCCCCCGTTCCTGGGGCTTCGCTTTGGATTTTTGGCTCCAGCCTTCAGGAGTTCAAGAAAGCGTACGAGGCCGATCCCGATGCTTCCGCAACCGCGGAAATGTTTCGCGACATCTGGAATGTCTACGGCGACGTTGCAGGAGTTGGAGTTGATGGTGCAGACATTGCGCAAGAGGTTGGTCAGGAGATTTGTGCCTTTGCGACAAAAGCTGAAGTTCCAGAGTCATATGTGTTGCCGGTCGGTGATGCGGATCCGGGAGAGGATGCAGGCGTGATGGAACCCCTGATATCGTGTTTGTGGAGGGTCACCGAAAGGGATGGTAAGGAAGGCGCAATAAGGGTGGCACAGATGTTTATGAAAAGCGAGGCCCCCAAGGACCCCAGCGAAAGACTGCTTGGGATGTGGTATTTGCTAGGCCTGGTCCGTGGGCAGAGGCGCAGTATGTCAGGGACTGCCATCTCTCTGGAACAATTGCTGCAGCTTTATGGATCGTATGTCAGGGCTATCGCCAAGCAGGATCAAGCGGACAAGATAGACGAGGACGGAACAGACGCTACCAGTGATTTAACACTATTTGCACAAGAATATCTCCTCAGGGACCTTCAACAGCTGCAAGACCGGCAGCTCATGGTCTTTGAGAGCATCTTGCCGCTGGTCTTGCGATACCTGCCTGAGCTCATCCCCAAGACTGAGGCATTCTTGAAGCTAATCCTTGTCATGGCGACACCGGCTTTGATCTATCGACTTTCCATGGGACTTGCTAAGCGCGATTTCTCGTTGCTTTTGCCGCCAACGCCATTAGAAAACCTGACGCCTGCAATAAGGGAAGAAGAAAAGAAGACAACCAAAAATACCCTGAGCGCCAAGAAAAAGAACGGGTCTAACGAACAACCGGATGAAGTGGACGCCGCCACTCAATCTTTATCACGGAACTGGGATCCGAAGATCTCCCCAAACATGGTGGAAATCCTGGGACAGACTTTGGAATGGGAAACGTTTGAACAGCTGGGCGTTTGGCAGTTGGTGCTATCAGAGGTGGGAGGAGGATCTGATGCTGTGGCAACAATCCTTGGCGCTGGTTGGGTCCTTGATATGACTACGGAATCGACAGCAGAGGCGCTGAGCGGCATTCTGAATTTGCTCCGCACCCTTTCACTGGAGCCTCCAGACGTGAAACTCGGACGCGCGATAATCAGGATCGCCAGCCAGACGGAGGTGATCTCCAAGGAAATGAGGGAGTTATGTGAGGCGAACATAGCGCAATGGGCGAGGGGATACCCCGATCATATAGCTGCTCTTCTTTTGTCGCTGAGCGAAAAGACCGCACCTCCTGTGGAGCACCCAGCAACAGCAACATCGTCGAATGGTGACTTTGAAATGGAGGACGCTACTCTAAAGTCATCGACGAATAGGGGCTCTGGCAAGAACACGCGCAGCAAGAACAAGACGAGTCTCGCCAAGACGAAATTGACACCCAAGCAGAGAAAGGAACAAGCGGTGCAGCTGCGCGCTGCACTCTCTCTACTTCAGGCGTGGTGGGGGGACATCGGCTTGTCAGCATCGTCATCATCCTCAATGGCATCTTCGACTGCAAATCACCATCTTTTCTCGAGGATTTGGACTCCACAAGTCAAGTCTCAAGTCGAAGAGGCCCTCACAGAGAACTTTGGGGCGAGTGAGAAGAATCTCTGGCCCAGAGAGTGGTGGATCAAGGAAGAGGATATAAGCAAAAGCAAGCGGAAAGGGGGGCGGAAAGATGCCAAGAGCGAGGATGACGAAGACGAAGAACAGAGTAGCGACGTCGACGAGGAAGAAGAACAAGACGATGATGAATCTGGCAATCGTCGCAAGAAGAATACTGTCGATCATTCAGACGAGAGCGAACAGGAGCAGGATAGCGACAATGAGAGGAAGAACAAGGAGAGAAAACGTTTTGGAGGGGCCGCTGGGTCGGCTGGATCAAGTCGTCGTAATAGTCCTAAGATCAATTCGGGAACCTCGCTCAGCCACAATGGCGGCGCCAGGAAGGGTTCTGCAGCAGGATCTACTGCTGCTGGCATATTGAATTCAAGGTCGCGTGGCAAAAACTCGCCAGCGCCCCAGGCAACCAAGAAGGCTCCGGCAAAGAAGGGAAGCGTGAATCGGAAACGTAAGATCTCTGACGACGATGATGAGGAAGAGGAGGAGGAAGAAGAGGAGGATGATGACCAGGAAGAAGAGGCGGAGGAAGAGGAAGTGGACGATGAGGAGGAGGAGGAGGAGGAGGAGAACGAGGAAGATAAGGAGGTCAAGCCAAGAAAGAGGCAGAGTAAACGACCGATACGGAAAGCGGCAAATGCAGCAGCGTCGAAGACGAGAGCGAGCAGTCGCAATAAGGCCAAGCCAGTGACGAGAAATGGGAAGCGGAATCAGATCAAGGACGACGACGACGAAGCCGATGAAGACGAAGACGAGGACGAAGAGAACGAGGGGGAGCAGAGTGGAGAGGATGAGATCGATGAGAGCACGAAAGATCAAGCGGACGAGGACGTCGACCAAAACGGGGAGGACGAGGACGAGGACGAGGACGAAGATGAGGAGGAGGAGATGGAGAAGGGCAAGCTGCCGATCTACTCGCAGAGACGCGCGGCAGCCTCGGCCAACTCGAAGCTGATGACAAAGTCCTCGCCCACATCGTCGTCGTCCTCTGCGTCTGGCTCTGGGACAAAACCTAAGGCTGCAACCGTAAAGCGGCGCGGAAAACTGAAGCGGCGGATCCCGTCTGATGATGACAGTGACGAATAGACCCGTATCCTAGGGTCGAACAAACAATGACATAGCACCATGTAATAAACAGAGTCGTTAATCAGTGCGCGCGCTCCTCAGGATCTCTGCGCCCCGATGTCCAGTAGACAGACGGACAACCCTCATGGACGCTCGGCACTGCAGTCCACTTTGATTCCAAACAACATACTCCAATATGTTGCTGGTATTGCTGTTTTGCTTGCGGGCCTGAAAAGGGAGGGGAGGGCTGTCTATGCGATCTGCAGAGTTGGCCGTGCCTCCAGGGATGGGCACCACAGCCCAGCGGCTCCTCTGCACGTCCCAGTGAAGGTGGCCTCTAAGGACGTGCCGTAGACAGGCTAGCCCCCCATTGGCTGATGCAAATCTATCCGCGCATGCGCCTGTAACGGTTTCCCTATGACGTCTGAAGTGCAATTGCTGGATATATAAATACAAATGCGCTCCTCCTCACTTCTTTCTGCATTACATTCATCTCTTTAAACCCCCATTCACATTCAACAAGGCAAAAAAAAAAAAAAAACACAATGCCACCTCGCTTTGTCCCGACCGCTAGCCCACGCTGCCCCCGCTGCTCCAAGGCTGTCTACAGTGTGAGTGCGCACCTCATATTTCATCTGGACATATTTGTGTGTCTCACATGCTTCTAACGACCTTTTGTCAATCCTGGACCCTTTCAATAGGCTGAACAAGTTATTGGTCCGAACGGAAGTGCATGGCACAAGGCCGTAGGTGCACCTCGTTTATTGTTATCAAAAGTGAAAGGCCTCTTTACTGCTTTATACTAACATTGTCGACCATACCTTTATCTTTTTCTTTTTCTTTTTTTTTCTTTTTTTTTCTTTTTTTTTGGTGGTAGTGCTTTACTTGTCGAGAGTGCAATCGCCGATTGGACTCCATGACTCTTGCAGAACATGAAGGCGAGGTATAGAGGAATAATGGCTCGTGGCTATCTTCAAACTGTATAGGGGCATAGGGTGGCGAATTAATGCGTTCAGCATGATTAATTTTGAAACACAGGCTTACTGCAAATCGTGCCACAAAAAGATGTGGGGACCTACTGGATACGGTTATGGGAGCGGACTATTGGTGCGCGAAGATCCCGAGAGTCAGTTCAAGCAGAGCATTGGACGCCCCGTCAACAGCAGCACCAGCGACACTGCTAGCGCGTCCTACAACAACCTTGACGACGCTATCACCTACCACTCCACAGGAGGCAGCAGCTCTGCGGGCGACTTTGCGAGCTCTCGACCCGCTCATAATGAGGAGACAGAGGAGCAGAGACATGAGCGACTCACGCCCGTGAATTCAACCCAGAAGAAGAGGAACTCTCTGGATATGATTCGGGAGCAGGCTGAGGCTTCACGCCGGGCTTATGATGACGCGCATGCTCAGCGTGTCGCCAACAAATATGGCCGCGTCAATCCCAACTTGACTGGCGGCTCCACAGCCAGCACGGGAAGCGGCAAAGGAGAGCATCTCTTTTCGGGCAGCAATTACAATGGCTCGAGCTCGGGATACTTGTCTGGAGGCTCCGATACCTCTTCCGCATTTGGGTCAACAATGGCGACGACTTCATCTCCCGCCCCTTCCCTCTCGTCCATTTCCTCCGTGGCCTCCTCGAACCAGCCTGCTACAAAATCACTATATTTGAACCATCCCCTTCGATCGTCCTCCGCCATGTCGTCTTCGTCATTCCAGGAACCGCAGGATGCGGAATCAGATTATGCAAGGAGTCGTCAAGCCCTGTCTTTCCAAACTGGAGCACCTCCTCAGTCTTCAGGATCGTACACTCCTACGCAGTCTGGACCGCCACCACTACTCCCCAAGAGAGATTTCGAGTCCAAGGTGGCCGCGCCGAGCCCTCAGCCTGGCAGCGAACAGGGCGACGATTCGTATCTGGAATATGCTCCCATTCGTATCGTGGCGCGCAAGGAGGAGCCTCATTCGTCGAAGGCTGCGTCTACGCCACCAGCTGTCGATGAGGACGAGTGGGGTACGGAACCGACCGAAAAGAAGAAGCATGCGGAGACTACGACGCCCGCGCAACCAATGTACCAATCACAGTACTTGCAGCAACAAAGACAGCAGCAACAAGAGCGCGAATCGGCGCCTGCAGCTCCATCGCCGTCTTCATCGTCTGTGCGTCCAAACCAGCTCATCAGTGAGGCTGATAAGCTGAATTTGAGAGAGCAGGAGGAGCGTCAGCAGCAGGCAAGGACCTCGGAGGCTTCGACTGTGGGGGCTGATGAATGGGATGAAGAACCTACCCCTACAGTGCCTTCTACCCCTCAGAACATCAAATACATGCCGGCTCGCAATGTCTCCTCTGCCGCCATCCGCACCTGGACTCCGACAGCCAACACATCCTCAGACTATTTGTCAAGCAACACCCACTCAAGGACAGCCTCTGCAGAACCCAGCGTCAGCCCTACCACTGCAACGAACCCTGTTAACTCGAGCAACTTTGGTGCAACCGCGCCCAAAACGAGCTATTACCGATCTGGAGGATCCATGACGCCTAAGAGAGCGACCTCGTCTTACGGCGGTGGCGGTGACATTTGCCCAAGGTGCCAAAAGATTGTGTACCATGCCGAATCAGCTCTTGCACCAGGTGGCGCCAAGTACCACAAACTGTGTCTGCGATGCGTCGAATGTTCAAAGAGTTTGGACTCGACCAACATGACAGACAGGCAGGGCACCCCTTACTGCAAAACTTGCTACGGAAAGGCGTTTGGCGCCAAGGGCTATGGATATGGCAGTGGTGCTTCCATGCTCCACACCGAACTTTAAGATTCCAAAATATAGTAGTGCGAACAATGAGACACAAAGCAAAAAAAATAATATATCGTATATTCAATGTCTGTACACTCTTGATATCCCTGGATATTCGGGTCTGCAATCTTGGGCATACATGCAGCTCTTTGCTCACACTCTACAGGACCTCAAACTTGATCGACTGTGCCTCGGGCCTCATGGCATTCACAGTAAGAGTGAACGTGCCCTTTCCGATTTTTCTCTTCAGGCCCCTGCCATGGTACAACAGAGCGGCTCTGGTGACCTTGAACCTCACCTGCTTGCTTTGGCCAGGAGCAAGGTCGATCTTTTCGAATCCCTTGAGTAGGAAAGCCTCGGGCATGATGTCGCTGCGGTAATCTTGCGTGATGTACCAGAAAACTGTCTCTTTGACTGGTCGATTGCCCCTGTTCTTGATCGTGATCTTTGCGAGAATACTGGGAATATTCTTCATCTGAATTTTCTCATTACTGCTAGGTGCGGCTGGTGCGGGCCTATGGTCTACTTGGCCCCTGTTGCTATCATTATCTCCGTCGTCGCCGAAATCATCGTTTTCATCCAGATCACCCTCATCGTCAGGCAGAGTCGTCTTTATGACCGGGTGGTTCAGTACCAAACCTCCGTATTCCACCGTGGTGTACGACAATCCAGCACTGAATGTGAACAAGGGCTTGTAAACATCCACACCCGACCGATAATAGTTGGTCGCCATGTCGCCGGGTCCACTAGGATAGGTCATAGGCAGTCGTCCAGATGGGTTCACAGCGCCACTTATAACTTCTGCAATCGGATGTCCACCCCACGGCCCGGGCAAGTAGGCCATGACGATGGCGTCCAAAAGCCCTTCCGTATCCTGCAGCCCTCTTGGTCGCCCTTCCACTAGAACAAGGACGATCTTGGTATTTGTTCCATGGACTCGAGCCTTAACTTGGCGGATCACGTCCAACTGCCCTGTGGGCAGATCAAGGTCATTGATATTACCAACAATCTCGGCATAAGGCTTCTCACCCAGGCAGATAATCACTGTGTCAGCACCGTCCACCGCCCCGAGATGCGCTCCTTCGTTAATGTTGTTTCTCAGGGGTTTACCATCAAAATCGACACTTGGCACATACGAGACAGCACTGGAGACAAACTCCTTTTGGAGTCCCTGGAGAATGCTCTCGCCTCGACCTTGGTACCAGTCGTCGGAATCAGCGCCCTGCCACTTGATTGACCACCCTCCAGAGAGCGCCCTAATCGAATCTGCAGCTGGTCCAGTGACAACAATCTTCTTCTGATTCTGTAGGGGTAAGATGCCATTGTTGTTCTTCAGAACAGTGATACTCTCGCGAACGGCGCTCTTGGCAGTCTCAATGTCCTGCTTGCTTCCAACATATGCCAGTAATTTTGGGTCGCTGAATGGTTGCTCAAACAATCCTAAATCCTTCTTCAACTGCAGCACCTTGGCGACAGATTCGACCAGTCGTTGCCGCTGCAATTTGTTCTCCTGGATCAGCGCCACTGCGTCCTTTGAGAATGACTCGGACTCGGGTACCATAACCATATCGACCGAGGTTTGCTTCAGACACTGCAGCGTCGCATCCTTGAGCGAGGACACGGTTCGATGCTCTGTAAAGAGTCGATCAAGTTCCTGCCAGTCTGTCACGAGCATGCCTTTGAACCGAAGACGTTGCCGAAGCAGCTCTGTGAGATAGAAGTTGGATCCGACAACGGGCTGACCGTTCACATCAATGTAGGTCTCCATCGCAGTCGCTACGCCAGCATTGATAGCAGCCTGGAAGGGAGGGACAAAATAGTCCATCAGATAGTTATCCGGAATCCACGCAGAAGCCCTATACCGTTCAGCAAAGGTATAAATATGGGTTATTTACTCGCTTACCACCAAGAACTGACGATGCAAGTCAAATAAAACCGTTACTCTTACTTGTCTTGGCCATTACGGGAGGCAGAGTAGCCGATAAAGTGCTTCATGCACGCTGCGACGCGCATTCGGTCCCTCTTGTAATTACCCTGAAGACCCTTGATAGCCGCACTGCCCATCTCAGATACCACATGAGGATCTATAGAACACACATTAATGTCAAACTTATTAACAATGACGCTTATCAGAATATTCAAATGTGTTTAACATGCTTCCAATTTTCCTTTCAGGCTTACCTTCACCAAAGGTCTCGTAGACGCGTGGCCATAGTTTGTGTACAGCAACATCGAGGATGGGGGTAAATACCCAGGGGATACCTGCCGCGCGTGTGTCCTTGGCAGTGATGCGCCCAGCCTCGTACGCCGTGGTTGTGTTAAACGTGGCGGCGAGTCCGATCTGCTGAGGGAGCAAGATGGATCCATCGACGTAGTTTGCGCCATGAACTGAATCCAAGCTGTCAAGGCGAACAAGCAACGTAGACAGTAGGCAAAGATAAAAAAAAAAAAAAAAACGATGTGGACACCAGAATACCAAACGTAAGTAGGCGTGCTTTTTGCTGTTTGATTTTTTTGAATAGATTGATAGACTAACACCACGCTCTTACCCGTAGATCATCGGGACTTTCTTCCCGGTCGATATGGCAACCTTTTGGATGACATCTGTATAGAGAGGATTAAAAAAAAACGTGGTGCGTGTGAGGACACGGCGGAATTACTTCCTCGCAGATGGAGAAATCATAGGGCGCAAAAGCTTAAGACGTACCGACAATCTTTGCGAACTGCTTGGCAGAGTAAGAGATGTACTTGCCCCCATGACTGGTTTTTTTTTTTTTTTTTTTTTTTCGGTAGACAGCATGCACAGTGTCAATTAAGATTGGGCCTGAGGTTTTTTTAGCGCGTATCGTAACAAACCCATGCGTGCATGCATAATCGCATTTCAGGCAGTAAGACGTACTTTGTTGGTGTGTCCAAGAAACTCCCCACGCCCCATTCCCCGATCCAGTATTGGACCTTGGCCATATCTAACTCGCCTTTGCTGTCCAACAACATCCCAATTTGAATCTGGGTCATTTGGCCCGCCAGCTCGCGAAGAGTCATGCTTTGAGCCAGTTTGAGCATGTCTGGATCTGCTGTTAGGGATGGACTAGGAGGGTTCTTATCCTTGAGGGCATCTTTAGGGGAAGGTGATGATCGCGCATCGTCTTGAGTCGGGTACGTAGAGTCGGGTTTGCGGCCGCCGTAGGTGTCGCGATCGATGATCTGCGACATGCCTATGGTCTGCTGTGGATTAGAATCCTCAGTGTCCTGGGTCGTGAGGACTGCCTCTGACGCTAATGCTAACACTTCTGATGCAGATTGAAGGAGCGATGTGGTTAAGAGAATTATCAGGGATATGGAGAGGAACTTGGGGCGGCGGCGACGATGAGGAGGACTGGCAGGCCGTGTGAAGCTAATGCCGGTGGTAGGTCCGGTCATGGACACAGTAGTATGAAAGTGAAATGTAATGTAGGAGAAGATGAGCAAGGAACAAGGAGAAATGATAGAAAAAGGGAGAGAGACAGTAAAGGTTTACCTTGGCTTTATATAGTTCGGTGGATTGTCTGTGCTTCCTCATGCCATCATTACTCAGGACTCTCGCAAAAAAGGACGTCCATGCTCCTACTATTTCCTTAGACATGCAGACCAAGACTACTCTTTTTTTTCAACCCCTTTACTTTTCTTAGTTTCTGTCTTCAATTTTATTATTTTGGATCAAGGTGTGATGAAATAAATTCTTTCAGGGCACAGACCTTCACCCGACATTACATTCAGAGCCACTCGCCTTTTGAATCGGCGTGCATGTAAGGATGTGCAGAAGGATATCCCTGTGGCTGCTGGTTAAAGCTCTGTAGAGGGTTTACCTGTACAGAGCCACATGTCTGTCCGTTTGTAAAGCTCTTTCCTCTCCTGTAGCACTTCACCTCCCCCGTGTACCGGCTGGCAACCCATCCGCCCACCAACAATACCAGCACTTGGACCGCCGTGCCCACGCCTGCGATCAACAGCACGTATTTATAGCAAGCTTCCACATCGTCCGCCAATGTGGCTAAACCCACAGCTCCGCTGTCGTTTTCATTTTGCAACAGGTCGGCCTGACAGATGCTCTTGACTTCGTCCTTGGCCCGCGTCGCCAAGAAGATCATGCTGAAAGTTGAAAGGATTGTGATCAGGACGGTGACCGTCCACCAGAGAACCGAGAAGTTTTTGGCGAGCGCGTACCGCTTGAAGATGACGCTCATCAGTCCGGAAACACCAAGGATTCCATATATACCCGTACTGACATAGGCAACGGTTTTGGCTGTTGAGTCTATGACATTAGGGAGACGCCAATAGAGCAGATAAGTCAGAGAAAATGCCCCCTACCATGTAGAACAAAGAACAAACACAAGCGACCCGGTCTTGTATGTTGTATGTTACCTGTGACGCCAGCTCTCAAGACACTCCAGATACTGAATCCTCCAAGGGCAAGGGCCAGGAGTGAAAAGATAGTGACCCCGAGGCGGAATGGGATGCAAAAGCAGCAGTAGTCACGATGTGTTGGAGCCATTTTTATTAAAAGAGGGGTGGTGTGCGTTTTTGAAGGGCATCTGCGATCCCTTTTATGTTAAAAAGCGTCTCGCGCTGTGGAAGGATAATATCTTAAAATAGCTTGGGCAGGGTAGGCGCAGCAACAATCAACTGGAGATTTTCTGAGCACAGCCCCATTTCAACATTCCAGCAATAAAGTAAAATGGGGCAGTGCGTACCGCACGCTATTGATAGAGTTGAGCAAGCACCTAGAAAAAGGAGGAAGTGGGCTAGGTTTATACATCTGTTTAAGAGAGGCGATGCTCAAGACCTTGAGCTCTTCAGGAACTTGAAAGCACACACAACCCTAGCCCTTCATTGCAACGGTCGTTCCTCGTACTGTGGACAGCGAAAAAGGGAGAATCTATAACTAGCTTATCTCGTAAAAAAATCATTCGCCGACCCCCGCCTGTCATGTGTAGACGTGTGGTTATTCGTCGACCCCTCTGCTATTTGCCAGCCCTTACTTCCTTAGTTCCATGCAAAAGTTATATGTCGTCCTATCGATTCGTCATACCCCTTCTTGTCTGTTTGTCGCCCCGCCAACTAGCCATATGGATCACTGCCTGCTTACCACCTTATCAACTTGACATATTGTTCTGGCTTTCTTTTTTCATCTTACGAATGAACAAAGCCCCACATTGATCCTACATTGACTCCATATTGATCTCCTATATACCAGCTAGAGCTAGGATCTTGTGCGCGCGAGGTCTTCCTTTTTATTTTTGATCTTATTGAAGTCTTTAATATGTCGAGGTAGTCCTCGGCTTTTTACGTTTACTGGGCTGCTCCATACTACCCTTGAGTCGCTTTTCCTTGGCTCTTCCCTTTGTAATTGCAAATAGACCCATTTTTCATTAATGGCTTTGTTCAACATCTTCAGCGCCGCCATGCACATCCCCGGATCATCTAATGACTGTCTCGCTGAGTGTTTGGCTTCACCCATGATTTCGCCATAGAATCTGGTCTTGGGTAGCTTAGCCGCGCTCGGTCGCACTTCCCTTGTTGCATTGAATAGATAGAGATCCATATGGCTAGTTGACGGGGCGATAAATAGCAGAGGGATCGACGAATAACCCACGCGTCTACACATGACAGGCGGGGGTCGGCGAATAGATATTTTGAAAAAAAAAAAAAAAAAAAAAAAAACACTTAAAGACCAAACGAAGGTCGTAAAAAGTTCCCAATCCGGGGTTCGAACCCGGGCCGCCTCGGTGAAAGCGAGGAATCCTGACCACTGGACCAATTAGGATTTTATCCTCTAATGTCTCTGCTATGTGATCTTTAAGTATCTTTTTTAATAATATGCGTAAGTTCTCTAAGCGCAAAGACCCCTTAATAAATATTCTATAACTGCATTCCGTGCTCTCAAGAAATTAAGACCATCTCCCAGATGTACAGGTTACAATTGGAGAGATGGTCTTGGCAGATTAGCAGGTGAGGAGCCTGCCAGCTAGCCGAGCGGATCGCAGGAGAAAGACCTCGGGACGCTTAGGGAGGTTACAGTGAAGTTGTTGGAGATGGTGCGACTGCCACACTAGAAGATTTAGGGCCAGATAGACACAAGTCTCAGAGACTATTCACTAGGAAACCAGCACTGATTGTTCTCTCTCGGAGGCCATGTTGAATAAAAAAAAAAAAAAAAAAAAAAAAAATATTCTATAACTGCATTGTTCGAGAGAGAAATTGTTCTGTAATTGCATATTACATAGGCGAACAGTCTTTTACTGCACGACCGCCACTTTTGTACTCACTCCGCCCACCCTTCCTGTATCCCTTTTGTCCTGATTCTGCTTTCCTTCTTTGTCGCCCCTTGCTGACGATGACTACCCCGATGCCCTTGTTTGTACTGGTAAGCGCTGCATCTCTTTCTATTATTTTGAAGAACATCAGCGAGAAAGATATGTGGGATTACGCTTTCACACTAAGAAAGTACGTATTTAACCTAATTATGGTATAAGTGGTATAAGTATGGCATTGACTCTGGTAAATATACGACACACGCTTCGCGATCTCCTCCTCCTCATCCATTTTCTCGCTCTATCCACCATCGCGTTCGCGCCGATCAATAAGTGCAAAGAGACTTTTCGACGTGTTCGTAGACACAAATAACACATTATCACATTATCACATTATCGCATTATCAAGATCTTTGTAACAAACTCGGTTCCTTCTGGTGTGGATCAGGTATCCACTTGATATGGTAGATTTGGTTCGTGCTTTAGTTGTTTCTTTGCCCAATTAACTGTCCCATCCGTACCGAGGCCCGTTTATGTTAAGTGTAACGCCTGATTGACCCGTACTCTCCGCTGCCACTGTGTTCTCTCCAGTTCAGGCGTATCGCCGAGATTGTTACAGAAGGAATAATATATATTTCTATATAAATATACCAGTTTTGCAACAAGCTCTTGAAGGATTCATCTGGCCTCCCCAGGGTTCCAGGAAAGCCTCGAGTCAAAGAGAGGATGAGTATGTTAACCCGCATCCGGTCAGCCCCTATTAATTTCTGAAGCGGTTCTACCATTCAGGGCATATCTGTTAAAAAAAAAAAAAAATGTTGCGAATCGAACCTAACACAATGATGGAAGAGAAGCAGCAAGTTTCGTGAGATAGGCTCTTGGCGCGTCAGTCATCTTTTGATGAAGATGGATATTCTTTGTAGTCAAGTAGAAATGACAGTGAATCTCAATCCATATCCAACAACAATCATCATAAAATAAAAGTTGTGACGCCTACCTCTTATTTGTTCTCTTGTTATTCCATGCAATAAGGCTCGGGGAATAAAAAAGTATCTCACAAGCACCGTGCTGCTGCCAATTTACGCTGCATGTATGCGGACATGCACATCACAAACAGCGTGGGGTGAAGTAAACAGGGTCGTGGATTCGGTTACAGTGTTCTGAATCGCGGCATGAACGGACCAATTGGTTTGGTGGAGAGATTGGCACACACCAGCCGCGTGCGTGCCTCAGCACCCTGTACTTTGCTGCTTTTCTTAGACTGGGTTCATTCGTTGATTTTGAGCAAGGGATTATTTGTTTTTTGTTGTTTACAAGCAAGCTTTATACCTCTCGATATCGCGCATTCCTACATGTCCACAATTTCATCCGGTCATTCAATCTTTGGGTCTCGCAGCCGCCTATGCTCCTGCTTCTCTGGAACGATTTTGCATTTGAACAGCGGGCTTTGACTTTAATCTGTGTATGTCTGCATACATCTGAGATGGAGGGCAGATTTTTGGGTTTCTTCCAGCCGCAAAGCGCTTTAAGTCTTGACATGACCTTTCAAGGTACAAACCCGTCATCTATCCTTTGAAGGATGTCCTTTTAGACCTCTGATTCGCCTTGTTAGCATTATTGTTCAGCTTGAGTTTGTTTTCTGTTGATTGCATAAAGGAGTTCATTGTCAAGCGCAGGAGACGCTGCACTTTTCGTTTATGAATAATGAATATGGTTTGTGTAGAAGAATTTTTTCTTCTCGGGTGTTGTTTGTTCTTCCCTCCTGGCGTGATTGCGCGCGCTCTTTCGCTCTTATTTCGAGTTCGCCTCCGACGTAGCCTCCTAGTCATAAAGAATTCGTTGCGCCTATGCTCTGCGGGGAGACAAGAGGCAGGAGAGAGGAGGGAGCTGTGGTGTATTCGATATCTGCTGCTTTTATTTCTGGACGAGATATGGACCCTCTCTCCAACGACTTGCTCGATTACATTGTAAGGAACACATATCTATATGTCTAGACGTATGCGTTGCAGGATGAAGAGAATCGCCACCCCTACACCTTCTCGTCCTCAATAGGCTGATTGTATCGAATCGAAATACAGAATACAGAGATACAGTTTGGCTCTCGATACAGATGCTGTGGGTCAGACATATTGAGCCACAAAGCGCGGACAATCATGTATTGCCGCGACCATGTTACCTGATTTGGCGAGTTGCGCCAAAAAAATGAAATTGAATGGTTGAATGGTACAACCTTGTGAACAGTAATCTATTACGGTCCGACCTTTGTGCCTGTAGACTATGCCATGCTGGGTTCGTGCCATTGAGGTAGCGTTGCTGCTCCTGTTGACACAGTTTTCCGTTTCTTCTTTTCCTTGTCCCTCTCTCCTACTCTTTAGATGATCCATATTGTCGCCTGCAAGAGCATTGACTGCGTCTGTTGTTGCCACCTGATTGCGCGCTCTGTTGTCCCTCTTTCTTTTCCGCGCTTCCTTCTATAGACTACCCACAGCACCTTTTCTTTTCCATTTTCTTCTTTCTCTCATTCATTTTCCTTTTCTTTTCCCCTCTCCTTCTCCTTCTCCTCTTTCTTTCTTCTCATTTCATCCTTGCATAGTGCCGCACAGTTCTTTGTTCACTGTCCTTCTCATCAAATTCCTTCGCCCTTTAGTCTGTCCCTCAACAGTGCATCTTAGAACACACCTCCCGATCAATCAACGGTACCATTTATGGCCCTCTATCGAGGTCTTCGATTCTGCTGAAAAACCAGAAGTAATTTCCTTCAAGCGTGCTTGGAAACAACCAAGACTTGGACTACCACCCACACGCCTTGACTCCCCTCGATCGTCTTCCTCGCGCTAATTATTCGACATTTTCCCTCATAGGCTGTCTTCAAACCATCGAGGTAACCTACATCTCCCAAACACCGTCCAACGCCCCTGAAATATTTATTTCCGGGTGCCCAGTTCGCCGCCATTTCTTAAGAGACGTCAAAATACACCCGGAGTAGCGTTCCGATAAATGCCAGTCAACTGTGGTTAAGCATTAGATGTGCTTCCCTTGTCCTTTGCGTCTATCTAATATCGCCGTCTCCAGTTCTCGTCCTCTTCGCCACGCACTCGTTCTTTCGCAAGGGAAAAGGTTTTTTTTCTCTGCTGCGAATCGAAATATTACTTTTTTCTGCTACCAAGTTCCTCTCCGGGAAAACTTCGTCCGCATCCTTTTCCTCATAATCACTTCGCCCTCTCTGCCTTGAGCCCATATAATCACAGTTCTTGCATCTGACAAGGTCGAATCATGCTCTAACCAGAATCTGGACTTCGTCGCCTCTAAATAGCCAGCGAGATCATTCTGACTGTTCCCCCAGCGCTGTCATCAGCAGACGAATCTATCTTGCCAACAACGCGTGGCAATAGCACCTTTCAGAATTCAAGTAACTTGAGGTTCCTAAGTGCGAAACGCGCGACTCTACATTTTTCTATCACGACACCAAACGAATGGAGGGAGGCGTTGATGGTCTAGGCAAGTCGGGCCGCTATTTTCGATCAACAGCAAAACTCACGCCTCGCTGTCTGTTTAACTAACATCAGCGTCAAGTTGCGCTGCATTCCAACATTAGTACTTTTCAAGGAGGATGAAGTGCTCATGGACGAAGACCTGGGCTATCAGCTTGGCGAAATAAATAGTTCAATGGGTCCACAGGATAATGAATACTCTCAGCACTTTGGTCAGACACGTCAGCAATTGTTTAACCTGCAGAAATTTCAATCCATGCCCATGCTCTCATCCGATCAACTCAACTGTACATCGATATCATATGAGTCATCTCCCATGGATCTCAGTATAGACTCGCCGAGCTTGGCTAGTCCAGGAACTTCGTCCAAATCGGTAGCGGCAGGAGGACAAATATCCGAGGAAGGGCAACAGAGTCGGACATCCAGTCAGGATTTTGACGACACTAAGCCGGTTGTCAATGGCATCATCCCAAAGCACTATCTATCTTCAACAGGAGGCCATGAGTTTCCGTCTACCCAATTCCACATGAGCGGCATTCTAAGCACCCAGAATGAATCAACACAAGTAGAGTCCCAGTCCAAGCTGCGTCAGCTCTATGGAAATGGATCAAATCATATCGGAGGCGCTTCATCAGATACAGGGGATACAGTAGACGCAGGAGAAGATCCTGCTATCAAGAGGGCGCAGCAGAACCGAGCAGCTCAGCGAGCATTCCGGCAAAGAAAGCAGCAGTACATCAAGTGGCTGGAGAGCAAAGCAGAGGAACTGGACGAAGTGTATCGTATCGTGGCCCTGCTTCGAGCAGAAAACGAGCAATTGCGCGGCCTTGCCATGGACCTGGATGCGAGCCTTGTTAACAGAAAAGGGGGCGCCATCAATAGCGAAATTAAAGCGGCAAGATCATTGCTATCTCCGTCTTCGTCTTCTGCGGTGGAAGTTTCGTCAAGCCACCGAATTGACCTGTCCCTGAGCAGAGAGGTCACAATGCGCTTGATGAATCTGGCCGCGCTTTCAGGGGTAGGCCCGAATGGCGATCGGGAGGGAGCCTTCGGTCGACCAAAGTACCAGCCTAGATCAGCGAATGACGGAAAAGGAAGTCGGGCTAAGGGCAGAGCAGCGTATAAGCTGAATCAGTTGAAGGACCAGCAACAGCAGCAGCTACTGATGCTCCAAAACCAGCAGGTATTACAGCTGCAGGAACAACAGCAACAGCAACAGCAACAGCAACAGCAACAGCAACAGCAACAGCAACAGCAACAGCAACAGCAACAGCAACAGCAACAGCAACAGCAACAGCAACAGCAACAGCAACAGCAACAGCAACAGCAACAGCAGCAACAACAGTGGATACAACAGCAGCAGCAGAGCATGACCATGTCTATCCTCCCAGCAGCAGATACCATGATCCATCCCCCCATTATAGCACAGTCTCCGCAAAGTAAGTTGCATTATATCTCTCCCGCCTTGCCACGGACGCGTCGTGATGCACAGCACCGTGTAGCACTGAAAATGACTAGCGTAAACCTTGTTTCTGACACTATTTTTTTTAAGCTCTGTCACCAGTGCAAAGAGTAGTGCAGCCAATGCCGCAAGACGGTCTCACGAAGATTCAGCAACATCAAATCGGCGTTAATGGTGGAACAGCTGGACTTGGCCATGGTATCCATGCTCAAACCACAGTTGCTTCAGCCCATTTCCACTATCCATTTGCCAGCAGCAGCTCTCACCTAACTATTTTGCACCAGCAGAACATTTCACAACACCAACAGCAACAAAGTCAACAAATTCAGCATCTACATTCGCCTTGCCAGACACAGCTCGAATGGGGACAGACGCCATCTCTCCACCACCCCGCGGAAACATCTCAAGCTTACTGGGAGGAAGAGGACGCCTGTGGCACGAGTCGTCTACGTCGATTTTCCATGCCCACACTTCGTCTCTCGTCCAGGGCTGAGCTTCAATGCCTAGAGTCAGTAAGGATTGGTGCCCATGGATCAGGAGTGACAGAGGTCTTCCAGACAACACACACAATGGCAGGCGAGCCTAGTCATAGCAATGTACAGAGAAACCACCAGCAGTCGATTCTTACCAGTATTGGACGATGAATAAAAAAAACTATACATTTCTCTGGTGGGAGGCAAAGGAGGGTTTATTGTTATTTGAGAATCGAGCAAGGGAGGTCTGAAATACTCAGTTTAATGACGCCTCATGTACTGACAAAAGCAAGCATGACTAAGGCTCCGACAATGCTCGCAATCATTATCAAGTAACACAGTTTCTCTCTTGACTGACGCTGATGTTCGCTCGCCTTGAGGACTTCCTGCTGTGCCAATTGGATCCGTCCTCGGGTCTGCAAAATATTGTCGTGCAAGAAATCGACACCGCTTCGTTGTTCATGAACCAGCGTGCCAAGCTCCCTCATCACATCCAAAACCTGACCCATACCCTCCTCCACTTTCCGGATCTCGGACTCGCGTTCCTGAAGTATACTCTCCTGGAAAACCAACTCGCCATCCACAGCCAGAATCTCGCGGAGGAGGGCTTCTTCTTGCGTAGAAAGCTCACGATCATGGAAGACACCGAGGTCTGAGCTGCTTTTACCACTTGCGATAGGTTTACCGTTCAACAAGTTCAACGCTCCGGCCTCAATCTCCTCCTGCGACAAATCCATTAGATCAGAGCGGTGCTGGCTCAGTCGTCTGAGGGATGCACTCGAGGATAGACGTCTCAATGTTGCAACCTGCCGCCTTTCAGCCTCGACAGTCTGGCGCTGTAGTTCCTGGAATGCCTTGCTGACCAGGGCCAGATCCTTGGTCAGCCTCTGGTGGGTTTGTCGCCGACTTGCCATGACCTTGCGCTCCCAGGAAGACATCTCGCTCATAGATTGTATCGGTTGGACGCGAATACTAATTTCGGAGCGTGGACTCCCAGAGGTTGGCTGGTGGTACTTGGCCAGAACTTTGATCAATCCATGAGCAGACTTGACCAAGTCTTGTGTGCCATCCAGGACGGCGTGCAAACTAGCCCGCATCTCGGCCGTGTCCTTATGGCGCTGACCCAGACATGGAACTAAACGCTCCAGCACTGCAATGTTGGACGAGATATTGAAAATTTGCTGGGAGACATGGCGTACCATCAAGTCATAGTCGTGTTCCTGATCCTGAATTGATGTCGAAACCGGTACTGCAGTAACTGGTACATATGCGGAGGGAGAGAATGCCACCGTAATGGACGGTGATCCTGATATAGCAGAGGTTACGTCGATGACCGTGTCGTGAGTACTGTTGCTGTTGGTCTTGGGTCTCTGAGCTGCCCCTGAATCAGGTGGTCCTTGATTATCCACCCTACTAAACCCTCGGTACTGGTTTTGCATTGGACTCGTTGGAGGGGAGAGGTGACGAGGACTGGTGGGTGGGGATAGAACCTGGCGTCTCTCCTGGTCTCCTGGACGACGTTCCCCCAAGATGCGGTTACTCCCACTGCTGCTGCCCTGCTGAGTGGCGGGTGCTGCTGTAGGCACAGCTTGTGGTGACCGAGGTTTTACGACTCCTGTGATATCGGATGCTATTACGACATCTGAGGGAGTAAGCGTCGGCCTGGGTGTGTCGAATCTCGTGTTATCATCGAGGAAACGCGAGTGTTGGGCCATGGAGTTGTTCGACTTGCGCTTGGGAGAGACTGGGGGCGGGTAGGGCGCATGGGCGTGGGCGTGTGAGTGTTTCTGCAAAGCCGGTTTGTGGTCGAGCCCAATGCTGTCTCGGCTATTGCCTCGGGCGACCTGCATCCCACTCGGGAGTTTGATTGGTGGCGACACTGGTGAATAGGGCGACTTTCTGTCCGAGGTGGTCAAGGTCATTGTGGCGGTCGCGGTGATGATTGGCCCAAGATGGCGTTTCGTGCTGCCCTCGTCGCGATGGTTGGGCGAGAGGGGAGGGGTGGTGAGGCCGCGTTCCAGGTCTGTGAAGGACATGGTGAAGGATTGTTCTAGGATGAAGAATCGATGTGATCAAGGACAAGAAAGTGAAAGAGAGAAAGAAAGAAAAGAAGGAAAGAGGAGAGGAAAGGATGTCACGGCAATGTTTAGCTGCCGCCAACACTTCCAAAGAGAAAAGGAGAGGATTCTTTAGGACACGAGGTCTGCCATGCATGCTGGAAAATAGGGGCCAGACTACGGCATTGTGACAGATGCAGCTGCAGATTATTCTCAGGCCAGCCAGCCAAAGCTTATGTGAAGGAGGCACAGCGAACGGACTCGCGTGCTGCAAACGCCTGCTGAGGCCTACACGGGCGAATTTCCGCATCGTAGATGGAACGCTAAACAAAAGAAAAAAATGGCGGGAAGCATCTTTGAATGTGCGGGAGTAGATTATGAAGTTTAGGAACAGAAGATGGACATACCGAGGTAAGCCCCTATATCCAATGCTTGTGAATACAAAGGGCCTTTTCTGTTGTTGGCACTGGCGCCTTATGGATGCCCGCAGGGAACGAGTGCATAATCATCCTCAAAGAGTCTGATCCCCAAACGGATATCTGATGAGATTGACGAGTGGATCAAACCAGAGCAATGGAACTGACAGAGCCTATGGCCACCAGAGTTTGGCAAAATGGCGCCATTATTTAGATTTCGCAGATACTTTCTGTTCAAACCACCAACTACGACGGCCTCAACAAAGCGGGGAAGCGTGTGGGATCAGGTCGTCCAGCCGAGCGCAGTATGAATTCAGCAAGTCGCGGTTAAGTCCTTTTCAGGATCCGATAGTCTCTCGTACTGCAGAAAATATACATCTGCTGAACGTCGATAAACATGCACATCATGAATTTTTTTCCTTTCTTTCCTCGCGCAATCTGGAGAAAGAAGCTTTATCCTTGCGCCTGGGAAAGTACCGTACAAATATGTAGACTACATACATGAACACAAACATGCATGATGGAATGGAGCATGAAGTCCAGGAAAACCACATGCAATCTGGAGCCCTAACCCAGTGGGGCATCCTCTGGAAAAGGAAATTGCCCCTCCCCCCGTACATGGCGCACCTCAGAATGTGGGTATAAGTGGCGGTGCTCAATACGGAAGAACCGGTCTATCTCGGTTCGCGGATGATGTATTTTTAAAGAAAGGGCCAATAGAATCGACCAGGAGCCTTGATGCACGATGGGGGAGGGGGAGGGGGGGTTTTCAAGTGCTTCTTGGGATAGAAATATACTAGGCGCAGACTCGATATCGATAACAGAGCCACAGGGAGAAAGAGACAACCAAGTCAAATGCGTGCTCTTGCCTGGCATAATAATATTGGGGCGAGAGCTAGCGGGTTCTGAGAGCACTTGGTTACGGAGAGCAATATGAATAAGCATTGTGCTCAATATGGTCGTGAAAGGGTGCGCATTATCTCCTGAGAACTCTTATTGGATCGGCTTTGAACGACTGGGGAATGAGGATACGGCGACACATGACTGGACCCTGGTCTGTGTGCCATGCAAATGGACATGGAGTGACGCTTTTGTATGTATCTGCCTTTCACCGCAGGCGAATGGGTTATTGCGCGCGCTGAAAGAACTTCCGGGAAGTACTATAGAGTATCAAGGAGACTACTGTGAATATTGTTGTATCTCTAGCTTCAAACGGCGAGATGGAATGGATGACAACAAAGCGCGGCCGGGCCTCTTTTCGGGGGATCCACTTACTCCGACTCAGGTCATACCTGGGTCTGCCGCGCCGGATTTCAAGGGTCCTAAAACAGAAGTGAAGTGATATAGGTCGTATGATTGAGACGCTGAATCCTAGGTATCGACAATCATTGGCGCGTCTCCTCATTGGAGCTCGATACCATAAAACGGATACCGTATTTGTAGTCGTCGACCCCTTTGCGTACCATAGTTCGGATGCGAAGGAAGAATACACTTCAGAGCGAGCAAAGTAGAAAGATAGTGTAACCAAGGTCTTTCCTTTCGCAGCTCTTCTTTTGCACGACAAAATGCGTGGTTGCTAAATAGTGTACGTACCTGATCTTGAGCTTTTACAGTTTGCGGAGATCAGGCTCAATGCCCGTTCGCCTAGTGTATGCGGATGAAATGTCGGCGGCACCAATGGAGGCTGTCATTCGAAGTATCTATGCGTTCTGTTCAAGGGGTTAGCCCCGGTCAAGAGGGTGTCAGGCCCAGTCAGCTGGTAGAGATGGCACCCTCCCCTATTTGCTCCTTTGCGTTCAGCAAATTACTCCAATTTACCGCCGCCCTTCAAGATTCTCGGGGACGTTGGGATAGACAGTGGAGAGAGATTGAAGGGATATACAATGAATGAGCACGAAAGCGGCATGACGCTACTTTTGACTTTCTCTTCTTTAGAATCATCATCGTCTTAGTCTGCAGTTTTGTTGTTGTTGTTGTTGCTGTCCTTCCCCCCTGTTTTTTCAATAAGACATTGAATATGTTATATTAAATCGAATTCATATGTCGTTCTTTTCATTTCCCCCTTTGTTCTCTTTCTCCTTCTTATTCATGTCAACAGAACACCCAAACCCTCTTTTCTTTTTCTGTTTACTATCCGCTGCTGTGGATGGATGGATTGGACGCAGAAGGTGTTCCTTTTCTTCTTCTTTTCCTTCTTCTTTTCCTTCTTCTTCTTCTTCTTCTTCTCGTACGCACGAATACTCTGCGGACTAAAAAGTAAGCAGAGTGCTCTTAAGGATTCAATCCGGTTGTCCTTTCCTTCCCTCTTCATTTCTTTCTTCCTTTCCATTCTTCTCCTTCCTTCTCTCACAGGTTGTTTGCGTTCTTTCCATCCACTTCAGTACACCCCATTACTCGCTCAGCCCTTCTTATTTCTCCCACTCTCTATTTTCTTTTCTCCTATCCTTCACAACGCCATCTTGCCATTGCCCTCTTTCCTGTAAACATTCTTACACTCCAGATCCCGGTTCTTCTCATATCGGTAGGGATATCAAAAAATGAGAGCGCTCCCCTAAATACACTAGACCCTTTACTCCACCTCCTCTCGTCGTTTTCAACGGGCCATGGTCGAATTTTGATCTGCTGGTGCCTTCGCCATACAATAATATATTGTAATCCATCAAAGAAAGTTTTCCAAAAGTTCCCAGTGGCCATTCCGGGTCTCCCTACGTTCCATCCCCCTCCCCCTTGGATTCTCTTTTTCCACTCGAGAACCGATAAAGCCCTTGCACATTATTTTACGCTTTCTCTTCCGTAATATCCTATTCACATCACAGCCATTTCAAAGATCATCGCCATTTGTCAACAATCTTCACCCTAGCCCTCGTCTGACCTCGTTAGCTCTTTGTTCCCTGGACAAAAATATCCACAATTGTACAACCGCACAATTGCTGCTCGCTCAAGATTAGATCATTAGATTATTTTCCTACCCTTTAAACCATCTTTCGGTGCCAACAAGCCGTATCTGGTCTCAGATGGATTCGTCAGGGGAGGGTCTGAGTTCGCTTTTCAACAGGTACGTCCATACCATACGACCTATTCCAGCGGCTCTATCCCTCAGACCGCAAGCGTCCATGTTGAACTGGCGCATCATATACGTGCCCATCCTTGTATCCTTATACATTCGAACATGTTCATCCAGCAACCTTTGCCTCGGCGAATTAACTTCCCCAGTAATGTAACGATTGCATCTCGGTGAAATAACCATAAACCATATCTAGCCTTGTGGAGTCGTCCGGAAATGCGAGATTGTACTTCAATCGAGGGTCTATACCTGATGCTCTTAATCTGTTGCGGGACGTCAAGCGAATAGTCGGGCAACTTGAGCATCGGTTCGATGATCAGGATCGTTTACAGGCAAGTGAACTCTTTACACACACTCTACGCGAATGCCTACATCGTGCGTTGATTTCTGATGAAATTTTCTCGCCTTTACCAGTCGGCCCATTCATCGCCCTTTGCTATTTTGAACGACTAAAAAAAAGAAAAGAAAAAAAGCAGGGGACTACAACCACATATCCTCCCCTTTTCAAATGCATTGACCAACAGTGCACAGTGCATCTATTGTTCATGCTTCCACAACAATCTTCGATGTCCCATCTTTACCCTCCACTGCTTTGAGCCATATGTAGAACTTGAGTCTACCTTTGCCGAGATTCAATGTCGATTAACACTTCTTCCTATTTTCGCATTTTTCGCGTCTTCTCTCTTCTGTTTTCCTATTTTTATTGGCACCTGCCGTGTTACCATCTCAAACAGCGCCCAACTAGCCATGAAGATGCTGCACAGACAGGTTTCTCGCATTACGCAAATACTGAGCTAGGCCAAGGCGTAAAATTCCCTCATTCGATGCAGATATCCCATGGCCCATCCTACACTAACACTCACCAGCAGCCGCCTTTTAAAAGCTCCTCATCTCCTGGGCAGCTTCTGGCACATGGCCAGAGCAACATTGCTGGATCTTTACCAGGATCCCGACCAAGGTCTAGGTCCAGCTCTGAATCGGCCCATAATTTCCAGCCGGCAGTACCTGTGAAATCGTTTCAGCATATGATCAAGGAGGTGGATGAATATCACGAGCAACAAGGATCAAAGATACACGAGAGAGCAGGGCTCGCCTCACCCACCTCATCGCGGGCGTTCCCAGAACACGAAGCTCAGGTATCACAACCCACAGCTCCTTTGGTCCAGTCCACTCTACCGATATTCCGTCCACGCCACACATCCTTGCCGCAGGTTCTGAGTTACCATCCGTCTCAGCAGCCGCTACCGCTTGAGCACAGCCACCAGAAACATTATCAACCTCAGCCCTCTCAGCAGCGTCAGCCAGCCTCACCATATGGGTTTTATAGTTCCAACAAGCTACAGCAGCAACATCTGTATGAGGCCGCCGCACCAACAAAACAAGCGAGCAATTACCACACAGAGGAGCGACACCAGCGCCATCAGCGTTCACCCTCGTCGCCATCCTATTCAAAGTACCATCCAAACTATCAGCATCGCGATTCGCGTCAGCAGCATCCATACCAGCATCATATCCATCATTCCCATATGCAGTACGAAGAACAAGCTCGTGAGTGCTCACACAATGGTCACAATGATATACGGTGTCAGCCAATGCACATCTATCGGGCCACCAGGCGATCCTCTCAGCCATCCTACGTACCTGATCACAGAGGTCGACTCTCGACCCTCTTGAACGCGCCCGATCCAAATGATCAGGTGGGCGTCCAAGATCAAGAGAGTAAACAGCCGCCGTCAGCAGTGGATTCACACCAGGTAGCATCCGGACGGGAATCTGGAGGGGCGTCGTCCAAGAATGCACAACTCCCGTCCATGGGATCGTCATCATCATCCTCATCCTCATCACATTCTCGTCCTGGGACGCGAGGATCAGGGGTTGGAGGGATGGTGAGCGCTGTGTCACCCCGCGGAGACAGCACAGGTTCGCGTACACAGTTTCATGCGCCACTCGAGCCCGAAGTGGTGGCCAAGCTGGATGATGTCTTTTTCAAATTCTTGCAGCGCATTTGCTCCGATTGTAAGTCTGCACAATATCCTTTTTCCTTTGTTCATCGCAGGAGACTACTCAAAAAAATAATTAATGCACATGCAACGCAAATACGCAAAGCCATGAACACATATGCCAGCAAAGCAACCCCCCCCCCCCCCCCCCCCCCCTCCTCATTTCGCCCCTTGCATTCAAAAACCATTTCGCTATGCGCATTTTTTTGCATTTTCATACGGGGAAAACCCAGCAGGTCTTTCGGTTGGTTTACTAACATTTAATTCCGGTACTTTTATTTTTAGTGAACGCCTGTGATGCCAAAGGAGATCATATGTAAGTTCTTTTTTTTTAAAAAAAAAAAGCCGACACAAGGAACCAGCCAGAGATGCGAGATACGCTCAAATTCCTCAGCCGACTCACCCTCCTGTTCTTTATTTAGCCATCAGCCTCTCATGGCTAAAAAGATGCAGCGCCTCGAAGCATCCACAGACTTCCGACCATTCAAGTTCCGAATCCAGGCATTCACAAACGCGTTTCACGATGATCTCGTGATGAACGGTCTGACCGAGGATATTCTTCCGCTCCGTAAGGTCAAGCTCTACCTCTGGAAGCACCGGTACATCTCCCGGTTCAACGAGGACGGCAAAAAGCAGAAATCCAAGGGAAATCATGTCTGGAACATCGAGGCCCGCAAGATTCTAAACCCGACTGGGACGGGGATGGTAGGACCAGGATATGATCAAAGTAGCGGTAACGGTAATCGTAGTAGTGGCAGCGGTGACTCAGTCATGGACCTGAAAGGTGTCGGACCGGAGGCGATCGCTGCGGCCGGCGGCGGGTTGGGTATAGTGCGACGGCAGACGAGTCCTGTGCGGTGGGAGTTCCGAGAATATTCGAGTCGGATTGCAGGACAAGTCATCAAGTTTGCGAGGGTGGGCGTCCCTTATGTCTATTCGCCTCGGATCTGGGATGCGCAGATGTCGTGTATGTCACCTCAGGACGCTGATCATTAAACTGTAGGTCTCGAACTCGATTCATTTCAAGTTGACTAATGTTCCTCTTTACTTTATAACACAGGCCCTGCCGCAAAGTTCAGTAGCCCATGGCTCCCAGGTTGGTTGAAATGGCACAAGGGAGAGCTCAAGGGAATTCCAGGCCCAGAGGACGAGTCCTGTACGATCACCGTCATTGCAGAATATGTCCGCGAGGGTGAAGAATGCCGGTTAGAAATGTCCTTTCCACTCACAGTATCCGATCCATCCAAGGAAGGTGAGCTGATGGACTCACAGAATGAGCATGAGGATGAAGATGAGTTGGATGAGCAAGACTATGACGACCGGGATCACCAGCAGGACCCTGATCGGGTCATGGAGACGGATTCCGGAGGTGGCACCGTTGTAGGTCAACACAGCTGGCATCATCAGCGTAGTAACCAACATCAGCATCATCACCATCATCATCAGCAGCAGTACAGCCATGTTCAAGTACAACTACAACAACAGCACCAGCAGACACAGCATCAGCAGACGCAGCATCAGCTCCAACAACTGCATTTACAGGAGCGGCCGCTTTCATTGCCCCATCAGCAGCAACAGTCCGGGAGTGAGGATGAACTAGGTACAAGTGACGAGCCGCAAGATATGGGCGAGGGAGAGGACGACATGGACGAGGATGGCGGCGAGGACGGAACGTTGTGTGTCCGCAAGCAGTCGCGAGAACGGCGATCACTGATCCTCACACAGGAGACCAAGCGGAGAAAGCACGACTGAAAAAAGAAAACAAAAGAAGCGCCCATAGCATTGCCGATAACGATATCTAAACAACAATAGAAAATAATTATAATCATTGTATGCAACTTCTTTCTTTTTTCTTTTTTTTTCTTTTTTTTTTTCGACGTCTTGTTTTATTTCCGAAAGTTCGGTAAGAAGTTGAAATGCACGATGATGCGGCGCAGAATTAGCTTATTTTGCGCACGGACGCTCAACTAAGCACCCAAAAAATCGGTTTCCAATATTATGTAAACAATCGTCCAGGCAATCGGTGCAGGGACAGTGGAAGACACTATGATACATTGCACTACTACATGAGGTGAACAATACTAATCTCAAACGGCTGTAGTTGCTGGCACTTTAGCAGCACTCGGTTCTTCGTCTGTCTCTGTTTCTCCACCACTACCCGTTTCCAGCTGGGCGAATCCACCTCCAGCAGTCGAGGGTCCAATCGTCATCGCCGACATCTCAGATTCACGAAGTGGTGGGGGAGGCTGATGGGTCTTCAAAGGCGGAAGTTCCGAACCTATCATGCCTGGTTGGCCATGACCAATGTAGCCCGGATAAGATCGTGTCGAGGACGCTGGTAGTGGAGGCGAAGAGCGACGGCGGTAAGGCGCGTAATGCGTATGGTGGTTGTGGTGATCATGTCTCATAGGGTGTGGTGCATCGTGGGGATGGTCATTGGGATCCCTGTGATGTTGTCGCTGGTGATGATGAGGAGAAGGAGGCAGATAGTGGCCATGTTGAACTGGGCTATAGGACTGGGCGCGGTATAGGTGGCTGTCAGGGTGGTCATGGCTCCCTGGCGGATGTGGATGTCCATGAGAATGGGAATGCGGGTGCGGATGTGAGTTCGGGTGGGGGTACGAATGAGGATGAGAATGCGATGACGACGGCACTGGAGCTTGACCGTGGGGATACACGGAGGAGTGGGGCTGCATCGGTGGCAGCTGTGGGTGTTCTCTTGGAGGTGAGGGCTGGTAGTGTCGATAGGGACCATTTATATGTGGAGGAGGGTACCGAGACTGCTGCTGCTGTTGGTGATGCGATGACGGCGACGTTGGCGGTGGCGGCGAATGATAGTGGGGCGCGGGGATCGGATGCGATGCAGGGTAGGGCGGCAGTGGATGAGAGGGCCTTCTTTGGTGGGGTGGGTGTGGCTGCTGCAGAGACTGCAGCCTGTCTGCCAGCAAAAACACTTCGCTGAACGACGGCAGCGTGGTCGTGGCCCCACCCGACTGTGAGATTGTCGTCGCGTTCGAATCTGTCGATATGGCCGAGATCGTGGACTGGCCGCCAGAGGACTTGCGGCGCTTGGGCTTCATCTTCTCACCATTCTCTGATGGTCCCCGTCGCTTGTACGCCCGCTTCTTCTTCTCCTCTGTCCCCATCGCTATTCCGGTAGCAGGGTCTGTACTGTCCTTGCTCGACTTTTGTCGCTTCTTCTTCGCATCCGCCAGATCCTTGTTAGCTTGAATACGATCTAGAGCTCTTGCATGCACTATTATGCACAGAAAACATCGCTTTGTTAGTGCCGGTGATACATTATCATCCCATCAACGAACACGCTATCTCACCTTCCACAGGATATTGAGCTTGACCCAGTGCGTAAGCTTTCTTCCTCACAATGCAGCAGATCGGGCAGATGAACTTTGTGAACTTCTGCACCTGTTCGAGATCGAGTCCCGCGCAACTTATGTGGAGCCACTCATTGCAGAGACCGCACTGGAGCATGGTTTCGTCATCGATGTTCTTCCTCAATTCCGGTTCTGTCGCATGTTCCTGAGAGCACACACAGCTTGACGCGATCGTTGACAGGGGCGGCGCTGTAGGGTATGTTGAGAGCATCACTCCTGGCACAGGCATCGAGGAGGGACAGAGTCGGAGAACGTGCGTGCGGAGTGCTTCTCGTTCGGCAGGCAGTTCAATCTCAAGACCTTCGATCTTTCGAAGATAGCCTTTCACCTGGGAAATGTCCTCCTCCGTGATTGGAACCTGCTGCAAGAACCCGGCCACCTTCCTTTGAAATTCTGTAGTCATACTAACGATCAAACTCAGAAGAGGCAGCTCTGGGGTCATAATGCGGATTGTCTGTGCGTCCTGGCAGCTCTTTGCAAGTTGTTCCAGCGTCGGTCGGGCTTTGTCGCGTTTGATAACCAGGCTTAGGTTGCAGATCGGACAAATGTAGTTGGACTTTGCACTCGCTTCTCGTTTTGTTACGCGCACACATGGCCCATGGTACCATTCATGGCACTCATCGCACTCCACCATCATCCCGGACTCTGCTGTCCGACACAAGCAATAGATTTGGTCCTCACGGTCGGCGTCAATTGAGGCGTCCAATCCTACCGGTTCCTGCTTCTCGATGCTCGCTTCAGAGGTTGAAGCTCCGGCTTGCACATCCATAGTCTGAAGTTGTGTCGCATCGTTTCCCTTAATGGACTCGTCATTCAAGGCTCTAGGGTTATCAGTTCCTTCAGTTTCCGCAACGTGCGGCATGGTGACGCCATCGCCTTTGTTCGAGTCTTTTTCCTCTTTAGCTACATCTGTGTCCTTCCGAGAAGAGTTGTCACTGTCGGTATGATGAACTCCGTTCGATGACACTGTTGGCAAGGATAACTTCTCATCTGCGGTGCAAGTCTCTACATTCTGCTTGAGATCCTCCAGCACCTCTTGCAGCTCCACGCCAGCATATTTTTTGATCTCCAGGGGCAGCAGCAGCTGCCGGCATGCTGTAAACCATTCATCGAACCTCCTGGTCTCCTCTTCAAATATTTCCTTGTGCTCGAATGTGATTGGAATGGTGTCGGCAACTTTGAGGCACCTCCTAAATTCCGAAATATTTGGCCTGTTCTCATACTTTGGTTCAGCCGATTTCTTCATAAGCTGCTCAACAGTCTTCTGCCACTCCACTGCCTTGTTGTACAGTTGATCCGCTTTAGTGAGCACGTTCCTTGGGACAGGGAAGCCTCTACCAGCCTCGATGACCGCCTGCAGCTCATCCAAGTCGACAGGGTTCTTTTCCATAACCTCGCGAGCCCTCTCTTCCCAACGCTGGCCTGCCTCTTGCTTCTTAATCAAATCCACCAACATTGGATTCGAAGGAGACACGCCACTTTTCTCGGCGTCCTCAATGAGAGTACAGATCAGCAAGTAATCCTCCTGAAGCATGCCCTTTGCTGACACCCGTTCGATCCAGGTTAGATCCGTCACAATCACTTCCAGCTTGTCGAGTTCCTCCATGGCAATATTCATGCTGATTCCTGTCTCGTACAGCTCACGGCACTCTGCCAAATCGTGTTCAGGCTTGTTAAGAGCGGTCCTTACATCTGTCCGAAAGTCCTCCATTGTCTCGACCGATTCTTCTAGCTGTTTGATCTCGGGACAGTCGAATCGCAATCGCTCAGCTTGACGAAGCAACTCTTGAAGATCCTCCAGCCGTTTCCCGTTCGCGCTCTGTGCACGATCCGTAAGTCGTCGGCCCTGGTGGTGCTTGCGGACCAAAGATCTGGTTGCTGCCTCAACCCACTCATTGGCCGCAGCCACGAAGCGCCTCAGTCGACCAGCCTCTTTGATTGGAAATGGGATTCGATCTGCCTCAGCCAGTAATGATCGAAGGAGCTTGAGCGAGGGCACACGATTTTCTAGCATGGTTTTTTGGTACTTTTCAGCCCAAGCGCCCGGTATCCCGGCAGTGTCAAAGACTCGTTGGGCGATTTCTCTGAGCTGTTCCTCTGAATATCGCAGACGCAGGAACCGTTCGGATGGCTGACATTTGCAAAGCTGGAGACAAGAGCAATGTATGTTAGATAGGGCTCCATGGAAGCAGGAAGCCTCGAGTTTACAAAAACAGGAGACCTTATTCCTACCTCGTCAATGTGGTCATGACAGACGACTTTTGTCGTGCATCGACACCCAACTTGCGAAAGATAGATGTAACAGTTGCAGTGCAAGCATTGCACCTCTTCTTCCGGCCGATCCACCTCTTCCATGACGATCCTTATGGTCGGCTGTTGTTTCAATACATCCTTCCGGTCGGCGAGCTCCCGATCAAGAAGGTTCCTCATCTCATCTTGAAGCCAATGTGCGGTTGCAATGGTGGTGTCACTTAGTGCAGTTGTCATGATCAGTTCATCGTGCGAGAAAACCGGCTGCTTCCTGTGCTCCTTATATCGCTGAACGCATTCCAGGCCCAATTGACACCAGTCTGGAGGCGCGAAGTTGACAGCTTCTGCAAAATTAAACTATGGCAGATGGACATTTAGGCCAAAGGATTAGATGTCGCACAGATTCACAGCGTACCTTCTTCATATGGAGGTTGAATGTAGAAAAAGTCACCTACTCCATGATTAAAGCCGGCATGGTAGGCCTGAGGAAAAGTCACAACAAACTGTCCTGGTCGCTGATCCAAGGCTACGACCTTGACACCATTTTCAACCAAACGCTCAGGCGAAAGCATGGTTACAAGTTGGAAAAGGAGATCCGGTTGTTGTTCAAAAAGCTCGGGAACCGCTTTCCTCATCGTGTCCTCGAACTTCAAAGCGTCCGAGGCAGGCACGCCGTACCATGATTTGGTGTCTCCCCAGTGCATGTAATTGACCGAATAGGTATAGTGATCCTCGTTGTGCCAGCAGAATGTTGAGAAGCACATGCCAACGTAGAGCCAAGGAACCATCATGCCCGAAATGTCCGTCTTGATATGGCAAAACAATGACTCTGGAAGAACAGGAATGTTGTTGAGATTTGCTGGATGTGCTGAGTACTTGTCGTTAGGATGCCTCTCTAGCGAAGGGAAACCGCTGGATCGTGAAATAAAGCGCAGGTTCGTGCATATATCAAGTTAGTATGAAGTTAGGATGAAAGACGCTGCTGTTCATTCTTCGCATCCAGCTTGTGTGTCTGGTCAATGCACCCACCTTCCATGTTGAGTCGAATGGAGATCTGCTCCATATTCCACCTCCGCAGTTTCGTATGCGTTTTCCACAAGTCTCCAAAACTCACGTTCCACGACGTCCTCTGGCACATTTCCATCGATGTATCCTGATTTTTCAAACCAGCTCTTTTTGAAGGTGTTGCATTTCTGCTGGAAGCTGCTTAAGGAATACTCTTCGCCTTCCTCAAACCCGAAATCATCACCGGCCACGAGACATTTCGCGCAGTACCAATCCGTCTTTGGGATATGTTGCAGTGGCGGGGTAAGGCAGTACGTGTGATAGCCCAGTTCACACCCATCGCAAACAAGCATCTTGTCTAGATCGGATTCCGTGCGACATATCTCACAGACATCGGAGTTGCCTTCCCTATTGCTCTCCCCTTTGATAGATCCTTGCTCACTTGGCGCCCCATCCGAATCCGACAGTGATGGTGATGAGAGTTCCAGGTCTGTAAAAGAAGCAAGTGACCATCGTCTGTTAATGATGCTCATCGAGAATCCTTTAGTTGCTGTTGAATCCCTTGCATAGATCAGTCAACTTGCCTGCATAAGATACGGGGTCCTTTCTGGTGCGCTTAGATTTCCTTGTTTCTGATACAATTATGCTGGATGGCTCAACCGCTCCATTTGTGTGGGAATCCGTGCTTGGCTCTCGTTTAAGATTCTGTGTCTGACTCTGGGGTCCCGTTTTGCCTTGCTTCGAAAGATAGATGTCGTACGGTAAGATGACTCTGAAGTAAGCCGATTTGAGAGCGCTAGAGAGTGATGTGCACTGCTTTCGCGTATAGTCTAGTCCACGTCCGATCTCAGCCCATTTCTTTTCCTTGGTGACCTAGGGTAACAAAAATGTGATGTTTGTTCAGACCAGATTTTTTCTCCTCGTATGTATGTTCCTTCAGCATGTTATTGTTTCGATGAATCATTATCCTAAGAGACGCCATCGCACCTGTTGATATCCACCGCGAGAGATGACCTCCTTCCGAAGACGAAACAGGTCGATCGGTCGCTTGTCCAACTGTGGGATCTTGAGCACAGGATGGCCCTGTTGGCGGTGGAATTTGTAGAGCTGATCCAAATAGTTGAGGTTTGTTCTCGTCTCACCCTCCATGCTATTCAGTTTCTGGATTCTGGTCTTGAAACGAAAGGTCTATGAACGGCTCCCAATGGAGTGGAGGAGTGAGATACGACTTGATTAGTATATGTATCTTAAGCCTTCCAATCCCTCCGTCGCCACCATCTCTGGATGATATGGTTACCTCTGTATCCAAGGCAAATGGGGGCTTCCATCCTGCTGGAGGGATGATTTTGCATATGCCAGCCCTCTCAGCCTCATGACGGATGCTCTCGATAAACCTGAGTGGCTCCATGAACTCATCGGCTGTCGGGTAGTAACAGGGTGCGTCCTGAAGCCCAAAAAGTCGGGTGGATGAATCAGATCTCGGATTCTCTGGCGGGGCTGTTGTAGATACAGAGGACATGTCGAGCGCGGGTGCCTTTGGATACGCGGTAGCCTTGACGGCTCTGGATCTGGATTGTTTCATCATTTTGGATACGAAAGAGGTCCTGATAGGAAGCGGGTGAAGTCGACAAAGCTGCGTGGGTAGGTCAAGGTCAAGTCAAGTCAGGTCAGGTCAGAAGCTCAATGGGTCATTAAAGTAGTGGCGGTTTGGTTGGTGAGGATGTGAACCTGGTGGTAGTGTTGCGCCGACGAAGGCGAATGGTGAGAGAGGTGCGATTAGGATTGGGTCGAGTAAAGAAAGCGTTCTCTTCGACACACTTTGGCAGAGTGACGCAGCAGATGCGATCAGGGACCTTCCAGCGGTCCCTTCTTAGTCTAACAGCCAATTGTTGGTTCTCTCAAAGACCCAAACTTTAAACGATCTCTTTCAGGTTCCATGGGCTCAAACGCAACTTTGAATAAGCTCAATTGAAACCCATATACGAACTGCCCTTCCTGTCGCGGGTATGTCGAGTTGTTTATGTGGATAAGATATATGCATCGAACAGACACAGACACGCAGATGACAGACGCGTCAAGACCAGTCGTGACAAAGAAATCATAAACGACTGTAAGATGCTTTTGTGTTTGCTCGTCCTACTTTTTACACTTACAGCGGCGCTCGACTCAGTATTCTAAGATCAGGAGGAATAGGAGGAGGGGGCATAGCCGAGACAAGATGCACACAGTAACCTGCTGTGTCATGGAATAGATAGACTAGTACATGTACAGTACTTGTATCCCAGTCTGCTGATGTATGTTGTGCTTGGATGTGGCAACTGGGAACAACTGCAAAAACAGGAGAACACAGCGAATAGCAAGCAGAAGACTGACGGGAATGGATCGAGGGGATGCACGGGTAAAGACGACTAGGACGTCTGAATGCTTTCTTTGGTTTCTTCCCGTCGTCGGGGCTGTCGATTGTTTTTGTCCTTTAGTCTACCATGTGCCCATGAGACGAACAAGGTTTTGTTTGATCTTCCAGTCCGTGTGTACAGTACTGTGTACCTGACTTGCACGCCAGGCATTGTCACACAATGGAGGGATGGGGGGGGACACTGCACACAAAAAGAAAGAAAGAGAGATCTCGTGGCAAATCATTCGTCCTCCTTCATTCATTTATTCATTCATTCATTTCTCTCTTCATTCTACTTCCATCCCTTCGCTTCTTCACTTCTTCACTTCTTCTTCTTCTCCTTCTCTTCTCTTTCTTTCTTTCTTTCTTTCTTTCTTTTTTGTCTCTTCACACTCCCTCTTCACTCCCTATCCACACCCTCTCCACTCCCTTTCCACACCCTCTCCACTCCCTCTCCACTCCCTCTCCACTCCCTCTCCACTCCCTCTCCACTCCCTCTCCACTCCCTCTCCACTCCCTCTCACTGCAGATCAGTCCCTCACACTTGACCTCCTACTCAGTCGGCAACTGCTGCTACAACCCTCAATTGTTATCCATACATACCTCACCATGAACAGAGAATTCAGCTCGTTCCTCCCTTCCTTTCCTCCGGCCAAGAGGCTATCGGCCCTGTCGATCTCCTCGCCTTTGTCGATCACCTCACCCACGTCCATCAGCAGCCCTGTGCTCACCCCTGAGCCATTACCCTCGCCACCAACCCCCATGCCGCACCTCAGCGCCAGCCGTGTGCTCTTCGAGGAGGGTCTCTATAGCGATGTCACTGTGATCCTGCAGGTGCCTGGATCCATCAAAAAATCCCTCCATCTTCACTCCCGAATCCTCACCAAAGAGAGCGACTTCTTTGCAGCACTGCTGGCCGGCAAAAAAGACCTAGGTGAGAAGGCCATCACACTCCTAGATGAGAAAGACAGCCAGGGGTCACAAGTGATCGAGATCCAATGCATGGATGCTCAAGAGCTCTACGCCTTCGAATCCTCGCTGCGATTGCTCTACACTGGCACCTGGTGCTCTGACCGCGATTTCCAGACCAGCTCCCTCGATGCACGGCTTCGCCGTGGACTCGATGTCGTAAGCCAGGCAGGTCGTCTGTCCCTCAAGGGTGCTACCACAGCCCTCCTCCAGGAAGAGATCACTCACATGTGCAAGAGCCAGCCCGATCTACTGGAGAAGGTGTCCAAGTCACTGAGGCCTGAAGATCGTGAGGACGACCAGGCTATTCTCAAGTTCGATCGCGACGCGTTGCAGCAGTTGTGTCGAGTGGCAGTGACTAAAGTTGAGATCCGCGACCACTGCGAGCTGGCCATCGCCCGCAATCTCTATGGGTCTAAGAAGTTTCGTGAACTCCGCATGTCCGAGGTGCAGCTCTCAGAACTGAGGCCGGGCTACATATTTCCTCCTGGCGGACAAGAGTCCATCTATCTGCTAAAAGGCGCACCCTCGCTCCCTCTTCATCCCTGCCGAGCAACAAATGTCGAGGCATTACGCCATGTAGTAGACCACTATACCGCCTACAACTCTCAGCAGCCATTGCGAACGCGCGAGTTCTACGTGATCCCCACGGAAGAAGACATTGAGGATGACGACGACATTGGCCACCGGTCTGTTGCTACTCTTCATGATGTAACCTTTTACAGAGTCGCATTCTCAACCGGATATCAATGGCTTTTGGATCAGGTTATCAAGGTCAGGGCCCCTTTTGAACTGATCATTCTCCTTCTCAAGGATGCCATTGACGAGAACTCGGATCGGAGCAACAACGTGGCCTTCGGCGAATTTGCATCGACGACCGACGGCGATGTCTACTTGCAGGGCGTAAACTACATAACAGATGGTCTCCTGCATGCCTTCCAAGACCCCACTCTGGAGTCCTTCCGTAACCCTGGCGCCTCTGGATCTCTGCTGAACATGATTTCTTATGGGATCAATTCGCTTACAGACCTGCCTCCACTCCGACCACGTCCCAAATCAGTCAACAATGATGCCAATGCCCCTCATCATCATCAAGAGTACCAAGCACTTTCGACGCTAGTCATGGAATTCTTCTGGCAGGTGCTCGAGCTCGCACTTAAGCGCCCACACCATCTCGAGTTCGTCCAGCTCTTATTAGAGTCGATCACCAAGGTGGCGCCACTAACACCCTTCGATGTTGTCGATCGTATTGAGGAGCGACTTGCAGAGCTGTTGGAGGAGACGCGTAGGAAGATCATGGAACAACGCGGCGACGTACCGGCGGAAGAAGAAGAAGCCCCTGTAGTGGACGTGGCTAAAGATAGTGAGTCCGACATTGTCAGCCCTCGGGTCAAGAACGAGGATGCGTTTGGTAATATAAAGGGCAGCTTCTCTGATGGCTACCGCAGCGAAGTATCTAGTGGCCGAAGCGAGGATCCAGAGGAGCGACGATCGATGGTGAGCAGTGTTCTCCTGGCTAGTGCTCCGATCGTCAGCTCAAGCGATGATGATGCTTCGTCTGTGCACGAAGACGAACCAGAACCAGAACTCGACGCGGAAGTCGAGGCACCATGGATGAGGTATGTCAAGCTAACATACGTATTTCTTTTTTTTGCTGTGTTTTCTGTCAATGGAATATATGGTCAGCTCTGCGGTAGACTAACTGATCGGTTGCATCTGACCTTTGAATGATATCCGTAGGCCTGAGTACTTACAGCCGTTGTGCCTTCAGCTACTGACGACATTCCCGATGAATATCCAGTCGTCTCTACTGTGGGCCATCCACGATCTTCAGCTCCTGTAGATGCTGCAGGCAACCTATTCCAGCCCTATATACCTCTCTTTCGCTCTTTCATCATTTTTGCATAGCTAAATAGAACACACTCTCCACTCACTTACACTTTCAACTTTCAAATACATTTGTCTGCCACCAACCACCAGCTCGGAATACATATTGTTGCACGCGTTGCCGCCTTCTCCACACAAATTGTGAATCAAGCACAGGCGCACGCCTGCCAGTCACTCCGACAAACAAAATAGTCAGTGCAGCCGGTGTTCATCTCGCAACCATCCTTCCTGCCCAGCCTTGACTTAAGCCTTCGCTACCTTCGTTGTCTTTGCATTGACCCCTTCTGGCCCTATTTCGTTCGCAAGGGACCCCAACTCTGTCCCAGCAACCTTCTCTCTTCTTTTGTCCTGATTTCTTCGTGCTCTTATTCGTTTTACACATCAGTTGTAGCCCACCTCGTATTTGTGTGCATTTCACTCTTCTTTCGTGTCCTTAAATAAGTAACAGACCAGTTCTTTTTGCTGTTTGGATACCCTTCTCCTCTTCCTTTTCTTGTTCTCAATCTACGGCCACATAGCCGTTTGTTTTCTACCTGTCTGTTGGCCTAGCATTACTCTTCAAGGAGAATAGAGCCTTTTTGTGCTGCTGTCGTTGTCCTAGTCTGTTTTGCGCTTAGTTCCCCTGCGGACGGATGCGCCTTTGCACCTTTTCTTCTTTGGTTTCCTGCATACACACAAAGCGAGAAAAACAATGGGTTCTGCCGTCCATGCCTCCTCAGCCTCAGCCTCAACACAACCTGCCACTGCAGAGAGTGCGAGTCCAGCACGCCAGCAGAGTGAGGATCCCATCGTCGGCGGACCACAGGAGGACACGCGCGTCGCTAGCGAAAACGAAGACGGGCACGACCTTGACAGCTCACCGACAGAACAGGCGGTTGCCTCTGATGAAACGGACGAACCTCAAGAACCAGCTTCAACCACAACAGTAATCTTTGCCCAAACCAACGGCTCAAACGAACATATTGAGAATGGAGACGCCAACGCTACCTCATCGTCCTCTGCAGCAGCCTCGTCGTCATCAGCGTCAGCGTCGTCAGTCATTCCCGCAACTCCGGCATCTCAGCCAGGGGACCCGCTTCCAAAGCTGACAAGCAAGTCAAAACTGCCTGACTTGAGTATCTTCCACTTGTTTCCCGAGCAACTGAAGCATCCGCTATTCGCTGCCATCGCGAGAGTCTTGGTTGTGCAAGGGAATGCCTGGCAAAGCGCAACGGATTTGGTCGGTACGTTTCTCGCGGATGCAATGGACATTCAAATGGACCATAATGTTTACAGGAACGACCTTTCGACAATGGACTGAATCTAATCACATTCTCCCCTGCATGCATGCGCTTGGCACACAGAGGGCATTCGATACTTCAATCTGGCCAGCCTAGGGTACGTTTAATGGCGACTACAATAAGGCGTCAAGTCTCGTCTACGCGCAATATTGACATCCAGACTCCGCATGCATGCTAACGGGATTATGTCGTGTTTTGTTGATCCTTTGTAGAGGTCGCACCCCAAGGGGCACAATTCAGGGCGCCATCTCCACAGCACTGAGTGTCGCACATTCACTGGGCACATTTGAGCCGATACAAAAGTACAGGTTGAATAGCACCACATATTACCGCATGGCTCCAAGAACGTTGGATCCCACACTTCCTGATGACTCTGATGCTACCGAGTCGGACTCAATTGTTACTGCACCGCGGAAAGGTAATGACCAAGGGATACGTGAATGGATACTGGCGGCCCGAAAAGGGTGCGGTCATGCTCGCCAAACCGTTTGAATAACAATCACTATGCCGCAAAACAATTCTCATTAGATGTTTCAAAAGGAAAGGCGGTCGCCAAGCCAAAGCCAAAGGCCACATCATCCAACACCAAGCGGAAAGCACAACCGTCTGGTAGTCGCGGGGCAGGAAACAGTAACAAGAAGAGGAAACCAGTGTCAGGGTGGGAGTCTGACACCTTGAGCTCAGGTAGTTCAGACGACGATACCCGGCAAAATGGCTCCAGTAGCCGACACAATACCAGTAACCATAATCACCGGCACCAACAGTCGTCATCCGGATCGAAGCGGACGCGGGCATACTCACCTAATTCCTCCAGCTCTTCACGCGCAAAGGCACCAATAAGGAGAAACTCAATCCCTAATGGGCTGAAGAAGCTGCCAAAGGGCTATGTGTACGATACCGAGTTCAACCAAGCGGCCCTGATGAATCTCTCTGTCAACCCTTCGCAAACAGGCGAATATATGCGGCTCCTCAAGTATGTGCCAAATGCTGGTCTGGATGCGCTGTGTCCATAGTATATTACCTTTTATCTTTACCTTTTTTTTTTCTTTTTTTTCTACATGCCGATTATTGACACTGGACCTTTCATCATGCGACTTCATTGCTGTTAGGGGGAAAAATGCAGAAGAGAACAACTTTCCAGACCGTCGAGGCGAATATGGAGTGGATCTTACACAGGAGCCATCTATGTTTGCGCTTGAACAGCAGACTGGTTACACCTATCCAAGGCTCCGGACAAGCGGCAGGGAGCGTCTTCTCAAGGCAGACTGCGAGGATGGTTACGCCATTGCAGATCTGAAGCACAATGGCAGTTTTCTGGGACGATTGTTCTGCATCACTGACGGTCACGGTGGGCGTGCCTGTTCTTCCTTTGTCATCGCAACGATACCTGGCGCCATGCAGGTGATCCTCGGAAAATACAAGCCTTCAGACCTTTCCCGGCCAAGTGTTCAAGAACTGGTCAAAACTCAGATTACAGAGGCGATTCGATTGATTGACAAGGAATATCTGGAATATAAGAAGCAGCAGTATCTGCTTTTCAAGTCCAAGCAGATTCCAAAAGATCCTGGGAGCGACGGAACAACTCTTATCGTCAACGTCTTTATTGATAAATGGATCATCTGTCTAAACCTTGGGGATTCGAGGACGATGTTAGGCAGCCGTGACCCAGTCGGACGGTGGAACGTCGATTTCTATAGCGAGGACCACACTCCTTCCTTGGAGCGACTTGCACAGTCGATCTATGCGAATGGTGGCGAATTCGTGACGCATGACGACAAGGTTATCAGGTTCGATCCAAACCTGAAGAACGACAAGAAGCACCGTCAGTCTTTGAAGGAGGCCAGGATACGTGTCAAGGATGCAGCATCGAATCCGTATGGAATTCCGTACATGACCAAGAATGGACATTGCGCATCTGTGAACCTTGGGGCATGCATTGGAGACGTTCTCTACAAACTCGATCCCATCAATCCCGTGCTTGGCTGCAAACCCGATATAACGTTTATCGACATTACCGACATCCAACAGGGCTTTCTCCTTATGGCTTCAGACGGGCTCTGGGACTATGTTCAGCGCGGCGGCAAGGTACAGGACCAGAACGCGACGGTCTGTCAATTTGTTGGGGACAAACTCGAGCGCGGCTGGAATCATCAGCGGATTGTGTACACGCTCTCTGACCGAGAAGGCGCCACCGGGCTGTATTCAGATTCGATTCAGGAGTATGATGACTTTACGGCGATCTTGGTGACTTTCAACAAGCAGCAGTTACTGCGCCAGCAGCAGCAGCAGCAGGAACAGGAACAGAGACTAGTTTTGCTTCAACAGCAGCGCCTTCAAGAACAACAGATTCTGCTACTTCAGCAACACCATCAAAAACAGCGTGAATTGGAGAGACTCGAGGCATTGAAGCAGCTGCAAATCCAGAAAGGACAGGCGGAATTAGATATTTTGCGGCGGGAGCAGGAGTTATTACGCAAGGCTACGGGCGATAAGAGTGAGAATGACACTGACTCGGATTTGACAGAGCCAGAACCTGATCAGGATGCGGATGAGTCCACAGCCTCACAGACTTCACTACTGGCGAAAACGGAATCTAATGCAGGATCTGTGAAGGACGCGACCGTACGACCCAAGGCGCCAAAGAATGAGGTGGAGAGGATCAAGCAAGACCTAAAGCAGGAAGTAGCAGAGTCCAGTTTACAAAGCCAAACACTTCTCACAGCAGCGACTCAATCGTGAGCATTGCTTTGAAAAAAGAAAAAACAAAAGCATGAAAAATAAAAAATAAAAAACTGCACAATTCCTTGGCGACAAAGCACCAATCGATTTATTACTCAATCACGGATAACGCCTTCTTATTGTGTTTTGAGTGACTTTTGTCTTGAGGCGGATGCACGGACAGTCGGGACCAAGTAGATGGGCACAAAAACCAAGAACATGACCGCGATTTCTGTTTGCAAGAAGAATGAGTGCATCGTGTAAGCAGAATGCTAACGTATTGGACTGAATGAGACAAAAATACTGACTTACCAGCTACCCAGAAGCCCAGGAGAGGCGACCACACGCTATTTCTGTCGAGGATGTTGCCATGATCAAACAATTGCCAAACGTTGTCGGCAAAGGACAGCTTCGGATTTCTTTCATAGTTCAAGACGGTATATGTGCTAAACACTACAGATGGCGACGGATGTAGTTCGTAGCATTAAAGGAGTATGGTTTACCTGTCAGTTACGCATGTCTGACATTCTCGAGAACTACCAGTCAATAGTACACGATTCATACGAACCTCCAGTAACGGCGACCATGCCCTGGATAATATAATACAAAGATGCATTCAGGAGACGCGATTTATCTCCTGGGGTCACCAATGTTTCGTTCTTCAGCCAGACATAGCACGGAATGTATGCAGCCTAACAACCCACATCCATTTTAATGATAGATAGAGAGTCCGATTCAGTACTGCGGGGTAGTTCTCACCTTGTAAAGCACACACGCTATTGTTTTGCATAATCACTTACAGGCAGCAGTACGACACCCATGGCCAAGAGCGTGAACAAGATCCTGGACGTGAAGAATGTGGTCAAAGGGTAAACGATGCCAGCCCTCCAGGCCACATAGTCGGACGGGTACATGAATCGGTTATATCCCAGTCCTAGGATCGCACAGAAGATCGTGTACGCGTGTATCATCGGCATAAAAACCGACATGTTCAACTGGGGCTCGTGTCGGTGCTTTCGAATTGCTCTGTAGGTAATATAGTATCCAATGATACCGAGAAGAACGTTTGTGAAGGCAAAGACAGTGGGCAAGATCGCATGGATCTCATTCTTGTCGCCAAGGACGAACATCGACTCCCAGCCAGGGTTGTCCCAAAGGAGGTAGAGACCTGAGGGCGCAAAGATGAGAGAGAGGAAGAGGAGGGTATAGACGAAAGAGGGTGTGTACCAAGGGGTGTCGGTGTTCTTAAGGGACCCTGCGGCGCTGGCTGCAAACACGGCCCCAAAGGAGAAGCTCCAGAAGACGTCCACTTCAATCATTTTTGAGTCTGGTCTTGCGATTTCTTGACGGAAAGAAGAAAGAAGGAGTATCAAAAGTGGGTAAGGGAGAGGATGCATTTAAATACCCTCGTATGCACAATGCAGCAAAGTGAACGCGGTTTGTGCACATCATTCTCTTCTCGACCGAGCCGAGTTCTTAAGAAAAAAAACAACAAATACTCCACAGACAGGACTACTCCACAGACAGGGCCTCGTTCATGCGAAAATTCCCCCACAAGTCGATTACGGAAGATAAGCATACAGCATCTCGGATTCGAAATAAGCGTTTCGTGGAGTGAAAATAAGCACTGTACCGTATGGGACACGTTCATTTGTCATTTGACATGTATTTTATGTACTGGCACTTGCGCCCTGCTCCGACAGCGTTAACTCCCTGGACATCAGTCCTGCCGCCGCGCTTTGAAAGTCTGCAGCGTACATCGTTTTTTAAAAGGTCTTTCCAGCTCGCGTTCACATTCCTGGAATGCCTCTTCATTTTCAGCCTCTCTCGCTCTTCTCTGTGCTTTCTGCTGTTCAGATCTCATTGCCTGTAGTTGGGGACGGAGTTATGGTGAAAGCAGGTTATCAAGAGGAGGTCCGAGGTCGTTTTTAAGACCGTTTTCAATACCGATCGGTTCTCGTAGCCCTTGAGGAAGCAACTACCCATGGATGCGAGCTGAAAGTTCTCGCTCAGCAGGCAGCAATAGCAGGGGCCGCATAAATGCGGTCCGGTGACGTATCTGGGGGGATTTCTGCATTGGTTCTCTCAACACATCCATCCATCCTCTCCTATCGCTCTTTAATCGCTCTAGTTCATCCATCACATTCTTTCTCTCTCTTTCTCGTGGAACATTCGATATCCAGTATACATTCCCTACGAATCTGTAAGCGACATCAACCGCCCCGATTGTGCATTCTCCTCTTTTGTTGTTCTGTTGCCACCTTTCACTCACCTTTTGGCCCAGAGCAGATCTCGCACCACGCGACAATCCCTCTTCAACACAGCGTGGGATGCTGCAGATTTGAAACAGAGCGGCTGCCATTAGACGCTAACATTTTCTGTACTCTATCCTTCCCGTACGTCTTCAGCTTGCAGCCTACTCTAATCCAGGTCAGGAACAGACGCTCAGGAACAGCCAGGAACAGCCAGGAACAGCCAGGAGCAGCCAGGAACAGTCAGGAGCAGCTACTCAAATCAAGGTCATTATCACTCTTCAACAGCTATGGAATCAGTCTGGGGCAGCTCCCGCAAGCAGTAAGTCTATTCTCCCACGATTCTAATATGTAACTCGAGCAGACCTCCACGGAATAGTATAAAGAATAGCACTCATCCACTAATAGCACCGATTTCCGTTTCCCCCTCCTTCCCTTTTTGCTTTAGAACTCGCGACAGCAGCAGCAGTGTATCATCGTCAGGCGGATCGAAACTCGTTCAGCTTCAACGTCAGAGTTCAGCGATCGGATCTGGCCTACCAACGCTATCGACCAATTCTCTCTCCTCCATCTCTTCAGGACCCTTGAGTAGCCATGGATCAGGCGCCATCCACCCGGGTCTCTCGGCTTTTCTCACAGGACCCAGCAGTGCCAACTCGGAATCATTAGATCTGGGCAGTGGGAACAGCAATAGTGGCGGCAATAACAGCAGAGGTGGCGATTATGGCATCCCAGGAGGAAGCGCCAGATCGGTCGGTCCAGGAGGCATCAGTGGGTTCTCATCCTATGGTGGATCGGGAACTCCAGGAGCAGTAGCGGTAGCAGGAGCAGGAGCAGGGGTAGGCGCAGGAGCAGGGCATTTGTCCAGTTCAACATCTATGGCAGCAACTCCCGCAGCGATTGGTGGTGGAGGAGGTGGTGCAGGTGTGTCTCCAGGGATCCATCCGTTGCAGTTCAACTGGGTCTTTTGGTTCATGCATCGTGCACCTGGCAGCAAGATTCTGAACTATGAGAGTTCGATGAAGAGGATTGCAGGTTTTGGTTCGGTATGTGGTATTATTGGCTGTGAGATCAAGCAAAGGTGGCGAAACGCTATCAGGAAGGGTGAACATCAGTCAGTCATTAAACCTTTGTTATTTTCTATGATCCCATTTTTTCTACTCCTTATAGGTCGAGGCTTTTTGGGGCATATATTCACATCTTCGTCGACCACATGAGCTGCCACATGTGAGCGACTATCATTTGTTCAAGAAGGGCGTGCGGCCAGTGTGGGAGGACCCGGTTAACATCAACGGTGGTAAATGGATCGTGAGGCTCAAGAAGGGCTTGGCCAGCCGTTATTGGGAGAATTTGGTATGACCGCTGTTACAATCCTTGTCCGAGACAAATAACCATGTCCATGATTCTTTTCAGCAGCTTCTAATTTTTTATTTTTTTCATCATCTCATTGAATAGGTCATGGCGGTCATTGGCGATCAGTTCGATGTGGGGGAGGAGATTTGTGGTATTGTCCTGTCGATTCGAGGTGCTGAGGATATTTTGTCGATATGGAATCAGTCGGCAGACGAGGGCCGCATCAACCTGAAGATTAGGGACACGATGAAGAGAGTACTGAACCTACCTGCGGATACTATCATGGAGTACAAGAGCCATAATGATGCATTGAAAGATAACACTAGCTTCAGGAACACGGATGTGTTCAGGTGAACTGAGATCTGATTGCTTTCCTTGACTATAAGGACTTAATGAGCTCGCAACCACTGAGCTCGTTAATAATAATAAAAGCTGGATTATCAGTCTACAATGCAAAGCACATCGCATCGAAGTTAAAGAATCGCGTTTTTTCATTAATGAATGCTATTGCTATTGTTGTTTCTTTCAATATCATCTTAAAAGAGTGTGCCGTATGGCCTAGCCTTAATATTTCGAATCGGCCGCGAGGCTGTGTCCAGATGGATAGAAGGACAGGGACGCGGAGCTGTTAGAGGTGCGGACCTTGAACTCGCTGGGTCCTTCATGGATGCGGTATCCTCTCTTGGAGGTCTTCTTGTCCTGCTGCATGGTCAGCTCAGTTCCCTGGACGGTCGTAGAGGCGTTGCTGGTCTCGACTTCAAATCGTCCTTGGAACTCTTCCGTCTAAAATTCGCGTCGTACATCTCAAGTTAGCAAAGAGCCATGCCATATTTTTTTTTTTTTGTTTGAATATCATGAAGAAAAAAACGGCAAGAGAAAACATACCAAGTTGACGTTGACAGAAGAGTTTGAGGATTCTGCAGATCCTCTGCAGTGTTGGTTCACAGGGACCATGGTCGATGAAGTAATGCTGCCGTTCGAGCTTCTGTTCTCGATCTCGAGAGGCTGGCCCGTTTGACTTGCATCCAGACTGAAATCAATCCTTGCATTCGTCGTCGTGGCTCCGATAAACGAGGCTCTGTCGGCCTTGCCCAGAACCGCACCCAGAACCAGATTTCCATTGCTGGTACTGTTTCTCATCCACAATCCACGAGAAGTCTCTGTCGCTGTAGCATGGAGATCGAACGATCCGTTCGTGGTCTTGATTATGGCCTTGGATTGTTCGCCATCCAAGGCGTCACGAATATTGATCTTTGCACGGATGGAGCCATTTGAGGACACAAGTTCGATGTGGCCGGCATCAAATGTGCCGTTGATGTTGCCGTTTGAAGTATGCAGACGCGCCGTATCAGTGCGGACGTCTTCGAGGGAGATGGAGGCGTTTGTGAGCGCAGTTTGGATGTTGCCAAAGAGTAGATTCTGGAGATGGGTACCAGTGAGGCTCGTGGCGGGGGCCTCGACAGTCAGAGACTCGACCGAGGTTGTGGATCTCGGATACTGGATTAAGGTTTCGTGGTAAATGCTGTTTGGGCCCCAGTTGTTTGGCGCCTAGAGTAAACAATGGGAGTGGATGAATAAAAAGGATCGGCAAAACCGAATAAACTAATACAACGATCGTTTTATCTTTTTTGTATACCTCCAAGAAGAAAGTGTGAGTCTTGTTATCAAAGGAAGGACGGATGACAACGTTCTCCTTGTCACTCTCCCTGGTAACCCAAATGCGCGTCGAGATCAGGCCCAGCCCCGTCTCATCGGTTTCGGAGCCACCATGGACAAGGGTGACCTTTCCAGACATGGAGCCCTTGGCTGTAAAGATCACGTTCGGATACTCCTTAGGATTGAAAGTGGTGTCATCGTTCGGGATCCGGACTGGGATGTTGGCGCGTCCGCACGGTTTAACAAGGTTGGTGAAGCTCGAGAACATGTTGGGTATTGTTCAAGATATGGATGGTAGTTGTTGAGAGGTATGAAAAAGGCTAACAGCAGAAAACTATCGGCTGTATTTATACTGGTGATGGAATTTTTTGCCAAGGCTCAGTACACGACGCACAAATAAAATTCGCACGGTGAAAAGTGTACTAACGCATTTATTTCTCTTGGCTCTTTCGCTGCATGCGAAACACACTTCCAAGAATGGAACCAATCCCACCCTCATAGGACAAAACCGCGCCGCCTTCTTTCCCTTTCTCCTGTCCCTAAACATGTTGTAGATGCATCATGTGCTTGAGATATTTAGCTTATGCCCAGTCCATTGCACAGCGCGTCTTTTTTCGTGAACAATTACTAGATACTGACAGTTGAGTGCTTAAAAGACTCTTTATTTGGCGCAGTTGCAGTAAGACGAACGAAAGAGAGAGAGAGTGTGAGAGAGAGAGAGAGAGAGAGAGAGAAACAAAAACAAAACAAAACGGACAGGCTGTAAAAAGGAACGAAACAAAGAAATACTCGCTCTAATCGGAAAGAGGACGACGACATAAGACAAAAGTAATCAGAACAGCAATAAATACATAGAGAACTTGAAATCGAAAGCTGGTCCGAGATCTGACGAACGCACCACCGAGCGACATGACGAAGTGAAGCCATGAACCTGTCTGTAACGGTGGTTGTCCCTGGCGTCCCTGCTGCTGAGAATCATCGTCCTGTCCTTGTTGGTTTGCTTTGATATTCTTACTACCACTGCCAATACCGCCATTGTCTGTTCTCTTGCTATTGTTGCTGTTGGTCGCTTTTCAACTTGACTCTTCTAGGAATGTGGATAGTCTCCATCTTGCTGGCACCTATATTAGGATTGGGCAACAAAAAAGTTATCGTGAACACCGCAGTTATCGTTCTCTGCCAAAGTAAGCATTGCATCCTGATCTTGAGAGTTCTGTTACCTTGAGCCCACGTTTTGTCTTTGACGTATCTCCAGACAGATATTCCCGTACAAGCGTTGCCTGCTTGACGATCGTCAACAGCTTTGGCTCGCATGACATGCCGTTGCAGCCTATCGTCACGGTAACATTGTTATGTCGCAGTAGGTCAGGAATAAGGAAGTAAAAGGCGTACAAAGCGTTTGCAGCCAAGTCATCTTTGACTTACCAAGAACTGCACTATTCATAATGTCAGCTAAATGGTCTCGTGCTTCTTGCTTCAGGTGGTGTCCGTTCGGAGAATCCTCAGGGTTGGAGTAAGCGATTACAGAGACAATCTCCTCCATGTGCTTCATGTACATATCTTTGCCGTTGGGATCCAGCCGAGTAAAGTCGTGCAGGACCTGCTGTGCGAACATGAGAGCGTCGGGTCCGCGCTCAGGATCGGACTTTACAATCTCGATAAACTTTTGGCACTGCATCTTGAAATTCATATGGATTGACGCGGGCGAGGTCAGCGAACTATGCGGATCGATCGATAGGACACCGGGAAAGGCTGAGTTGCATAAATCCATTGCTGGTCCGATATCACCATGAGAGATCAATGAGCGGATTGCTATCCAGAAAAAAGAGAGAAGGTTAGCGTGTTGTGATCAAATATCAGGGGCTAGTGAAGGATAGCAGCAGGTGTGGGGGGTGCTTGCATCCACACGGCCTCATGAGCATACCTTTACGAGTTTCCAGGTTCTTGAGCTGCTCGTCGATTTGCAGCGCATGTGCCTTGTCTGCTGTAAATGTGCTCGTGCTGATGCTGTCCCGTGAGTCGAGATAGCTTTCACCCATGGGCGAGTCCCCCTCCTGATCCAGCAGCTCCTCTGGCTTGTCCATATCCATCATTGTCCTGTGTTGGCTGTCGTCAGAGGCATTCCGCATCATAACGCCTCCTTGACTGCGATGTGTCGCTTGTGTCCCGTTGAGATGGGTGTTGCCATTGGTGGTGCCGTTGAAACCATTGTTGTTGAGCCCATTATGGCCCGCACGCTGAACTGCACTCTTTCTGACTTCGGAATCCTTCGCTACATCCAAGTCATCCTTCATGAACGCACGGGCAGTCTCGCCATAGCAGTTGTGCAATAGATAGTCGAGCACAAGCTGTCGCGGGATGGCCGTGTCAATCTTGTCAGAGCCCTGTGTGTCTGAATCCAGGTCCATTGCGTACTACTACTGTTCCTTGATGTTGGGATTGTGGCTGTCAAACAACCGGTGTTTTGTCGAGTGGATGTTTCGTAATACCTTCCTGTAGATGAAGACTAAAGCGAATGAAGTGCGAGGAGAGGAAAAAAGGGTGCGAATGGGAATGAGAAGGGCACTGCTTTGTCTATAGTAGATGGAATAGGTCCTCCTATCGGAGTGCTGACTGAGTAAGGGATACAGGTTTAACGGGACGGACCTCGTTTTCACTCCCAGGGTCCCGTCCAGGCTAATGATGAAAAAAGTGATGGCGCTTTTTTTTTTTTTTTTTTTGCTTCTTTCTTCTTCCTCTTCTGGGTATGTTCGTGTGGCAAGAAAGGCGAGCGGAAACAACAAAAAAGGTCGATCAAAACATGCAAACAGAGTAGGTGCGGGCGGCGTATAAGGGGGGAGCTGAAAGAGAAGTGCGCTCTGCACCAAATGGGGTTTCTGACATGCCAACTGGACAATGTGCCACAAGCAAAGGACAAGCGTACGGTTGACCCGGGTTCCCAGAATGCGCACAGGGCACATATCTGATGTATTTGGTATTCGGCGGAGCTGACAGACCACATACAAAGTAACATGTAGTCTAGCAGCTTTAGATCCAGTCCTCAGCCAGACCAGTTCCTCCAAAACCGCCTTCGTCGCCTGGTATCTGCACCACATCTTCGATCAATCGCATGGCCCATCAATCGCATTAGATCGTCAAACACACAGCACAGCGACAATAAGAATAAGGGAAGTTAGGATCTTCCTAAAGCATACTTTAGCAGGCAACTTTGGTGACCAACGTAGGTGAGGGGGTTTTTTTACCTTGCAAGCTGCTCAACATGAGATCGTCCATACTTTGATCAAACGCGATTAGGTCCAGCACTGCATTCGGCGGTATCTCCAGATCTGCTATCGTCGTTTCGTTTTTGTCCAATTCGGCCTTCTTATGTACAAGTTTCTGATACAACGGGACAATGTTCGTCTTTTGCATAATCTGTGGTTGCACATGCAAGCCGATCGAGGTCAAAACGAGCACGCCGGGGTATACAATATAAAATGACTTTGCTTCTCAGTGTCATTACGACTGCTGTACCTTTAATTTCAGTTCCATGACCGTATCCCATTTGCCGACAAGGACCTTGATCTCTTTGTATTGTTTCTTTGTCGACTTAGCGCGTTTTGATCGTCGTGCTCCGAAATGTGGACCTGGTGACAGGGGGCCCTGCTTTCTCTTCGCAGCCGAGGATGTAGAAGTTAGCGTATCCTGAACGTTGGGGTTTGTCTGTTCCAAATTTGATGCAGAGATTGTTGCAGATTCATCATCTCCAGGTGTGGAAGTTCCAGGAGCGTATACTCGGATGAATAGCGTTGTCGAGTCAAAGTTGAGAATTCTAAACGCGTAAAAAGAAAACCTTATTAAGATTAATTTGTACATACTTGAGCGTCCAAATACCCGAGGCATACCTTTCATTCCTGCAGTTTGAACACAAACTGGGTACGGTCTCGATAAACGAGCAAATGTTGGATTCAGTGTCGTCCGTCTGTGTCACTTCCGTTCTCATTACAACAACTTCAGGTCCTCCGTTGTACCTAGATCAACGAGGGATACCGCTATGTTAGAGTTGGTTCTTATGTTTTCAGCGGATGGAGTTCAGCCTACAGTCCGAAGATGCATTTACAGTGCTCGGAGGTACATCCACTCGTCTTCTTTGACCAAAAAGATATCTTCGTCGTTTTCTGCGTCAACAGGGTGATGAAGATCGAAGACGAATAAACCATGTCTGCAGAGGAGACTAGAGTTATCGATGGTCGTGGGTCGCGCATTGCCCATGGGTCGCTTTACATAGTTCAGCCAGCTTTTCATGAACCCCTCTATAATATAGAAGGAACAAGCATGTTGTAAATATTTTATCAAGTCCGTACAGTCAGGGTCCGCAATAGACATTCCGCATTCTCACCTTGAGAAACAACATAATATCTTTCTCCAGGATTCATATGGCTCAAGCGCGCTCCTCTCATCATCATACTCGCAAGTTCTTGCTGCAGAAAAAAAAAGCAGAAAAAAAAAGATACATTAGGTAATATGAACCTACAACTACGCTAACTCAAATACAGATCTTTTTGGCATACCTTTTCAGAAGTTGCCCTGGCTGCGGTGTCCTTCATGTTGTCAATTTGAGACTGTAGTTGACCGCGGCATATAGTGCACTCGAGGGCGTCGCTTCCAGGCAAAGGCAGTTCCCCAAAAACGCGTGTTATCACCTCCAAGGCCTGAGTAGTGGAGATAGTAGCAGTCAACGTCTGTTTACGTGCGCAAAGTGAACACAAGCCAACCCGTATCCATTAACGCTTACCGCCTTGTTGATCAGTTTACGCTTTGTCTTATCATTCGCGAGGGCAGAGTGTGGACAAAGGACATCATGTATGTATGCCTCAGAGATGGGACTGGCATCCTCTGCCGTCGTCTTGTGCAGCTGGTGAAAACGCGGGGCGACCTTCAACCAGTCCGTGAGCCAAAGCTTGGATACCCACGCAGCCAATGGGCTTCTGACCCCCTTAGCCTTGCGCTCAAACTCCTCAATGTCTTTACGGTGCATCAATGTGTACAGCTTGTCTGCAAGGGCAAGGAAAATTTCACGAAATAAGTTCAGTCAGCTGAACCAGGCGTCATAAAAAACATTACCCGAACATGGGACCTGAAGGCGTCTTACCTTGGAACACATTTTTTGTACAGACCTCACAGATATCGTCTGAAGTCAATATTGGGTCGATCTTGACTTGAAGCCGGTCCACTAAGTAGTGCCACGCCAGCTATAGACAGAAACTGGGTAAGAAAACTGCTCAAGAACATGAGAAAGGCAAAGATCCCGCAAAGTGCATACCTCGCTAATACGCTTGCTCTTCAAAACCATTGTGGGACATATTTTTCCATGCTCGCAGACCAGGCTACTGTTATCAATTGCATGTGGCACCTTGCTGTCGAGCTGCATATACTTGCCAAGCGACTCGGCGGGTACATAGTACCCTTTATCCTGTTGAATACGACAAATTAGACCAGGCTCCTAAGGTACAGTTTCGGTTGCACCCATATCATGTTCCAACAGCTTACCTCTTCACAGCCAACGTGCCAGTACTGATAAAGCTGGCGCCGCTCATTCCGCGCTGCTTCAAAGGTTCCTTTGATTTTATTGGTGCTATGAGTTACATTTGGATGTTATTCACCGAACGACTGTTTCAAGATTTTCATCTTCATAAAGACCGTCTAAAGCATCACTTACTAGTCAACATGCTCTTTGAGCTCGTTTTGAAAAGCGGTGTTGTCCTGCTCAACAACGTATAGTGTCTCTGCAGGAGGTGCGCATGGCTTGATTGGAGGTGTCAAACTTCTCTTGGTGTATGTCAACATGTATGCATTTCGCGAAGAAAGCGTGCTATGATCAGAGCCAGGTATACCTTGTCGGTTATTGATGGTTCCAGTGTATACCGTGCCAAACGCATGCGAGAGGTATGTTTCGTTACCTGAGTAGCCTTTCATCTTCTATTCCTCCGCTTTTGCATGATGGTTTCTTGGTTTTTGTTTTCGGAGCTGTCTCAGAATAGTCTTCCGGATCAAATTTGGTGCCCTGGAATTCTGCCACTTCCTCGTCATTCAACACGAACCACTTATTGCTCCTATAATGAATCATAGTATTAGCGACAGCATATAGCAAACAGAGAAACCTTCTAAAGTAGCAAAGGAACTTGTCACCCACTCTCTGTCCAGAACATGAGCACTAAAGTGACCGGAATGGGCGCTTGGTCCGCTGTGGACTAGCACAGCGGATAGTTCATATTTAACGCTGGTATTTGAGCGTAGGAGCTCCGAAAAGTCAATAGTCTCTGGAAATCGGATCGTGTCCTTGGATTTCCTTTTCGTCCACATTACATTGTCATAGATAAACCGCATCAGTTGAATGTTCAGCACCTGGTTGAGAGTACCAAGACGTCAACAAAGATAGTCTAGCATATCAGCTTCAATTTCCAACATTATCTTCTTAATAAGATCGACCGCGGGGGGTTCACCTACATTGGGTAGCTTGTCGATCTTTATCACCCTTGACGCATCTTGAAGCGATCCACATGTCGAGCACGAATACCTATTGTCGGCGTTTAATACGATATTAGCTCAATATTGTTAGAGGTTGCCGGTATCTTAGCTATATATCCGCACGCAGTATTCCCCTACCGATCTGTCCCTGAAAGTTCTTCAGGTTCCACGAACTCTTCAAGGCAATCCATGAAGGTGCAGTTGTCTTTAATGTTTAGCATCAATTCGTAAAACGTACAGTCCTTCACGGACGTCTTTTTACAGTTCCTGCAGGTCGTGTTATAGGAGTAATGACCCTGGAACTGTTTTCAACATGGAAGATCAGCTTCATTTCCGTGCTTGATTTTCATATGACTCAGCTAGGCATACACATAAACAAGCAAGTCAAACCTGGTTTTGGATGAAAGCCCCCAACTCCGGATCCTCTTGACGCTGGAGCTGACCGTCGATCCTTGCCATGAAAAGATTGCAGAACCTAGGGAAAGGTGTAGAAGCAAAATACCATCGACCTATTAGCTCCAGAGAAGGGAGCAACTTGTCATTGTCAACGTAGTGTCTCAGCTTACTCTTGGGCATCTTGCTGCATGGCTATATCCAACCTCAAGGAGCTCACAAGCGATAGCGGGCTGTAAAATTTCTTCAATCCACGATCCAAGTGCGCGAAGAGCAGCTGCAACTGGTACAATGCGTTCTATATCATAAATACAATAATGTAATAAATATATGTATTAGACCATAATGCAAGCGATTCGACCTAAAGCTTTTTCTCGAAAGCCAACAAGTTCTTGATTTACCATCGATTTGTCCGAGTCTTTGCCAAAGCGACATCTGTAGATAATATCGCGAAAAGCTGGATTGTGGAACCAGACCTGCAGCAGAGAGTTTGCATAACACGTTGCACCAAGATTCTAACCACGAAGGAATACATATGTATCGCTTAGAAAAGTCGTTGGAATTTTCGTCCGCTGCATTATTTCACAATCGTTACCTTCATACCAGCCGGGGTATTCTCTACACGCTTTGAAATCCGGGGATCAAGTTTATCCGCAAAGATTGCCATATACTTGTCGAGTGCATCTAATATACAGGATGACGCAAAGTAAGAACTTGTTGTCGCTCGTTCCTGACCATCGCAACTGATTAATCCCTACCGTCTGTCTCCCACTGATCCTGTCCTATGTATTTTAAGCAGTGGGGATTCCCGTCCTTGCAAAGAGCGGCAGTACAATTGCCACTGCTGCCTTTTGTCGATCTTGTGCTTTCTGATATATGGTTCACGTCTTGAACACTGCAATATGGGAAGACGCTGTTGGTGTCACGGGCGATGCTGGGCTCGCCCGATGGTTTCTTTGAACTTCCTTCCTCGCCCTGAGCAATTGGCCCCAGGCCATATACTGAGCGGATATGATCCATGGTCAGATCCTCAACGCTCCTGATATCTTGACCTATGAAACGCCATTGCTTGTCCAATTTTTTGCTAAGAGGTGCCATGATATGGATAATGATACGAGCTCATACGCTTGAGCTCTGAACAGTCCAGTGCGCTTCGTTTCTTGTGTAAAATATGCCTCTGTGTCTGACCGACGTCTTGAATCGGTGTAAAGTTGAGATGTGCATGTGCATTCCTGCCTTCACTGGTGCCTGCCTTTACCAAGGGGGGAAATACCGTCACAAGCGGCTCTTGCTCATCCTTTTCTCAGTCCATCTCGAGCCTCTCTCATCCTCACTTCTTCTTGTTTTGTCTTCGTCTTCGTCTTCGTCTTCACCATCAGCCCTGCCCTTTTATGGATTCGTACGTGGGACTTGCAGGATGGGCATTCTTGCCCTCGTTTATCACCAACGTTCTGCAGTCTATCTGGTACTCGTTCAAGTACCCAGTCAACTCTGGAGCTAAACCAGCGCCGAATACCCCGAAACATCGTCGCCATTATAACAGGATCTATTGCGGCGTAGTCCTCGCCTATCTTGCATATACAATTGTCGAAGTCGACAGGTCCACCCCGACCAATTGCTATGACCTATTGGATATCAACTTCCACACGTTTTCGCAGAAGCAGCTTAGGACCAACTTCAGGAAGGCGTCACTCATGTATCATCCGGACAAAGTTGGAGAAGTTGGGGCAGGTACTGAGTTGTGCTTCCCAGCCGTTCAATTTATTCGATATATCACGTCTGTCAATATCTACTCGACTTTCTAATGCATGGTATCATAATATTACTGGGTACCATAGACACGTTCGTTCGGATTCGGGCAGCACATGAGATCCTGAGCGACCCTGTTATAAAGGTGGCCTATGATCGATTTGGACCGGACCTGGCTCTCACCTGTACGACCTGCAAGACCACTAAGGATTATATCCAACAAGGACTCATGTCCTTTTACACATTCTACTTGGGCTCCGGGATCGTTTTAGTCTTGATGAGCGTTCTTGGAAAGGGACAGTTTGGACGATATTGGCGATTTATTGTACTTTTCGGTATGGCAGCATTGGAGCTGGCTATGGTGACCCGCGCGGCGCCACTTACGCTCTTATCCTGGGTCATGCCGCACCGGGTGACATTCGAGCAAGTGGCGATCCTCCACCAGATCTTTATCTCGACTTTCATCGCCATTTCGCAGATCGGGCCAATTTTGGTGCCCTCCAAGGAACAGGAAAAGAGTAACATCAAGGATCTCATTACTCGATTGGAACTCCTCACTGCCATTTCCCGTAAGTCGCTATGAATAGGTTGCTGTCATCATGGACGCTTTATCCTACTTTACTGACACCCTCTTTATCAAAATAGAAACTGAGTCCGTTGGGCAGCTGCAAAGTGTTTTTGACGTGTACAGAGGAGACGAGGCATGCATGACGCAGCTGAAGCGACAGATGGGTATGATGGCTCTTGACGCACGACTAACACAGGATCAGATGTTGAATGAGGCTAGGAGCGCGGTTCAAAGGCGACTCTTGCAACGAAAGAATACGTAGTTTATATAGTGGGCATGCCAATCATAATCCAGATGAACTTCGATCCGACTGCCATTTTGGGATGCTCTGAGGTGCTATTTTTTTTTTTTTTTTTTTTTTGGTTTCCCTCCACCCTTGCTACAACATGGCGACGACTGATCAGTCCTCGATTCCAATCTACTTCCAAAGGACGCTCGTTCCACCTCATTCAATCGCAGTGTCTGCTTTGGGCTCCTCGCGACCCTCCTCGCGATTTGCATCTCCAGCTTCGTCTCCAGCACTTACACCCACCAAATCATTTGCTGACTCGACTGTAGCTTCATTGAAAACATTCCTGCCTCGTACAACCCTTCGCAAATCGCCCGACCATGCAGGCAATATGGAGCGGCTGCTCTTTTTTCGAGAATGCTTCCGTAGGATGGAGTTTTGGGAGGAAAGCGCTATCCTGGAGAGGATGTATTATAAGAATAAGTCTCAGCACAGACATGCCGGGTACTTTCAGCGACTTTGCGAGGTAACGACCCTTCCTTCAAGGCTTGCCGTCCACGAAATGTTGACAGCTAGGTCGCCTTATGCTAATGTTTGATCTAATTGGTTTGTGCTAGTGTCGTCGCCTTGTCTCGCGGATAATGGAACTCGGTATGGCTGGACTTATGGACGATCTGGTGAAGAATTTTTATTCCGGGAGAAGGTATGTCAATGTTCTTTCGTAATAGCCAAGATTCGTCTGAATGATAAATGCAGCTCATTGAAAGACTTCCTTATTTTTACTTGTGGCCTGCTTTAAATAGCTTGAAGGCCGCGATGAGTGGCAATGTGCAGTGGGACTCTATACCATATCGATCAACCGTGGCGTTTACGATGACACGCATCATTGGATCAGTCCTGCTGCTGCAAAAGTTACAGTTCGCATTGCACGAAACCTATGGGTATGGAAATCTGACAAGGACTAGCTATAGTAATGAACCATGACAATTTCTTACCCAACTAATTCGCTGCATTATCGTCTTCATAGGACATTTTATCAGCTCATGTCAAAAACCCAGTTCATGTCGTTTGCGCTAATAGTAATTGGACTCTGCAGCAGACTGACAGTGCTATCAAAAGCATGGACAAGCGAACTTGTCGACTGCTATGAGCTGCTAAATACATGGATCAAATTGTTTCCAAAGGAGGACACCCGATCGAACTCGGTGGACTACGAAGGGCAACTTCCAGATTCCATTCACAGTTTGATTGCTGCCAAAGTACCTACGATCCCGAAACTACCATCGCCATCGATGCAACCCCAGTATATGGAATATGTGCCAGTAGAAGGATTAGATTTGGGCGAAGTTATACAACGAGCAGAGTTACCTTCTGCACTAGAATCTTCAACAGCACGGCCACAACAGAGGCAGAACTACCCTTTCTCGCTAAAGTCCGAACCAGGACCTGACTCGAGCTTGGAAAATGCGGACCTAGACGACACACACGCCAGTCTCCGAGGCGAAACCGACACAATCTCTGGGAAAAATTCTACCACTCCTTCAATTATTCAATCCAGCAAGGCGAAGAAGACACTGTCGGATCTGTCGGATATGGATAAAATCTTTGGGGACAAAAAGAAACAGAAGGCGAAGGACAAAATGAAAGTAAAAAATATCGGCGACTCTGCCGCATCCCCGTTTCAGTCTGCTCCCTCGTCATCAGGCCCGAATTCAGGTTTGAAGGGCAAGGCCAACACTGGATCCACCACAAACTTTGACGACATATTTAGTTTTGATCGGCAGCCATCTTCAGCGCGAGGAGCAACCACTACAAAGCTGAAGAAGATAAGCAAGGAGATCGACGATATCTTTGGGACTTCCAAAAAGCCAAAGAAGTCGACAGGCTCGGAGATCCTTGGTGGCCCACCAAAAAAGAAAAAGAAATAAATTACACGTGATGATTGTGACCTCGCTGAACGTCATGGCATTTGAGAATGGTGGGAAAGGAGGGAGGGAAACGTCGCTTCTTCCCTCCACACGTTCATGCACACACCACAACCAGCTTCACTTGAATAGACGGAACCTCGGACTTTTGACCAGTCCTCTTTCTACTCTTTCCAGCCTGCACACTCAAGCAGCAGTGGAGTGTCCACACTCACCCTACAGATATACGCATACATTCACGGATATATTCACGCTTGCGCTCATACTCGCACGCACGCTGACGCACTACAAACCAACAGCTTCAACAAAAACAGCAACTTTCCAGCAAAGGTTTACATTTTGCTGAAGGGCACCTTTCACCATTGAACAGCAACTATCTTACGTCGCCGACCTCGCCAACCTCGCCAATCTTCAAAGGGTCCTCGTCCTCTGCGCACTATTGATTGCATTCCACTATCTGTACCCCAAAATGGTAAGAAGTGCAGCTTTGTAGTGAGCAGGAAGCGCCTGCTCTGGGAGGATTCTGTAGCCCAGCCTTTTTCTTTTTCTTTTTTCCCATGGGCGACAGCGGACCGCAATATATGTCCATGTAGCTGATGAATTGATGCGCGGTATCGAATACTAATGCTTTACATCATATGCGCGTTTGTTAGGAACCAATGGAGCTCTCCCCCGAGTACAATTCATCCGTTGACGAGAAGCCCCCAGTGGAGGAGCATCATTCTGTCGATGATGGTATGACACGTCTCATTTGTCCAGCCAGGGCACGTTCTACTGATTGAGCCCAAATATCCAACCTAATGGCGGACTGCCAAGATGTAAACTGCTTTGCCCACATCAAAACTCTAACATGCAGCTACATTCTCTGACTGTGAAAAACTAGTCGAATGGATGACCCGAAAGTACCTACCCATCATTGGCGATCTTGAGGAGCGCGCCTGTGAAACCTTTCAATGGGAGATCAAGGACTGGAGGGCGCTGGATAAGAGGGTAACAGGTCCAGAGTTTGAAATCGGAGGATACAAATGGCAAGTGGACATAACTGCAAGTGCTGCTACTAAGGCAATACCTATAGGGACTAATCAAGATATCCTGATTTTAATTCTCTCATTATAGGCGCATTCTGCTGTTTCCTCAGGGCAACAGCGTACCTGATCAGATTGCCGTGTATCTAGACTCTGCAGAGCCGCGCGAGCAATCTGACCCCAACTGGCATGTCTGTGCCCAATTTGCTCTTATGATGTCCAACCCCGGCGACCCTACAGTATACGTTGTCAATTGTAAGCGCAGAGTTACGTCGGATGTAACATCCGAAGCACATATAGTTTTGGGATAAAGCGACAAAGCATCCATCGCTAATCATTTGTTGTATTCGTTTATATAGCTGCGAGTCACCGATTCACGGTTGATGAGGCCGATTGGGGTTTTACTCGATTCTTCGACCTCAGGAAGCTGGAACATCCATTGGACCAACGTGGCGTCCCATTGATGGTGAACGGACACACAATGATCACTGCCTATGTTCGAGTGTACAACGATCCTACAGGAGTGCTTTGGCACAACTTTGCCAACTATGACTCGAAGGCGATGACAGGGTATGTGGGACTGAAGAACCAGGGCGCCACCTGTTACATGAATTCATTGCTCCAGTCACTCTTCTTTACGAACTACTTCCGAAAGGCCGTATTTGAAATACCAACGGCTGAAGATGAACCCTCAAAATCCATGGCTCTGGCACTTCAGCGTGTCTTTTATCAACTGGCAACCAGCAACAACTCGGTCGGAACAACAGAGCTGACGAGGTCGTTTGGATGGAATTCACTGGAGAGTTTTATGCAGCATGACGTACAAGAGTTCAATCGGGTTCTACAGGATAATCTAGAGGGAAAAATGAAGGTACCAACCTGATGGTCGATACATTTCGTCGCCAGTCTTAGTGAATGTCCAATGATTTCTAACGCCGCCTTTGTCATTGCGTCACTGTCCGTAGGGCACTGAAGCGGAGGATGCTATCCAGAAACTCTTTGCTGGGAAGATGAAGAGTTACGTAAAATGCATCAATGTCGACTACGAGTCCTCGCGAGTGGAAAACTTTTATGGTACGTGTATAATGCTGGAGGGGTCGCCGTATTTACAAATGCCTAGGCGAACGTTTGGCCACTGACACTTCGCTCGATCCTGTATGGGACATAGATATCCAGCTGAATGTTAAGGGATGCAAAACCCTGCGGGATTCGTTCGCCAATTACGTCGATGTGGAGACATTGGATGGCGAGAACAAGTACCAAGCGGAGGGCTATGGCCTTCAGGTGATTGCGAATGAAGTTAGATGGTATAACTGGCTTTCCTTACCAGGAACTCTCAGCTGACGTATACTATATATTTCAATGAAATAGGACGCCAAGAAAGGCGTTATATTCCAGACACTACCGCCTGTATTACACCTCCAGCTGAAGCGGTTTGAGTATGACATTGAACGTGATGCGATGGTCAAGATCAACGACAGACAAGAGTTCCCTTTGAATATCGATCTCGCAGAGTTTGTGGAGGAAAGCGAGGAAAAGGAAAAAGCTGGTCCCGATGGGTTCAAGTACACCCTTCATGGGTAAGTGCCTCATCTTAAGAGTGATTGCCTGCTCTCAAATACGCCCTGGATGTTCACAGTTTTTATTATACCCTGCTCGTTGATGATTAGCGTCTTGGTCCATTCCGGAGATCTTCACGGAGGACATTATTTTGCGCTCCTGAAGCCTGAACGTGATGGAAAATGGTACCGCTTTGACGACGACCGTGTCATCCCGGTCTTATTAAAGGAGGTCCTTGACGAGAACTATGGTGGGGGAGAGAGTCTCGAAAACTTGGCTGCAATGCCTCCCGCCCTCCGACAGCTGAACCGCCACAAACGCTTCACCAATGCATACATGCTGGTTTACATCCAAGAGAACGCTTTGGATGAGGTCTTGAAACCGTTGACGCACGACGATATACCAGAGCATCTTCAACGTCGACTTGACGATGAGCGCGCAGTATTGGAGACACGAAAGAAGGAGCGCGATGAGTCTTTTCTATACTTCAATGCTCGTGTGATTTCGGACGCGGACTTCAAAGCGCACGATGGATTTGACCTGTTCAACCCTCATTCACTAACTGCTGGAAAGTTGTTCAAAGTACGGAAGTCAGATACATTCGAGACTTTTCGACATTTTGTGGCGGAGGGCTATGGCATTCCTGAAGGTGACATTCGTCTCTGGACGCTGGTGAAGCGACAGAATGATACAGTTCGTACTGATCTCGCCATCCCAGGCAGCGACTTAAAGAAATGTAGGTGGTTTAACCTGGCACCAATGCTATACTTAAATAACCAATGAGTGTTAAATTAGCTGGTTTTTATTGTTCATCTGCGTGTTAGCCATGGAGGTACTCAAGGAAGCATACGGACACCGCGCGCATCCAGAATTCAGGTGCTACGTAGAGTGTCCTGATAAAGGAGCAAAAGTCACGAACAGCAAAACATCTTGGTTCCAGAACGAGAGTCAGAATGGTGAAATCATGATTTTCATCAAGTACTACGATCCCTTCGCCTCAAAACTGGAGTGAGTCCTTGATGCTACATACGAAAAGCATCGAAAAAAAGGCATGGTTATCAACTGCGTTTGCTAAAACTTCATTCATTTTCATATAGGGGATTGTGCAAACTTCACGTTCACAAGCAGGCCAAAGTGGCCGATATCATTGGACAACTAAATGAGAAGAAGGGTTTCCCTGCGAATACACCTCTGAAGCTGTTTGAGGTAAGGACCGTGCACATCACAAAACAAGATCCCTGTGCATAGTTCGGCGTCTCATGAACAAGCAATCCTTCTCCAATGCCCTTAGGAAATCAAACCGACCATGATCGAGCCCATGAAGATAAAAAACTCATTTAATCAGTGCGAAATTCAGGGCGGCGACATTATCGTTTTTCAGAAGGAACTGACGCCAAAGGAAGTGAACGACCTCAAAGACCAAGGGCTGAGAGCGACGGTTCCACAGCACTACGAGTATCTTTTCAACCGGATTTATGTGGAATTCCGCCCTAGGAATGACCAGGACTCAACACTTGAATCGTACACGTTGGAGCTCAGCAGGAAAAGTACATATGACCAAGTGGCCGAGAAACTAGCAGAGAAGCTGAATACGGACCCACTGCATATCCAGTTCACAGCCCCGTCGCACCCTAATGGACCGCCTAAGAATACGATCAAGCGCTCGACCACTATGCTGCTACACGAGATGCTCGCTCCAGGATATGCCCAGCAATATCAAGTACCGAGCGTTCTTTACTATGAGAAGCTGGACATCAGTATTGTGGAGCTGGAGAGCAAGCGGATAATCAGAGTCACTTGGCTGGGGCCCACTCTAAAGGACGAAGTAAATGTCTTATCCCATGCTTGAGCTCGTACTAATTGTAAAAAGACTATTGCTGACCGAGTTTCTTTTGTGCAATATAGTCAACACACGACCTCCTGTTGCTTAAGACTAGTACGATAAGTGCGATGCTAGAGGCGCTGCTGTCCAAGATACAGCCTTCACCAGAGGGCACGCAAAAGCTGCGTACGTTTGCAGTCTCAAATGGCAAACTTGTCAAGGAATATGGACCCATGGATCCGATCAGTACTGTGCATGACGCGTTCAATCTATACGTGGAGGAGATTCCCGTAGAGGAGTATGAGTATGGTGAGGGCGACTATCGACTGGGCTGCTTCCATTTCCACGGAGATGTCAGCCGCACGCATGGCATCCCGTTCTTTGTTGTGGTGAAGGAGGTAAAGCAGCTTGAATATGAAGAATATTAGACGAGGAATGTTTTAGGGATATAGCGACGGTTATGTTAACAATTACTCACAAACCATGAATGTTGTACATAGGGCGAGGCCTTTGCAGACACCAAGGCTCGTATCCGCGCAAGGCTGGGCATGAACGAGAAGGACTTTGCAAAAGTCAAGTTTATCCTTTTCAACAACAACAGCAGCAACGGTCGCATCTCGGCTGTGTCTGATGGTAATTATACGGCTCGCAAGATACGCTCTTTGGTCGATGCTGATACTCTTGAGCAGCTTTCTAACATAATATGTGTGTCCTCTTTATTTATTTATTTTATTTATTTATTTTTTGCAGATGTTGTGCTTTCAGAAATTGAACATTTGCCGGGAGACATGCTTGGTCTCGATCATATCGACAAGAGTGGGCGGAGCAACAGGACTAGTGTAGAAAAGGCCATTTTCATTAGAGGATAGGCATGCTTGTGCACGAAATAAAACCGCAATGACGGTACCATGAGCCGATTTTGCTTCTGCTTTATGTTGAAAGGAGCCAAGGTCATTTTTATTATGTATCCTGAAACTCATCTGTGGAATGCAAGTCGTTCTTGTCTGCAAATAACTCGTCCTTTGAATCAAACCGAATCACTTTACGCGGTGGCCCGTCTCCTCCACGGTTGCTGTTCTCCGACATGTTCTTTCCACCGCGAACGACAGATCCTGATCGAATCCATCGATCTAGGTTGACAGTGTCCTGGTTTTCTTCCTTGGGTCGAAAGTCCCGTATAATGTTTTGTTGTTGACTGCCGCTGTTAGTCCTGGTGTCTGATAAAGTGCGTTTCTTCCCTGAGAAAGATGAGATCTTTGAGGGGGTAGAGGTAGTCGACTTGGGGTGCATGACCCAGCTCTCCATCATACTTGCTGACGAGGTCTGACGTCCACGTGTAAGAGCTTTAGCAGACGTTTTTGGTGGCATTGTAGGTTGCTGCTCCTCGACTTTGGCGGGTTGAGTGGTCATGAAGATGTTGCGGGATGTTTGTTCCAATGCAGGCTTGACAAAGGGTTGATGCTGCACCACGAAAGAGTTTGCTCCGCGCCCTCGGCCAGAAAGGCGGTTGTCAGAGATTTCGATAGGTTCCAGCTTGATAAAAGGTAATGTCGGTACTTTTGCTTTCTTCAAAAACGGACTTGAAGACGTGAATGGCGACTCTGGAGAATTGTTGTATCGTTGCTTAGGCGGCGGAGCACTGTCAGTTGGTAGCGTAGGCAGTTTAGGAATACTGGGTGCAGTTGGTCGATCGTATCGGCTCTTAATTTTCGCCTTCACTACTCCATCGGAATTCTTCTCCAGTGTCAGCGCTCGGGTGTCCTGGACCGTCCGCGATGGAGTAATTTCGTCCTCACCTATGTTATCCAGCACCATTTCCACATCGCTCCTGCTCCGAACAAATGCTAGGCGTCCCTTCGCTCCGGTTGTCCCCTTTTTAGAGGATCTGGGCCGATAAAGCGTGCCAAATGTCGACCGTATGGCATTCAAAATCTTTTGGTACGTGTTTAAGTTGAACATATGGTCCAGTTCTGTCTGTTGTGCGGGTGCCTTCTCCTTCTTCATCGCCTTCATGACCCCCTCCAATTCCTGAACATACCGGCGGTTCCTCTTGGAGCACATGCGTCTCATCAGAGCGTTCATCTTAAACTCCTCTCCGCGACGCTGATATTCAAGTTGGTGTTGTGGTACCGGATCAGATAGAGGGTGAAGATAGATTTGCCCTAGTTTTGCAAGAGCTAGACATTCCGATAGCCCTACTCCGTCTTCCTTTGCAAAATCCGGCCGCTGCGCGAACGACAAATTGTAAATCCGATTCAGTCGATCGACCCATCTCTGCATCGGGTTAATGTCCGATCCTTGCTCATTATAATAGCTGGTCCCATTGTCCTTTACAGTCTTATTTCGCTCACTCGTGGTCAGCTCAGGGAATAGAATTGTTTGGCTCGGCAACCGCCTCCACGGTGCTGAATGATATCCCTGAAAGAAAGACTCCGCGACCTCCTCATGGACTTTCGAATTTGTCAGGTCGATTCCCAACAGTCGCTTGAATACCGGTTGTTTCTGCTGATGCTGTTGCTCTTGTCGACCAAAGATCCTGGCGAGACCTATATCCGTCACGTCCGTGCCTGAGAGATTAAGGTATTCCAGTTTTGCAGGGCCTGATGATCCAAACGTAACACTGCGAACCAAGTGGCTCAATCCTGTATCGCTGATCCTCAACTGCGCAAGATTCAGGAACCGAAGCTGTGATAATGCAGATAACCCTGCCATATCCTTGTCAATGAATCCAATTGAATCCGGATCATCGCCACCACCGCCACCAGTACCAATCCCTCCAGACAGATCTAAATAAACGAGACAGTACGCAAACGACCCCAGGTATGGGATATCCTTTACGAGCGAGCATCGAAGTCCAGTGTATTCGGGTCCCAAAAACTCAGCTCCGTAGGCCTCCGCAAAGAGAATGATCCCTGCTTGTCGCTGTTCTGTTGTAAGACGCCACTGGGTCGATCTGTGAGTGAATTCTGCATAGAGGGCTTGACCGAAGGGATGGAAGGGCAGACCTTCCAAGGTGGCAAAGATCTGGAGATGAGAGATGCATGTCTGAATAGTGAGGTGGAAGAGGGAAGGGAAGTTTTGAGGCGTGTGCTTCTGTCGTTGAGATGCGAGTTCCTGCAGGGCCTGTATCCTGGCGACAGAGGATATCATGGTAAGTGGTGGGGTCCGGTCTAAGGAAGAAAAAGCGGCAAAGAGATGAGGTAAACAACAGTCCCTGGATGCCCTCCTCAGGACGCGTTGGTCCGTGCGCCTGCGCTGGGATACGGCGCGTAAATGTGAGCCAATCAAAAAAGATATTCGCTTCGAATTTCTTCTTTCTTACTTTACTCCCCATACAACTTCTCTCTCCCTATCCGCAGTTTGCTGCATTGCTTCGACCACCCCATACCTTTTCACGCTCAATATACAATACACATCCTCAGACGCTATGGCGCCCTTGAAACTCGTTTTACTGGTCATGGCGCTCTGCTTCATCGATACCACCTATGTCCATACCTGCGGTAAGATCGCGCGCCACGACTGGCGAGGATATCGCTCTATTGATCGTTCCATTTAGAGCCAGCACACCGCCGCGACCCTGTGGAATCCCTAGCCAAAAAAAATACGAAGCAGTACTGTAAGATTAGGCAGAGGCCTTCAAAGACTTTGAACTGACTGCAGCATCAATGGCTACGGCAACGTGATCGACAAGGCCATTTTTGACATGTTCCGTGGACCATGCGACAACCTACCTGGACAGAGAAACCCTGAAAATCTCTGTGAAGGCACCAAGGGTATCGCATGCTTTGTACCTTGAGGTCATGACCGCAGGGTCTTTGATACCTTCCATACCGCAGTCGCCAGCATCATAACCAAGGGATATGGCACACAGGACTTCGTTATCGCAGCTGTCGCGGTCGATGGCATCAAGAGGTTCTGTCCACAGAACTGTGAGGATTGGATTTAGCCTTAGTAGATGTAGCGCCCAGTTCAGCATATATTCCTCACTGAAAACAGGAGAGTCATATCATTCCTCGGTTATATCTGTGCTCTTGGTTCCAAGATATCATACTGACCTGGGAGCAACGGGAACGTCCTCGCCAGTACAATGTCACACTCAATTGCCTGCCATTCAGAGGTGAGGGCATCTAAGAGTAGTATAGGCATAATATCCAATAGCCTCCCAATGCAGCTTAAAGGCCCTGAGGACAATCCGTGTAGATCTTGCTTCTTTGTTAAGTGGAAAGGCGAAGCTTGAAGAACTGTACACGCACATTTTATTCCGAGGAGAACCCAGAGATTAGAATACTTACAAGGGGGGCCAGGAACTAACGATACCGTTGAATTAGTGTCGAACGCGTGTCTGCGCGTCATTTGGTGAATGAACACGCGCCATCAAAGAGATATAAATGAAGCCAAATTTCGCGCCTCATGCCCCAGTCCATAACACGAGCGCTAGACTACCCCAGGCAAGCGTGTGTCTGTGTGAGTCTACATGTGGAGAAGGGGACAGTAAGATGAGACATACTTTCATTGTTTAATGTCGTACAAAAACACAACCTACTATATTTCAGCTGAGCAAACAATCCGTTCGGCAATCTAAGAGGTGCATCGCCCATGATATGTAATGCAAACAACTCATACGTCCTTTTCTCACCAATGCTTCGTCGTATGTCACTTTAACGCGAAAAAAGAGCCGCTGGGCACTTCCAAACAAGGTCGTCTCCTCATACATGATTACCACGATACTCAGACATAAGAAAAGAATCCTCATAGTAACAAAAAAAAAAAAATCGACCCTGAAAATGAATACGCGGACAACCACCCGTTAAAGTTCTTTTTCTTTTTCTTTTTCTTTTTTTTTTCTTAGAGGTTTTATTGCAGAGATTTTACGCCACTAGATGGAACTATCAAAACTATGAGATTGTGTTCTGGACGCGCTTTTGTCATGGGTACTGCATGGGGTTGCTCTCTATCAAGCAGATGGGGCAAAGGAAGGGCTGCCGCTACCGCTGCAGTGCAGGCCAGCAGCTATGATGCTAGCTCCATATGATACCTTGAAGGTACTAATAGCCGAGCCGCAATCCGATGCGCCGCTGCAGGAATTGATCCAGGAAGTGTTCGTCACGGACGCGCACAGGCAGGTTGCAAAGGCAGATGAGACCGAGCCAGGGGTCGGTTGGATGTTGGCGCAGGCTGGGAGCGTTTGGAGAGCCTTTTGGAGACAGAGTGTGCACGAAGCTGGGTCGCTCTTGACGGAGACCAATGACGCGAGCATGGCGACAGCAGAGGCGGCGAGAATTGTAAACTTCATGGCGATGAAAAATGAAAACGGAGGAAGGAGGGTTGTTAAAGGATGAGCAAATGAGCAAGGAGGGTTTGAGATAGAGAGAGTGAGGAAGAGAAGAAAGGATCGGGTATGTGCGAACTCTCCTTGGTCCTTTTATAATGCGCCCAAGAGTTCGGGTGGGGACCCTTGATGCTAGGGATATGGGCTGCATGCTTTCTTAGTTAGTTGAGCGATATGGGAGATTGTGGCCCATAGGTTCTTCAAAACGCTTGACTCCTATTTTCCGCTCCACAGAGGCGTGCATGAACGGCGAGTGCAAACATCAAGCAGTGAGAGCCAACGCAACAACATCAACAACACGGCTGAGGAATGTTGATCGTTGGGGACGCAAGACTACCCTGTACGCCTCACCCTATAGCACGGGCACATCCATTCCTAGTCCATCAGGGTCGTCCTAATCCCTCTTTTGTGGCCTGCTCTCAAATTGCATCCGAACATCAACAAAAGCATGAATGCGGGATGTATAGAAGTGGTTTGAGAAAGTGAAAAGTTGTGCAAATTGTTTGTGCGATAGGCGCATTCTCTCCTCCTAGACGCCTTTTAAACTGAATGGAGAGAAGATAGCCGACCGTAGAGAGCTATCCGCTTGTTTGGTGTTTCCAGGATGACAAAGACGAAAATGAACATTAGTGCGCGTCAGGGCAAAGTAAACATCTGGGTTCGAGATATATTGCGGAATGCAGATGTCCACAAGGTGCAGATAGGCTGCTCTACGCAGCAACTGTTGCTGCAGGGCAAACAGTTTCTTTTTTGGGGCGCCATGGAACCACGTATAAATTAGTGGCAAACACACGCCGCAGAGTGCGCTGCGGTGATACGAGTCTTTTCTATCGCAATAAAGCTGAATATTGCTTTGCAGAGGCACTGCCGTGGACTGTCATTGACAGGCCCCAGGGCCAGCACGGCCCCCTGGATAATCTGGCACATCGGTTTTGGCCGACCCAACCTTATTGTAAATACGCCTCCGATTCGCCCACGATGGACTCATACTCATTCGCCGTCTACTCTCCCACGGCTCCTGAGGGCTATTAAGTGGTTTACACAGACGCACACACAGACATATTCACAATGGGCTGCTGAGATGGACAGGGGTGGAGATGATGCTGCGTTGGGGAGGGAGAAGAAGGTATAACTGTCGCTGCAAATCCGGGCCTCTTCTCTTTTTCTCAACATTTTCACCCCACTTCCCAATCTTCACTCTCCACTCCCCACTCTTCACTTTCGCTTCCCCCCTTGTCACACTCTTTCTGAATCAGGCGCTCATTCCTTTCCTCATTCCACTTTGTAAAAAAGAAGAAAAGAGGACAATGACCAAAGAAAGTATCCTCTTTATTGGAACTGTTCACCATGCAAAGGCAAAGGAGGCTGAGCTTGCTGCCAAGTACGATGTCCATGTAAGTCAAGGATTTGCCGCCCTCGAATTTAGTGGCAAAATAACAGGGGTGCATTTACGAACAACAGAAGACTGATCTTCCACCTCTCGTCTCGTTCACTTAATGCGTGCAATCCCAGTACGCGGCTCCAACTCGAGAGGAACTCTGGCAACAGCTTGAAAACGCCAAGCGCGAGGGTATCTCTTTCAAGGCCCTCTTCCGAGGTTTTGCCTCCCATTATGTAAGTGTGCAGATCCTTTTCTCTCGCCCTCTCTTTTATTCTATCTCAATCAACATGGTCCCATCCTAACTGCCGGTCAAACATTTCGCTGCCACAGACCCTTGGAAGAATCGACACACCAATGCTGAACCAGCTCCCTCAAGGCCTCGAGCTGATCGGTAGTGTCGGCGCTGGATATGACTTTGTCGACGCCGCGGCTGCTACCGAGAACAAGCAATGGGTCACCAATACCCCCGGAGTCGTAGATGATGCCACCGCTGATGCCACCATCCTCTTACTCCTCAGCACCCTTCGCCACCAGTACGAAATCGAGTACGCTCTCCGCAACGGACTCTCGACCAAATCTCGCATCGGGAGGGACCCCACCGATATGACTCTCGGCATTGTCGGCATGGGAGGCATCGGCAAGGCCGTTGCGAAACGTGCCCTGGCCCTGGGTATGAAGATCGTCTATCACAACCGTCGGCCGATTGCAACAGCAGACAGTGCCAGCGACACAGATGTGCAATATTTGAAGGAAGTCGTGTATCTTCCCACGCTGGACGAGCTCCTGCAGATCTCAGATGTAGTCTCGATCCATGTCCCGCTCTCTCCCGAGACCCATCATCTTTTTGGCGCTGAGCAATTTGCAAAGATGAAGACTGGTGCCTATGTCCTTAATACCGCGCGTGGTCCTGTGATAGATGAGGAAGCCTTGGTCCAGGCATTGGAGTCCGGAAAGCTTGCAGGCGCGGGTCTCGACGTCTTTGAGCATGAGCCCAAGGTCCACCCCAAGTTGCTAAGTAACATGAACGTCTCATTGATGCCTCACTTGGGCGCCTTTACAATCGAGACCATTACAAAGATGGAGGCACTGGCCATGGAGAACATCGATCGGTACCTGGCGTCGGGCTCCTTGCTAACGCCTGTTAACGATATCAACTGAGTCGCGCAAACTGAATGCAGCCTTAACACGATACACTGTTTCATTCTTGTTCCTACATTACAGTCGTCTTTATTAAATTGCAGACTATTAATTATATACACGTTCAGTGATAGACGGCTGAATAGCCGGGGAGAGAAAGGAAACAACAGAGCAGCTGCGATACGCCTCTAATCCGAGTCTTGGAACTTGCTTTTTTTCGGATAACTTTGGCAACACGAAACAAATAATAATAATAATGGTGCCGCTTATCCCAGTCGTGGCTCCTTGCTGACGACAGATCCGCGTGTATCTGACAAGCTATTTAGCATAAGAAAAGAGGAGTGCCCATGATTAGCGTCAAAGAAAAATGAGTCCACAGACAAGAGCAAGGTGTTACCATGTAAGAAACAGTCACTACCTTCCCGTGCCCAATGGTCGCTTCAAGCCGGTGCCTTGAACCGGGTTAGTGAGATACATGCTTTGATGCACAGCTGATGGCGCGGGTACTCTATAGTTGTGTGTCGTGGAGTGTTGATTTAATGATGACGCAGAATCGCTGCTATTGATGGCGTTTGCTGCTGAGGCAGCCAGGCTGTTGGCTCGATAAATATTCTTGGTTCCATTCATAGTAGGCGGGATTTGAGCTCCAACAAGATTTTGAGGAGATGGGGATGAACTGTCTTTGCTATCCCAATGTTTTTGATTCTGAGGCATATTGACTGGTGCTTTCTGATTCTTCTGTGAAGTATCCTGTTTCGTGGACAATGGTGCTGAGCTTGCTGGTGGTTTGGGAGGGCAGAAAGCCGTGGATGGAGAAGCTGTAGAGGATATGGAAAACATTGTTTGCTTCGGAGCGAATGGATTATCTCCAAAAGCTGGCGACATACTGGTTGAAGTTCCTACGGTGGTATTAGGGACTTTTAGAGGCTGCAAGTTCAGCTTTTGAGGTTTCTGCAGTGTTGGCATCGCTTTTGTGGTCTGCGTCAGCACCGGACTACTCGTTGACCGAGTCAACGAGCCCGAGCGCCTTAAGACCGGTTGGCCACTGCCTACGAACCCTGCAACTTCGTTCGCCTTGAGCTTAACAGGCGAGTCGTCATTCATCATATCCATGATGTCCAGTTCAATGTCGAAGTCATCCATGCGAGGGCTTTCCGGCTGGGACGCCCTAGAATCCTCGATATCGGCGCCAAAAAACCTATCAACTATGATAACAAAACACAAGGACCAAAATTAGCATGGTGATAGACCGATCAGCTTCAAATACGAAGACAATGTTTTGAGTCCTTACCATCATCTTCTTCGACCTTGACGTTCGTCTGCAAGCTGCTCTGATTTTGATGCTGATTCGGTCCACCTACGCCGGTTGGGACGGAGCCGCGGCGGATTCCTAAAGTCGAAGCTCCTCCGTTCAATGATCCTATCTGCGGCGCGGCTTTCGGTGCTTGCTGAACAGGGACTGTATTCCGTTGTCGAGCGCTTGCAACATTATTAGATGTTGCTGATGACGGTCCTGCACCGTAAGCTGCTTGCTGCGGCTGCTGTGGTTTGTACTGCTGCTGAGGCTGCGGTTGGTTTTGTTGCTGATATGGATTATGGGCCTGCTGTTGTTGTTGTTGCTGTTGATTCTGCTGCTGCTGCTGCTGCTGTACCTGGTTGATTTGATGCTGTTGCTGTAACAGCTGCGTTGACCACGCCTCTTCTGGATAGTAGTACATCTCCTTACTATCGAACTTTGGCTAAACGTTAAAAGAAATAGATCGTTAAAAGTTTCAGTTTTCGTTACAGTCGCTTCTTCCTCCAGAGCAATGAAATACCTTGTTTCAAATGAGCGTAGTACCTTGTCAACTTTCTGCATGCTCAAGTGCCTGCAAAAGTTCTTGTCGTAAAGACATGTTCCCAAGACGTTACCAAACGCAGTTAGTGCTCTTTTCAATCCATCTGTTGTTGCTTCCTTCTTTGCCTAAAGACGCGATTAGAGGGAATATAATGGGTTAGGGAGATGTCTATGTAACCGCACACAACCAAGCTCATACGTGGATGTGTTACCTTTTCAAAAGAAGACGCCTTGCTTTTCTGACTCTCACTTGATCCGTATCCAATGTCCTATAATCATGTCAACAAGATCTGTCAGTATATGTATAGATAAAGAGCAGCTGTAATAGTGTTATCATCCATCAACTCACCTCATGGTATGTTCCATCCTTGAGGCTGACCCTGACCATGACAGAGACACCCACAGACACCTTGCCTTCATGATCGATATCCAAGAAGTCGACGGTGACATCGGTGATAGCGCTGCTCCAACCGTCAAAGCCAAACAGCTTATTGGCCAAATTCTTGATCCTCCAGCCCTCGATGTATGTGAGTGTGGACCGTCCGGGTCCAGGGCGTGTGGCAGCAAACTCTGGTGGGAGATATTTGGCGAGATCGACGTTGAGACGCGCCTTTTCTTCCGCAGTGAACTCAGTCAGCTTGGGGGGCTGCTGAAGGGAATAAGGATTATGTACTGGCATGCGGGAATTGAGTAGAGAATTGTCGGTTGAGACGTTCGTAGTGCCGTTTGCGTGCAGGGGTATGGATGTGGCAGGCTCCGTTTTAGGGATCATGAGTGCAACAAGTGCTTCCTGACGAACGAAACTAAGTGAGTAGGAGTGAGGGTATGAAGAAGAGAGGGGAGAAAGGGATGCGATTGGAAGAGAAGGTGATGAAGGGCTAAAGAAATCGAAAAGATGTGTGGTGGCAAATGTGGGTTGTAATGGAAGAGTGGCGCGTTGACTGCCTTCATACGGGAAATTTGATTTGACATAAACCCACACCGTTGCCACCAAAATTTGAATGGATCGATCTGCATAAGGGGCACAAGTATCGAAAAAAAAAAAATGGCGGGAAGGACACTGTCAAGTGAAATGCTTACTCAATCGTCCTATGTTAGAGAGTCGCATTAGGTCCGCGCCTCGAGTTTTGCGACAGTAACAACGAGGATGAACTTGACAGGATCTAGATTTTGTTCTCCAATGTGTTTTCCGTGGTTTGTTTGCTTAAGGAGTGATCTCTTATTCCTGATCATGATGAAGCTAGATGGACATCTATGCTTATTCTGGACTTCAGTACACTGCATATTCTACTTCAGAGTGGTCTCGCTCTTAAACCTCCCACTCAACAATCCTGCCGATCTCATAAACCACCGAACTGTTGCCGCTGTTCTATGTTTGATCAGAGCCCAGGTTTGATGCCGGAAATGTGAATAGTCTAACAATGTGACAAAGTTGTGTGTATACAAACGGCTTCAGGCGGTGTTTGCCATGTCTGGTTTCTCCGCCTCGGCCCCAAGGTCAGCATCACCCCGTCCGTGCATAGCCAGTCTTCCTGGTTATGAGATCTCCCGCCAATTTTTTCCTGATGAGAGGCCGTGCTGATACGCGGGGCCAAGCGAGGAGGAGCGAGATAAGAGACATGGCCAATCAGCCATAGGGCTCAGTCCCTTGTGGGTCTGGGATAGACTGCTTACGCTCCTATTCGGATTTTTCTTCATACGCTCACGGCAACAGAAGAGCAAGGGCGAAAGAGAGCAACCTGGCTGACGACAGTGTTTTCTTTTTCTCCCCTGCTCTCGTCTCGCTCTCTCTCCTTCTCTCTTACCCTCACACCCTTTCTTACCCTCACACCCTCTCTTTCTCCCCTCCCTCTCACTCTCTCTTTCGTCACACCCACTTACTTCCTTTTGCCCGTCTTTTTCTAACGTCTTTCTTCTCTTCTGCTCCCACATACACATACACCTACACCTACACATACACATACACATACACCTATACTAATAGCACATACGTACTTCATGTCCCCATTCCCGCCCTAATCTTTAATTCTTCAGCAACGACACCCTAGGAACGACCCTTTTTATTGCATTCATATCTCCAGTCTCAAGCACAGACACCACAGACATCACACATACTCAAATACTCAGACACTTTAAACACTCAAGCACCCTGGGTGGCACTTGTAAGCTTACCACCAGACCAGACTAGACCGCTGCACAGTAGCACACTAGAGCAACACACTAGAGCAGCACACTAGCCTAGCCCATGTACTCTCACTCCTCCCCCATCCTCCCTCCTCTTTTTGTTCTTCCTCCTGCCTCCTCTCGCTCGGGCCTTTTTCTTTTTTTCTTTCGGTTGATTGAGTAATTCCTCCTCTCTTCTGCCGAGGATATTCTTATTTCTGCGTATGAATAGCTCGACTGTCCCATTTGTCCCATTTGTCCCATTTGTCCGCCCTGTCTTTTTTTGGTTTTGGGCGCCTGTGCTCCTTTGGGGGTTGTGCTTTCCTTTCCTTTACCCTTTACCCTGTTTAGGACGCACTCGCTCTCTCACTCTCTTCCCTCTCTCACTCTCTCTCTCGCACTCACTCTCTCGCCCTTGCCTCACTCACCGCGTGGCAATATAGACCTTCCTGCTCAACAACTCGCCCCAGCCCTGCCTGCTGCTCATCCCTTAGCTGACTAAGCACACTACCTTTCCTCTTGTTCTTCCGCTTCTTCTTCCTCTTCTTCTTCTTCTTCTTCTTCTTCTCTGTTGCCCCTTTTTTCTCTTCTTTTCTTGCTCTTGTTCTTTGTGTTCTCAGCAGAGAAAATCCACCCGAGTGCCTGCTTGTAAATGAATATATGGATATCTGTACCTGCTCTCCTTCGCAGCGTTACTTCCGCATCTCCTTTCACATCTTCCTCCCTTATCTTGCCGAATGCGCCCCTCACCGTTTTTCTTCTTCTCACGTCCTTTGAACACAAAGTAGGCAAACCCATCGTGTAATTTAACGAAACATCAAATAAACAACCGTCAGAGCCAGGAAAGCATACCAGCACCACTTTGACAATGCCGGAGACCGTTTGGGCCATCCACAATTTCGAAGCCGAAGCCGAAGACGAGATATCATTCCACATCGGAGAGGCCATTATTGTCCTTCAAAAAGACGAGCTCTATCAGGACGGCTGGTGGGAGGTAAGAAGCGATACAATGCTCAGGAATTTGCACATGGACTAACTTGTGACAAAAACGACCGTCGTTGTGCAACAGCATCCACTGATACAGGGATACATTAGAAAAAACGGATGCAAAGCACAATGAATGACAGAATGATTATACGCCAAATGGCACTTGCAGCACTTTAAGCGATGGTTCACAGACCAACAACAGACAACCCCACAAATGATGGGGTGCAGACCAAGGCTACTGGGCTGTTGGTGCTAGCAGGTGGTCATCGGCCAACCTCGGTTTTTAAAAGCTTTTTTTGGTTTGTTTTTTGTTTTAATGTATTGTCCTGCATTGGCTTCATTGGCTTCTACTAGGGCACCAATGTACGGGGCGAAACAGGACTTTTCCCTCAGAATTACACTATTCCAAGTAAGTATTTTAAGGTCTTTGCAAGTCGTCCTGAGAAAACAGAAAATGGGAGCAGAGATGCTGTTTTCCAGAGGATTGACGGATTGTGGGACAAAGAAGGTTGCTCGCTCTTGAGAGGCTGGAAATACAAGGACAAAAGACAAGGGCAAGCAATTGTATGACAAAGGACGAGGGCAAAGGGATGGAGAGAGGCGAGAGCGAGAGAGAGAGAGCGCCGACATTGGACCCACCGAAATCGAGTCTTGTCGCATTTTGATAAAGACCGGCGTAGTGAGAAAAAGAAACGAAAAATAGCCAAAGAGCACAGAGGATGAGCCCTCTCGAGCGCTCTTTCTACTTTATGCTCTGAACGCATGCTTACAAAAACAACATGTGCGTGAGCAGAGAGAATGGCGTCGGAGAGTAAGACGTATTGCTAACTACTTATTCTGCTTGCATCTATCGTGCCTGGTAGATCCTCCAGATCAATTGCAGCCCGATACAACTTTGCGCGGCCCCAATGTCTTTGGAAACGACACGAAAGCCCCAGCAGTCAGCAATAACAGTGGAAAATATACGAACAATGGCTCCAACATCAGTTCCAGTCTGAGTCATATCGGCAACAATGTCGGCCACAATGATCGTAATAATAACAGTGGCCACATTCATGACAGCAGCAGCGCCAGCAGAGTGATGTCGCAGCAGAGTCCGAACGGTCTGAGCAACGGCATGAGCAACATGCATATTCACCAGAACCCTGCCATTGCCAGTCCTTCGATGGGATCGATACGAGGTGGCCTCGGGGACTCCGCCAACAGCTCCAGCAATGGAGCCCTCACCAGTCAGGCCATTACTCAAAGCGTCGATGAGAGTTTGAATGACCCTCAACTGGCGGGACACCCTTCAGCCTGGTCGATTGAGCAAGTCGCATACTGGCTGCGCTGGTGCGGATTCGGAAGCGTAGCGCCCAGCTTTGTCGGTAAGTGAGTTTAGTCCGCAGTAATTCAGTCAAATCCTCAAGGTCTACACTCGAATGTATGACAATCCAATGAGTATTGATATCTCCTCTTCCGTATCGCGATAGAAAACGAGATCTCTGGTGCGATTTTGCTGGAGTTGAATCTAAACAACTTGAAAGAGCTGGACATCAACTCGTTTGGCAAGCGTTTTAACATTATGAACGCCATCACGTCGTTGAAGCAGTATACCAAGGCCGAGCTAGGAAACAAGGGTTCATTCGGAGCTCTATCTGCCGGTTCATCTATGTATGGAACAACTCCCAATATTCCTCCACGAATGACCTCGGCGCCAATCAGTGGCCCCAGCCCGCGTGCTTCATACGATTCGAGGGGCGACTATATGAGGGATCCACGCCAGGATCTCCACGATCCACGCACTGCACCGGCTCCGCCAACCTCTGTCCAGTCCCAAAACACACGCATTCAACAGCAGCCTCAGTCTCAGCAGCAGCTCCCGATGCAGACACCGCAGATTCAAACACCACAGCAGCAGCAACCGCAGCAATTCTCTGACTATGATATACACCCGAATCATCTCCAGGGTCGCACAGCTGTCTTGGCACGCTCGGACACTCTGGGATCCATGATGAGCGGTGGCGGTGGCAGCATGGGAGAGTATGGCGGCCAATTGAACGATGCTCGTGGGGGACAGCGCCAGAGCGTTACATCAGCATATTCTTCCAATTCTAATCCTCTTCGCAGTCAATGGGATCGCAATGCGGGTCGCGCACCGCAGATGCCCAGTCCAGCGGGAACTCAGGCACGTGCACCGTTACCAAGCGACTTTGATGACGCGGGATATGGAGGACGACTTGTCGATCAACAATATCAACAACAGCAGCAGCAGCCATCCTCGGATCAGTACCCACGACCCATGAACAGAAGCGTGCCAATGAGTCCCGAGATGCTCAATCCAGACTCCTACTCGCCTACCTCGTTTGAACAGCCTATCCCCAAGCAGCGCAAATACCACAACCCTGACACCGCAAACCGTCCACAGAATGGCAAGGCCGATCCAAGCGACAAAGTTGTTTCACTGGACCTGATCGGCAAGCCCGACTATGCAGGCTGGCTGAAGAAGCGAGGTGACACATACCGCACCTGGAAGAGCCGCTGGTTCATGCTAAAAGGTGTCACGCTCTACTACATGAACTCGCCCAAGGACAATGCCAGCAAGGACTATATCAACCTGATTGGCTACAAAATCATCCAGGACGAAAACATTTATGCGGGAAAGTACTGCTTCAAGGCCGTCCACGAGGAGCTTCGCAACTTTTACTTTTACACCGAGAGCGAAAGCGATATGAAGGGATGGCTCAAGGCATTGATGAAGGTCACCATCGGTCGCGACCCCACTGCGCCTGTGATCTCGTCCAGCAACATCCCAACGATCCCCCTGCATGTTGCCCGCAAGCTGGCGCCTCGTCCTCCTTCACCTTCAAAACGGAACCGTGCTCTCGGACCAAATGGCCAGCCTATGCATCCCCAGCAGCAACCACAGCAGCAGCAGCAGCAGCAACTGTATGAGCAGAAGCCGCCGTTTCAGCAACAACACCTGCCTCAGCAACAGCCTCAGCAGCACACACCTCAGCAGCAACAGAAACCATTCCAGCAGCAGCAAACACCTCAGCAGCAGCAGCAGAAAGCATTCCAGCAGCAACTCCTGGATTATGACGACCAGGATTCCGACGGCGAAGATTACCTTGCTAACGAATATGGCAACCAGCGCCCCAACTACGGCGCACGTCCCAACAACATGAACAGTAATAGTAATGGCAACAAAGTGAACGGCGCGAGTAATGGCCTGAGCCGCGGTGACGAGCCATCCGAAAGCCCTATCCTACAGAGCCTCTCGATAGCTCCACAGCAGCGCCACAGCTTTGTGCATTCTGACCAACGGGATGGTGATGATGATCCATGGAGAGATGAGGATGACGAAGGATTCGGCACTGGTAGCAGCAGGAAGAACAACAGCAGCAACCAGCAGCAACAGGAGCAACAGCAGCAGCAACAGCAACAGCATTTGAAGAACTTGCGTCCGGATAGTGAACTGGATTCGTTCCATCAGCATCGTGAGGAGGAACAATCGCGGCAGGGTTCAAGTAATGGTCATTGGGTAAGTTATTACTTTGTAACATCAAGTGCTTTACAGAAAGCCTGGGTATCGAATGAAGTACTCACACTGTTATTACCTTTTCGCAATACCAGACCCAAGAACAGTACGTCAGCTGGCTGAACCGCAACCTCCCAAGTTCTGTGGATCCAGTGTCGGACATAACCCAGTCTCTTCGATCTGGCGTCGTGCTTGTCCGCTTGATCGAGCAACTCTCGGGTGAGCAAGTCGACAAGCGGATTCCCAATGCGACCTATACCCTTCAGATGCTCGAGAACTTGCTGACGGCGTTCAAGTTCATGGACCGCGTCGGCATTTCGACCGATGGTTACACTGTCAAGGATATCTTTAACGGAAATGAGGACAGGATCATCATGATGTTTGAGGCCATCCGGGCCAGGTTCCCCGAGAAGGCCAGTGCTTCTGCGCCATCGTCTAATAATAATGGGGCGACATCGATCTCATCACCTCCGCTTCCTCCTTTGCCTATGGAACCCGCTCCCTCGACACCGGTTTTGTCAAACAAGGGCTCCCCACGGCCGAATAATATTGGTAGCCCAGCAGTAAGCCATAACCGTTCACCACTGATCGGAAGCAGAAGTGCAACCTTCGGATCCCAACCACTTCAGCTCTTGCAGCTTCAGCACACGGATGGTTCAGAATACGAGGCGTTGTATGACGAGGCCGCTCGCAGCACTATCTCATAAAAAAAAAAAAAAAAAAAAAAAAACGACAACAAATGCGGCCTTATCTTCAGCACTTTTACTTCCTTATCCTCCTTATATCCTTCTTATATTCCTATTAACCCGTACACTTTTATTTTTAACGACAGCATACATGTGCCACACAAAACAAGTTATTCTAATTTTCCTCTCTTCGACCTCTTATTATTATTATTTAAGCCAAAATAAACGATCTTGAAGCAAACAACGCAGTGAGCACCACCCGCCTATCGACTTGCGCATTCTGCCGCAAACTACCTGAAACTTCGACTAGTTTGTTCCTTAAACGATTTTATTTTATCCTTCTTTGACGCTACAAAGGTCTCCACTCAAAACGACCTAGAACCCGTATCCACCCATGCCCATGCTCATGCCTGTCTGCTGTGGTGGGATCATGCCTGTCTGCTGAGGCACAATCATCCCTGGTCCTGCCGTGATCATCCTGCTGTTACCCAGCCCGCCAGGTCCCAGAATCGGCGTCATGTCCGAGCCCCGCTCCTTGCTTTCCTTAGCGACCCTCTCCTCATGGGCCTTCTCCAGCTTGTCAACCTTGGTCACGTACTCGCGCATGAATTGCACCATGTAGGGCATCGCAAAGTCCGTCAGTCCATGTCTCCATGCGAGCTCCAAGACCACGTCGGGGCGGACAAGGTCGTAGCAGATATAAAGACATGCAGCGAAGCACTCCTTATTCCCGCTTTCCACAAAGTATTGCAATAATTCTTCTGCCACTGCAGTATCCCTCGAATCGGCAGCGGTCTCCATGGCATCCTTGTAAAGACGATCCTGCTTCGAAAGCGTCATCGACTGGCGCCACTTCTTATTGCGCTTGAACAGATGAGCTGCAATCCTCCTGAATTCCAACAACTCATGGCCCTCCAACCGGTTGGCAAGCGCGATGTTGTCAAAGTTGGTGTTTGTATCGACCGACTTGCGAAGGCGCTCGTAATCCTCCTCTTCAATCAAAAGATCGTGGTAGGCACCGTTGACTGCGAGGTTGTTGACCGACTGGACCGAAACCAAATAGCCCTTGATCAAAGGCATGTTATCAGACTTTTGGAACATCTGAATAACACGGTTGTGGTCGATTCTGGGCACAAGAACAGCCAGGAGATCGTTCAAGAGCATGGGCTGCTCATCCAGGTAAAAACGAAGGGCCTTGTAATAAATCTCCAGGTTCGAGACCTTGACAATGACCTCCTTGAATGCACCATGCTCCCAGGCATCCGGGGAATGCTTCATCATTGTGATGGCGGCGTTATCATACTCGTCATAATGGACATACAAGAAGACGAGTTCCGTCCAAAGGTGAGCTTGCTCGCAAGCCGTAATGACCTTGGGAATATTGATACGCGACCAGAAGATCTTGAGATGCTCCATCATACGTTCGGGACGGTAGCGAGCATAGAGAATGGCCAGCTCGGTAAACATGCCCATATGCGCGCGCTCCAAGCCCAGACCGGCCTCAAGCAACGCCATCAATTCGTCAAAGTACCCCTGATGCTCGTACAGGCGGATTAAATCCTCCAGCTCCTCGGGATGAACAACCAGGGACAGACCGCAGACCTGGGCCAGGCGGAACTCCTTACGCTCGATACAGGCGGCATTGACATCCTTCCAGACCTTGGTGCTGTTGGCTTTGCGGGCACCATCAACCGCGGCCTGGTACTCTCCCAAATGAACCAATGTAGTAGAAAGACGAGCCCAGTTCGAGATGTTCGAATACAGGATCTTCGCGGCCTCGTACATCTTCTCCTCGTAACAGCGATCACCAATGGCCTGGACTTGAGCGGCGTTGGGGCCGTTGAGGAGCTCCTCCATGTCAGCAATGCGACCTGTCTTGGCATAGGCAAATAAGAGCTCACTCTCGATGTAGGGTTCGCGGGAATGCTTGCGAGCCATCTGGAGGTATCGGACCAGATCTTCGTACTTATCGGCACGGGATGCAAACTGAATAACCTCGACATGATTGGCAGGATCGTTGGCACGGATATAAGAGTCGATGGCCTCCTTGATGCGCATGCCATCCAACTGAGCTTTACCGAGACGGCTCCAGACTTCAGGGGTATCGGTCTTCTCGGCATATTCGTAGGCGCGATCAATACTGCCAATGTGCTCGATCAAAACGTTGATGGCGCTGGCATGAGCATCATGTTTCTTGTAGATAACAAAGGCCTCCTCATAAAGCCCGCCGCGGATAGCGTGCTCAGCAATATCGGCTGCATCAAAGTTCTCGAGACGATTAATGTATCCCATGACCTTCGTCTTTTCCGCCTGAATGGCGGTCAGGATCAAGAGGTTCTGAAGGTTGCGGTTGTCGCTGAAAGCAGAGCCCTCGAGCACAACCTTCTCCAGCAATTCGATCAGCTCGTTGGGGAGGTATGCCGCCATGAACGCCTTAACTGTGATCGAGACATCTTCGGGGTCCTGAGTCTCGGGAAGAGCAGTAGCAACGATTTGGTCGATCAGGGCACGTCTGCTGGGGTTATCGTTGCTCAAAACATGGGCCCACAGTCCAGCATCGCGACGCTTAACAAGATAACGGGCCTGGTGCTTAAACATCGAGTTGTTGTTTGTGATGTCAATCAACTCGATATCGCACTGTCCTCTCTCGTAGGCGATAAAGGCAAGGTAGGGATCACGCTTCTCGCAGTACTTTCCGATGGTTCTGGAGTCATAGAAAGCGTTGTTCTTGAGGAAGGGCTCGGGGTTGTTGTTGCTGTCGATGTAAATCTTGGCAATGGCGTTGTAGACCTCAGGATCCTGGCTGCCCTCGTTGACCTTGACCTCAAGCCACGGAAGGATGAGTTTCAGACGGTTGCGCTTCTCAGTCTGGTCCACCAACTCAGCAACAGGCATGTCGCTACGCACAGACAGCAGCAAGTTCTTAATCACATTCTCGTCACAACCGACATCCAAGAGACCTCCGATGACCACAGGTGTCCTTGATGGGTTGACCTTCTGAACATAGGTCTCAATGTACTTGGACAGGTTGTTCTGGTAAAGGTAAAGGACCAAGTCATGCACAAAGTCAAAGCGGTCGCAGACAATGATCAAAGGCAGCTGGTCCGACAACTTGGCGTCCTTGAGGAAGTTCTTGACCTTCTCAGGGTTGTAGTAGTTGCTTTCACGACAGATGCGCTCAACCTCCTTCATCTGACCAGTTTTGCAGCCCGCCTCGATGTACTTGTAGATGACCTCGGGATCCTGGCTTATATTGACGATCGCGCCCAAGTAGTGATACAGACCCTCGAACGTCTTGAAGGACTCGAACAACCCAATGAGGTTGGAAGCCCCCAGCTGGTCTGAGTACTTGGTGGCGACTTGGACGACAATCTGCAAGTTCTGTCGCATGTTCACGTTCAGCATCTCACGCAAGAACTCAATAGACTGCTCGACAGAGAGTCGGCCAAAGTAGGCAACAACAAAGTCGGGGGAGAGTAAGTGGGTATGGACCAAGACGCGCTTGATATCTGCATTCTCGGTGTAGTGCTCCAAAGCCCTCTGATAAAGTCCAGCCTTCTCGCACATGGTGGCGATCGAAGCACGGTCATAGTGAGTGAACATCTCATTGCCAAGGATGGCATCGGCCACCTGAGGGGCGTGCATGAGATTCATCTCGAGCAGTCGGGTCTGAAGGTGGGCGTGTTGTGGCGAATTGTCCTTGAGAGCTTCCAACAGGAAGGCAGTAGCCTGTTGGATCATGTTTTGGGACATGAACACATCAACAATCTACAATGGATCGAAAAGTTGATGTTAGAAATGTCGAGCGCTCGTTGAAAACATGCATACCAATGCTCCGCTGCATCCAAGTCTGGTAAATATACCTTCTCTAGATCAACTAGAGGTCCGGCTTGGTTGTTGGCAAGCAAAGTGGCAAACTCAGTGCCGTTCTCGGGGTCCATGCGCATGACGTGCTGGAGAAGAACTGCGTAATCAGGTGTGTAGCCAACCTTATTAGCGTACAAAATGATCTTGGGGTACTGCTTCGTCTCCGCAAAGCAGGCAATGACCTTGTTAGGGACATTAGCGCGGAGGTAGACCGAAAGTGCAAGGTTGAGATCGTGCTGCTTGACAATATCGCCGAGCTCCTCGCTGCATTCTAGTTTGTCTTCCTTGAGCCATTTCTCCAGCAACTGCTTACGGCCCTGAGCAAGAACGGGCTTGGCGAGCTCCAGTGACTCGTGCTTGTTAAGTTCGCCCTTCTCCAAGAGAATTCCAAAGTATTGCAGGATTGGAGGCACCTGTCCAGCAGCCACGGTGAGGTGTTTGAAGCGCTCGATAGTTTGAGGTGTGCGAAGGATACCCTGCAATGATTTAGAAGAGAGCAGCATTCAACCTTGTCAGTACCTTACTCCAGATTGTTTACTTGAACATGAAGACATGATCAGCATCATTAACATACCCTTGGTGAGGTTGCGGCCATCTTGGTAGCTTGGCCATAGTCGCCTGATTGGAAGAGCTGTTGGAAGCGTTGCATGTACAGATCGTCGGCGCCAGGCAGACCACTGCGGGAAGCAATCTTAAGGGCCAGCTCCGCGTTTCCAAGAGTCTGGACGATGTAAGGCACAAGATTGTTCTCGTCCACGCTTACAGACAGAACCTGACCCTTGCGGTTCACACCAATGACTCCGTTCGTTGCCTCGTGCTCTGCTGTGACAAAGATAGTTTCACCACTAATGCGGTTCATGTAGATGCAGGTGCAAGTCTCCAGATCGTAAAGGTGAATGAATCCGAACTTCGTGACGAGGAAAATGATGCCGTATTTCTGGCTGATCTGCATGGCCACTGGGAAGTCGCCACTTGCCTCTGGGGGGAAGTATACGTCGACTGCCTTCTTGGGGTATGCTGGATTTCCATCCTTGTGGTCGACTTCAACGACATGCAGCTAAAAGACCATTCCATTGAAAACAAAAAGTCCGTGCAGCCGGTCAGTTTCATCCTTGCATAGTCTTTCTCGCGCGATGATAGTCCGAACAGAGAGATGCAATACCTTGGCGCCCGTGGCAGAGCGAACAGCGAAAGCAAACAGCTTTGTTGGCGAGTTGCCTCCGTCTAGCTTTAACTCGGCGAATGCTGCAGCGTGACCCTCGATTGGCTGGCTGACCCCGCGGTCTTTCGAATAAAGTTGCATTGCTCCAACAACGCGGCCGCCCTAAGAAAACACAATTTATTCTCAGTAAACCCACCGCTGTTCGATCATCGCTTTGATACGTTTATCAGTAAAATGTGTGATATGCAAAAATAATTTGTACCTGCGACGAAATACCGACGAGAAGCATCCACTTTTCATCCGAGTTGACGCGGTAGTTGATGATCTGATTCCCGCTCAAGCTGGCATGGCGATCAAAGAGCTTGACTGGTTGTGAATCGCCCTCCATGGACCAGTGATAAACCGAAGTTCCTGTAACGAGCGCGAGTGCCTTGGGTGAGATCCACTTCCAGTACTCGACATCCTCGTGCATCAAGTGCGACTTTACTTTGCTCTTCATCTCCAAGTTGAAAATCTGAAGCTGTCTTCCGGCTAGACAAGGAGAAAAAAAAAAAAAAAAAAAAAAAAAAGGCATCACCAACGATTAATGTTGATCAGGAAAAGGGGTGGCATATCCACAAGAAATATAATGATAGTCGTACATTTGAGAGCGATAACTTTGCTAGCAGGGTTCATAATGGCCGAATCGGCTGTGATGGGTCGACGGATCACATTAGTAGGATCTGTGAGGTCGACGATGACGACCAGATTCTGCTCGCCCGTTGTCTCACGGATACAGATAAACCTGTCGGATTCGAGTGTAAGAGTGTTGAAGCCAATACTGGCAGCATTGATGCCCAGGTTTTGAAGCTGAATGGTGTTAAAAAAGAGAGAATGATGAAAAAGGGAGCGCGAGAAATGTTGGTGAGCATGGATATCGTGGAAAAATTCACATCGCAGACGAGCACGCGACACATAGGATCCGCGGAACAACGCCTGGCAAGCTGAGCGTTCGTACCTGGACGTGCTCCTGGAAGCGAATCGGCAGGGCTTCTGTCATTATGTGTATGTGAAACGCTTATCCTATTTCGTAGGGATCCAAAAGATAGTAGAACACTGAGTAAGCGCCTTCTCATTTCAGCTTTGTTCAAGAGCCCTTCGCAGCACCAATACAAGCCCACGAAGACATACTGGGAGCGGCACCGGAAGTGAACAAGGAACAATAGGCAATGTTCTCAGCCTTGGGGCGAAGAAATAAAGGAGAAAACGCGGTACAGGGGCGAAAGTTGTGAGGACGGTGAAAGAGAGATGATGCGGAGCGACGGGATGAGGTGAGAGCAGTAGGATGATGAAGAGAAAGAGTGGAGAACCGCGCTGCCACGTCTGTGACGAGGAGGCCCTGCCAAGCGCGGGTAGGTGGATACACGTGATATCACGGAAGTCACTCTGCACACAAACACACTTGATCTGATCACCCCGGAGTTTTATACTTCTAGGAACCCATTTCGTTCTAAACCCGATCCTTCCTCCACTCACAACACACAGCATGCCTCGCCATTACGATCTCTGCGCCCGTGTGCAGAACGGATTTCGTGCTCGTCTCCGCAGGATTGCCGTCCCTGACACAAAGATGAACCTCGCCATTGCCAACGTTCTTTACAAGGAGGGTTTTATTGCGGGCGTCAGCCGTGGCGACTATGTCCAGCCCGATACGACCTATGTCCCCACCACTCCCGATAACATTGCCACGCGCCGACTCTGGCTAGAGCTCAAGTACAACAATGACGAACCCGTCCTGAAGAAGATGTCTTCCGTCAGCAAGCCCTCGAAAAAGATCGTCATGAAGGTTCAGGAACTCCAGAACTTGGCAGCCGGAAACCGCTCACAGTTCATCAAGGGTCTTCAGCCAGGAGAGATCGCCATTTTGACAACCAATTATGGAGTTCTCGAGCTCAGGGAGGCACTGGAGAAGGGCGCCGGAGGCGAGATTCTGTGCCGGGCTATTTAAAGAAGCATCATATATTATGCGGGCTTGGATCAAGCACTACCAGCATTCGCCCGTTGCATGGTATATCGATTGAGCCGTCTATCAAAAAAACGCTATCGATTCGCCTACACGACAATAACAAAAAAAGGAGCCGTTTGAACACTGTACAATACAAAAATAAATATCTTAACGCATGCCAGTCACTTCAAGACATGAGAGCGTGTTTGCTCATTGGTGTCCTTTGTTCATTCACTTGCCACTTCGTGCCAAGGTGTTCCCTTCCTTCCTTTCACCAGCCCAACGTCTCTTCAACATTCCTCCTCTCAAACCCAGGACTCTCCTTGCCGTCGTCGCCGTTATCTTGGTCATGACGCGAGCGAGACAGCTGCACGCCAACTATCACAAGGCAAAGGCCACCAGCCTGGCCGCCAAGGGGACTTTGCGGCAACGCCGACCCAGAACCAAGGACTCACTCGATGAGGAAAAGCGCATCCGACTCTTGGACGAAGCCATTGTCACAGGAAACATCGACGCATTGAGACGGCTCGCTGTTACCGGTCCAGGATTCGTTAATGATGGTATCCGGAGACGTGCATGGTATATTTTCTAGGGCCTTTACTTCACCCTTGTTGATGCAGCGGCCATAATTGGCGAGCATTAATCATTCCCTCATTTTGTTCTCCTGTAGGCCTCTGCTACTGCGAACACATGTACCAAGAAGGGAACCAAGTATAGGCATGTACATCTGGACGACTGCTGAATCATTGAATAGGCTGGATCTTACCATTTATCCTAATGTTTCGCTTCCTTTGTACTTTACCCCTGTAGACAATCAAATTCCTCATAAGGATGAAGAACAGGTCCGACTCGACGTTATCCGATCCTTCACACATCTGGCCACCGATACGAGTGAGTTGAAAACAGAGACGGACATGGCAATGGCAATGCTCGCTCCTTGGAAGCTGATCTGGACACTCATCTTGATATTGTAGAGAGTAGGCAGTCGATCAAGAAACAGAAGCAGGAAGACCTTTTGCATGTGATTATAGATGTGCTTCGCCGACACCCAAAACTTGCATACTATCAAGTAAGTTCTAGGAACCCTGTTCGGTTGTGTGTTTCTCGTATTAAACCATCGAGCAGGGCGGAATAATGACTTTGAGCTGCGGCCAACATTATCATCAAACAGGGCTTTCACGATGTCTGCACATGCACGATAGTGGTGCTCGGCAAAGAAGCGGCCATGCTTGCCGCAGAGAGTCTGGCTATGTTCTTTTTTAGGGACTGTATGCTGGATAATTTGGAGCCAGTGCTGGATCAACTTTCGCTCATGACCGCCTTGCTCAAACTTGAGGATCCAGAAGTACAAGAATTCCTTGACAAGTACAGTATACAGACCATGGTATACATGCCTTGAATTCTTGATGGCAATTGCTTGATACTAAGCACGGTTCCATCCTTGTATAGATCAAATACTCTCCCGTTCTTCCCGCTGAGCTGGGTTATCACATGGTGCTCCCACGATCTACAAGACTTTGGAAAGATTGCCCGCATATACGATTTTTTGCTATGCTTCAACCCTCTCATGTCGGTGTACTTTACCGCGGCTGTAAGGAGATGTTTTTGCAGCTTGTATCCATCACTAAGGCGGGAGTCTTCGCAGCCTCTAATACAAAGACCATTGGAATCATTCATCACAGGTGGTCATGTCTCGGCGGGATGAGCTTTTTGAAGTCGAGTGCGACAATGCCATGGTTCATACGTTTTTGACAAAGTTTCCGCAAAGTGTAGACTTGGAGAAGGTGATATCGCATGCACACCAGCTCTATATGACCTACCCACCTGAAATTCTTCAAAATCGCGCCAGCAGTTGGCTGGATGAGAAGTAGGTCCACGCTCAATCTGTTTCAGGCGCAGCGATATTTTCTGCTATACAAAAATTACTTACGCTTTGTGCGGTATATACCTACATTGTATAGCTCATGCGTGAATACGTTCAACAAGCCTGGGACATGTCTATACGACGACGACGAAAAGGCGTCTTCGATCCCTGTTGATTTTGGTCCGATCGACGAATTATTGAGCAAACCTCGCATTAAGAGGACCAAGGAAACGTCAGCTCTATCAAAGTATCCTCAGGGCGCATTGCAACTGTATCGTCACAACATGGTCGCAATGGTTGCCCTCTCAGCTGCGTCCATGGGTACAGCAGCCCTGCTTCTCCTGAACTCGGCCCTATTCAGAGAATGGCTGAACAACGCGGGCCTTCGCTAAAACCCACTTTGCTAAATAAACGATTGCCACGACCACAAACAAGAGAAACATTGAATTACATTACATTACAAAGGCAGGTTTATTATTTGAATGAAAATGGAGATGAGAGATGAGAGATGGATGATAGGAATATAAAAATTCCACAAACGGTCTTGTTTGACACCAAGACAATCAGACAATGGCAACAAAGTCTCCTTCAACGCCCTCCTGCATCACTGCTGCATGTCCTAAGATGAAGAAAGCGCCGGCGCCTATATCAGATAAAGTGGAGGAGAATCAAATTAGTACCAGAATTCATGGAAGATGTAAAAGAAAGAGGATAATTGATATGGCATGAACCACGTACCAACGATCCAGAATACGGTGCCAACTGTTGAACTAAGGAAGAACAGGATCACCGAGATGATGATCAAGCCCATCTTCAATTGACTGGCCTGGAACCTGGACTGACCGATGGTGATACCCTCTGGAGGAACTCTCTGGAGGAAGTGCATGCCACCGAAAACGAAGACGACACTGAACAGGAGCATGAAATTCGTGATCCTGTTATGATAAAAATTCAAACAACACGGAAGATAGAATTAGCCCCTCCATCCTTGTCAAGGCAGAACGAAGTCGATAAGATTACGAATCCATTGACAGTAGCAAGCGGACGTACAGGCTGTAGATGGTGATGGCAAGGAACATCAAGAAATAGTTGCCCTGAAAGTAGTTGAGGTTGTAGTTGAATCTTGAGGTGACATCTATTGCAAGCACATATCAAAGATCGCAGCGAGGTCAGTTCAATCATCAAAACAATCAAGGTAATCGAAATGGGCCATCAGCTTTTACTGTTCGTACTTGAGAAGCTTGTGGGCATGGAGAAGCGGTTTTTGTCAAAAAACTCTGAGACGGGCCTCAAGGACGAGAGACGTTCCTCGCGGAACTTTCGGAGATAGCCGAGTCCAAAGGCCGAGGCAGATGAGACGGCGGCGGAGGCCTCATCTGAGGGGAATCCGCCGGTGAAGGGGTTTGTTCCAACGGGAGTGTAAGCAGGGGCAGCCATTGATGATATGGTAGTTGTGTGTGGCGAGTCGAGGTGTGGAGGTGTGGATGAATTAAGGTGTTGATGAGTGAAGAAGTGGAGGAGTGATGGAGAAGGAGTGGAGAGAGTAGGGAATGCGAGGTGAAGATGTGAAGACCAAATGCCAAGGAAAAGGATATTTATGCCCCTGCTCGTGCCCCTTTCCTGTGTCTCCGAAAATATAATGACCCTTCACTCTGCCACGTATGGGCAGATGGATTTTCGACTCTTGGCTGCTGCTCCAGACCTCATAAATCCAAACGCACATTCGGAACCTGAGGAAAAGGTCTTTTCATTGCGCAATAAACTACGCGCGTTTCTAGAGTATAGGATGTGCGGATGATCCGTTGTCATCATTAGACTACCCACACTACGTTATGGTACACGTGTCAAAGTGCCAATGGATGTCGTATATCTCACTATGTCCGTGCGCATGGACGATCAGCCAATGGACCCTGCACTAAACAACTCGCGACACGCGGCATGGATATGGACATGGATATGGACATGGACAGGATAATGATAGATCGGTTCCATATAGGCAGGTCCACATTAGAATTGGAATCTGACACACCTTACATTGATCGTACTCGTTCAGCAACTTGACAAACACCATCTTGAAGACCATCAGAATAACAATATTGGAAACAGCCAGATTGGCCATGGACGAAGGAAGCGTCATCCATCATTACCATTCATATATAAAGCTACAAACCTTGACACTCCCCCTTCCTTACACTTCACTCCATTCCCACCTATCGCCATATCATCATGCGCTTCTACACTTTTCCTCTCTTGGCTGCACTCTCATCTGTTGTCTTGGCCAGTGAGAGTACCACGGAATCATGCGCTGGTTCGCTCTCCTGCGATGCGGGATACTGCTGCTCCAGCCAGTAATTGTTTGAGATTTCTCGTGTTGATGTTTTCTTCATTGATCGGCAAGTTTATCTATGAGGACTCCATTCTGACCATCAAAGCGTCCTCTTGTGTGATCTTTAGCGGGTTCTGCGGTCGTTCTCCTTTTCACTGCGGCTATTCTTCAGGATGCAATGCTGGGAAGGGTTCCTGCGGTGTTGTGTGAGTGTGCAGGCAGAATTTAATTTAATTTAATTAGCACTGGAAACTATCAGGCGTAGGCAGTATCACCTATTTATCCGACTCTCCTCTACCCTCAATAGTGTCCTGGATCAGCAGGGGCTCCCTAGCGTTATTCCATACGATATATTGAGCAAGAACTCGATGGATGACCTCCTCGTCAAGCTGACCAACAACGGATCGCACATCTCGCCTGAAGAAAAGAATGATGGCAAGACTATCGATTCGGTCCTTCGTGATGGCCTTGCTGAGAAGGAAAAGATGCTTAGTGCGACCACTGCTCCACCAAACCCTCTTTCTAATAGTAATGCCACCATGACGAACATATCAAAGAGTAACCCTCTGTCGACTGCGACTCCCAGCACTGCAGGCAAGGCACCATCCACAAAAACCAGCGGTGCAGAGAGAGTGATTGCTGGTACTACTGGAGCAGTCTTTGGCGCGTTGGTTTGGGTTGTTTCGAATGCTTGATATATATCCTAGACCAATAAACTTTAATTTAGAGTGACGTATGCGATACGCGTTCGCATCACCCTCCACTTTCACCTTTGCCGTCTCCCATTCAACTTCCTCCAAACCAACACACTCATCCTTCTTCATACTACAAAATAAAACCGCAGCAGGAGCACAGCACAAAGCTACCATGGCATCGACTTTAGCACCTCAGGACAGTGATCCTCGTACAGCAGCACTCAACAGCTACCGCAAGAAGCTACTTGAGCACCGCGAGATGGAGGCCAAAGTCAAAGACTGTACGTTTCTCTCTCTTCCTTTTCATTTTTATATTTGTTTACCAACTCTTCAGCATTGCATTATTAGGGAATTAGGATATCAAAACGAACCTTCATGACAATGAGAGCTTATCGTCTTTTTTTTTTCTGTGCCTTGATTTCGGTTATTGATAGTACGCATGGGACTCAAGGAACTGGATCGCGCGTTTAACAAATCAGAGGACGACATCAAAGCCTTGCAGAGTGTGGGTCAGATTATCGGATCTGTACTGAAGCAGTTGGACGAGGACCGATGTAGGTTTGCTTTCAACAATTGGAAAGCTAGAAGGTCCATGATGACGACGAGGAATTCAAGGCAACTCATCCGACGATGTCTCTCTGCCTTGATTATGACATTACAATAGTTATCATCAAGGCTGCAAGTGGACCTCGATATGTTGTCGGATGCAGGAGCAAGCTGGACAAATCAAAGTTGAAGCTGGGCACACGCGTTGCACTTGATATGACAACATTTACGATCATGCGCATGCTGCCACGCGAGGTGGATCCAATGGTCTATAGCATGGGTATGGAAGATCCAGGCTCGATTTCTTTTGCTGGAATCGGAGGATTAAGCGAGCAGATCAGAGAGTTGCGCGAGGTAAGGGGCTGAGTCACACATCAGTTGCTCCTGGCGAAGCAAGAAGTATTTGACAATGGGTTCCTGTTCTGACAACGTATCGAATTAATGTCCTGATTTTCGTAGGTCATTGAGCTGCCATTGATGAACCCCGAGCTGTTTGTACGTGTGGGAATCAAGCCTCCCAAGGGCGTTCTGTTGTACGGACCTCCAGGAACCGGCAAGACGCTTCTGGCTCGTGCTGTCGCAAGCACATTGGAGACCAACTTTTTGAAGGTTGTCTCCTCCGCAATTGTTGACAAGTATATCGGAGAGAGTGCCAGAGTTATTAGGGAAATGTTTGGTAAGCACGATCGCCGTCTGCAATCACTTGAACAAACTATGGAACACCAACACTATATTAACCCGGCCATTATTGTACTTATTGTACTTATTATACTCAAACACCAGCATACGCCAAGGAGCATGAACCATGCATTATTTTCATGGACGAAATTGATGCCATTGGAGGACGTCGTTTCTCGGAAGGAAGCTCCGCAGATCGTGAGATTCAGCGTACATTGATGGAGCTGTTGAACCAAATGGACGGATTCGATCACCTTGGGCAGACAAAGCTGATCATGGCTACGAACAGACCAGATACATTGGACCCTGCCCTATTGAGACCAGGTCGTTTGGATCGTAAGATCGAAATTCCTCTTCCAAATGAGCAAGGAAGAATGGAAATTTTGAAGATTCACGCCATGGGTATTACGAAACAAGGTGAAATCGGTATGTATCGATCTGTTGTTGGAAAATGGGACGGCATCACGATAGCATATTTATGCGCCAATCTTTAACCCTTTTGTATTGACGATGATAGATTATGAGGCCGTCGTCAAGCTGTCCGATGGTTTTAACGGAGCTGATATTCGCAATGTCTGTACAGAGGCAGGCATGTTTGCCATTCGAGAGGATCGCGACTATGTCGTTCAGGAGGACTTTATGAAGGCCGTTCGCAAAGTAGCAGACGCCAAGAAGCTGGAAGGAAAGCTCGATTATGAGAAGATCTAATTGGATAATAATCAGCTGTGCTTACACCAAGACATACAATAAAGCATGTGTGAACAACGAACATTAACCAGAGGCCAGAGTGGCTTATACGTTTAATTCTGCTCAAAAGTATTGTGTAGCCAGCGTGCTGACTGGCTCTCTCTTTCTGCTATATCAAGACAAAATGGTACAATGCAGGCCTAGACGGATTGACGCTTATGCGCACCCATCCATGCATCCATCGATATGAGGGTTCGATTCACCAAACAGTCTTTACGAACGATCGGCTCAATCAACGGCATTGATACGGCAGGATCAATCATTGGCACCATGAAACAATCCAACCGGCAATCGTCTATTCAACCCATGCAGCGTGCGAATCAGTCGTGAAAAAAGCGATCATCACAGATCTTGTTGTCAACATCAACATCTACACTTTGCGTTCAGACAGCATCAAACCGCTTACGGTCTTGATGGGGTCTAGCGTACAGCATTCCTTGGGTCACCTCTGCCCGGACACTGCAATCAGACCGACTCTGTCTATGCACCTTCACCTTGTCTCGTCGCCTTTCGTCTCTACCTTTCGTCCACACCGTATTCACCACCACCAGCAGGAAGCTTGCGCATCATTGCAGGAGGGAGCATACTACGCCTATGAATTGAACGGCTTATTATTGCTCGAGACCAGGAACCAAGGATCAGGAGGATAAATCCATCTCTTCCTGGGAATACCGGATAGGGATCGGAGGCGGCTAATTTTTTTTCGAGTTGCGGTCTTAATAACTTCGTCTTATTTTGCACTCTCTATATCAAAAAAAAATTAGTCCGCCGAAGACCAGACCCAGAAGAACGTCATGCGCGAATTGCGCCTTGAGAAGCTCGTCCTCAACATTTGCGTTGGTGAGTCCGGAGACAGACTGACCCGTGCCGCCAAGGTTCTGGAGCAGTTGACCGGTCAGACCCCCGTCTACTCCAAGGCCCGTTACACCGTCCGTACCTTCGGTATCCGTCGTAACGAGAAGATCGCCGTCCACGTCACCGTTCGTGGCCCCAAGGCCGAGGAGATCTTGGAGCGTGGCCTCAAGGTCAAGGAGTACGAATTGAAGAAGTCGAACTTCTCCGAGACCGGCAACTTCGGTTTCGGTATCCAGGAGCACATCGATTTGGGTATCAAGTACGATCCCTCGATCGGTATTTACGGTATGGACTTCTTTGTCTGCATGAACCGCCCCGGTAACCGCATCACCAAGCGTCGCCGTGCCGTCGCCAAGGTTGGCCCCAAGCACCGTGTCCACAAGGAGGAGACCATGAACTGGTTCAAGCAGCGTTACGACGGGTAAGGCACACAATTCACTGCCATGGATGCTCTTTACTATCTTTTCATACCTGTTTTCAGGATCGGTAATGCATATATTAACGATGATTATTACTTTAATTTTGCTTCGCGTTTTAATAGTATCCTCACCAACCGCAAGTAAACGGTTGCTGTGTTCAGGATCAATGGACCCATTTTCTTCACCGAATAAAACGTCTCTCTTCACCAAACAAACATTGGCTGCAGCTTTGCTCAGGGTAACATGTTGTTACAAGGATGATATGTGGCAGTTCTACTAGCAGTTGAAAAACAGGAGAAGTTCGCCAAAATGAAGCGAACAAGGATTGGACAAAATTAAGTTGGCGATCCATAGGCATTCTGTGTAAAGGGCCAAAAACGCGCACTTCTTGAGATGTCGTATCAACCACAGAGAACGACAGATTTTACGTCTGAAAGGCGAGAAAGGAGCTAGAGCTGCATGTGCGACAACGGTGGATGAGGACTAGAGGTTTTGTTCATGGTCCAGCAGCTTAAAAAAGGAGGAGGAGAGGGAAGTGGGCAACAAGGGGAACACATAAAACGGGGCTGAGCTGGAGTGCTATTTATTCTTGCATCCTCCATGCCAGGAAACGAGGAGAAGGAGGAGAGCGGAGAGAAACGTTTAAGTCCTTGTTTAAAAAAAAAAAAAAAAAAAAAAAAGATGATAGTCTAGCATCGTCGTCGGTCCCAAGACCCGGACAAAAAAAAAGTGGCACCCAGTTTTTTTTTCTTCTCTCCGACCCACTCTCCCATTTCATAATCATCTCAGAAAAAAAAATGCAAAAACAACGGCGGCTACAACGACGATCGGTCCTCACACTCGTCGTCTATCTGATATGCTCCGCGATCTTCTTGCTCGCCCACCCAGCGTTTGCAGATGACGACCCAAGTGACAATAACGACCCAGTTGCCCTACCATCCCTCAATATACCCTCGCCCACAACCCCCTTCGCAACAAACGCGCCAACGTCCGCTCCAGCATCCGATACCACGTCCACCAGCACTATTACCGATCCCGCCATCTCTACGCCCGAACCAACTGCAATCGCCTCCACGACGGACGATGCTGTGAATGCCACAACAACCTATACGAACCTCCTCCCAACCGTCGCCTTCATTCCCCCGCCCACTCCGCCTCTAAACTCCAATGCTACGGACCCCTTCTTCCCCGTGGGTTCCGAATCCTGTCAGAAATGCAAGTACTTCTACCCAAAGCTCAAACAGTGTAACCAGATCGCGAACAGTACACTCGCCCTCCTGCCACGTCTTCCAGATAACAGCAGTAGGAGTCCGTCGCTCAATACGACGATCACAGGAGGTGGGACCGCACCCGCAGAGTTTACGACCATCATGCCGTTCCTGCAATGCATCTGTCCGAACCAAGGTCTGGCTGCGACCAAGGTCTGCATGGTATGCTTTCATATCACAAACCAGCGTAATTTCTTTGACCAGTTCGAGCTCCAGAACGTAAGTTCCTCACTCTCGGCCTGGCAGGAAGCATGCATGGATTCGAACGATGGTACCATCGTCCCGCCATCCGCTAATAGAGGTCAAAGCGCTGGTAGCAGCGGCATCGGGCTCCGTCAGAGCTCTGCTGGCTTCTTGGCGACGAGCACCATGGTTCTGCTCAGTGGATGGTTGTCTCTGTAACGACACACAATTTCTTTTTTCAAACATGAAATAAAAGCAAGATAAAAGTAGTCTATACAATTATATACATTTTTGTTTTATTTTAGGAGGTCGCGTTTGCATGCTAGAGTACAAAAACACAAAAGGGAGGAACGTTGAACCTCGATAGGAGGGGGGGAAAAATAATAATTAAAAACAAGGAGACTACAAGTTGCATTTTTTTTTCTTTACAACTTGGACTTGTTGGCCTTGAGGATATCACCCAACTTGGTGGCGAGCATGACCTGGCCCTTGACCTTGATCTGTCCAGACATGAACAGCTTCTGGGCGTTGGCCTTGCCAGAGGCGAGATCGACAAAGACTTCGTCCTTGGTTGTGATCACAACATCGGCCTTGTTCTTGGGGGCACCAGCGCCAACACTGCCCTCGCCGTTCTTGAGGTCGACATGGTAAGTAGCAGTCTTGCCGGCCTCGTTGGTGAGATCGAACTGGAAGATGGCCTTGACCTTCTTGACCTGAGCCTGGCGCTCGGCCGATGACATGGCCTCAATACCAGTCTTGATCTGCTCGAAAGCAGCAGCCGACTTAAAGTCACCCGAGGCACCAGCAGCAGCGGGGGCAGTGGTGGTAACGGGGGCAGAGGGAGCAGCCTTCAAGGCCTCGCCCTGGAGCTCAACGGCAGCGTTGGAGATGATGATGACATTGCGCTCAACCGCACGAACCTGGAAAAGGACCTTGTTGCCCTCGCGCCACATCGAGGTCTCGAGGGTCTCGCCGGGGTTGACAGTCTTGGCGAAGCGGACCTTGATGTTCTTGAACGAGGCTGGGTCGTTGTTGCAGTAGGTCTTGAAGATGTGCTTACCCGCAATACCGAACGAGCAGAGACCGTGGAGAATTGGGACTTCGAAGCCTCCGACGGCAGCCATGTCGGGGTCGATGTGGAGAGGGTTCCAGTCACCGGAGAGACGGTACAGCGCAGCCTGGTCCTCGTGAGTCTTTTCCTGGACAACGTGGTCGGGCTTGCGGCTAGGAGCCTGGTTGGAGGCAGTGGCAGCACCACGGTCAGCGCCCTCCTTCCTGCCGCCAAAGTTTCCAGCGCCACGGATGAACATGGTGAACTCGTTGACGCAGATGTCCTCACCGTTCTCATCGGTGGTTTTGACTCCGATGGTGGCGACGCATCCCTTGCCCTTGTCCAGAATGTCAACAACATAAGGAGTCGAGGTCAACTTGCCGCTGGTGGGGAAGGGCTTGATGATCTCGAGGTACTGCTCACCGTGGAGAAGCATCATGGGGTTGAACGAGGGGAGGATCTCGCCAAAGGGAACAGCGTTCATGGCAGTGAAAGAGGGGATGACACCGAAGGTGGGGACGGGGCCGAAGGCCTCGTTGTTCTCGTAAACGAGGTCAAGGTCCTTGCGTGTGGCACCGATACCCAAGTTGTACAAGATAACATCGCGCTCCTTGTACTCGAAGACCTCGGGCTCGAAGGTCAAGGACTTGGCAGCCTCAACATCGACCTTGCCATCCTCGGAAACGACCTTGGGACGCGAAGAGCCAGAGCCGGCATCGACGTTCTCAAAGTTGGCCATGATGCCCTCCATGGACTCAGCGGTGGAGGTGGGGTGGGTGGCGCGACCATCCTCAAAGTCGGTGATCTTGGACCACATCTCCTTGACGTGCTCAGGCAAGAGATCCTTGTTGATGGGGAAGCCGTGGCCACCGGTACGCTCCCAGCGGAGCTTGCCGACGAAGCCGGCACCGACCTCGAAGATGGAGCCGCTCTCGGTGGTGTCCTCGTGGCAGAGGTACTCGACCAAAGGAGTGACCATCTCGGGCTTCAAGGAGGCGAGCATGTCGGGGGGGAGGACGGTCTCGGTCATGCGCGAAGCAGCCATGGGGGCGATAACGTTGCAGGTGATGTTGTCCTTCTTTCCTTCAAGAGCCAAGGTCTGGGTCAAACCGACGAGGGCGAGCTTAGCAGCCGAGTAGTTGGCCTGACCTGTATATGTGGACATGAAGGGGGAAATATGTCAAGGGTTAAATCTCTCGGCTCGGGAGGACAAGTGCCATCAGCAGTAGATCGGCGGCATTGACAGTGGAAATCGGGTTCTTACCAAAGTTTCCGTAGAGACCAGCAGCCGAGGCTATTCAGGAGCAGATGAAGAGACAGCAGCGCATCGTGTGAGTCTTGCGTTTTCACAAACTGAACAATGTCCCGTTTCCCGTTTCTCTGCTCGCAGTACCCCCTCCTCCCCCTTTTCCTGACCCGCGTTACATGTGGGGTGAGAACAAACAGTCGACGCCAGCGAAAAAGAAAACGCAGGTGGAAAGTGACACTTACTGGTGTTGATGATGCGGCCGAACTTTTGCTTGCGGAAGATGGGCCAGGCAGCCTTGAGGACCTTGTAGGCACCGTCGACGTGGACCTGGAAAATCAAGTCCCACTGCTGATCCGTCATACGGGCAAAGGAGACATCCTTGAGAATACCGGCGTTGTTGATGACGATGTCGATGCGGCCGAAGGCCTTCATGGCGGTCTCGACAATCTTGTCGCCGTCGAGAACAGAGTCGTAGTTGGCGACTGCCTTGCCTCCAGCAGCGCGAATTTCCTCCACGACGACATCAGCGGCACGGCTTGAGGCGCCCTCGCCGGTGTGGGAGGCACCGAGATCGTTGACGACGACGGAGGCACCGCGGGCACCGAAGGCGAGAGCGTGGGAGCGACCGAGTCCACCACCGGCACCGGTCACGATAACGACACGTCCATCGAAGCGAAGGTTGTCAGCCATTATTGTATATGTAAAGGGTCAAAGGAAAGACGGGAAGGAAAGAAAGGAGGAAGAGGCGGGCGAGGAGATGAGGATGGTGCCGTGAGATGAGGAGAGATGGGAGTGGGAGTCTGAAGAAGGGAGAAAAAAAGAAATGAGAAGAAAGAAGAGAGAAGAAGGCGAAGAGGGACCCGCTTTATACGGCTCTTGTTTCGATCGCACTGCTATGACCGAATCCCATACAGACAACATGTCCCATCGGGTTACCATTCCCTTGTGATTATGGCTTCTTGGTCCTCAGGCACTGCACAGTGCTAGGAGGGTAAACACTCGTCCCCCACCCACGGCTGCTTAGCTTCTACTCTCACCGCACTCCAACCCCTCCCACTAAGGTTTGCCATCCTGCGCTCTCTTCCAAGTGCTTCTCCAGCAGCCTGCCCCCTCCCCGCGCGAGTGTAACAAAGTGAACAAGCGTGTGCATTTTGATCTGTCAACACGGTTCACGGACACGCTTTAAAGTCTTACCTTCTACACGTATCCCTCATCTCACATCATCATCACCCTCTTCTTCTTCTTCTTCTCCTTCCTCTTTTTCATCTTCATCTTCATCTTCATCGTCATCTTCATCTTCATCTTCGCTAGTAGCCGGCAGCCGGCAACAAGAAAAGCGCCCTTCACCGGTTCAAAGGATGCTAGCCAGACCGAGGAACGGGTCACCCGAATGCAAAATTTCTCTTTAAAAGTGTCAATTTTCTGAATTCTTCGCCGAACGACTCGATCGATCCGCTTGCCCCCCACACACGCGGTTCAGTTCGCATCACTGCAGCGGATTTACTTGGGCGACAGAGCAGGCACTTGTAAACAATGCGCCCTTCAACTTTGACCTTGGCGCTGTCATCTTCCTGGATTCTCAATCGAGCACCAGACCCAAATTTAGTGAGCCTCCAACAACGCGACTTTTCCGGAGAGGACAACAAGACACGGCAGTTGCTTGTCCGCCCGTCGATCGAGTAAAGAGCAGCCAGCCTGCATCTCTCTTGTTTGCGGGGTTGTGCCGTATCCGAGATGAACAATCCACTATCACGTGTAAATGAAAGATGCTTCCTCCCATGTGCCATGGAGATTTTTTTTTTTCTTCTCCACGAATCCGGTCCCAGGCACACGGATCGATTTTTCTTCACATCTACACGTACACGCTTGCAGCACGGCGCCAGCTCTGTCTATACACTCTCCTGTACGTGCTGCCCTTACATCTCAACACTATCCCCCTGCAGCCAGCCCCCTGTTATTGGCTTGATTTTCCACGTTCTGTAGGCTGTCCCAATGGACGCCCTAGACCCACAGCTACATCCATATCCTTTTCGATATCCCATAGACCACTCACTATACATCATTATGTGTTTTTTTATTCATAGAATAGAATAAATAGGTGGCGTGTAGATGAAAGAAATATGGAATATGTATGAATGATATATTATCGATTATGACTATTGGCGTATTGTTCCGTGGATCCGGAGTGGAGGGGCGGCGTTTCTGTGTCCTGAAAAATCAGTACTGGTTTTACGTCCATCTTCAATCGTCGTCAAAGCTGCCACGGCGCCATCCTGGAGACGTTCGCGTCACATCAAAACTTTGTCCGTTCTGGTTCCTTGGACGGCCTGCATTACCGCGCTCATCATCGTCGTCGTTATCAGGGTTCATAACACGCAAGTTTCTGTTCAGGACATAGATTACAGTTTTTTTTGAAAAAAAAAAGTGATGTTAGTACTCGTCTCCATCACCACGGCTGTTTCCTAAAGATCGATGTCCACTCTGGACTCTTGAGAGGCAGGGGGTCACTTACGTGAGCTGAGGTAGAGATGGAAGCGATGACTGGATGCCGGTGTACTGCGGTAATGGCGATTCCATGTATGAGCTGCGTGTCGCATCCTGGTACTTGTATAGTTCCTCCTCCTCTCTCTGCTTGGCAAGCTCGCGTCTTCTCTTTGCAAAGACATATCCCGCCACTGACAATGCTACAATGAGGGCAATTGCAGAGACAACAATTCCGGCCACAGCGCCAGACGAAAGATTGCTATGACCTGCTCCATTGTTGCCAGAGTTGGATCCTGATGTGGCCAAGGGCGTATTTGTGGATGGTGCTGCTGTCGTCGTGGTCGATGTCTGTCCTGGAACGTAAACTTTTGGAAACTCAGTCTGGCCCAACGACTGGCAGACAAGCTGATACTGATCCAAGGGCGCGACTGATAATTTGGCGCTGGTTGAAGACTGACAACTCAGACACGACACCATCTGACAAAAAAAAGAAAACAAAAACTGTTAAAACACGATTCCGCGCCGCCATTTTCCATTCCTGAACCATGTGTCTACCCAAAAAAAAAAAAAAAAATGCGCGTCGGATGCATCGTTTGGGCCATACCAGATCATAAAAGTTTTGATTGCATGCACATTGGGCCTGAGCATCTGTTGGCCTATGAGGTGAGAAAAAATATATATTTCCCGATTAAACAATGTCACGGACAATCTGGATAAGGACAAGAAGACCGCGTTCAAGACACTTACTGATAAACATAGATGCCAGGCCAGGTATTCATCTGCAACGAGGAATTGCAGGGCTTCAAAACAGACTCTGCATTATCACAGGGTGCACATGCTGCAGAGACTCCTCTGAGAAGGCCAACACTGGCCACTAAGGCAGTTACCAGCATCCACCCCATGCATTTGCTCGTGCTCTTCCTGAGTGCCATTGGCGTAGCTACCATCTTGTTGACCGTTGTGGGCACTATTGTTAAGATCAAAGAAGTAGGATATGGAGAGGGGTTATGGAGGTGCTCAGATAGTAATATCTAGACAATGCGAACTCTTCCTCTCATCCGATGGCGGGCTCCCTCGGGCTCCCTCCCGCTTGCTGCTGATGACTATATGATTCCTGAGAGATGAGTGGTGCCATGAATGATGAACAGAATCCTGTAGCTGCAAGCTTGTCGCAGGATTGAAGCAGGGCTGTAAGTCGAGACAGTCTATGGCGCTGACCATTGCGGAGCGTTGTGAGGAATAATAATGGTTTTATCCTGGTATTGTATGTGACTGAGGAGAGAAAAGGAGAGGCGGATCTCGAGAGCACTTTGGAGGTTTGCTATTGCAATAACAATTCGTCCGCCACGAGTCCAATGTGTTCTGTTTGGGGGGGGGGGTTATAGTCTCCATCATGGTTGCAAACAAAAAGAGGGTTGCGTCCGGGCGCATGGAGTGGTTTCTGCTGTTGTCTGTGGATGTTGGTGGTTGTGATGGTGTTCCTGTTTTTTGGGGTGTATACTGTCTCCTGTGTGCTGTTCTCGTGTTTGACTCGGTGTGAGTGTGTAAGTGTGTGGGTATATGTGTACCCCTGCGCTGCGCAAGTGAGGGGTTTGAGGGTGTTGTGTGGTTGTGGGTCGGGAGGGGGGACTTACAACGGTGCTGAGAGGGAGGGAGTCTGAGTGCGAGAGCGGGGATGATAGGTGAGTGGATGGCGGCGAGAAAAGACAAGACCGAAAGACCGATTACAGGAATGATGATAAATAAAATAACAATAAGGTGAGTCGTGAGTAGCTGAAGGAGAAGAGGAAGGGACGGTAAGGAGGTAAAAGAAAAGAAAAGAAAAGAAAAGGCACAACACAATCGCTCACTACTTCGATGATTGGGGGGGAAGAGACAAAACGATGGATACTTATCCAATGTGCCAATGCGATGCGATACTATACAGAGAAAGGAGCGTGCACGCCCAGGTGATGGATGGGGGAGGGGCAATGGTCTTATAACAAACGATATAAATAGATTTCGATAAAACGATATGGTAACCCAAGACTACCTGGGCCTCTTTTCAGAACCGGCCTCCACTTGCCATCATCCATGGACCACGCAGTCCCTTCCCCTTCCCCCTTCTCTTTGCTTATTTTTACTCAATCCCATTGCGGCCAGCCTCGCGATATGGTGGTGGTCCCTCCCACCTCCTTCGCTCTTTTTATTCTCAGGTACGATCACACCCCTGGCTGACATGTCTCAGAATAATTATTTTAGCCAAACGTGTCTTTTTTCAAGTCCGCCGGGACACTTTGATGATCTTTTTTAATTGATAACCCCTAGGAAAATCCACCCGGCTAATTAGGAATGTTGGTCTATAGAACCACGCTGGCGCCTTAACCTGTCGTCATTTGCTAGAATGGCAGTGCCCATTGTTACTAGTGTTGTTTTCAATGTTGTTTTCAGTGTTGTTTTCAGTGTTGTTTTCAGTGTTGTTTTCAGTGCTGTTTTTTTCTGCGCTTTGTTTCTAGGCTTGCGAAATCCGAGTCGGAGAGGGGGGTCAATGGTACCTTATTTTCTGTAATGAATTAGGTGCTCGTTTTGAACGCAAATTTATATAAAATGAGAAATGAGATTTGAAAAGATATATGAATGATAGATTGTGGATCCCTCACCGCTCCTCAGTCCGCAATGCGCGTAGAGGGGTTCTCCTTCACTGCGTGTTCCTCCTCCCGTCGCTGATCCACATACGCCGCCCACTCAGACTCCTCCGTCTCCGCACCCATCCATCTCACCCCAAACCTGCCAAACATTACCAGTCTTCCAAACACCCGCATCCTCGCCCACTCTCCTTCTTCCTTTGGCAATAACCGATCGTGTACATTCGTTCCCACGAACAAAAGGAACACAAATCCGACACAAGCGACTCCCAAGATCCAATTCAAATTGACCGAGTATACCCAAGGGTCCTTTGTCGTATGGCCCGTCCCCAACAGGTGGTTATAAATCCCCGTAAACAGCAACCCACCTCCAACGCCCGCCAACGACCAGGCCGTCAGGATAATTCCGTGCAGAGCACCAATGTTCGATGGCCCAAACATATCACACAGGAACGCAGGGATGCATCCAAACCCTCCACCGTAGCATGCCGTCAGGATCCAGATCACAAGCAAGAAGGCCCAGTAGACCTGTCGCTCCATGATCGTCGGCAAGGCCGCAAGGATGATCACCTGTGAGCACAGCATCACAAAGAACGCGTTTTTACGACCCATACGATCCGAAACCGTCGAAAAGAGAAGCCGTCCTCCAAGATTGAACCCTCCATTGATGGCAACGATCGTCGCCGCCGTGGCCTCATCTTTCCCAAAGATATCCTTCACAATATTCGCCAACCGGGAGAGGAACACCAGCCCTGCAATCGAGTTTCCAAAGAACATGATGTAGATGATCCGGTATTCCTTCGAAAAGATCGCTGAGCTCAGAGTCATGCTCACTCCCGGGTCCATAAAGTCCTGGAAGGCCTTCTCGTTCATATTTCCCTCCAATGCAGAATCGTCGCCGTCGCTTAATTCTTGCTTATCGGCCCCTGATGTTGAAGAAGTAACGGGCACTTTGTTCCTATAGATATCCATTCCATTGACCTGAAATCCCGGGGGAGGGATACGGAACGCCATCAAACAGACCAACATCGCTCCAAAATAACAGCACCCCAGTACCACAAACGTCAGCGGCAACCCAACCGACGCAATCAACGGCTGAGGAATCTTTGCCAAGATGATCGATCCCGCTCCAAATCCACACACCGCAAACCCGGCTGCTAAACCGCGTCGATCCGGGAACCATTTCTGGAGAGCAGAGACCGGCGAGATATAACAGAGTCCGAGCCCTGCACCACCGAGGACGCCGTACCCGAAATACAGGAGTCCCATGAGCTTAGTGTAGATTCCGATCGCCGCAATCATGTTGCCGAGGAAAAAGATGGTCGCTCCTAGAATTGCTGCCAATTTCGGACCATTGCGCTCTAGCCAGGGTCCATTGATGGCAGCAGAAAGACCAAAGCAACCTATATGAAAGAAATGACGGATGGCGTGAACCGAAAAAAAAAAAAAATAATAATAATAATAATAATAATAATAATAATAATCTGTTAGACCATGTGGTTGGCGTAGGCAACCGTTTGTTTGTTAATAAATTTCAATGGGACCAGTGTATATATTACCAACGGCAATGTAAAACGTGATGGCGGCGTTGTGGGCAGAAGGCGTGGACTTGCCGGTCGCCGGATTCATGACCAGACCATAGATGTAACTGTCGATGGGATCGTTAAAGACGGACCCTAGAGAGAAAATCGGATGTGAAAGTGAACAGCCTGTCTCAGTGACGCGCAACATGATATGGCCGTGCGCACGCGTGCACGCGAGGTGATCTGTGCTAAACTAAGTATAGAACTTACAGGCATAGAGTGATCCGCAAATGGCTTGAAAACTACATATTGAAAAGGTACCATAAATCAATACCAAAGATCTGAGCATGTCCTCCAATCTCACTTCAAGTCCTCTCATGAGAACCAGGATAGACTTACATAAAAGCAGTGGGGAACATGGCCCATCGGTTGAATGGGATATTGAACAACAGATACTTTTCTTTTTCGATTGTACGCGCTGAGCGGTGGTATTCTGTATCACTGTAGTGGCGATGAATCTTTCGAAATATCGTGTGCGCATAATGGCCTCCAGGTCCGCTAGATTGCTGAGTATGCATCCTATCAAAGGTTCGCTATTACTGAAGGAAAGGATTGTGGGTCGCGGTTCCGTCCACTAGTAAGTAGGCAAAAGAGAGTACTCTAAGACGGTTCGACACTATGGGTGATAAGTATCTTGGGTGAGATGGTTGGGTAACTTGACCCAGGAAAGAGCGAGAGCTAGAAAGAGGCTGAAGAAAGATATGAGAGAGAAAGAAGAGAAAAAAGTGGTTTGTTTCGTAGAGTCTCCAATTCCTGGCGTTTATGAAAGGCGAACTGCAAAAGGTCTGGAGCACAGGGGGTTTGTTGTAGGTTCAGAAACCACCTGGATGTAGAACAGGCGACAAAGAACGACGAGATCTGGATACATCCTGAATGTCGACGGTAGCCTAAAAGGAGTGATTGCAGTAGTCCGTGTCGGCCACCTTCCCTTTCCTGCCCTTCTCCTCAGCCCAGATCTCCCTGCATCCGGGTCTTCCTCCTGTCGTCTCTTCTTTGGCATAGCGCTAATGCTCCGATAGGGATGTGAACCTTCTATACTTTTTCAACTCAGGGAGAGACGCAGGACAGCGGTATGTCCAAAAAGTCATCCTTTATCTTCATCCTATCATCGCTGTCGTGCCACCAGCAAATCCTGGGTCAATAGCGTATTTTATTTTGTGTTGCCAGGGACTTGGTCCCTGGAACGGAAGAAAATGTCCCTTCGGAAAAGAAAATCAAACGGAGGATCATTGCCACAGGAGACAGCTCTCTCCTAGTGTTTCCAATGCACGATCTTTAAAGGAGTCTCACAAGTGGGCCCAACAAGTCTGAACGTATAATGCGAAGTGACGATGATAGATCTGACGCTGTCCCCACTATACATGCATACCATGGTACTCGACGTCTTCTTTACCACCAAACCCATGACAGGGGACAGTTTGGGGCGCTTGCTTTTATTCGACTCTATATCACTTTAGCCGCTTCGCGTAGCTTTTGATCAAAACTCTCTGTCCGCTGCCTTGACCACCTCCACCGCCACGGTCGCGTTCCAGACAGAACAATGCATCCTTGACATTGATCTTCCGCGCAGTATCCCTAAGTCCCGATGGTCGACCAACTGTCGAAGGCGGCAGGATCATCGATCCACCTCCTGCGCCATTACCTCTTACGAGCGACGGGGGGCCAAGTGCAGACGATGACATGTTTCCAGACACGCTTGGCGATCCGATGCCCCCTGCTCTAGCGCCTAGTGCCATAGAGCTAGGCCCAACAGTCGACAATGGCATCGTAGCCCCACGTGAAAGTCCGGGTTTTGCTGCTCCGCTGCCTGTAGCGCCTGTAGCACTTCCCATGGACACACCTCCAGAGGCAGAAGGTGACCCCGTCGAAGCAGGCACTCCCGATGATGCGCCTGGCGTTGAAGCCGATGGCAAGGGTGATGCTGTACCTCCAGCGCCGCCATCACCTCCGGCTCCGGCTCCGCCCATCATCCAGGAGTATGAACGGCCGCTACCTCCGGCGAATCCCAATGCAGTCTGGTTGGCGACCTTCTTTCTCGCCTCATCAGTCATGTTTCTGGCACTCACGCCTGGGCCGCCTTCCTTTTGCTTCTTTCCTTTCTTTGCACCAGAAGCACCAGCACTTCCTCGAGAGTCGCCGGCCTCATCCAGGTCTTCACCAGCTGCTAATTTACGTTCTCGGTCTGCAATAAGTTCTTTGCGCTTGGTTTCTTCTTCACGTTCAACACGCTCAATAGCCAGGAGCTGACGCTTGACATCCTGACTGACTGCAACCTTGTACATCGGGTGATCTTCGTCATACATTGGTGGAGGCATGGTAGCCAGAGAGCGTCCGCGGTGCTTTGACGCGAGAACCATTTGCTCTACCAGACCTCTGAGTCTCTCCTGAGTCGCCATGGCCAGGTATGCAAGGACGTCTCCATCGATGTTCTGCAGCTTGTGCGACTGGGCTACTTTTGCCAACATCACAAGGTAGAACAAAAGTGAGTTAGCAGCATAGTCTTATATGGCTAACAATGATGTACCTTCTGAAGTACGGAACGGATAAAGTCCTTACCAATGTGCTCCACTTTCGCCTTCAACAGCTTGGCACTGATGAAGTTCTGAATCCTGGTCCGGTCTTGCCCGTCATATCCTCCACCCGAGCGTGAGTAGCCATCGTTGTCCCGCATAATATTATCCGATTCCTCTCTCAAATCGACACCGACGTAACCCATGACATCTGTAATGTTATCGTAATTGACTCTCTCTATACCAGAGGCAGATGACCTGCCCGCTGCCCCTGATCCAGAAGCACCGGTATTGCTGACTCCTGCGCCACTAGCAATTCCAGTTCCTGCTCCCATCGCCAAAGAAGAAGTCTTTTGTTGGCCAGGAAGTGAGACACGATTAAATACTCCTGGACTGGGTGCGCCTCCTGGTGTACTAGGTCCGGGAGTTGATGGAAATGAGGGCGGCACTGCTGGGGAAGCGACTTGAGCTGTTGGTCCGTTGACGCCCGGCGCAAGAGCTTGGTGCTCGGTTTTCACTCTCTTAGGTGCAACTTTGCTACTTCAGATATAGGGAAAACACGAACAAAAATGAAGCAGAGATGAGATCATCGATTGCTTGTTGCTCAAAAACTTGGATTGGTAGTATTAATAAACGCGCCATACCTCTCAGCGGATGTTGTGGATGTGAATGTGGCTTCAGTATTTCTTTTGCGGACAGGTGCTGATCCTGTGTTCGATGATGTTGGTGGGAGACTAGTAGTAGGTATTGAGGCCGAGGTGGATTGTAAAGCAGAGGGAGGTGCAGCTAGTGTTGGTGTAGCTGTAGTAGCTCCTGCAGATAGCAGGGGGACTCCTGTCGCAGGCGTATGGATCGTCATTCCCGATGTTCCCGCTGCAGTAGGCATTGATAGTGCAGAGGATTGGCCTGCAGATGGAGATGAGGATGGTATGCCAGAGTTTAATGTTGCTGCTGATGCCGTAGTGGATTGTTGCTGCGCCCCATCTACTGAGGGCCGTCCGCCATGCCTCCTCCTGATGCCATCCAGAATCTCAAATTGTGCAGGATCCAGCAGTACTTTTGCCCGAGCCATGAACTCGCCTGGTGTCAACACATTGGCCTGTAAATCAAAAAGAAAGCACGGTCAAATTGCAGAACAGGACGATCGCATCTAGAGCCCTTTACGCAGATTGGTGTCTGCGGCTTCTGTCTTCTCGCCGTACCTGAAACAAAGCCTTTACAAGCTCTTCTTTCTGGCTTTGATTCATTACCTGAAGCTGAGAAAATAGGTGCGTGAGCTGTTGTCCTGTAGCCGCAGAGGTTGATGCGAGGATATGATGAAGGGGGGATCCAGCCTGGGCGATAGGTGTGGATGCAGTGCCTATAGAAATAGCATGGTATAGTAATATAGTATCGGGTCAGCAAGTCGTTGTTCTGATAGTTGTATGCACGCGAGTACGCAGTAAAGAAGATGCGCAGACATACCTGGGACGAGCGCACTAGGACCAGAGTTCGCAACTGACATGGGGGCTGAAGGCATTACAGCCTGACCATTAGGGGCAACGGCATTCGGTTGGGAATGGCTTTGCTGGGCTACAGATGGCATCTGTACGTTATTACTTTGGGTGGGTCGAGGTGGGATTTGTTGGCTCATCGACTGTTGCGCCTGCTGCTGAGGTAGATATAGCGTTCTTTGTGCGGCAGCAGGCGAGGTGTGCTGATATTGTTGTCCCACGCCTGGTGTCTGTGGTTGCTGTTGACTATGATGGACTGATGATCCGGCCAGTTGCGGTGAGACAGCTGAGGTACTCTGCTGATGCTGCAAGATCCTATGCTGATCCTGAAGCTGCTGTTGATGCATTGGCGAAAGTTGGTTTTGAGGCGACTGCGTAGTCGGGCTAGAAAAGTGAATGTTTGGCGATAAAGACTGGGTATGTTGAGGTTGGGCTGACAAGTGAAGTGATGTACCTGAGTTGGTGTTGACCGTCGAGAAATCATCATTGAAGAGGTCGTCGAGTCCCTCCATAATGTTCCCTTGCACACCGTTATTCAGTGACCCGTCTGGATGTCGCACGCTGCCGATGCCAAGAGGAAACTCCGCGGATAGGAGCTCATCTACAGTTCTGTGCATCAGTGGTACGCCAGGCTGGCCGTGGAGATCGTGTCCTCCTCCGGCGTGGTGCTGCCCATGGTCAGAGTGACTGGATCCAGTGTTATTGGTATTGCTGTCGAAATTCCCGTTATTGTGGTTATTGGACATCGTTAACCGAGAGACAGAGAGGACACCGCTTAGGTTTTGATCGCGTATGGATGGTATTGATGAAGCCAAGTCCTTGGTTCCTCGTTCTAATTCTTCTGTCGTCAAGGCGGGTGATCAGAGGACGCGAGGCAACAAAAGCGATCGACTAAATCGTTATTGGGTTTTGTAGGCAATAACTACGTACATTTATAAAACATTAAAGCCGGCCGATCGACGTCACCGAAGAATCCATCACTTGAGCTGCTTCACTTTGCGCTGGAACACTTCTTCTCTTCCCTGAAGGTAATCCATATCGTCCTGTTACAGACTGCGCATAAACACGTTGTCATGAGTGGCCCGCTTCATTTATTCCAACAGATATACCTGCGGGCTCTGCCGAATGGCGAAGTGGTTACGACAACTGTGGTCTATTGGGTTGGCCTTTCGACTCAATATCTTGCGCGGTTATTAAGCTGAAAACACGTTGCCATGAGTGGCCCGCTTCATTTATTCCAGCAGATATACCTGCGGGCTCTGCCGAGTGGTGAAGTGGTTACGGCAATTGTGGTCATCAGATGGGTGCTCTCTTGGGTGCCTTGTTAACAGTCTGCTTGACATGACGCATAGTAGAAAGTCTTTGAGGTGAATTGTTGGAGTCTTTTTGATTAATTTTTTTTTTACGAGGTTTCTATCTAGTGGCCCCCATTTTTCGTTGCTAATGTCACACCCACCAACAGAGTACTTGGAGTGGGCACAGAAAACAACCGCAACGGAACATGTTACGTATCGAAGCATTGCTAACCGTCTCGACTACTGTGACAGGGAGTCAGCGACAAAGGCTTATTATGAGGAAAGATTCTGGACAAAACGTGCTCTGGAAGTCCGTACTTGCAACAGGTACAACGGTTTATTCGAGAGTGATGTCGTAGTCACAACCATGCTGCACCTAGTTTCTAGAGCACTCCAGCACAACTATACCTAGCCATATCCTTCGTATATACGAGCTCTTCAAACGTAGGATTAGATAGCTGATTCCACTCTAGAACCCCTCCGACCACTGACTGTCTGCAGTACTGAGCAAGTGGCCAATCGAGCAGGACTCATCGTGCATGAGGTTGGGGAAGCGCGCTCTCTATCTCATCCCCAACTCTGCATCGCAAGCGACAGTTATCAGACACAGGGTTGACCACATCGGCGAAACGTTCCAGTGCTAAGGATCAGCGCAAAGGTCCAGCAAGACTGGATACTGGGTCAACTCCAGGAACTTTAAGAAATTTGCAAAGGATGCAGATACTACAGTCCGGAATTGAGAAAGGAATGAGTGTTACTGATATCCAAGCATTACTAAAGATCTTCAATAAAAAGATTTATTAATCTGATTATCATCACAAAGGCAGAACTTCATGTGCATAGTTTGTCTCAAGGGTGGTCTTTTTTTAGTCTCTCGAAAACTTTGTGCGCTCTCAGCTGCTTGTCCTTCATCACAGATTCCTGTGTTTTGTTCGTCTTCCTCCTCCTCCTCTAGGTACATTTCCTCCCAAGCATCGCCAATCTGTGCAAGCATATTGTGTAAAATACAACAAGATACAACCCACTGAATGAATATTATCATGTCACTCTCCGATCGAAGCTGTTACCGCATTTCCCGTAGAGAGCCCTAGCGTGACTTCAAAATACCAATGCAGTGTTTGTTCCGGACTCTGGACCTGGCTAAGCAGTAGTTGAATTCTGTGTTGTCGCATATATTTGCCGCAGGTGCCTTGTATGCAGGGATACAGGTCTTGGATAGCCCATATGCAGAGTCGGCCAGGAGGTACTCGCCGGGCGAAAAATGGCGATGGGGATCCTTGTAAAGAGGCATTCGTTTGTAAACGGTAAAGTCCGCACAAGACCCAGGACTGCCGACGTCTATGGATATAATGCGGTTGTCTACATCGCAGACAACCTGCATAGCATCAGAATATCTGATGATAGTGTTTCAAGAGTGCTGATAATATTGATACAACCTGTAGTTCAATGCAGTTGTGCTCTTACCTTTTCTTGCGGCCAAAGTAGGCCTCGCCATTCAATGCCGGCCTTCGTAAAAGAGGAATGTTTGTTCCACCAATGAAACCAACACATCCTGGGAATCCTCCTTTGCGCATAACCCGCCCAATCTCTCGTCGTCGTTCTGCATCCGGCCACGCAATCCAATCTTTTCTGATACCCCGCAATGCTGTCATGACGCGCTTAGTGAAAGTCGTTACAGTATTTGTCCCAACCTGGAAAATCGCCTGAATTTTGGCGACGCTTGCATCGTCTCCATTTGCACCAAATCGAGCCAGAACAACTGCCAGTTGTCAAGCAGACTGCACTTGTCTGCGAAACGACTCATTGGCAAACACAGGGTGATCCTGAATCGCCTCCAAAAGGAACATAAACCCTCTTCGTGTTGTCCTGAACGTCGAGCGAAACTCGTTGTCTGAGAGGGACTGAAAAACGTTGAGAAAGTAATGGGGATGCCGGGTTTGTGTTTCGTGGTCACTGATATAGTGCGACTCTTCAACGAGGTGGTACATCACAATTGCATCCTCTGTTCCTTCATCGTCTTCGAGGAGGGTCGTGAGAATGATGAGCTCCCCCGGTTAGGATAGTAGCTGTTGGCGTTCTGACTTGAGTAGCACGGGGATCGAGTTGGCGGTTGGCTTCGCTCATCTTGATGCTGCCTATCATTTGTTTTCGAATTGTAAAAGTCTCAGGCGTGTAAGGTTGAACGTTTTAGCGTATTTTGAAACCGCGTTTTGGTCACAAACGCGCCTCGATATCTGCCCACAAAAAATTTATAACGCACCGCAAAATGTAACGTGCTGCTTTTTATTCTTGTTCTTGGGATGTATGGGTAATATGGTTTGTCATAAAATAGTCATAAAATCATGATAAGAGTAATGGATGGTCATTGAGTGTCATTAGAGTCTTCCTTTGTGCATGTATCCTTCTTCTGCGATGTGAATCTGTCATTCCTGTCTCCATGGTCGTCTAGAGTGTGTTGCGGGACGATCACTGCTCACACCACTGGTATCATCAGGCGCGCTTTGATTTTCTCTTGCCTGTCAATACTGATCCCTTTGCTACCGCTGGTTTCGTCTTCGCTCCAGTGCTCGCCCTCGTTGTCCTGGTGGAGCGTTTGGGTTCCTCCCCCGAGTCGACAATGTATCCCGACGCCTCATCGGTATCATCTTCCTCATAATCCTCGCCTTCGTCATGGTTCACGCCCTCGACATCGCTGTCATTCCAGTTGTTGGCAAACTCAATGTCATCGGTCTCGGAATGGCTCAGGGCATCCACTGTAAGAGGGAAGGCTGAAACAGGCTCAGGGCTGCCTACTGCAGGCTCAGGTCCGTTCTGAACATAGTGAAGATGATCGCGGTGCTCAGGAAAAGGTAAGCGTCCAGTAGATGGGGCGGGCGAAGGCTCTCGAGACACAGGGAGTGGTTTTGCCTGTGCCTGAAGCAAGGTCATATCAGAAGTAGAGAGGGGATTGATTCCAGCTACAGCCAAGCGTGTTTTCCTCCGCGACTGATTGAAAAAGTTGCACTTGGGACAGACATATTCTATCAAACATAGAATGGATTAGAGAAGTTAATTAACATAATACCATAACGCGCCCAAAATGTATGCAAGTCATAAGATGAGGGCATAACTTACGAATATCGTCAATTTCCTGAGGCAGCGCAAGGCCATTGTGTGCGTGGCACTGTCCGCAAATGAGCGCGTATTTAGTATCAGGGCCTTCGTCGCCAACAATCACGTCCACAATCTTGTCGTACCAATGCCTCTCAGTATTAGTCGAGCCATAGGGCGACGGTCCGGATGGGAAAGAAGGCTGTTGAGGATAAGGTCCTTGTGGTCCTCTGGGAGTATTCTGGGGGCCATGTCTCATTTGCGACTGCTGATGATGTTGAGCTCCAGATGAAACCCCTATTGGACGTCCTGGACCCGCAGGAATGCCCTGGGAATTCATGATGCCAGGGCCTTGACGCTGTCTCAGGCCAGGGTCCATCATATTGGTCTGTTGTGTTTTGGGCTGTCCATTCTGAGAGGGAGCAATGGGTCGTCCATCAGGTCCAGTCCTTGGGCCATTGGATCGTTGTGATGAAGGCTGTAGTAGTAAACATTGAAGAAGAGAATAGTTCTTTATCAGTTATACGGCAGTAAGGCAGAGTACCATTCCAAACGGGGTAAATAGTCATTTGCACGTTACGTCGTATCGCTCGAGCAAGGTCTTTGTGGAGTAGTACGCGGTCTTCTTCTTGAGCTCCTCGACCTTGAGCCTTTGGTCTGCTCTCAGCATACTGAGCTGCGACTCTAAAAAAGGTGGGTTAGACAATTCGCAAAAGCAGGAGCTATTAGCATGCTACTCGTCCATAGCGCCTCCATCCATGAGTCTATTCTCATCACCGTCCATATCCCTCACATACCTTCATTGGTCTTTGCACGCTTGTACCAGACGTTGATCACCGATCGGCCCGCATAAATTCTAGGATACAGAATGTACTAGAAAGATGAGAAAGGGTTGACCAAATCGCCATCGTCATAGTTCGATGTCTCTTGAATACCGACGACCAAAGAAAAGAAAGACTACCATGACCTACATTGGTAGACCAATGACCACAGGAGCAAGCGCCAATGCCCAGGTTTGAGGGTTATCATGGTACTGTTGGTTGAGGTAGAGCACAAAGACTGTAGTGTATCCAATCCAGAGCAAGGCGCCGTAAAACAGCCAGCGGCCCATCAGTCGCTTTTCCCTGAAATGGATGGCTGAGAGTCGCAGTTCAGCCTTCCGAATGTTGCTGTCAAGGTCCGATAGGATCCTTTCATAGTCAGAGTCGTTGCTCTATATAATTGCAATGGAAAAAACAGGATATTAATAACCTGCAGGAAGCATATGAAAACAGCGTGTTTCCATGCGTCTGGAAAGCGCCTGCAGCGTGTCAGCCTGATTACTGGGATGCTGGGAAGGCAATGGGGAGTAAGCGTTGACTATGTTGTTATATTATCATTGTACGCATGGGGGCGATTCCCTTTTCCTGCCTTGCCTGTGTCCCGAGCGGTTTGATTGTGCGCCGCCACGTCAATCGCAAAACTCCATTGAGGGTAGGAGGCGAACACTCAGTCCTGGTCGCTGAAAAGTTGTACCAAGACCACACGACTTGTGATGCGTGTTGTTTGAGCAGAATCCTGTGCTGTGCACTGCCATGTCACCCCACCCCACTCCTTCCAGAAACGGATTGTAAAATCGCTGAGTCAGGAGGCCAGGAGGCGATTGGGGCTGTCGTTGGGGCCGTTGAGATGGGTGAGGGGTGAGCTTATATAACAAGTACGAAAAACGAATTTCCTACCTGACGAAGTCGAGAGATGATTCCGCCCATGGCCTACAGTTGGAACGTGAATAATAATAAAAAAACTCCAAGATGCAACAGTGAAGTAGAGGAATGAGTAAGAAGTGAAGAAAGGAGAGAAGGATGGAAGGGTGGAAGAGATGGGTGGGTGCTGTCTTCAGCAGGTGGTCATTCCAGAATAGAGAGAAAGAGAGAGGGGATACAAAGAGGAAATAAAGTCGTTGACAATCAATCACGAGAAGGAAAAGAAGGAAAGAAGGAAAGAGGGAAAGAGAGAATGAGAAATTGATCAGAGCCGACGTCATCTTCAGCTCCTCTCTCGCCTTCACGAAATGGCACGATTCCACTTGTCCCCACTCAATCAACGATCCTACCTGGCTGCCTCCAGTTTCGACACCAGGAACCTGCACAACCCCTTCCAGGACCCCTCATTCTCACCCGAACCCGAATATGGATCCTCCGTTCCCGTGGCGTCCGATACAATTGCATCTGCACCCACATCTTCAACAACAAGGACTGCAAACGAGTATTCACAGATCTTGTCCAAGGACGACAGAAGCGATGCCTTAAAAGGCGACCCTAGACCCACAGACTCAATGTCATATCATAAGGACAGCAATGCAACCAATACAACCGAACCTCAGAATTCCATACAAGAGCAAGATCTGGAGCAAGAGCAGGACCAGGACCAGGACCAGGACCAGGACCAGGAGAACCCGTTGACATATCTGACCCAAACCCAGAGAGCGGCTGCCCTGGAAAATCTCGAGATCGAGAGTGAGTGCATGGAAACCATTGGACATGTTACTGCACTCTGCGATAATATCTGACAACTCAACGCGAACGACTCTACTTCCTTGGATGATAGTGATGGATAGAGCGCAAACCCTGAGGGCTTCCGTGGCCGTGCTCATCAACTCACTGAGGTTCAGGAGTGAAGCAGAGCTAAATCGTCTCCCCGCAGCTGTACGAACCATGACCGTGGAGGAATTTTGGTTTTCGTATGAGGGCAGTGCCAAGGAATACCTGGAGAGACAGGCAACCAAGAAATCGGCTGCCAACACCGCATTCCTGCACGATATAGAGGTAAGCAAAAAATTACAGTGTCGTTGTTCCACAAACGAATGTCGCTCTTGCCACTTTCTCCATAGCTTCCATTACATATATTGAACAGTTTTTTGACATGAACGCGACCTTTTGTCGCTACTTTGCAGAGAAGCAGCAGGAGTTCTGCTCGGTACAAGCCCTTCCCAGTCGCTTCGCACAGTCAGAGACAACATCGGCCAAAGCCATTTGTAGACATCCGACTTGGCCAGAGTATCAAGAAGGAATAAAGTCAATCTTGTACATCACCACATCAAGTATGCTTGTATTTGCCACCAATTTGTATTGCATTGTTATTGGTCCACTATCTAGGCTGTTCAGCAGGTTGCGACTCAGAGCGTGAGCTTAAGTGAGCCTGGAAGTCGATTGCACAAAAATTGCGGAGGATTTTATTTTGTAAAATGAATGCTTGGCTGCTCAAGGAAGAAAGATCTTGGAGAACCCTTGTACATCGCTTCGACAACATGGACACTGCTTGAAACGCTATCGGGCATTAGAGAAAAACAACAGCATATTAATACTAATGCAACACTCTTTTTGTAACAAGAGAAAGTCAACAGCCAAAAAAAAAAAAAAAAAAAAAAAAGCTCGAAAGACGTACTCTTGATGCCAAGACTTCGCGACACTCGTTACAAAGCGCCAAACAGCGACACGGCCGTAGAAGAACACCTCTTGGCTCCGATTGGCAAACCACACATAATAGACGGCTATAAACCGAGCTATCTTCTGGCGCTGAAGGTTTTGCGAGCGGAGGCGGGGATGTGTTGCTCGAGGACTCCGGCGATTCAACGTAAGATGACGACTTCTTGCCCATGGACCTTCGATATCTGTGAAGAATAGAGAGAAGCACTTTGTTGTGGGCATCCTGTGTCATGCGATTTGTCTTCCTTGAGCCACCTCCTGACCCACTAGTGCCAATGTAGCTGCTTCCCGCGCCATAACTGCCGCCGTATCCTACTGAATCTTCCTGAAACCCCCGCGCGCCATTCATGGTGAGAAGGTACTGAGATCTCGTCAAAGGCGTGTCCTGCAACCTGGTCGATAAGAAAATGCTCATGAAAGATGTATCCAGGAAGAAATCCTGTAGCGAACCTATTGAACGCCACGTCGAGACCTGCTGTGATGTTGTATAGTCAACTTCGATGGCCGAATCCTCATCTGAATCGCTGTGGTCGCGGTGGCGACGACTCATGCCATACGCTTCTGAGTCCTGAAGCGCATCCTCGTGCGTTGAACCTGCTTGTTTCAGAACCTCCATGTCGCTGTCGCTGTCCTCCTCATCTTCCTCCTCGGTGTCGTCTATTTGCATATAGTCGACATCATAGATCTCGTCCTCATCGTCCGACGCGGTCAAATCCCTCGATAAAAATTCACTATATAGCTCTTCTTCCTCTTCCTCATCTAGCGCCGCTGCTTGTCTATATCGTTCCACCTCATACTCGTGCAACTTCAGCTCCCTAAGCTGCCGTGCACGCTCAAGTGCAGTCTCGAGGTTCGTTCTGAGTTGGAGATATTCTTGCATTGACATCCTAGTTCCCACATTTGGACCCCTGGACCTGCGCAGCGCCTGTCTAAACCTGGCTGGCACAGCCTTATTGTATGCGGCGTAGGTTGTCTCCATGATAAGACTAGCGCTGCTCTGACAAAATGCCTTCATAACATTCATGCGGTTGCGCCGTCTCGATGTCAGTTGCCGCTGTCCTGGCATCTCGACTACATCTGCCATTTCGTTTGCAAATCCTGAAAGAGCTGGTCCATGCCTGTGTGTGGAGCCGTTGGGAAACGAAAAAGACGTCTCTTGTGCATTCTGTTGGCTGTGAGAATGACGGCCGAATGGAGAGCGAAGAGAAGACCTTGATTTGCTAGTTTGTTTCCTGTCCAAGGTAGTTCCGAAGGGTAACACAACAGCATCAACTTCGTTTCTAAACCCTGCGCCTCGTGTTGCCTCCATACATGCCCTGCCAAGCTTGAACACTGCGAGCCCATAGTCTTCATCCATAGTGGGCATTGCCCTTGGCTCGAACATCTGCCTCCTGACATTTCCCCCCGTAACGATATATGTCAGCGCATGGAGGATCATCTAGGATGCAGGATAGATCGATAGTTTAGTAAATATTAGGATAGACTGCGTTATGACGGCAGCAGTGATGTTATGTCCTAGTCTCTGATATTTTTGGTATTGCCGCTCATTGCTCAACTTACAGAGATGCAAATCATAAGAAGCACAACGACCTCTGGCAACCTCGTCAACAATTGGAGCGAAGGGTACGTGCCTGACCGATGGTACACTGCGTGTGCAAAGTGCAAGAGGTCAAGCATTCCCCAGAACGTTGTCGCCATAAGACGATAATTCTTGCCTCGGCTCGACAGGCTGAGGAACTGGAGCGTCAACAGCTGACAGACCTGGATCGCCGAGATGATAAGGATATCGTTCCCAAAAGGCGTGAAGTGGAATAAAATGGCCCATTCCAGCATGCTGATCGTCTGCTCACTTGTTCCTGTGAAATGCAAATTGGCGATGAAGGAATCGACGGTGCAAGAGACACCCATGGCGATAAAGCTGAGCCAGAGTGCATGCGATTCATCATATGAAATCCTGATATCTGACATCAGCCATGCCAATGGCATCGTGGGCTGATCCTGAAGCAAGAGCGCCAAAGTGACTACCGCGCTCTTCATCAATAGATAAAATGCTGGTAGTTTGAGTGCGAACCGGACAGACAGCTTCAATGGATGGGGGTTCCGGGGGGCGACAATGGCGTTGATCCTGTTCATTACAATGCTCTATATCCCATCCGTCACGGCAGCAGCAACAAGCGATATGCATATTTCAATTAATATCGGTTCCGATGAACAGCTGAAGCTGGAACAGCCCATACAATATCCCTACCATGAAGCACAACAGCAGGAAGTAAGGGCTCGTGAAAAAGTGGAGCATAGACGGTTGGGTCTGCAGCACTTTTGAACCGGCTACAGATCCGTCTCCGCTTCCGATCACACTAGACCCCGTTGACGAAGTGCTTTGAGCAATTCGGCTACCACTGCCAGTTGCACTGGCACCATTGGCGAGGCCGCTGCTGTCACTTCCGGTGCTATGGCTCAGATCGCTGAAGATATTGAAGCCATTGAAGCTATTAAAGGAAGCGAACGGGTACGAGGAACCGAGGGATGTGTGTTCCAGGGCCTTGCGGATATCCCAGGTGCCTCTTGGGACATGTTCGCGGATGGATTCTGTGATAAACTGAAAAGGGCGACGAACGTATCCACGCAAGGGGAGGTAGAGCGCCCTGGAGTAGGATTCCAGGGTCTCGACAAAAGGCATCTGGATTCGCTGCAGCACGATGGGAGGCGGTGGAGGGTAAGGTTGAATGAGAGGTTGGGATAACAATGCAGCGGGAGGGAACACAAACAGGAAAGGAGGTGTTCAGTAAAGGTAGCTGTAAGGGTGAGTGAGTCGGTTAAGAAGGAGCAGGAAGTTAAAAGCGTGGGATGGGATGTCGCAGACTGGGACAATGAAACGATGGATGTTGATGAGCATCCGAGTAAGGCTGAACGTGAAGAAGCAGCAGAGTAAGGTTGGGGAAGTCAATCGGCTGCATCTTTCTTCCGGACGAAAACGCCCCTACTCTTCCTGCGCAGCTCGTTGACCGCAATCATGCAAATGGACTCTAGCCTGCTTAACCTTAACCCTACACGTCGTCATTGCGTATAGGGACTGGCCCTAGTAATAGCCATGGTGCCCAGTCTAAAACACAGCGACAGCCATACCGCCAATGTGGGACCAACTGCCTCGGGGCCCCTGATCTTTGGATTCTGGCGTAATCAAAGTAGTGCTCTGAACACGATATTCCGTCAAAGAGGCTGAATGAAACTTACATTGGCAGATGGCACTCACTTCCCGGGTAATATCAAATTTAACTGGCTGGGACTACCGTATTTCACCAGGGCACTAGAGGCTGATACCTTAAAGAGAGCCTGGCTCGACCTCTCGAAGCCGGTAATGAAAGTGGCCATTGTAGATAGGCCTTTCGCTAGGAGTAATAACCAATATTTTCGAATACTCGACGCTACCATGCCGAGACTAAGAAGCGGTGTTTGAGGTACCGTTTACTTTGCACCTTACCTGATCAGTGTTGAGATCGACCTGGATGGCATGGAGGAAAATGGTATGCCTTGCCGACAGTTTCCTTGACACCACATCATACTCCCTGGCCTGGTCAACGAAGACATCCAACATTCTTCCTGTTGTTTGCAGTAGCGTTAAAATGGACGTTGACCTAGCTACGGATCGAAGTCTTGGTAGCCAGCGGCAATTTATCGAAGAGCGTCGATATTATTCTGAGACAGCAAGGGTGCGTCGCACAGCCACTCGATCGACACAGTGCGCGTATCTCCCTGTACATGAGATAAAATGCCATGAATGGAGGTGGGACTATCTATCCCATGGTCTCATTGTAAAGCTATCACTCCGATAACGATAACCCTGCGCTGCATCGCTGGTTATCTGTGAGTTGGGCGGACCACGAGGCTGATTTAAGATCCTTTCCTTCTCTGTCTGCTTCAGGTCCGGAAAATATGCGATTAACGTCTGTAACAAAGGCGTTACTGTAGGCGGCGGTGGATAAGGCAACTGGCCATCTCGACTTTTGCAGCTTATGCAGATCATCTAGTGATAGGAGTCTATGCTCGTTCGACAATAGACAGGCACAGAGAGTGGGGCTATTATTCTTGCGTTTGTTGATATCCTCAACTAATACTGTAGTGCTGTTCTGAAATGAACCCTGCTGTTCGTCGCGACTTTTCGGGCTCCATGGCAGGTGTTCCTGCTTATCTTGATGCCCTTTTAGTTGATCCCCGGGTTTATCTGTGTCTAATATGCGGTCTTGGCGTTGTTTGTGTTGCGGCAGAGAAGTCCTCAGGTTCGAAGCAATAGCACTGATACAATTCTTGGTCTGACCAGTCTCTGTCAAGGGAAGGTTGCTGAACGCAAGCGGCCTAGTAGCCGAGGCCGGAGAGAGTGGTAGGTCGCTGGAGGAGTTGTCCTGGGGTTTACCGCCGCTATTTAGACCAGTTAGTATCCTCTTGGGACACTACAGCCTGTCCCCACGTAGTCTACGTCCGCGGTGTCTGGTGATTGACTGCCTGGTAATACATATGCTGGCGACTCTGGCGCCTTGGTTACGACATTGTACTCACCAACAGAGGATACAGACTCAAGGTCTGTTGGGTCCGGATGTTCCATGACAGGCGCCTGTTAATGATACCGGGTTGTGATAGTAGCACGGTCAAGGCGGTGGGTCATCCATGATGGCTAGCGATCCCAGAGTATAACATCGCAGTTGCTGGGTTCTGTCGGCCAAAGACGAGAATCAATAGGAATTGCTTGTTCTACCGTCCTGGCGCTGTCGTGGATCGACCTACACCATCTCTAACGGCGCGACTCCTAAATCCTCTCGCATGTGGACACAGCCTTCATCAATCGAGATCCCACTCGCGTGACCCTAGTAATGGACGAACAGGTCCCAATACAGGGGCCGGCCTACACGCTCCCAAAGAAAATATGGCCGCCACAGCCGTCTTGTTGGCTTGCAAAGCGTTTATCATTTTGTATTTTCTGACTCAATCTCGTAACTCGCAAGAAAGGAGGCCAATAGCGTCAAGATGACAAGAGAGGTTGAAACCACTGCATGTAGACACGTTGAGAGCAGAAATATTAAGCAGTTGACGATCTTGCATTTTCCAGGAAGCACGGTCTGAGAGTTCATCTCGCCGCGTCCTCCAGGGTAGTTTTCCTCGGCGTCCAGACTATTACGCAGTAGCATCTTGCCACCGAGAGCGAGACTATGCTTGTGAAGAAAAGAAACCAGGCTGTTTCTAAACGTCTCCTTGAGTGTACTGGTACTTTGATCGTAGAAAGAGAGCTGGCGAAGGCCAGTGTGCTGACGATTGTGCGATTACCTCGGCAGGTTGACGTGTACTGTTGTGCCCATTGAAGACGCGCGAGTCCTGGGAACATCTGTTTCTGTTTGAGGGATGTCCAGGTGGAGGAAGATACAGATGCTTGCACGTCGATACTGGCTGCTGCTGTCGTAGTAAAGACAGTCCGGTTGAAAATGGGTGCTGCAAAAAAATAATGAAGATAAACGCGGGGAATGAAGAGAAAAATGAAACCTTGGAGAAAGAGGCTGTGGTCTTCCAGAGAAGACCATGGACACACTGACCAACCAAAAGCACGGACCAGACTTTGCTCTTTTTTTCATTAGCATAAATGGCTTATTCCAATAAAAAGGAAACCTTTGGGGTGAATGGGCTATTATTCATAGGCCAAAATGCAGAGAAACCCCATGGATGAAATAGCGCCGGATTGAGCTAACATCTTGATCCCATCTGGATTCCAGACACATTGAAGGATCTCAGTTCCAACTGACGAATTTAATCAACTGAGTATCCATTATTTTCATGACAACAATTAATGGTCGTCTTTTGGTCTTTGTATGTTCAGTCCTCCAAAATTGGTCAGCTTTATTGGGGGGGTCTTTGGTATCCAGGAGGTGGGGGACGGAAGCCAGGAGGAGGGCCCTGGAATCTATATATTGTTCAATAGATAGATCAAGTGAAGATGTGTGAGTAAGTTTACAGCATAAACGCTTACATGCATGCCGAAATGAAGCGAGAGAACATACCCTGGGGGAGGGCCAGGAGGAAAACCTGGCTGGAAGCCTGGTGGGGGCATACCAGGAGGCATGCCTGGAGGCGGGCGGAAGCCAGGAGGAGCCACTCCACCGGGCTGACCCATAGGTCGGAAGCCAGCTGGAGGGGCCATGCCATGGGGCATACCGGGCGGTGGCATCATGCCTGGGGCTGGACGGAACCCTGGTGGCGGCATGCCAGGGGGCAACATGGCACCAGGAGGAGGCATTCCACGACCGTATGGCATTGGGGGTGCTGCTGCTGTTGGATCACGGGGTAACATCATTCCCGGGGCTGGTCCGCCAACGCCACGCACTGGACCGGTCAATCCTGGGGCTGCTCCCGGAATAACTGGCATGCCGCGTCCTGCCGGTGCTGCCATGCCTGATCCTGCTGAAAGCTATGACATCCAAAGAATCAACCTGTATCAGCACTTATGCTATAAAGCGCCATCCGCTCCCATAGCAGTAAAACACATTTTCATCATGTTGTATCCCCGATCGTACCTGTGAGATGCGCGCCTTTTGGTCTTCAACACTTGGTGGTGGTGGTCCGTCGACACTTAAACTGACGATCGTTTCGCCGCGGAGGATGACAAGTCCAAGAGTCCTCTTTTCCTCGCGCTCTGCCTGTCCTGAAGGTGCCTTGGCTCCCGCCTTTGCCTTAACTTTTCTGAATTCTTCACAGTCTGCCAGAACCAGATTCATGTGCTTGTCGAAAGCCAGCATCTGTCCTGTCAGAACGCGCGAGTCCGATAATGTGATCCTGAGCCTGAAGTTGATCAGGTTCATCATTTTTGAGTTTTTGGAGATCGCCTATACAGTACATAACGACCAAGCGCTGCTGTTAGTCGACCGCTGATATGCGTTATGTTCCTAGTGTTTTAAGATCCACCCTGGCGTGAGCCAATTGGCCCTAATATCTTGCGCCTACTATGGCTTTACTGTGTTCAACTGAGATGCATCTTCTCGCAGCTGTTGGTGCACGCAAATACGATGGAGCCACGACAACACATGGCCTGCAAATCGACTCTGCTTCGCCGAATTCATCTGCCATCCATTCTTGACGAGTCCGACACTCTGATCTAGCTGAAGCGCGTTGTATACATTGGTTAAGAAGAGACACGGATCCTTACCATCTTGGTCGAATTCGCCGCGTAGCGCTAAGGATGAGAAAGAGTGGTGCGGCCTTTCTACTTGTGCCGTCGAAGCGTTCAGTTCGAAGGCAGGCATAGAAGGCAAAAAAGATCGGCTTCCTGAAACAGACCACGTTGGAGCATTAAAAACGCACCAACTACGTCAGCAAAAGGCGACGCGATAGAATTTTTTTGGTGAGCATAAGCAAATACATGCAGTAAAAGAATTTCGGCGTGCAATAACAGAATTATGCAGCTTTAGGATATAAATTACACCTACCGATCATTTTTAAATGTGCTTGCGAACACATATATGGTTGAGATGGGGTTTAGGCACTTCCTGGGGCCTGGCTAGTTGCCGATTCCTGCCCTGATGCCGCATTGGCCGCACGCTTGCGCCTTGGAGCTCCTTCTTGTTCTGCAGCCGCGGTTGATGCTGTCCTCTTTCGGGCCACACTGCCCTTGCTGGCGCTGGTGCTGCTAGTACTACTGGTGCTATTGGTGCTGCTAGTGCTACTGTTACCATTGATGCTGCTGCTACTGGTGCTCGCGCTATCGGTTACTGTCTGTGTAGCTTCCATCCAAGGATATCTACCATTCTCATCTACAGGCTGAAGATAGAGTGGCCTCTGTTGCTGAAGCAAGTGCCCTTGAATAACGTTGCAAATATTGTGGCCCGCCATGATATCGCGGTGCATGTATGTCTTGCAAGTCTTGCAATACAGCCGACGTATTTGAACCTGGCCGACAAACTCCTCGCACATCGAACACTTCTTTGACGTGTAGTACTCATTGACGCCCACGACAATATACCCGAGCGCCCTTGCCTAACGGACACAGAACGTAAGGCGCCTCATTAGCGTCATCAGTAGTTTTTTTTTTTTTAAAAAAAAAAAGAAATCGAATGTCTTGCAATGAAGCACTAACCCTTTGAACAAAGTACGATTGGAAGGACTCATGTAACGAGGAAAGTCGTCTCGTGGATGAAAACTTGCCTAGACCAATACCGATTACAACCTTGTCCTCTTCATCTCGCTGTCTACCAAGCGATCCTCCAACCATATTGAGCAGGCGATCTGCGATGATGTCGAATTCTGCCTCTCTAGCTTTTCTGGCATCCCACTGGTGCTTTTTGAATGTGGCGCTTTTGTTGTAGAACTCGTCGAGCTGCTCCTTGACGCCTGCTAATCCCGCAACGTACTTTTCAACGCTGGCATCCTTTCCGCGAAGGGCTGGTAGCTCGCTTTCGATGTTGCTGATAGATTTTGCTGCGCCTAGCGGGATCGACCGTTTGCGTTCTTCTAACCAACGTCGAAACTTGAATGTTGGTTGGTATACGGCCTTCTGCTTTACAGCTAGGTTGTAAAAGACCTGGGAGCTGCGGGCGGAAGCCTCGGTGTCATTGTCATTGTCAGGTTGTTCGGTACCGACGGCACTGTTCTGTTGATGGAAGCTCTCCTTGGATCTCGGCATACTCGCTCCTGTAATACATGCTTGCTCTGGATTATAACTGTCGTTGCGTGGCTTTCCATTTTCGAGGCTGACGGATTTTTTCATGTCATCTAAGGTCTTCTCAGGCAATAGAGCGCTCGCTCCAACCACAAACGCTTGACCAAGATCGAGACCTAATATCTTGATTTTCTCTGGTTCACAGTCTCAAAGAACTGCGACATCCTGCTTCGTCTTGACAACGTTCCGAACCTCAGTTAGGTAGTAGTCGACTCCACCCACAGTGGACGTAATCCGAGAAGGCAATATGTCCGTGGGATGCCGCCTGTACCGAACCGAGAGAAGCTCCTTCAGCTTGAATGCCGTTAACTGGAGACGAAAGCCATCGGTCCGAATAGATCCGCGAATAACGTAACCGCGTTCCTTATAAGTGCGGGGGTCGAAATCCTCGTTCTGAATGATTCTCAGGTGCTCTTTGATCTCTGCAAGTGAAGGTGTCGCGAGGTTGTTGAATGATTTGCTGATTCCGGGCATGCGACGCTTTTTATGACCCAGTCCTGCGTCGGTGATGAGTGTCGTGAGGAGGTAGCCTGGTGCTTGGTTGGCCAGCCAGTACGACATGTCAGACAACGCAGGACGATAGTCCTTGGCTCCATGAAGACTCTGCAGCTTCGCCTTGAGTGTGTCGCTCTTCCAAAAGATTGAAATCAATTCCAGCTCCGTGAACGCGACGAACGGCTGCGCGGAAGGCGTACACGCCATTAACTTCCGAGGGTTCTTGGTCAGCGGGTTCAGACGGTAAAAGTTCTCGACCGCAGAGACGTCGCCACGAATGTCAATGCATGTCCCAGCCGGCAAGAGCCCTTTGACCAGTTGTTTCTTGAGCTGTTTTAAAGTTGCCGTGTGTAAGGTTCGAGTTAGCGGAATAGAACCTTGTAACCTTGAACCTTGTGTCCCTTGTATGTACATGTACATATGTTGTTCCCCCCTCTCTTTTTTCTCTCTTTCTTTCTCCCCATTTCGCCACAGAATACCTTCACTCTCAGTCATTCATTGTCTATGTCCAACATCGCCACTCCGGCATCCCTTACTCTTTCCTTCTCACATTTACCTTTTTATGGAGTTCCTTGCAGCCTTTTCCGTACAATCGCTTGAGATCAACCGACAGCTGCGCGATTATGCTTCGCAGTATGACTGACCCCGGGTATGGCATTCTCGTGTTGATGATAGCAGCATCTTTTCGTTCCAGTAAGTGTAGCTCCTGCGCTCGATCGATGAACCTCCGCGTGCACTGTATACTCTTCGTTTTGCCGCTAGGGATGATGCCCGAATACACATATGTTGTTAATATCCCAAGGAACCTTTGATGATCGTCCTTATCGACCTCCGAATCTGCGTCTCTATCCTCCTGCTCCTTGTCGATCTCCGAATCTATGTCCTCCTGCTCTTCGCCATCCTTATCACCATCCTTATCATCATCCTTATCACTATCCTTATCACCATCATTGTCCTTATTCGTACCCGGTATGCGCGGGCAGATGAGATCCAACAAATCCCTATCCGTTTCCTTAAAGATGGCTGGATCAGAGACACGCTCGATGAACCGACCAAGGAGCTGTTGGCAAGTGCGTTTTGTATCGGCTGCAAGGCGGATGGCTTCCCGGAGGCATCGGAGTACTTCAGAAGCTTCATCAGGGCTCAAGTCTTCAGCTCTTCTGACATTCGCGGATAAAGTCCCAACATCAAGTGTAACTGTTGGATGCTCCCAGTCAAGAGCACGCGTGAAGTCAGCCTTGTTCATCTCGTCAACTGACTTAACTTTCTTGGCGGTTGCTGGTTCAGGTTGCGTCGTATTCTGTGGAGGAATCACTGGCGCGGACGGTGCCATCGGAGTTGTCTTCCAGG